TAAAATTAAGATTGGAAAAATGAGAAACTGAGAGAAACCCAGATTGACAGATTTGCCCATCTAGGGCTTGCTGATCAGAAGGTCGGCGGTTCAAATCCCTGCGACGGGGTGAGCTCCCGTTGCTCTGTCCCAGCTCCTGCCAACCTAGCAGTTTGAAAGCGGGAAGGTAAACGGCGTTTCCGTGCGCTGCTCTGGTTCGCCAGAAGCGGCTTAGTCATGCTGGCCACATGACCCGGAAGCTGTACGTCGGCTCCCTCGGCCAATAAAGCGAGATGAGTGCCACAACCCCAGAGTCGGTCACGACTGGACCTAATGGTCAGAGGTCCCTTTAATCCCAGTTATAGGTTTGCAGCCTTAGAAAAGCCATGCTTATGTTGCTTGCAAGCCTTTTCTTCCCTTCCAATCTGCTTTGTTTTCTTTCTTCATCTCGTTCTGTATTGCTTTCAAAAGTAACTTCACTTTTAATATTTTACCCAAAAGGATCCATGTCTGCTCAACTGAATGACTTCACTTATATTTATAAGCTGTAAAGCCAGAGTAGGATTTGACCCAAAGGATCTTACTCAGTTTATTTCATGGAGTTTTAAGTAAGGTTCATGACCATTAAGTGGTCTGTTTTTTTCAGCTGTTGGCAGAAGAAAGACTGCCATTTCCAACCCAAATGTCTCATGGTTTTTATTTGTGCACAAGCCTGTTCTTCCCTCTCAGAAATCAATAAATTATCCAACTCCTATTTAAATACAGCAAAAACTAGCACAACAACTTATACATTATTACATAGTGCATTCAACAGTAGTTGCTTAAATGCAAGAGGCAATCATGCATTGGGAATAGTAAATATACACAAATAAATGGCAGTGGGCTCTTAGATATAAATACTGTATTCCTAATAGTGATTAATATAGAATGGTATGCTGGGTTGTTCACATGTATTGAAAAATTAGTCTCTCTTTTGGAGGCAAAAGCTAAGCAACACTACAGGTTAGTGCATGTTAATACAAAACAACAAACCCGTGTTGCAAACTTAGCACAACAAACAATACAGTGGTACCTCTGGATACGAACAAGATCCGTTTGGGAGCTCCATTTGCATCCAGAAGCAAACACAACCTGTGACTGCACGTGTGCGCATGCGCGGGTTGCGATTCACCACTTCCGCTCATGCGCTTGACGTCATTTTGACTGTCTGTGCTTGCGCAAGCGACGAAACCCGGAAGTAATGCGTTCCATTACTTCCGGGTCACCACGGAGCACAACCCGAGGTATGACTGTACAAGCAACACGAAGACCAGTTTACTAGATAGCACTGCAATTCTTATTGCATAATATACATGATTTAGTACAACAAAAACAAAATGTGTACACTTGTAAATTCTCTAATATATTTGAAAGCGAATGAACACATGTCTGTCAATCTTTGAAAGTCCGTAGAAGTATAATACAGTAAGTCTATGGTTGAAACAAAGTAATAGATGCTATCCTGTGGGCTAAGCGGTAAAACTTTTTTTAGGCATTCATGGTGCCAAAGTAGTAAGTGAAGAACAACGTAGGACAGTGATCCCGGATGTATATTATGCAATAAGAATAGTGCATGTTAATAGCTGGCTGTATTTTGATGGTCACCACAAGGCATATGTGGCAGGAATAAACGGGGGGAAATAAGCCTGCTGTAACTATACAGTACCCTGTCTCTCCTCAGAGTGAAGCTACTTAGATAGTAAATTCATGTCTAAGGCTTTAGAATGTTTATTCACAGTATATTAGTACAGTCCTCCTTTTTGCACATTTAAAGCAAGGATGGGGAACCTCAACTTTCTGGCCCCCAGGACTGTCCTCAAGCCACACCCCTTCTTCCCTGGCCACAGCCTTCCACTGTAGGCTTGCCATACGTCTGGAAAATAGTGTCCAGGGTTGTCCGTCCTCCCCCCCCCCCAGGGTTTTTCTCCAGGTTTTTTGCGGGGCGCATGGCGAGAGCTCCAGCCACCCATGGCGCTGCTGCTGTTGGCATTGGCTGCTGCCTCCCTTGCTTGGCTGTGCACAGCCACCCCATCTAGAAACCGCTTCTCCAAGGCGCAGTGTCCTGAGCGTGGTGGGCCGCAGTGCCAGCACCTGGCACGCCTTTCCGAGGGGCCTAGACTCGCTGTTTACATCTTCGAGCCTGCCCTGCTGGCTACAAGGTGTGAGCATTCCTGCGCAACAACTCCCACCATCTCCTGCGGGTAAAAGGGAGGCAACATGGGCTTGTGTGGAAGCGTGTGTGTGTTATTCCGGAAATCGGAAGCGAAAGGAACGCTTTCACTCTCCATGAACTCTGTGATCAAGGGAGGTTGGGTGGCCTCTAGCCCTAGCGGAATAGGCTCCCCCTACCCCCCACTCTTGGCTGGAGGTGACGCTATGGTTGCAGGAGGCTAGGCAGGCTCCTTGTAGGCAGCAGTGGGAAGGGAGAGCAGGTTTGATGGGGCGCTGCAGAAAGCAGGGCAGCAGTAGCCAGGGGTGCACTAGTTATGGTAGCTACCTGCGTTATTACACATAAGGGTTAACTTTTCCCTTTAAAAAAATCAACAATTTTGGGGATGTCTGGATTTTTACTTTTTGAAATATGGCAAGCCTACTCCACTGGGTCTCCTTTGTATCCTTGTTGAGTGTTTTACCTGGGTAAAACTTGGACCTTGCTCATGCTTCTAAACTGCTTCGATGGAGGGCAGAGAGGCATGTGTGTGTGTGAACCATCTAGTCTGCTGTACAAAGGTAAATTTTATATTCATTGGTCTGCCGCACAGGCCACCCCCAGAAGGTACCCTAGAAGGAAATGGTGGCCCTCAGGCTGAAAAATGCCTCCCACCCCTGCTTTTAAAGCCAGCTTGATGTGGACAGACCACATCAGTGGTGGAATAAATCTCTTAGATGACATGATGATGATGATGATGATAATAATTTATTGTTTATACCCTACCCATCCAGCTGGGCTTCCCCAGCCACTCTGGATGGCTCCCAACAGATTAAAAACAGAATAAAACATCAAACATTAAAAACTTCCTTAAACAGGGCTGCTTGTGAAGAAATATATATGGAGGGGAGGGTGAGCCCTGCCCCTTCTTTCTGCACATGAATAGGAATTCCTGCACAGGGACTATGCATATGCGCCCAAGTACACATAGGATCTGAATGAGGATGGATCTGATGGATTGATCAGTCTGTGTCAGCTTCACATGTTCATAAGCCTGTTACGTCCTGGTTTTGCATTCATTTGCATTTTTAAAAAAATATCTGAATGAAAATTCAAATTGAAATACATATTGAAATACATCTATGAGGTGGTGGGAACGAGGCAGAGGTTTCCTCCTCTGCGAAAAGGACTCAAATGGACCACTTCCGTCTGTAGACTTCCCTTTCTGCCAATGGAGGGGAAGGTCTACAATGTCTAACTGCTCCTCAGCAGACCTCCTCAGGAACTTTGGGTTGCTCTCTTAATATTTAAAAGCCCTTCTTTGAAACTATTTACCTTCAGGATAACTCGCTTTATGCACAAGATCAATGGAACATAAGTAAATACTATTTTATTTAAGTGAAAATGATGTCTTCCCTTAAGGAAATATTGAACCATTTTCACATTCACAACCAGTTTTAAAATGAAATTGAGAGCAGGAAGAGAGAAGGGAGATATCCAAATGCGAGTATTCTTTGTCACCATGTGTATAAATAGCTGTAAAGTGATAGCATAAGTGAATGTCTCGCCTCTTCCACAGGCAAATGGAGCTAATAAAAGTGGCAATCCTAGGAGACTTCCATCTACAAATCAAATTTGGTCCTCCTGCTTTCATAAACTCCTGGCATTTAATCAGTGGCGGAGTGCTGTTTATTGGTTTGGCTTGTAGTGCAGATACCTTCAAGATCATCTCTTAAATAAGCTCCGAAGGAATTATAGTGGAGTGCATTGGAATAGCTTGCAAATGCCTTGAGTTGGAAGACGGGGAGAGAAGTGCTTATGAGAAATAAAAGGTATCAAGTGCCTAAAGATTGTTAACTTTTTTTTTTTTGAAGAGTTGGCTCTTCAGCCTGAAGTGGCAGGCTCTGCAGTAAAGCTCTTTGATAGATGCTGGTGGAAGCTTTCTGGATCTGGTTGCAATGACAAAAGATAACGGCTAGGATTCAGAGACCTGCATAGGCTTACACAGATTCCAGTGAAATGTTTGACACACAAAAACACCACCACCCTGCTTTATTTAGCTGCCTCCCAACTGTTTTTTTCGAATTTCCCTTGGTTTCAGAAGCAGGTTTCCCCCCAATAAAAATAAGTCTAAAACCCCCGTGGCTTCATGAAACTAATGTAATACTTCTTTGGATCCATGTGTTTTGGTGATAAGGATCCAAACACAACAGTCACCTATGAGCTTTGTTATATATTTCTTGGGTGCCTTCTGGAACTGCTCAGAGATCATTATGAACTGGTTGGGTGCATGCCAACTACCAAAATTACCGGGTGGGTGGGAGGAGTGGTGATACTAATTCTCTGTAAGAAACATCAGACAGATGGTTATGACAACCGTGCAGGGGTGGGGGATATGTGGTCTTGCAGATGTGGGCTGGCATTTTTATACCAGCATTGCCAAAAAATGTGCATGCATGAGGAGCACCCATCTCACAATCAACACCCTTGATGAAAGGCTCCCAATCTGTATAATAAAGAGACCCAGCAGCAGAAATACTCAGTTGTCTGCTTCGTTTTAATTCACATACCTTATTTTTAAAAAAACTCACAGTTGGCAACTTGGTCAACCAAGTACGACACAGGGACTCTGCAACCTATTTCGACAATTTCTGATTATGTTTTTTTAGCTGCTTGGAAGGCCAAAGAGGCCACATAGACCAGGATAGCTCCTTAACAAACAAACACAAAAGTAAACAACAAACAAACAAACTTATTCATATCCTGTTCTTCTTCATCATCTCCTAGACAGAATCATGAATAAACTGCAGGACAACCTGGAGCAGATGATACCATGAAGAGAAGTTTACAAGTCCTCTATCGCCAACTGCTTAGTAAGTAGACAGTCATCTGAATACTTTGATATTCTCTCTCTATTTTAGGTGTACTTACTTTGGATATGAGTAATACTACTCTTGCCACCCCCCCTTCTCCCCCCTCTTAATGTTCATCAAAATTTATTGTATTTTTCCTTCCATTGTTCATCTCACACAACCCACCTTATCCCTTTCTTCCCCTTTCTTGGGCTCGGGGTTAAGCTGTTAAATTGTGTTCTTTTAAGGGCAAGCTAGTGGTGATAGCAAATGGATGCCCCCATGTGTCTTAGAGTTGGATATCTGCCAATTTCTCTTATAGCAGTTGTCTGAACTACTAGGGACAACCTAGCCATGTTGCTAAATGCCTGGATGCTGCCAAATGCATGAATGCCTCTGATCAAACTGCTTAGAGGTTTTGATGATTAAGGGGTATATATAAAATAAATAAAACTGCGGCTGCAAATCGTAATTCCCAGCTCCTCCATAGTGTTTAGAACGTAACTGTGTGCTGATGTTTTCTCCCCCCCTCGTTCTCAGTGATAAAAAGGGGAGGCAGCATAATGCCAGGCATAGGTGTCCGGTCCCAGCAAGGGTTGAGGTTGAGGTGGTGAGTGGTCTTTGGCACAGGCACTTACAAACAAGGTGCCATCAGGAAAGGTGGAGTCACATCCAGTTCCTGGGCAGAGGAGTGTCTAAGATTCTGACTAGAGCATTTCCTTCTGTGCTGTATAGAACTGTTGATTCAGCAGAATGGTGGCGCAGTCATTGGTTCCTGCAGCATGGAAGTGATGGGGCATTATTAAGAGCATTGTCTTGAGTCTGAGGAAGATGGCAGTACATAATACATTCTCCAGTTTGGGTCTGAGAGCTGAGAACAGCAACTTCCCCAAAAGTTGTCTCCACCTCCCATGAGTTTTCCTCCAAGGAAGATGGGAATGGGGCCTGAAAACACAATAGGATGCAGGTAAATTCTACCAGATGTTATGATGGGGGAGAACAGAGCCAGATGTGTATTTCTTACTTTTTGTAGCAACTGTACATCAGGTTACATTTCTAATTTTATTTTATTTTTTCAAAAAAAAATTTTTTTTGGTTTTCACACTTATCACGTAAAAAAGATACAAGAGAAAAGAAAATCATTACAATACACAAAAACAAAGAAAAACAGAATTATTACTTCCAAATCCTAATTTCATTACATTGATAACTGACTTCCTCGAATCCCCTCTAACTGAATTTCATTATATCACCTATTTAGCAGTTCTCCAAATTTGTATTTCTAATAATATTAACTTCTTTGACATATCTAATTTTAAGGTGACTCTTTGTTCCATGCAGGACTTGTTTTTGACCTTGAACTCTCAGATATAATCTACTAGTTTTATTGTTGTCATAGTAGCTGTACTTTGCATGTTTGCAAATGAAGAGTTTGTTTATCTTTAGAGCTGCTAAATAAAGTAAAATTAAAGGGGATAAATATGTACTCAGTTCCTTTAGTTTAGTTTAGTAGGTTTTATCTGTTGATAAATGTTTTATATCCAAACCTTGATTCATGTCATCAAATTACTTTCCGCAAGCTACATGCCATGCTATCTAATTCCATTAAAAGTTATTAGGTGTTTTAACTGCTATGGTTATTAGGAATTCTTTTGTGTTCATTTTTTACATAGTGATGGAATGTTTCTAGTCAGCAGTAATCTATTTAGGGATTATGTATTTATGGAGCTATGGTATGGCAGAAAGTTATTTTCACATGTTCATAATTCACACAGTCTGAATAGATACATAGGATGTATTCATCTGTTTGCAAGTGAGGTTGAAAATCATTTCCGAAAAGAGGATTTCAAGTTAGTTTATGAGGGTCATTCCCAACCCATTTATGAAAGTAGCACAGATTAAGATGTTTTTCTATTTACTGTTATATTCATCACCACAAGATAATTTAATAGAGTTTGAGCTAATGAAAATATTACATCCCAAGCTAATGCTAATTCAAGCACTGGTGAGTACTTTCTATAATGCACCTAAAATTTACTTCATCTGCACATAAGTGATTAGTATATTATTATTATTACTGATGTAATTCACTTCATCTGAGCATAGCAAGCTGCTTTATTGGTTCACCTTGCACAGTATTACCTGACTAGCAGAGGCTTCTTCCTTGACTTCAAATAGGAGACATTCCTGGAGGTGCCAGGAATTGAAACTGGGACAGTCTGCTTCCAAAGCAGATGCTCTGCCACTGATCTTCAGCCTTTTCCCAACTGTACTTCAGATACATAGGCTACAAATCTTAGTCTTTGCATTCATAAGCCAGAATCTACTTCAGCTGGTGCATGCATGCAGCTGGCAGGTTAGGGCAGGGATAGCAATATAGTGCTGCAATTGTAGTGCCATTTACCTGGGAGAAAGCCCCAATGAATTCAGTAGGTCTCACTCTGAGTAGACATGGCAGGGGTTGCACTGGTAGGAGATCGAAAAGCAGAGATAAACAATGGATCACCCAGCAGCTCCTCAGTTCTGGCAGTCCCTTTCAGTTTTCTTTGCTTTTTGGTGGGTGAGCCTGCAAAACTGTCAACCAGGTAGAAGCAGGTTGTTGTCATGTGATGATGCATATTGCACATGATGTGTATTATGCAGATGTAAGTCACAGACTGAAACATTCATTGATTTTTGCATGGCTTTTGAGAACAAGCTTCTAGGTTTCAAAAAAGTATTGGAAGCAGAATATAAAAGATGTGTCAGCCCTTTCTGTCACTGTCCCTGATTGCAAGATTTGCTTTGGGCTTTTATTGTATAAGATTTTCAAGAACAGAAAAGAGATAAAAAACACAGAGATCCTCTCAGGGATTTCAGTGACAAAAAAAAAGTACTGATGTGTTGTCATATATACAGTGAAAGTGGCGCAACTTGTTATTAAAATACAACTTTTTCAAAAATGTGAATTTCAGCGCAGGTTGAGTGAATGAACAAGCTAATTTTTTTGTACTATCTGTACAATGGAGCAGAATTGTTTCATTCTATCACTAAAGCTAGTTGGGGAGCGGGGAGAAGAATCTGTGCAGTATATTTGTTTGGAGCTATTGTAAAAGTGTTCTTTGTCCCTTACAGCAAAGAGATGATCTATATGTCTGTTTAATTTCCAATAAACTAGTTTGTTTATGCCTGCTAGGCAGACTTTCTACTTTAATGGGCTTGTTCCAATTGCTTTTCACACACTCCAGTTACCATTCATAAAGAGTAAGAACATATTAGACATGAATAGGGTTAGAAGGTTTTTATTCTGGAACTTTAATCCTCAAGGAAGCTGGCTTAATGTTGCTTTGTGAAACATAGTGTCTCTCTCTCTCTCTCTCTGGTAGTAAAAATGTTTACTGGGTTTTCTAAAACTGGTTACTAGTTCACATAAAATAACAGCTATAAAGATATCACCCTAGCCCGTGATCTTGGCCACATTTATAGGGAAGCCGAGGCCCATTGGATCAACATGTAATGTTAAATGATGCCAGAGTCCCAGTGAAAATGCTGCTATCAGAGTGGAGGAGAAATTTCAGTGAGAAATGTAGGCTTGATCTTTCTGCTGAGTGAGAGCAAGTTTCAGGATGGTGTCACAGCATTATTCCATGAAAGATTCTCATAAATTTACCACCTACCTACCTCGCCTCCTACTGATCTGCAGGAATACACATGGGTTCATGAGAGCATTACAATGGGCCACAACGGGACATCTATACAGTCTTCCTATAACCCCATCCAATATGGCTTTGCACCAGATTCGCTCCAGGTCCATGCCCCTAGCTTAAAATTGGACCTATTCACAGGGATTTTGGCACTGGCCAAGTTGGGTAGAGACATCCATGGATTGCTGTTGGTCAGGATGCATGGCCCATAAGGACCCAAGGCTCTGGGGGTGGGGCATCAGGCAGGAAGGAAAAGCAGGCAGTGTTTGGGAAAACCCCATGTAGAGGCTCAGACCAACTTGACTGTGTCTTCCTGGGAGAAGGTAGAAGCCCACAACCACCTGGTACTCCCTCCTTCCTGGCACTCCATCCGTGAACGGGTACCTCACACAGGATTGATGCCTGTGTGCACCAGCTGTGGAGCCATCACACTTTCAGGTTGCTCCTTTGCAAGTGGCTTCCCTGCAGAGAATCTGCTTGCAAAGGCACACCCTACAATTGACCCCTCTGCTCTCGATCAGGGGAAGGGAAGGAGACACATGTCCCTCTACCATTCCATGTACAGTAACCAGCTGAACTGGCAACCAAATTTTAATTCAACGTTACTGAAAGGAGAGCATCTTTCACTACATAAAAGGCAATGTCACAACAGAGAGGAATGGTGGAGAGGGGCATTCAGGAAGAACAGCTAGGAGTTGCAGCTGTTGCCCCCCAGCACCGGCCACATGAGGCAGATGCCTCATTTTGCCTAATGGTAGGGTTTCCCTGCATCTAGTTGTCAGGAGCTCGTCCTATACTCGAGTAGGACCCTGGCAGAGACACATGCCCGACTGGCATGTTCTCTCCCTCCTGGTCGTTCGTTCAGGAGCTTCAAAAGCTTTCTTCAGCCCGAACATCACAGTGACTGATGCCAACACACTTAGGGATCTGGCACACTTAGGGATCTGCAGAGTCTTCGCAGCTTGCATAACAGACCTCAGCAACTCAGCATTTTGGCTAATCTACTTTATTTGCATATAAACACACACAGAGCACTGCAACATGACTCCCTCTCTCTCTAGCATCAGACAGCAAAGAGAAAGAACAAAGGACAATAGTCCCACTTCACGGAACACAGTAACGCAAACATCTTGTCTCTGTCACTTCCCACTCTAGAATGGGAAGAATGGGGAGAAGGAAACCAAGATTTCAAAATAGGTACATTGATTAACATATTGAAACCACTACAAGGGCTTTTGTTGATAAGTGTCAATTAAAGTGAACATATGTCTACAGCTTTCCTTCATTTGCCACCAAACACTTATTATGCTACATTTGCTACTTTCATTAAGTGGCTGGCTTTGTAAGGAGAGTTTAAAAAACAACACACCCCTAATATGGTGATTAGGCCCTGCAGCTTGAACCATAATAATTCAGTATAGATGTTTGTTGTGCTTTCTTTCTCCATGGGTGGCTGAAACTGAATGTATAATAGTGAATATTTTTTGGGGAGGGGACTTTAAGTGACTGTGAAATTAAGCTCCCATCCAGGTTCTTTGGAGTTAAGCAGGACTAAACAGTTGTGCAGTGTGAGGTGTTTGTGGGCAAAGCTTCGCATAGTGAGTTGGATCTACTCAGAAGTAAGCCCCACTAAGTTTCTGCTAGACTTGTTTTCAGAAAAAGTATATAGGATTGCAGCTAGGATAGCTGACTTAGTTCCTATTGAAATCAATGGGAAAAGCTAGTCATGACTTACATTCCATTAATTTAAATGAGAATTAAGTTCAACTAAGTTATGCACTTTCATTAGTATTATTTATTGAACTTATATCCTGCCTTTCCTACTAAAGGACCCCAAGATGGCAAACACACCTTCATCAAATCTAAAATCAAATTTAAAAATATAAAAACAGTGAAAACATTCACAAAACAGTTATAGTTGAAAGCATCTAAAACAGTTACAGTTAAAATATTCTTAAAACAGTGAAATCATTCTCTCATCTCTGAATCTATATGTTAGTTGCATTAAGGAGGCATCACACAGTTACTGAAGGGAGGAATGGCCTCACTTAGATGTCCACATTGATTGCATGCAGGCTTCTTCACTGAGGATGACTATAGTAATATGTGAATGACTGAAGGCAGTCCCACACAGCATGTCCAACACCAGCAATGGCACCAGTAATCATGTGATTCCCCCTTCATACTAATAACCAATCCAGTTCAATGTCTCACTCCAATCCAGTGTTTCACTGGCTTTAAAAAACAAAACAACATATCACTAAGGAGGCCATGATTGCACACAGGGGAAGGGGTTGCTTAAACCTTTCTCCTCTTGAAGTTTAACAATTAAGCATTACCTCTGTGAAATTGCTCCCCCCCCCCACCCTGTGGGTCTTTATTGTTATGAGTTTGGGGTGTTAAGCTATATGCCAGACCCTTCTAATCCCTGGAGCAAGTTGTAAAAGCTAATCAAGTCTTCTTATTCCTGGAAATAGTCAAACTAGGTTCCTGGTGATGTGATGGGGGATTAAGGGGCTCAGTGCAAGAGCCTCAACAGACAAAGCCAGCGTTTGGAGTACAGTTTTGCAGCCATGGGACCTAGATGTAAAGCAGTAATCTGGGAGAAAACAGAGAGACAGAATAATATTTTATATCTGTTTGAATCCAAGGCTGTGGCTATGGGAGAAACAATACCCTTTGGGGTGTTAATGCTGTTAACCTCTCCATCATAGGCTCAGGTTGTATATACAGTGGTACCTTGGTTTACAAACTTAATCCATTCTGGAAGCCCGTTCTTAAACCGAAACCGTTCTTAAACCGAGGCACGCTTTTCCTAATGTGGTCTCCCTCTGCTGGTGCCCTTCCACTGTTCGGCTTCTGTTCTTAGACCAAGGTAAAGTTCACAAGCCAGGACACTACTTCCAGTTTTGTGGAGTTCCTAAACAGGGCTGTTCTTAAACTGTATGTGTAAATAAACCATATATCATAAAGACACCACAGTCTCCGCTGTGCCTCATTCTCAAAGGAACCCAAACCCTGGGTAAGCACCTGGACCCCCTGGAATCTTGCATCACTCAAAGATTGGGATGGTGCGCAACAATATATTTTCTTCTGTAGAGAAAAGCCACTAGGGAGGGAGCAATTATTATTAGCCGTTACATGGATAATGTATTTCTATAATATGAGCTGCTCACTGAATTTAGTTTTTCTTGTAGGCCAAGCTGAAAGCTCCTTAGTTTTTCTATATTTAGAATACACAATCAGAGCAGTAATAAATGTAGACCATTCGGCAACACATTTAGGCTGCTGTTTGATATATTTTTGGAGTTTTTGATATTCAAAAAGCAAAGGATGTCACTTTCTGTTTGAGAGGAAAATATAACGCTAGGCAAAAAACATCATGAGTGGTGACATCTTCACTATTTATTCTGTCTGCTTTACTTTAAATTTGAATCTGCCTCTGGGAGTGCTGAATTCCACATCCAAAGCTCCTTTGGATCTAGCTAGCTTAGAAGGAAACAATAAAGAATGAGTTATATGACTTGGTGACAGTCCGCTCATAGAAAACAGCAGGATGTTCCTCTTCCTATCTGGAAAAGTTGGTTGTTGATGTTTTTCTCCCAATCAGCATTGCTTTCATATTCCTCTGTGCATGAACCAGTTCCATAGCAGAAATCCAGTTGTGTTTTCAGATTTCTTTGATCATGTCAAATAGTGTTTTTAAGTAATGCAGAAGGCTGCATTCCTGCGCTTAGTGACACATGCATAAGCCTTGCTGAAGTCAGTGCGATTTGCGCATACATAATTGATGGCAGAATCTAACCGTTAGACTTCAGTGAAACTGGGCATGCCTCCTCTTGTCAAAAGTATACACTTCTTAAGACACCACTTCTTTGAATTTCAAGCAGGCATGTGTAATGCATAACAGTTTTCTATTCCTCAAAGCCAATGAGCATAATATTTGGAGTTTGGATAATTGCACGTATGACTGACTTCAAAGCTTGTTCTTTGTAACTAGGGATGGGGATAAATTTTATTTTGTTTGAATTTTAATGAGAAGCTACTTTATCCACACATTTTGAGCGCACATGTGAACCAGTCACAGTTATCTTTCTAAATTTATGCTTTCCCCAAATTTGTGATGCAGTTCTTCAGCCAAACAATGTGTTGGCATATATTAGGGGATAGAGTGCAACCCTCGCCATACATTTTTTAAAACAGCATGCCAAAATGCATGATATTTGCATAAATTGCTTGCAGAAATGCGTAAAACTGCGTACAAAAATGTGTATATTTGGAGAAATTATTAATAAAATGCTGATGAATTTTCATGAGGACTTTTTTAGAATGCAAATAGCTGAAAAAAGTGTGGAGAACTGAATTTAGGTTGGGAGAAAGGAGAAACTGAATGAAACTGTAATTGGAATATTCATTCATCCCCATTTAACACACTGCAGTGTTTATAACAGATTTTCTGAGAAGAAAAAGGTGGCAGCACCAAGAGGGCTGAAAGACCCTAGAAGGAGACAAGGCCTTGAAAGAATGTTCAAAGTGGAAACATTTACAGGAAATGCAAAATGCCCAGTGCATTTTAGTGTATCACCTTCTGCATGGACAAAGAAGACAGCACTTGTGATGATTCTGAAGGATATTGTCTCAAATTTCTTTGTCTCTGGAGAAGGAGACAATTCATATATATGAATCAAGCATGTTGCATTTCCCATAAATGTTTCCATTTTGGGTACCATTTCTTCCCTTTCTTGGCAAAAGGTCCCCTCCCCCATTAATTTTATTGCCATAAATACACACTTGAACTCTGTTTGTTCAAATGTGTGGATATTATCTGGTCATTGTTTCCAAATTGAGGAACATGAGAGATCTATGCTGGTCATAGTGTAGCTTCCACATGTCTCCTCACGTGTTTGTTTTTTTGTTTTGCTCAGCAGCTATTTCCCCAACCCTGCATCGCACCCCCAGACTGTCAACAAGGAAATACTTGTGTGCATGCCCCGTAAGGGAAAAGTTAATGGAGGGTAACTGAGAGTGTGAAACTAGCGATTGAGAAGAAAGGGGCAACACACAACCATGTGGTAACTTCCCAGCAAACACTACCCAGTGGGAAATGTCAGTGTATAAGTATCAGAGACAAAAGAAATGTAAAGTGCTTTTGTATAGACAAACGTATACAAATGCAGACACAGAAAGGAATGGATCTGTGTGACCCACATGCACACTAATTCCACGATATTGACACAACTTCAGTCTGGCTGATGCCTTTCTCTGTACCACATGTGCTGTTGGTTGGTTTGGTTATTAAATTTATATCTCAAAGCTGCCCAGGGTGGCAAAAAAAAAAAAAAGAAGTGACAATACATCAAAAACATTTTAAAAACACTTCCAAAGCAGATGCAGACAGGGCAAAGATGTTGTGCTAATTCCAACTTTAAACTGGCGTTATTGTATCATATTCATCCAGAATGGGGTGTAACATTAAGGGTATCATATCCATGTGTGTGCAAAATGAGCAGGCGAAAGGTTGCATAAATACATATAGGCAGGCCTTTACAATTTGTATTTGTTTTGCTCTGCACAGCAGAGACTTCCCTAACTCTGTATTGTACCCCAAACCATCAAACCTGACTTACGGTGCAGCAAGCAGTGGCAAAACTCCTTTGCTGAAATAGAATTAATGGTGGTGAATTGCATTCAATGTCACTCTAAAACCACAGATACATTTGGGAAGTTTTGCAACCTAGCCAAAAATGCACAGGCATAGGCTATTAAAAAGGGGCTGAGAGTATAGATTTGTATACCATGTTTTAAAACCGTGTCATTAAGTTTAATATTAAAAGCTGATTGACTCCTACATGATGGCATTGGCTGGTCTTGTGAGCAGACAGGCAAATCCCTGCATTTGCCCACAGTTCTCAGCATGATAGTATCTTGACAGAAGGCATCTTCACTTTTATGCTCATTCTGACACGTTTATAAAAAGAGCCAAAGGAAAGCTCTTTCAAGATTAATGAGAAAGGGTAGCTTTTTTTAATGCATATCCTCCATACACTTGCAATTTGCCAATGCAGATTCCTTATGCTGGGAACCAAAGCAGTACAATGAGTTCATCTTATGCCAGACATATTAGTACAAGTTCATCATCTAATAAAAGATTTACATATGCAGTAGCCTATTTTCATACATGGCACTAAAAGTGTCTTTCAGCCTCTCTCCCACTGCATGTGTGAATGCTGTCAGCTCAGAATCAGAAGTGAAGGAGGGCTATTTTAAAAATGAATGTATATTCCAGCCAATGTGATTACTGAATAATGTATGTAGGAAATGGGGGGAAATGGATTTAAGCATCACTGTAAATATGCCATTAGTCACTGACATCTGTGGCACGTGGCTTTTATTTAGAGTATTTATTTAGGGTGTTTGTGAACTGCCCTTTCTCTAAAGGAGCAATGGATGATATACAACAAGCACCAAAGCAAAATATATCAAATATCTATAAATGCACATCCAAGCTAAAAAATTTAATAATAAATCACTAAAACATCAAGTCATGCATTGCTGCTATGGATTGAACCCCTCCTTATCACAGTATCAAACTGTAAAATCCTGGGTAAATAAAAATATATTTGGTTGACGTCTAAAAAGCAGCAATGTGAAAGACAGACACACCTCGGGGGGGGGGGGAATAATTCCAAAGCTGAGGCCCCACCACATGGACCTTTCTGAACTTCCCAACTCCATGAATCCTGGCAGTGACCACAAGCAAAGCCCACCCACTTACCCGCCAATCTTAAGAATTGAATTGGCTGGCACTGGAGTATATGCTCCTTCAGATATTTGGACCCTGACTCATTTGGGGTTTATAAACTATTAAAGGTAAAGGTAAAGAGACCCCTGACCATTAGGTCCAGTCATGGCCTACTCTGGGGTTGCGACACTCATCTCGCTTTATTGGCTGAGGGAGCCCGCGTACAGCTTCTGGGTCATGTGGCCAGCATGACTAAGCCGCTTCTGGAAAACCAGAGCAGCGCACGGAAACGCCGTTTACCTTCCCGCCAGAGTGGTACCTATTGATCTACTTGCACTTTGACGTGCTTTCGAACTGCTAGGTTGGCAGGAGCAGGGACCGAGCAACTGGAGCTCATCCCGTTGTGGAGATTCGAACCGCCGACCTTCTGATCGGCAAGTCCTAGGCTCTGTGGTTTAACCCACAGCGCCACCCGCGTCCCCCTATAAACTATTACCAACACCTTTAATCGAGCCCAGTAGCACACAAATAGCCAGCACCAAGCTTTTATTGGGTATAAGAAACGGTTCATAGGAAGTGCCTCTTTTCTATAGACAAAATGTGATATACGCAGAGGAATGAGAGCTACTTTCTATGTAATGGCTTGATGGCAGTGAAAGTGCTCTTATAAGTCTCTCCATTATCAGGAAGCATAATAGGAGGCAGATTTCAATGCATAACTAATCAGAGATTGTGGCAAGCTTCTGTCGTCCTACAGTACCCATATATGTTGTCACTGCAAAATGTAGCCATCCTGCATTTCTTCACCCCCTTCAGCTCATATTCACCACTCCTTCCCACCAAAAACCTCAATTAGTATGGTGATTCAGTCAATCCACACGGAATAAGTAAATCTGCACAGGTTGCATTGATGTGCACAATTTGCTATTCCTCTAGAGTTCTAACTTTTCCATGGTACCTAGCTGGAAGTTTCTCCATACAGTTCTGAACACATCTGGCCTTAAGCATGCACTTCAATTACAGGCAAAACTTTGTAGCAATCTGCTGTGACAGTTCTTAATAGATAGCTCAATAGACTTGAATCTCACTGCCACTTTCAGCCTGGAGGTCTCCCATGCTGCTAACAAGTGTTCAACTGCATTTCTCAGCCTGGAAGAATATAGGACTAAACAGCATGATACCAGGAGTCCTTTGGAGCTATGAATCATTGCAGAAGTGCTTGAGAGAAGTTGGAAATTTGCACACTCCCAAAAGTCTTCATGTCACATCTTATATGTACTTTCAGAAAGAGTTCATAGAATATTAGAAGCTGCCGGTCTCCAATAAAGTGCATGCAGCTCAGATGATTTATAGAAAAGTTATGTCTCCCTTTTGAATCCTGGGGCTTTTCATTCCTCTATTAGCCAATTTGTGAGGCTCTCCTCACTCTTCCAAGTTCTGATTCGTTTTCTGTCTGGGCAAGGGCGGAGGGCAATGTTATGTATGTAGTGAATGCAGTTGCACAGTGGTAAACCTCAAGAGTTCCCCATTGCTGAAGGCATCAAGAATTCATGAACCATTATTAAGATATTGAATAATAAGAGGAAGTTGAAGAATAGCAAAATAGGCCATTCAGCATAACCTAAAATTTCCCTTAGTTGTGGAAGTAACAATTTTTAGCTTGCAATGATCAATAAATGGCTTCTATTCCCCCCCCCCCCCGAACTACCTTGTCTCTTTTTTCTTTTGTCCTTATGAAATGGGTCATTTTGGCCACTAAAGCAAAAGCCCAGCATTTGTCAATCCATCCATTTGTTGTTGGCACCATTTGTGTCCTCCACTTCCTACCATATAATAATCTTGCTGCCATTAACATATATGAGATCTGTTCCTTATACAATTCTTTACTAAATGCAGGGTTTTTTTTTCATTGGAGAGGAGAGCTAAGTCAGGAATAAGTGTTTGGCTGATAACCTATCCAATGATATAAAAAAATAAGCCCTAAAGCTCTCTACTCTTTCACATGCCCACCACAGGCAAATATGACCCCTGAGATCCTCACCCCCTCCAGCAAAATAGGGATAGTGAGTTGTGAATATAGCTGAGCTTTACTGGTGTTAAGTGCCAGTGATAAATCAGTTTCAGCATACCTTTATGTCGCTTTCGAATGGGAACAAGACCATAGATGTTACCACTAAGTATCAGTGGTTGTAATATTGCAATCCGTCTCCCAGGCTTTAAGTGCAGAGCAACCAGTTTCAAATTTAAGATCCAAGAGGATCTTAGTAAGAATGGAGATGAGACCCTTTCGCTCCTTAGAACATGGTTTGCAAAAGAATTCACAAAAAGTCAAAGAAAGAGGGGACAGGGACCCTCAAATCTGCAAACTGGTCGAGCAAAGGTTATTTGAAACCAAGAAACTTATGTTCCAGAGAGAAATTATAAGATTTTGCAGACGGGAATTCAGAGAGATTCTGAATTGTCAGTAGGTTCAGTACCATATTTACAGGGTGTATAGCCTTGATAACAAGTGATCTTTATCATTCATCAGTATTTTGTCAAAATCCATTGGTCTCTTAGCTGCTGATGGATTCTCAGATAATTATTTGCTGAAGATTTTACTTTAAAATATTCATGCCATTGGGAATTTTCCTGATGTAAACATCCGTTAATGTTTGAATTCTCCATCAGCAGTCCATGGTTTGTTAAGTCCATATATCTAAACAACGTATTACCTCCAAATCTCAAACCTCCCAACTTTTCTCTATATCATTTCATATTGATGTTGAGCCATTTGGGCTGATTGTTTCCAATTTCTCAGCAGTTCAGAATCAAGGAATTTTGTTTCGTTTGCTTCCTTGAAAATTCCTCTCTTCCCATAGTATTTTATGTAGTACGACCTTCACCAAATTCCTCTCAAATTTAGATACCTTTGAATGTCAGTTATCCCTTCTTAAGAAAGCCATTTGATACAAGTAGCAGTATAGTATAATTTTATGTTTGGAATAGATTAACACCCACTTCACCCTGTTGCCTTTTTCATCTTCTAATATTTGGATGTTAATTTTTTCCCCTTGGTGCTTTTAATTTTTCTCATGGATTTATCCTGCTTTATGCTTTGTTTTATGCTGTTTTCTTTCATTTGTCTTTTTTTGTGATTTTGTGTTGCAATATTTTCATTTTAATCTCCATTTGTAAATCTCTTGGAAAGCGGAATATCAGCTCTCTAAATACAATATGATCCAGTAAATAGGTTTTCCTGAAAACATTTTGAAAAACATGGTTGTAGACCTCTTGTGCCACTGTGGGGAGGAGTGGTGCATAGATAATATGCTGAAATAACTGAATGATTATCAGAGCTTTTGGACTTCTCGAAGAACTTTAGACATTAAAAGTTACAGCATGATTAAAAAAACCAAAACACCTCAGGTGATTTTTATCAGCTATCCTTGTAAACATATTACAACTATATCCCCACTCTCGAAAGTATAAAAGATCTCAGCAGCAACAGATGTATTATTAATATTTCTCTGGAAAGCAATATATTTTTGCACAGCTTGAACATTTCTCTTGTTCGTGAATTTGAACACTCCAATCATAACTCTAAAAACTGCTGTAAATCAATAGGATTCTTTTCCTCCTGTAATGAAACTTTAATAAATCAGAGGTGACAGAGAAGAGTCTTAAAAAAAGACTTTAAAGCTGGTGAAGTTTCATAACAGCAGTCAATCAGCTTTCCACCAATGAGCGTACTCAGCAACACAGGATGGGAAACTCTCAGAATTATCCTTCCCTTGAAAGGAATGATGTAAAGAGGTGTCCATGCTGCTTGATGCAAATGTTTCATCAAAAGGCTATTTTGAAGGAAAGAAAAATGGGTGAAAGTCTCTTCTTTCTTTTTTGGTTTCGGGAGCCCACCAGCTTCCAGTAAATTGGGCTATTCCTTGGAAGAGCTTTGTCTACATTGGGGACGGGTCAGAAATTCCAGCCAAGTGATGTGTACAGAAATGCATATACTGAGGTATAATGGGCTTTAAAAGTGCATATATTTGTGAAAATAACATACATTACATTAGGGAATGTGCCTTTGCAAAAAAAATAATAATATGTGTATATTAGGCAAAGTTACATATAAAAATGTGAGTACATTAGGAGAAACGCACACTAACACACTGATGAATTTTTATGGGATTAAAAAAAACAACTGCACCCAAAGAACTGACCTGGAAATGTGGAGAACGGAATTTAAGATTAGAAAAATTAGAAACAGAGAAAAACCAGAATTGCCAGATTCACCCATTCCTAGTCTAAATGCATTACTTGAGAATCCTGGGTGCAATTTCATGGAAATAATAGCATGAACTCACTAACACAGTGGCTCCTTGCATATGGACACAGTAAGGGTCCTGGGTATGCACAGACAGCGGGGCTCGGCTGTGGCAATTATCTGACCCACTTATCAACCAGTAATGAATGGGATACACTTCCCAGGAGGGTGTGCGCATGTCTTCATCTGGGATAGCTCAGTCGGCAGAGCATGAAACACTTAACCTCAGGGTCATGGGTTTGAGCCTCACGTTGAGCAAAAGATTCCTGCATTGAAGGTGGTTGGACTTGATGACCCTCATGTTCCCTTCCAGCTTTACAGTTCTGTGATTCTGTGTGTAAAACCACAGACACCTCCTAAGGCGTATCCTAGTATGGCAAGCCATCACACATCAAACCAACTCCTGTCTACAGTGACCCCGATCCTCCTCTTGGCCTTCTGTGCAGCCTGTTCATACCAGGAGCAAAAATTAGGTCTACGTCCCCAGCCCTGCAGCCCCAAAAACCATGCATGAGGTGGAGGCCACTGGTGGCTGTGGCATGGCAAGTCTATATCCATGCCCCTCCTGCTCAGCCGTCAGCCTCAGCTTGGTGATGCAGTCCATGCACACAGAGAGAGTGTCATGGGTGCAACTGGCAGAGAATGGAGTTGTTTATTTCAGTTTTATTACCTGTGTACAAGAAGGAAAGATTCTTGATTGGACCTCACTGATTCCACGGGAACAGACTTCAGGTAAATATACTGAGAGCTGCTGCTTAAAATAGTCACATTTAATTAGCCGCCTTGAATCAAGCAGCCCCACCTCTCTGTATTTAGCTGTATCAATCCAAAACTCTTTTTACTACAGTCTTATTCCCCCTTGGCAGATGTTGGCTGCAGATGGGCTACATATAATCTCCTTCCTCCTTCCTTGTCCCCTCTTGCACTTCAAACCAATTGCAGCAATTAGTGGGTAGAAAACAGCTCAGCTCTTTGTGTTAGAAGCTACAGATGTTAGCTTTTTCCTTCCATCTGGGAAAACAAGGAGATTTTATTTTTTTTACCTTTTGTTCATAAAGGTCAAGCCCATGTTTTCAAAGATCCATTTCCATTATGGCTTCCATCACAAACAAGTTGTTGTTTTTTTTGCTAAAATAGTTGGCCAGCCAATCATATAATGAGAATGTTTTTCAAGCAATTACTTCGGTACTTCTGTTAAACTTGATTGCAATCAGTTTCTCAATAATCAATTTCTTAATTCTATCAGACAGCTTGGGGCGTCTTTCCATAACTGTAAGATTGGAAAACCTAGCCTTACAAGCTGTTCTGTCTAAGTTACAATTCATATGATTGCTTCTTCCCCCTTGGCTCTATGGCTCAGTCCTCACTAAGGTGGCCAGTCTATGTGTGGGCTGTACCATTTCAAATGGCAGGTGGAAGCTCACATGGTTGCATACCTAATCAGGCAAAACCATTCCCTCCACAGAGCAGACTAGAAGGCTTTCATCTAGATTTTTATATGGAGGTTTTGTTTTGTTTTTAATGGAGGAATTAAATCATATGATACAAATAAAGCAGGAAAAATGATTACATCTGTCACAACTTATTCATTGTGAAATGCCCTCAAATATTTTTGTAATCAAATATTTAATCCAATTGTTCAGAGTCTAGCATACAGATATTTTAGCATGCCTGCCATGAATCCGCCTTTCTCTTATGAAGCAGTTTGTATGTCAGGCCTTATAGATAATACTTCCTCGAGGGCAAGTATTCATATGAACCGCGTCAGTTTTATGGCTACTTTGCCTCTCCTCCCTCTCACTTCCCTCCCTTTCATTTACGGGAAATCTTGGCAATAGTTGTTACCATAGTAACATGGCAGGATAGTTCAAATGATGGGAGGGGCGGGAAATGAAAATATGAAGAATTAACCATAAACTGATTGAGGTTGCTTTAGCCAAAATGTATCCCCCCCCAAATAGCAAAGTATATTCACTGAAATTATCCATAATTATTATTGAACTGTGCCAGCAATTATTGAAGAACATTTAAGTAGATTGTGTGTGTGCGCGCACGTGTGTGCCTGTGAGTATTTGGTCAATTGGACACACACACACACTCATACACACACACACAACATTTCAAACAATACCATTAATCTTGTGCCTGGCATACATGGGTAAATAATTTCCAAGTCTTTGTCTCTCATCCTCAACCGCAAACTCACACAGAACATCACAAAGTAATAGTAATAATACTTACACGGACAAATATTGCTGCTACGTTCATGCTAACACACAACAGGACGTTCTCAGTGGTGGATTCCTCATTATGGAACACCCTTAGTGGTAAGGTGAAGCTGTCTCCCTCATTACACACACACACACACACACACACCTAACTTAGTAAATGCCATCAGTTTACATTGTTGAAAGAAGACACAAGTTCCATGTCAAATTGGAAGTCCAGGATAAATTTGTCTATACCAAGAGCTAAGTGTCTCCAAGAAGAGGACATAAAGTTCTAGTCTCAGTCAAAACTGTGTTTCTCAGGGCAAGGCACTTGTGGAGTTTTCTGTCTTAGGTGCCAAATAACTTGGCCATTGTTGGATGCTATATATTTTTGACTTTGGAAGAGAGGCACCATTTCTTATTCTGCCTCAGGCACACACAATGTCCTGGTTTGGCCCTCTGTGTACATTTGTAGTAGAACACATTGTCCTCATTTGCACATAGTGCTAACCAAAATACAAATGAGCAAAAGTGTAGGCTTCTAAAGAGGAGATAGTGGCTGCTTTGCACTAAGCAAAGCCAAGAAGAAGAAGAAGAAGAAGAAGAAGAAGAGTTTGGATTTGATATCCTGCTTTATCACTATCTGAAGGAGTCTCAAAGCGGCTAACATTCTCCTTTCCCTTCCTCCCCCACAACAAACACTCTGTGAGGTGAGTGGGGCTGAGAGACTTCAGAGAAGTGTGACTAGCCCAAGGTCACCCAGCAGCTGCATGTGGAGGAGCAGAGACGTGAACCCGGTTCACCAGATTACAAGTCTACCGCTCTTAACCACTAAACCACGCTGGCTTAGTGGTTTGGCTTAACATGTCTCCCAAATCTGGGTTTATGATTTAGCTCTCTCAGACAAAGCCCAGACTGTAAGCCATAGGACACACCTTTGTGATGGACTTGAGGCTTCAGATTCAGTCCCTAGTACCTCATTTCCCTGAGACCCTGGGAAGTGGGTTTGAAATTTTCTGCCAGTCAGAACTGACAAAACTGAGCTGAGCATGAGATTCTTAATCTCAGGGTTGTGGATTTGAGCCCCACTTTGGGTGAAAGATTTCCTGCATTGCAGGGGGTTGGACTAAATGATCCTTATGGTCCCTTCCAACTCTACAGTTCTGTGATTCTGTGAGCTCAATAGATTATTTCTTCAACTCAGTATAAAGTATCTCATACCTTCATAATGATGTTGTGAATAGCTGGTGTGTGTTGCACTGGCATCTATTTATTGGACCTGAAATAAATTTGAATAGAGGGAATTTCCTGGCAAATTCTCCTAACTCAAATGACATGCAAAGGAAACTGCATTTGTATTCTACTCATGTAGCAACCACCCATTGGAGGCTTACTTTAAAGGTTGTATTACTCTATTTGATAAATGTTGCTCAGCCTGTTTCTCTCCCTCTCTAGATAATGCTTTGATAAAGCCCCAGTTGACTGGTTTTGATGGGCAGCTCTTCTGTATACATTGGTAATATTGGGAGAGTATCACATAGCATAACAGAAACCTTGAAAAGGTCACTCTGGCAGTGAGGATATCGGTAAAGCATGGGTGGCAAATCAGCAGTTCAGCTTTAATATGGATGATGCTCCCAATGGCTCCTAACAGGCAAAGGGTTTATTTTTGTTGAGTTTTATTCTGATCAGCTTCAGTACACTGCCCTGAGGCTATTTGTAATTTGTGTTCAAATTGTGACACCTTAGAAAGAAAGAAAAGTCACTATGATTGGTAACAGAGGAGTTCCCGACGGTTTCTGCTCCTTTAATTTTGAATTACGTTTGATTGCTTGGCAAAATAATCTCTTTCAGGGAGGTCTGGAACCACCTATATTGAGCAGGGCCAGTCCCAAGTTTAACTCCCCCTGTAATCATAGACTCATAGAACTGTAGCGTGGGAAGGGGCTCCAAGGATCATCTAGTCCAACCCCCTGCATTGCAGGAATCTCAACTAAAGCATCCGTAACAGGTAGCCATCCAACCTCTGCTTAAAAACCTCCAGTGAAGTAGAGCCTGCCAAAATCAGTAGGGCTCCTTTCATATGGCTGCCCCCCTAAATTTTGCCAGGGGGAGATTACCTCATACTGCAGCAGTTCCCACATTGAACTAGATGGCAGGAATAGCCAGTGTGGTGCTCTCCAGATATTGTTGGACTACAACGCCCATCAGCTTTACCCAACATAGCCAGCCGTCAGGAATGATAGGCATTGTAAGTTCAACAACACTTGGAGGGCTCCATGTGAGCAACTTCTGCGCAAGGGCATTGTGTGGAGGAAATAGTATGGTGGGGTGGCCACCAGTCAACTTGCACAAGTGCTGGAGGTCCTGGTCAGTGGTCCTGGTGGAGGGTGGCAAGAAAAGCAGGCCGCCGCACAAGGATCCCATGTGCTGATGCTGGGCCTGATGTCTAGAAAGAACCTTGAGTGAGGTGGCACCTGTCTTGAAAGGTGCTGTGTGCCTACTTTGTATTATAGGTATGTGAATTAGTTGAAATGAGCACTCTCAGCAAGGCTGTGGCTGAGAGGGGCAGGCAGTGCCACCTTCCACTCTCTGAATATCCTGCTAGCTTTTTTATTTGTGGAAATCCAAGGTGTGCAAGAAGCGTTCTACCCAATAGTTCACCAAGGAGTAATACAATTATTAGGGTCCATGTTATCTGTTATATGTTCCAGGTACTAATGGTTGAAGCAATCTAACCTCCTCACAGACTAAACTTGTGCATCTGCAGCTCTGCATCTGGCATCATCTAACTGTAATGGCTTCCTAGGTATAGGGAGCATAAGACCATAAGAAGAGTCTGTTAGATCAGGCCAGTGGCCCATCTAGTCTAGCATCTTGTTCCCACTGTGACCACCAAGATCCCTGTGGGAAGGCTGAGTGCAAAGACACTCTTCCCGCCTGTGGTTTCCAGCAACTGGTATTCAGAAGAATTTCTGCCCCTGACCATGGAGGCAGATCATAGCCGTCGTGGTTAATCACCACTTATAGCCTTATTGATAGCCTTAGAGCACAGGTATTCAGATGGCATCATGGGAGAGCACTGAAGGACAATTGCAATTCTATAAACTCCATTAAGAGGCTGAATGAGAGATCACGAGGGTCTCCTGCTCTGAAGTAAGGTGAAGCAAGCTGCCGTAGGTGGGTGGTAGGGTAGTGTCATGAAAGTAGGACTTGGTGTCTGAACGGTGCAGCAATACTATTTATTTGTGGGGGTGGGGATGCTATTTGGACTCTGTTTCAAGTAGCAAAATGCCTTGGGCTGTTACCGCAAGTTCTTTGCCTTTCTAGAATCTACGAGACAGCAGTGGAACAACATTTCTACAAAATACAATGGCTATAGTTGCTTTGTTTACTTTTCATAAGGTTTTAGTTTTAAAAAAACAAAACCTAGCATAGCAGGAAAAAGAAAAACTGAACCCTAAGGAGACCTGAGTATGACTGAAGGGGTTTCATTGCTATGAAGGCACTCTGTTCTCTGTATAATCACCAGAATCCAGCAAAACAGAAAAAGAATGAATGCTTTGGACAGGGTTGGGGACTTCTTGCTAAGCTAGATGGATGTAGAATAGCTAAAGTCACGTTTAATGATTCTTTACTGTGACAGAATCTAAAAATAGATGCATGTAACCAATGAGTTACCTAGCTTTGCACGTACACACCCACCTCTTATCTACTCTTTCTCTGTGTATATCTATATCATCTAAGGAGATCACAGACACACACACACAATCATCTTTGTTCCTCCATCCCCTTGTTGAGTATGCCACAAAGCAACTGGCTAGGCATGATGAAGGCACTTTAGAGTTCATCCTAATTAAAAGTTTTCATTAAATATCCTATCTTAATCAATTTTCCAGTGCGACACAAGGCTAGGCTGATTCTGGGTTGTCAGTTTTGTGATTGCATGAATGCTAGCAAGAAGACAGATACATAGATTTAAATTAAAATACCCTGATTCTATACATGGTGGCATTTTGAGAATTCTGCTTCATGGTTTCTCTTCCCCACCCCCGCTCATTTTTTACATTGTTCTTTGTACTTATTAAACAGAGGGCAGGGTTCCAATGCTGCTGCAAATCAGCAGAGGCTGGCAGTACAGCGCAGTTGTCTGAACAGACCCTTGGAGGTTGAATTTAGGCAGGCATTGAGTGCAGTCCTCTCACGGACCCCGTTTTCCTTCAACATGTTTACCTGAGAGAGAGGCATGCTTTTCTTTGGTATCTCTGCAAAGATGGGAAACAGTAGGGGATGAATGCTCTTGGAGTTAATGTACTCTTTTGACAAGTGTTCTCATTTAAATGCCTAAAATATTTGGTTGTTTGTGTTTGCTCCGCTTGCATTTTTGCTCTGCTTTGTGCTTGTTTACATAAACATGAAAAAAATCAAATGGAAAAAGGAAGAAATGGGCTGCTTGTCTCTAGAAGCTTGCCTTTTCCCTTATGTATTAACTGTTCATGTGTAAGATTTTAATAGGGGAGCACTTTCAACTAAATGGTTGCCCCTGGGCATTCTGGGCCGCTATAAAATAATGTAGAGGGCTGTGCTGCGTAAATATCGAATCAAATAAACTCTTACTCATTTCAGATGTACTGTTGCACACCATCAGCATCATGTGTCACATTAATTCTGTTCTTTCTCCAGTGAGTTCCGGGTACCATACAATATCACTTACCCCCAGTTTTCCTTAGGCTGCCACAATGCTGTGAGGAAAGGGTTTGAAGCAAGGTAATTTGACTATACAAGAAGGATCTGGAATCATTTTTTATTTGTCACCCCACAGATATCTGCAGTCTTTGCAGCTACTGTAACTTCTATATTACAATGGCTGCTTTTTCACACATCTTCTGAAATTCAAACAAAAAGGAAACCCAGATCACAGAATTTGTGCTTTAATTTGATAATACAAATGACTAAGTTGAGTTCTACACAACTAGTAAGAAATCTGTGACATGGGTTCACACAAACATTCTTTGTGCTCTGTGAAGAGTGAGGGTGATCTTAATATGGAGTATAAGAAATATATGGTTCTTTGTACTTGCTTTTCCCCCTAGTAATTGCAAAAATAATGGAAATCTTGGTCAGTTGGCTCAAGTGAGCATGCAGAACAACTCACAGCACTATATAAACATTGAGAAGGCATTTTTACTTAATGCAAATCATTTCTACTACTCCTAAGCAAGCTGAATTGTGTCACCCAGAACAGATATTTACTAAGAGATTCAAGCCCCACCCTAAGTCTCGCTGTTGTTTAGCTTTTCTGCTGAAGACTAGTTTAGAAAGAGAATTAAAAATGCAAATGGTTCTCATAGCAATGACATCCACACAAGGAAGTTACAGGTTATTTTCTGACGAATACTGGAGTCTAGTTTCGAAACATTGGGACGCCAGCCCTCTGACAATGTATATACAGTCATACCTCATGTTACGTTTGCTTCATGTTACGTTTTTTCAGGTTGTGTCCCGCGGTGACCCAGAAGCACCGGAAAGGGTTACTTCCGGGTTTCGCCACTCATGCATGCACAGAAGCGCTAAATTGCACTTCGCACATATGCACAAGCGCCAAATCGCGCCGCTCAACTGTGCAGATACGGCGCTTCAGGTTGCGGGCTTTTCAGGTTGCGAACGGCCCTCCGGAATGGATCCCGTTTGCAACCAGAGGTACCACTGTAAATGGTGACTCAGTTCATTGTATGACCCTGCAGTAGACAAATTGAATTATCTTTGGTGGAAAGAAATATCCCTACATTGATTTTTTGTTGTTGTTGAAGCCCAACTGTACTGTCATGGTGGTTGACAGGGTCAAAATCTTCTCTTTTTGCGCACTCTTTTAACAGTATTGTTCAGATACATAACGCTTCTGTGACTTTAAAGGCAAGCTGCTTTCCAAGCCAATAAAAGGTTTAAATGCTTAACATAGGGAGTGGTACTGCTGGAAAATTGGCATGGGCCAATTTGGATGTATGAAATGTTTAATAGGACTTCAGGAGCAATAAGGTGTGTTATCCGTTGTTGATACAATGAACTAAAATAACTTTTCTTACTCACATGCAGTTTATTTTCCCACCCATGAGAGCTCATTCTTGCCTCAGCTATTTCTTTCCGCAAGATTTCCTTTTCATGAAATGTTTTTCCAGACTCCTTCCATACAGAAACGCTCTCAGACACTGTGTTAAGGATGATTTACTTGCATGCTCTCCATTCATGTGAGGTCATGGTTAAATTGTCAGGCTTGGATCAGGACGACTCTGGTTCAAATCCCCACTCAACCATGAAACACACTGGATGAACTGGAGCCGATCCCTCTCTTTTTCTCTCTCAGCCTAACCAACCCTGTAGAATTATTGTGAGAACAAGATGGAGGAACAACAGAACCTTGTGTGCTGCTCAGAGGTCCATGGGGAAAGCCTTTCATTATTTCATACACAATACATTCTGATGGTGCTGTGTTCACATTTAGACATCAAGTGATGATATACAGTATTGCTGAGTATGTGAGGCATCAGGTGATGTATATGCATGCACAAAAGAGCCCTTAACCAGTCAACAGTCATTGTCTAATGAGAATATGGGTGATTTAGATCAGCCCCTGTGGTGCTGATGCTATAAAGGGGTAGAAGAAGGCAACTATGGAGAATGCAGTCCCCTCCAGACTAGTGTTTTATTGCATGTGTATTCTGCAGCATCTTCTTGACACAAAAATAGTGGTGGATTTATTCTGCTTTATTAGTTGTTCTGCAGTGCTTCCCCAGTGCTAGCACATTAATGCTCTTCATAGGGGCCACAGTGCAGGTGAGTAGATAAAAGCAGAACATTTGTGTTATGAAGAGTTACTGGATTTCGGCAAGGAGTTACCAGATATGCACTGACTGGAAATGAAGAAGTGTGACCATCCCAAAACTTTTGCAGGTGCAAGAGCTATTGGAAGTGAAATTGTATGTGACCACCCTGGTAGCATGTTGAGCACAAATCACCATGAACACATGAAGATAGCACAGGATTGTTAGATTGCCTACAGGGCAGAGATCCTGTGTCTTTAACAAGGATGTGAAAGGGAGAACAGGAGTAGATGTAACTTCTCCTGCTGCAACATCACCCTTTTGTCAAGATGGCAGGCTACACTTGAGGCATCAAAGCAAAGGTGCCAAAAGCACATTCTTCACTCATTTGGATGTTCACTCATTTGGATGTTTTTACAACTGGATCTCAACATGAATATAAGAACATCAGGAGAGCCCTGCCAGACCAGACCAAAGTCCAGTCTAATCCAGTATCATTTTTTACGCAACAAATGCCCCTAGGAAACAGGACACAAAGGTAATAACCTCCTCTCTGTGTTGTTCACCAGCGGCTCCTATTCAGATCCTGGAGGCAGCATATAGCCATCATGATGTAGTAGCCATTGGCATCTGTAGCATGCCCACTGTACTTCTGGCTATATAATTTTTAAAATGAAACTTATTGAAGTTAAACAGAAAAAGGGATTTATTTCAAGAATGGTAAACAGAAATATTTTGGGAGTTGGAAACCTTCAAAGAATCATTAAACTCTCTCTATATATAATCCAGTAGTTGCCGCAGCTGCTCAATTGGATGGTAAGATGGTAAATGTACAGCTTAGATTTACTTCAGTCACTTACACTTAACACAGAGGTGTTCCGGCTTAGGTTTCAATAACTTGTGAGTTCTGAAACAGGCTGGTACTTTCTGTGCTATTGCTTTTCAGATTCCCCACCTTTAGAAATCTCACACCTGAGGCTCCTCTAGTAGACTCAGTATATCAGACCTTCTAACTGGTTTGGGGTTATTCTTCTCTCACCAGAATATATATCCTATTCCTACTGAATTGGGGTTTATGTACAGCATCCCCCTACAACTCCACTTCTCCTCTCCCAAAATTCAACTTCCCAGTTCTCGTGTGTCTGTCTGTGACTTAAAACACAATAACCACTGTCTTTCAGTCAAACCCTCCAGCTCAGAGACTGCTTTCTCTGGCTGTAAATATTTCCTCAGGGCGAGTTTTACACAGCTCAGAGATTATACAGTTATCCAGCTGAATGCCAAGAACCAAAACTCCTTTTCTTTTTCCCTCTCAAAAGTGCTGTCTCCACACTCCTTTGGGCTAGCTGTACCCACAGCCAATCAGAGCGAAGCTCCAGCTCAGCATCACTCTGGTTGAATTCCGCCTGCACCACACCTCACAGCATCCCTTTCCTGCCTGAATTTGCCCAATTCCCTTTTAAAGCCATCTAAGTTGGTAGCTATCATCACAAAAACACCCACAATCACTATTTGGAGATCTAATGAATACACTACAATAGGTTTCTTGCTACTAACAGCAGCAGCAGCAGCAGCAGCAGCAGCACACGCTTCATTGACAAGCATACCTTCTGCATCCTGTTTGGGATCTGTAATTATTGCTAAACCAATTACTGCATAACTGTGGAGAAAGCGCTTCATGTTCCCTCAGGCTCAAAGAAGCTGATTAACTGAAGGGCCATTGCGTCAGGGGCAGGCGTGTGTATTTTGCATTTTGGATATATAAGCCTCTCCCTCAGAGCCACTTCACACATGGTGCACATATTCGCCAATGCAACATTATCTGGTAGGAAAACGGGGTTGTGGTGGTAAGTGTCAGTAGCGCTTTTCAACCCAAAGGAATGCACATGGCAGAGAGTTAACTCCTCATTGTCAAAGGCAACACAGTCACTTCTGCAGCTCTGGAGGCCTACGTGACTAGGCAGCTATTCCCAGGTCCATCCTGTGTGGAGCAGCTGCAGCAACTGGGGACTTCTCCCCCTCCATCAGTTTACATACCGTCCCTCAACGGCTGGAGACTACACCTGCATGGAAGCTGATTTTGCTCTTCTCACTACAAATTTCGCTTGGTTCTGGGAGACAGTGTCATAGGGGAGAGTGGGGAAACACCCGGCCCCTCACTTGCCTGGCCTGCGTCTTCTTCCTCTTCCTCCAGCTCTGAAGCTTCCCCTGTCTCTCATTGTTGCCTCCAGGCTGGTACAGGTATCCACTGCCCCCCTCTCCCGAGTCAGACTCCAGTCCCCTTCGCCCAGTGAACACTCATCAGCCTCCTGCCAGTCCCTAATAGCATTGCTTAGGAAGTGTAACTCATCTTTTTGTTTTGGCTCCTGAGTGCACACAGCAGTGTCTCCGTACATAGATTGCATTGCAAATTGTACATGCATGCTACTGTTCACATGTAATAAGGGTGAATCTGACAGCCGGGTGGGATTAGATATGATGCAAAACTTGAATCTAAGATAATTGGAGATTTGGCCTGATTCAGAAGACTCTCTCATTAGACACAGTGAAGCAGTTGCCTCAAGCAGCAGATGTTGTGTATGGTTGGGATGGCAGCAGCAGCACCCCAGCTGTTCATTTTGGGCTCCCTAGTCATTCCACTCTGTTGGAGCGTGGAGTTGTGCATGCCACACCACCTGCCCTGAACCCCCTAAAGTAGTCTGCAGCCGTCAGGTGTGGTGGGGAACACGGTCCTGCTGCCAGAGTTTTAGTAATACTACATTGCCAGTCTGGTCATCTTCTCTACATGGGAATATGGGGTGGGTAGGTGAAGAACACCTTTGTTACAGGTAGCAAAATACCTTGGCCTAATCCTGGTTCTCCAAATGTATAAAGATGGCGATGCACTTGTATACTGCTTTGGGGGAGGTGTTCAAAGCACTTTGCATCAAATCATGCTCATAATAGCCCAGTAGGACTGAGTGGCATTTATTACTATACGGTGGGTGAAGGGCTGAATCTGAAACTGTGTGTCTAGGGTCATCTACCATAACATTCAGACCAAGGTGAGATTTGAAGTTGGGTCTTCCCTCTCCAACTGCGATTAAGGATTAGACTTGATATATACATTATTGATTTTAAAAATCAGTGTAGCACTGGGTAGATCATCAAGCCTTGTTAATTTAATCATTTTTAAAGAAAATACCCAGCACGCTTACCTTCTGATGTCTGTCTGACAACCAGACACGTCAGAACTAATTAAAGCTCACCACGCTGGTTAGTTCCTAAGCCGAAGTGTCTGGAGGTTTTCTTCTCCGGCTAGCCAGTGCATCAGATTAATCAAACCTTTCAAATCCAAGCCTGTGTAACAAAGGATCACTGTAATCTGGCCATTTAAGGTCTGGAACCCAAATAAGTTCCTCCATATAGGGAAGGAATTCATCTCAAACTATGACATTAGTGATCTGATTAAGAGTGTGGTTTACTGGAAAGGTGAACTTGGATTGGCTGGGGACTAATCCATGGCAGAAATCCTAAATTAGCTGTCGGACTGCTGAGCGCATTAGGATATTGTATGAACCTTTAAACTTCTTCTACTGTTCATGCATTATTCTACATTTTAATTAATCTCATGTAAATTAATCTTGGGGGTAGCTACACCATATTTCCTGATTTGCGTTCTTATATACATTGCATTGTCCTTACGATGATTTGCTGCAACCGCTACATTTTATGACATGCAATAAATAGGCCTTCAAGTAACATGCAACTATATAGCTCTATCCATTGGCTCTATTACACGAATCATCATGAGGAATCTGTTTTCCAGTGGCACTCTGTGCTGCTGCTCCTTCCTGTCCATAACGTACTGTGGCTTGGATTGCACATGTTAATCCGTTGAGAGCTAGTGGGTGGATACTTCTGACTTTGGGATACACAATTGGGCTAAGTGACTCAGAGTGATTCCCAATCATTTTGCACTGGGGATGCGGAACCTGAGGCCCAGGGTCAAATGCAGCCCTCCAGGCCTCTTTGTGTAGGTCAGAATTCTTCCCAGGCCAAACCCTGCTCCATGCTCTCCTCAGGTGCCTTTGCTTAGCTGGAACATGTTTTTGACCTAAGATAATGACTCTGACTAGCCCAGATGCAGAGATATGTGGGTGGAGGTGTGTGGAGAAAGTGCTGGCTTTTGTGTGGCTGAAAGTACAAATGGAAGTATGCTGGAAAGTATGCTGAAAGCGTACAGCACAAATGGAAGAGCCACAACCATTGCTCGGGCCCACATTTGCCACTGGCCACACCTTCTGTTGACTCTGCCCCTGCCAACAACTATGTGACCAATAACATTGTCTATGAAGGAACGTGTCCCTCAGGTTGAAAAAAAGCTTCCCCAACTTTGGTTTACACTGATCTGAGCTGGATCAAAATATGCCTTCCCTAAACTGCAGGATTTGTGTTGATCCTTTCCATATACAGCATCTCAGCTTAGGTGCCAGTTACAAGCTGGAATGTACAGAAATCTCCTCTCTGAAATATCACTCATCTTATTGCTTTTGATTTCCCTGAAGATGCTTCCTGGCATTTTACTTGAGCAGGACTTTCCATATAAGCTTAAAATATTTCATTAGATTAAATTCATTGACAACTCCCTTCTGGCCATAGATGGCAATGATTGGCTCCTGCCTGAATTAGAAATAGGCATATATGATACGGATTTTGCCCCCAGGAATAAGTCCAGTTGAGAAATTTCACTTATTTATGAGGTGGTTATGTAGCAATTTCCCTTTTTCCATTGGTATTACCTTTCTCCAGCCAAATGCATGTACATATTACTTTAAATACCATGGAATATGAGATATGGGCTCAGGCACATGCAAAAAGCAAGGGGGATGCATTTTTTTAATTGCAAAAATTCTGCCTAATACCATCTTTGAAACCTTTAGATTGTTGCTGTCTTTCCCCCCTTGAGCATCGTAAGAGATATAAATTCTTTGTTAAAGAGAGAAAAATAATCAAGCACTTAAAAAAAACACAATAGGACTTTAGCCAGATGATTGTCATGGAACTCAGTGGGAGCACATGACTGAAATTGTGTGTAATGCTTTGAATTTTCCCCAATAATAATAATAATAATAATAATAATAATAAATTTTATTTATATCCCGCCCTCCCCAGCCAAAGCCGAGCTCAGGGCGGCTAACAACAATCAAATAATCAAACAATCAAATAATCAAACATTCTAAAACATTTCATTATAAAAATTAATTAAAATCAAATTAATGGCAACCGTTAAGCAAAGTTCTGTGCAGGTTGCCAGAGGAGGGAGTCAGGCTGGGCCCTGACCAAAGGCCTGGTGGAACAACTCTGTCTTGCAGGCCCTGCAGAAAGATGTCAGGTCCCACAGGGCCCTAGTCTCTTGTGACAGAGCGTTCCACCAGATTGGAGCCGCAGCTGAGAAAGCCCTGGCTCTAGTTGAGGCCAGCCTAACCTCTCTGTGGCCTGGGACCTTCAGGATGTTTTTATTTGCAGACCGTAGGTTCCTCTGTGGGGCATACCAGGAGAGGCAGTCCCGTAGGTACGAGGGTCCTAGGCCGTATAGGGCTTTAAAGGTTAAAACCAGCACCTTAAACCTGATCCTGTACTCCACCGGGAGCCAGTGCAGCTGGTATAGTACCGGATGAATGTGATCTCGCAGCGAAGACCCCATAAGGAGTCTCGCCGCGGCATTCTGCACCAGCTGGAGTTTCTGGGTCAGTCTCAAGGGCAGCCCCACGTAGAGCGAGTTACAATAACATGTTATCCAAATGTGTGTACTTGTAGATACATCCTGGAGTTTGCCTTTGTGAGGGCTGACTGGACACAACATCTTTATAGATGACTAATGCTGAGGCCGGCATGCTGCACATTTGACATTCATAAGTACAAAGAACAGATGAGAAATTTTCCCTATATAGCTTTGCCTCAAGCTGCTTACTTCTCCATTTTTGAGTGCTATTGGATTACAGAAAGCCCATTGTCAGGTGTAATTATTTCAGCAGAACTGGTTGAAAGAGCCAAACCACCAATGCTCCATCTTCTCAGGCTCCCTTGAAATGTTTTTCTAGAAAATCCTTACCTGTGATGTGAGATAATCTTAGCTTAATTTGACCAGATTTAAAATAAAGTATCTGTGAAATGAAACTTGCTTCGAGTGAGGAATGTCAAAGGCGGGGGTGGGGGTGGACTGAAGGCCAATGTATACATGATGTTAATTGTGACTTTAAATCTAATGTGCAGGGGAGTTTCCCCAGTAAACAGTAAATAAATTGCAAATGACATCAGTTGAGCAGAATCAGATCTGGCATAGAGAGGGAAATAAACTCTCTTGTTCCCTGCTGCGATCCTGAGGAAAATTCCTACTATGCAGTTGGTGTTTGCTTGGGGGGGGGGGGTCAGTCTCCTCTTGGTGCCAGTGAGCTATTTCACCACTACTCCAGCAAATACCGGTACCTGCTTCAGGGGGAGAGATTTTCTTTTTTTTCTTTTTTTAAATGATATTTATTACTTTTTCAACATTTCCAACACAAACAAAAAAAGAAAGAAGAAAAAAAGAAAAAACAATGCAAATACAATACAAAAACGCTACATAGACTAAAAAAAACCAAATAAAAACAAGCAAAAACAGTTTAAAATCACCTCAAACATTTTCAATATCTTATATTTCATTCACTTATTTCCAGCGACCTCATCTCACCTCCCTTTTTGTATTCCACTTCTATTATTTGTTTCAGCAATTCCTTTCCATCTTACTCTGTTTTCTGTTCTATAATTATCTTTACACATTCTTGCCATACTTTTCCTTTAATTTTCTATTAATCTATTTATACCTAATTCCTTATGACATTTCTGCTAAAGCCATATAATTTCATTCCAACATTTTTCTAACATTCCTTAATTTTACAATATCTCTATAAATGGTCTTTAAACTTTTTCCAATCTTCTTCCATCGACTCTTCACCCTGGTCTCGGATCTTGCCAGTCATTTCCGCTAATTCCCTATAGTCCATCAACTTCGTCTGCCATTGTCCAACACTTCAGTGTTTTCCAGAAGCAACCATTTTCTCAATCAGCAAAAGGCAGATGGTTCACAACGAAATTTAAAGGTCTGGCAGGGCAGGTCCACCTCCTTCTTTAGCATCCATCAATATCTTAAGCTTAACTCGAGGCTTCCTGCCCTGCCAAACAACTCTAGGAACATCCCTCTGCCACCTCCTGAAACCCTCCATCCCATCCAAAGCTTGCAGTGTTTGAAACAAAAGCAACATCCCCAGCAACACAGCAGCCCTCATCCCCACCACAATAACTCGGCCCAACAGTGACAACTTCTGATTTGTCCATATTTCCAAATCCCCCCTTCTCTTCAATCCAACATCCTTCACAGTTATCCTTAAGCAGATTCACATTTTTGGCAGTCATGTCAACCCCCAAATACCTCTCTTTCTCAACCAATGTTAGTATCGCCTCCTGAAACTCTGTCAAGCTTTCCTTTTCCAGTTCAGATAGGGCTCTGGTCCTTAAATTCATCCGTTCTTCTTTAAGTTCAGTCATAACGAATGTCAACTTACGTTCGTCAGGTTGTCTTTGTATGGATGGGACTCTCCTCTCCAGTTGTATTATTTTAGATTCAGCAGCAAGGGTTTTCCCCCTGACTTCATCTGCAGTTTGCCATATCAAAGTAGATTCCTGTGTCAATTTCTGAGTGGTTTCTGAATTAATATTCACCTTTTGTCCCAAATTATTTAAGCTTTCTACAGTTGAATCAATTTCAATATTTGCAACATCCAATTTCACATTTCTCGCATCTATTTTCTTGTGGAGTTGTTCCAGCGAATCATTTATTTTCAATAATGCAGCCACCAAGGCCTCCTCTGTCGACATCCCATCTGTTTTTTCCTTTCCGTTTGCCATAACACTTAGAAGATTCAAGGTCAATTCCAAAGTCTCACACTTTCTTATCTTGCAGCTGGAAAATCCCCTAGCCCAGCTCCTATCAAGTAACCAATATCAAAAGCGTCCACTAGGGGAAAGCGAGTTGTATTTGTATCGGTCAGTATGTCCTCTTTTAAAAACAGTTTCAATAATCCAAAATTAGTTTCAATTTTCAGTTACTTTCCTCCTTTTTTAATAAAGTTCAGCAAGATTGTTTCAATTTTCAGTTACTTTACTCCTTTTTAAGTACAGACGAAAACAATGGAAACTATGTATCTCTCTTATACTAGCTGTCACCGAACGTTCTATTCGCTGTCAATGAACCTTCCAAGGCACAGCGATTTTACTGGCAGCCCGTTTCCAGGTTCGGAACGATGGTATTTTAACTTCCTCACTCTCTCCTGCAGGAATATACAATCCAAAGCCTCCCCCCTCTTCTCCTGCTTCCAAGGGGGGTTTAATATTTTTTACTGATGAGAATTTAGTCCTTTACAATGGGCTTTCCAAGACTTTAGCTTGCAGCCTCTTTGCCTTAGTCTTATTTACAAAAAGCGGAGGTGGACTTCCTGTTTTGAACCTCCCCGTTTCGGTGCCAAATTAAAACATTTAAAAATCCAATTCTTCACTCTACTCACGGGTAGTTGCTTTAAGATCAAATTGTCCACAGGAAAAAGTCAGCGCTCTCCGGCAACAGCTATGCGGCTTCACTTCGTGGAAGAAGCAGTCGATCCGAAGCACTGCGCCGCTCACCCCACATCGCTCCGGATCCCCGAAACCGGGTTTCCCCGCGAGTAGGGGAGGCGCAAAAGGTGCCCGCCGAATCCCACGTTCACAGGCTTCAACCGCCTGTGATTTTTAGTGGGTCTCTGCCTTCGCCGTGGCAGCCAGACCCGAATTTCCACAAGGCAAATTCCTCCCCGATCAGAGGAATTCCGCCATTGCCGGTGGCGCTAACCCGGAAGTCCCAGGGGGAGAGATTACCTGGCAGGGGAGATAACCATGATCAAAGGGGAGAGATTTTCCTTCTTCAGAGGAAAGAAAGGGTTAAATTCCCTCTCAATTGATTCCATTAGTTATCGGCTCCCCCACCTGATACAATTTGCAGTTGAGAAAAACCTGCACATTTGAGGCAAATACTCATTCATTTCTTGCCAAGGGAGATTTTGACATTCATGTCTTGCCAAGGGAGAAGTGATGATTGCACTCTTTTTATTGGCTGAAGACACCATTCTGCAAGATGCTGAATCCCACATGCTTCTGCTAAAGAATAGCCATCATCTCTACATCCTTCATGTTTATTAGGATTTCTGAATAACCAAATCCATATTCACATTGTGCATGTAATAAAAAGCAAGTGTTTCATAGTACAAACTTTAAAAGTGGTTTTGGATTTGTTCCATTCAAGTTAACTTTGTGTGAATGAGTTCTAATGTGTAGATATATTTGAAATACTGCATTTACTCAAGTCTAATGTGCCATCGAATCTAATGCACACCTCAGTTTTCAGAACCTTAAGACCAAAAAAATATTTGCTGGCAAACGTAAATGTGCCATCAAATATAACGTGCACCTTAATTTTTGCAATGTAATTTAGCCCAAAAAGGTGAGCATTAGATTCAAGTAAATATGGTAGTTCCTGCCAACCTAGCAGTTCGAAAGCACGTCAAAGTGCAAGTAGATAAATAGGTACCGCTCCGGTGGGAAGGTAAGCAGCGTTTCCGCGCATTGCTCTGGTTCACCAGAAGTGGCTTAGTCATGCTGGCCACATGACCCAGAAGCTGTACGCCGGCTCCCTCGGCCAATAAAGCGAGATGAGTGCCACAACCCCAGAGTCGGTCACGACTGGACCTAATGGTCAGGGGTCCCTTTACCTTTAAATACAGTAGTACTGAAGTTGCTAGTCACAAAAGTAATTTCACTAACCCCTTACAGCAAGACTCTAAATTGCAGTAGGATGGATCTATGCTTTGGGGCCATTGAAATGAGTGGGATGTAAATTAGTCATGACTAACTGCCCAATGATTTCATGTGACTGACTTTATTGGGATCCAATCCAGTGTAAGTGGCACTTTGTCTGTGACGTAACATACCTTAGGCATGTCATGTCACAGCTGAAGACAAAACAACAAACTTGCATTATTAATTCATCTTCTCAGTGTGCAAATAGAAGGCCTTGTTTAAGAACCACAAATTGATTTGCCAAGTCTACCTCTAAAATGAGGTGCAGTCCAGATAGAATCTTAATGGGAAATGGATAACATGGTGTGACTAGATCAATGGGAATATAGAGGAAGACAAATTGTATTTAACTTTCCTTTTCCCCAGCCAATCAACATTTACCTCATGTTTAGCCAATAAAGAATAAAATCACATTAATAACAATTAATCAAGCATGTTGAATGCTTCACCTTGCCAACCCTGCAGCATCAATGCATTAAGAAAAGAAAGATGAGGTGTAAGAAAAGCCATATCCCCAATATTTCTAAAGTGGGTTAAAGTCAAGCTTATTTTCTGCCTACAGTTGCACAGTTAACCACATTGTTTATGTAAATGAACATTTATGGAGATGGTAAATATTGGGAAATTGTAAAACAGAGATTTTAAAAACAAATTACCAGCCTCATTCCCCGCATTGCTCAGGAGTTATAAGAAACCAAAAAATCAGTGCAGTTTTGGAATATTAAATCCTCCATTTTTATTCAAAATGGTGTCTGATTGTGTCCAAACATAGACAACAAACTGCTCCTTTATCTCAAGAATGATTATACAAAGTTTGGTGATCATATTTTAAAGAGGTGTCCAAATGCATAGCATAACGAACAACTTTCCAAAATATAGAGCAAATGTCAGCCTATTTTTCTTCTGTATCAGTTTTACAGGTGCCCAGTCATGGGTATGTTCTATCTTGTTATTTATGAACTTTAAAAAACACACGGGGGAAAATCAAATTCAAATTGTATGCATTTTGTACTTCCCCTTCCCCTAAAATACGCTGTTGTATATATTTTGTGCATTTTTAAAACAAAACAAAACAAAATTGCACCAAAAGTAGGAAAAAAGGAAAAAAGTTTAATCCAACTGATAGCTCTGTTCTGAGATCCTGATCTAGGAGCAGTGAATTAGATTGGTTTTCTTTACAGTGCAGACTGAACAAAATTACCCTCCAGCTCTAGTAAATGTTAACAAAGAATCTTGTGGCAGCAAATGTATAGAAGCAGGCTTGAAATCATTTACACATATTACAATTTGTGGTTTAATTTAGTTACACATTCTTGCTCTTCAATTGACTTGTGGCCTTTGCTATAGCCAAGGAGTGAAAATCCGTAGCTATGAGATAAGTGGGATGATTAAAGAACTTTCCGTTTGGGAATATTGGCTGCTGCAGATTAAAATAGCACCATAAATTATAGGGTGCTCACTTAAGGTTAGATGTGGTCAATCCCAAGCCCCCAGAACATCTATAATATCTGACTACACTATTACATTTTGTTGGGATGATTCCCTCTGTTCTCATCACTGCTTTTTCCTCTTATTCAGTGCAAATGATTGGAGGTAGTTCTTGTGAAAGGAGCTATATAATTGATATGTTAGTGATGAGGTAGCCAATGTTTTGGACCACAGCTCTAATAATTCCTGGCCACTGACCAAACTGGCTGCCAGATCCTGAACTGCCCCACCCTCCTCAGGACACTTTGACATGTGAGTGGTAAGTCACCTGTCAATCACCTCATATCATACGGCATCATGTGACTCAACTTCAAAGGAGGAAAAGTACCAAATACAAGAAGTACCAAATGCTATGATTGGCTGAAATGGAAGAGTTGGAAATGCACTGGAAAAGAAGAATTGGGAGCCCCCTTTGTGGGGCGTTCTTCCCAGATCCCAGTGCAAGTGTCAAATAACTAGATGGATGGATGAAGATGCAAAGGAACCCACAGATGACACAGCAACTGAGCAAATGAGGTTGCAGACAAACAAATCAAAAGAAAGAAATCCTGATGATTTCAACAGATACCCTGGAGTTGTGGGACAGCATGGGAGGGAAGCTGATAAAACAAATGATCCCAAGCCATGCTATTCTCCTGCTGTGAATGCCCAGTGACCTTAAGGTTACCCAAACAACAGGTGATCTGGTGCTTGCATTGTATGAAATATCTGTGCTTACCGCATCCTTGTGATTGCAGAAAGCTGCATGTAATCTTTAAAACAGCATGTCAGCCAAAGGACAGCACCATAGCTTACTCCTTCCTGTCCTTATATCCTTCTTTTGTACTCATTGGCATGCAGCCAGTATAAGAGCAGAAAAAGATAATCAGTGTAGTTGGAAGAGGTAACTGGCTGCTTCCCCCCAACCCCCTTTAAGGCAATAAATGTGACAGTGACTGCAGATCTTCTACCAAGAACTCTTTGAATGGGGCTCCTTGCAGAATTTAGTCTTGACTAATGTTGCTGTCTGCCAGTGAGAATCTCTGGCTTGGGGACTTTTATGGAGACATCTGCCAAAGCTGATGCCCTGCAGGAACCTCGGTTGCTTAAGCACCTTCTCTCAGTAACAAGCTGCAAGATGAGGTTGCCTTTCACACTGACTACTATGTGGAGATTTAAATCATAATTACTTGGAGCTGGATATGTGAATTTATGGCAGGTTCCCATCACACAAGCAGCTCCCCTAGGCAGAACTGCAGCTGCATCAAGCAGGGATTTCCACAACTGCAGCAGCATTTTTTTCTAGTCCATGTCATCACAGGACTGTCTGCAGCTGCATATTGGTGTCATTAAAGTTCAAGAATATCTGACCTGCTGCACTAATATATCTTGCATGCAGTATGCAAATATATTTGAAGATGAGTTCCTTTGCCCCCAAACTTATCTGCTTGCCATTTAAATTGTGGCTATTGGGAGCTTATCTGCTTGTTTTGCACCTGTCTACATTCTTCCAACTAGGTGATCAGAAAGGATAGGGGCTGTTTTGGCAGTTGGTTGGTGTATGCTCTTTGTGAAATTGACACCCGTAAATATGCCGTTGACATAATGATACCTGTTATGTGTGTGTGCTGGTGTGGTTGCTCGAGAGCGAACAGGCAAGACTCCCACTGGTCTTTTCAAGGCTTTAATATCTGTACAAAACATTTACAGTGCAGAGCATCTCAAATCCATGTCTGCTCAGTTGCTAGCAGAATCTGGGAGTGGGCGGTCCTTAAACTTTACCCAGCATAGCAGTCTTTTGAGCCCCACTGGCGTGAATTCAGATCAGCAGATATTAACCAATGTCCATTTTGTATGTGTATGCATTAGTTTGATTTGATTGTCAACACATGGCAATTGCAAACAACAACAGCTTATGTAGCCATGCGGTCTTTGGGCAGAAGTACAATTGTGTCAGTTCGTGAATTGCTACATTTTCATAGAATTGTGGACTTTGAAGGTACCCTCTGCATTGCTGTAATCTCAAGTAAAGCATCCATGGCAGGTGGCCGTCCAACCTCTGCTTTAAAACCTCCAAAGAAAGAGTCCAACACCTTCGAAGTAATCTGTTCCACTGTCAAAAACCTTTTACCATCAGAAAGTCCTTCCTGATGTTTAGTTGGGAATCTCCTTTCTTGTAACTTGAATTCATTTGTTTTGGTCCCTCTATCTTCCATGTGACAGTCCTTTAGATATTTGAAGATGGTTATTATATCTCCTTTTAATCACCTCTTCACCAGGCTAAACATCCCCAGTTCCCTCAACCTTTCATCTTAAGGCTTGGTTTCCAGACCCTTGATCATCTTGGTCTGAAATTGTGGTGCCCACATCTAGACATAGTACTCCAGGTGTGGCCTGAATGCTCTAAATTCTTGTCAATGTCCAGAACCCTTAAACAATACTATGCAGCATCTTTAAGCATGACAAGGAATATAGAAAATGCAACCAAATGGTCACATATATCCAAGGACATGATATGTTAGAAACATGAGACAGGCAAAAATTCAGCGTACCTGGAAGTTCATTTGATGTGTTCAGCAGATGGAGATGTGGAGTGTTTAAATCCTCAGTAATCCCCATGTTCCTGCTCCAAATGTTCCACACTTGGGATTTTCTGTATTTATCAAGAGAACTTAAGGTGTAAGTGTCATGGGCTAGGAGTCAGCTTTGCCTGCTGGACAGCAGCCTGAAGGGCGAGAAGGGGGAATGATTTCTCCTGCAGCTGCTCAGCTTTCAAGGACTCAGAGGTGAAGGCGCTGATGAGAACCAGCTGGCTTCAGCCTTCTTAAGCTGAGCTTCCAGCAGCAGTCAGATACTGATAACAATGCTTGCAGTTCCTGTCTCAACCTTGCTGCTTCCTGTTCCTCTTGACCCTTGACCGCATGATCATTGGATTCCCTGAACACACGGATTGCTGTTTGCCCAACCCTAGGACTGGACCTGACTTCAAATGCTGACTCTGCCTCCAGGCAAGTACACCTCAGAGTCATTTCTGGTTGGCTGGCCTCCCATTCTGCACATTGTTGCTCAGCAACAAGCTTATAACAGTAGGTAGCCCTCCAGGTATTGTTGGGCTACAGTTCTAATTGTCCCCAACCATTGGCAGTGATGGCTAGGACTTATGGCAATTGTAGACCGGGAACATTGTTGGCTGCTCCCAGGTTAAGACTATCGATGTATCTGCTTCTTCAGTGTGCCACTTTCAAAGCACTCTGTTGAAAAACAAAGTTTGTTCTGAGATGGAAAACTAAAGGTGTTACCTCTTGCACATCTGCCACGAAGTGGCTCATTAAGATTAGGAACACCTTAGACATTGCCCTAATTATGCTTCTGAGAAGGGGGGTTAGCAAAGACAGTGACTTGGAAAAGCTCCTAAAAGGCTGCCAGACTCTTTGCTTGAATTGTGAGCCTGTCTCACTTCCGTGGTTTCTCTGTTGTCTGCTAGGCAGTGCAGTTCAGGTGTGCTTACGAAAGGCAGGCCAAGGTTATGTTGGAATCACTCTCTTCCTCCGAGGAAGGCAGTAAAAGAGCGGAGCAGAAGGTCAAAAGCTGCCTGTGTTCACTTTGCTCTGGCTCTTCACTTTCCCTTGCTTGAGAAGTGGCTCTTCGGCCGCTGCCAAATTGGCCTTGGTTTTGCTGAAGCAGCAGCCACTTCCATCAAAGAACGGTGGGACTGGTTGTAATCTGTAAATTTATAAAGTGGCACTTTATAAAGGTTTGACATTGTTAGTCGTTTGTATTTCAATTCAGTCATCATGGCCAAGAGTTTGGCTAAGGAGAATTGGAAGACTTGCTGCTCTTAACTGCAGTGGGACAGGAAAGGATGGATTGTTATCAGGACAGGGGATGGGAGGGGGAATCTATGCCATGGTAACCTACATTCTGCACCCATAAAATATTAAATTTGTGACTCACGTACATTACAACATGCAAACAAAATTTAATTACTCTGTTGCATTAGTTCTGTGCTTCTACAGATCAACAGAGGGACAAAAATCTATGCAGGGCCATGAATCCTTGCCCTCAAACTACAGCAAAAAGTACTTTGCAACCCTAGAGTCATGAGGAATTACCACACACTTTCAAGCATATCCTCACAATCAGAGGGTCTAGAAACTTGGTTTTGTTTTGTTTTTTTAAAAAGCATAAGTGTGGGGATTCTTAGGATTATACACCCACTACCGCAGCCTTCATTTTTCTGCAGTTGTCCAGAATCACAATACATAGGCAGCTCTAATTATTACCATGAAAAGTTTAGACAAGAGTTCATTTCTAGACATTAAACAGTGCAGGAAGTCCCATTCTACAGAAGATCACTCTGATTTGTCTGCTCTCCCCCTTTGTCTCCTTCTCCACTCCCTTCCTGATTTCTCTCCAGTGCTGCTCACTGTACTGGCTCTATTTCGCTCTCTTTTGCCTCTTGCCCTCAAAGTAATGGTTTGAGAGAGGTTTTAGCCTGAGGAGGAGAGTCCTGCTCAGCCCAAGCCATCAGCCCCACCATAGCCCTTGCAGCTTTCTCCCCTTCCCACTACCACCACAAGGCTCCCCAAACTCCCTTGGGGCAGGAGGTGGGAGAAAACAGTGGTAGCAAAGGTAGTGGTGGCAAGAATTCTCTAAAGCAGGAATGGGGGATCTATGGTTCTTCAGACCTTCTTGGTCAGGCAGGGTGGGAGTTGTGAACCATTTGCCATGTTGCTCATGGATTAATGGCAGTTGGTGTGCAGCTACATCTAGAGGGCCAGGGTTTCCCTAGCCCTGCTGCTCCAAAGGATACACATTTGTCCTAGGTATGTTCATCTAGAACCTTGTTTGTTTTATAGCCTGTCCTTCATTGCTACCAATACCACTGTGGGATATATAACACAGGGATGTAAGAAGGCAATGTTTTCTGTTCTGCCCTGTATTCATCACAAGCAGCATTGTTTCCGTTCCACTGTTGTGCATCTGCTTCCAAAAGCTGTGTTGTTTGTTTCACTGTCCACTTTGTCAAAATCGCATAACTTCTGTAATTAATTACATATATATTGCCCAGATTACATTATTTTGCCCCATTCATTTCATTGCAAAGGAAATGCAATGCAAAGTGGGGCAGGGGGAATAGCACTTGGAAGCTAACAGCAGCAGCAACTACTCAATCATATTCACTGGATTGTTTTCCATTCCAGACATGGAATGAATGAGCTTTGGCAATTTCTGCTCCCATTTTGTTGGAATTCTCCAACATCTATAGCACAAGATAAATAATTTAATAAAATAAATCATTTAAACTAAAAATAAGAATTCTTAAAACATCAGCAAACACAAATAATCACAGCTAAACAGAGGGGACGATTAAACAAGTTTTAATATTCCCTGTAATTTATTGGGGCCATGCTCTGTTTTTATCGTGGAAGTTTGATTTTTTTTGTTACTTTACAAATAAAGCTGGTATGAAGACTCTTGTTAAAGATGATAATTGTCATATCTTTAGGATTGATAAAACGTGTTAATCATTTCAACCCCTATGTAACAATACACAGATATGTTTTGATTAGTGCCACTTGAGAATTTTAAAGTCTGCTTCTCCTGTATTGGTAGAAGCTAATTATAACTTAAGGCACAGTAGCTTTAATTAAATTGTCAGCACAGTGACAGTGGCATTCGGAAAATAATTGCACGGTCATTTCTTTTTAATGATGTCCATGTTTCATAATTGGGGTAATTTTGAATTTATGAGGATTACAGGAACCATATGCCACAAAGTATTTCTTGCACATTTCTGTTTGAGAGGGGGAGCAAATCCTAGAAAACAAGATATATTGTGTGCCAATGACCCGTGAACCTTTCCTGTTGAATCCCTATTTTACAACTCCTTTAAATGATGTGCTCAAGTGTGAAAGTACATAACCTTGCTAATTGGGAAAAACAAAGATTTCTAGCTTCTTGAACCATTATAAACATTTGTAGTTCTTTGGGGTCCCTACATTGCAAGGATGGAGAACCTGTGACCCTCGGGATGTCATGGACTACAGCTCATCTCCCTGACCATTCTCCATGCTGGCTGGGGCTGATGGGAGTCTAACCATATCTGTAGGGCACCAGATTGAGGGATGTTGTTGCAAACCACTGTTTAATGTACCAATATAAGAACATATGAAGACCAATTCTGAATCGGGCCAAAGACCCACCTAATCTTGCATTCTGTTCTCACAGTGGCCAGACAGGTGTTGATGGGAATCCTACAAGTGGGTCTTGAGTGCAACCACATTCTCCCCTCTCGGGCTAGTACTAAAAACTTTGACAGCAACCCGGCCAAAGTTAGCTGCTTTTAGGCCACCTGCTGATTTAAATGGGAGAGAATGGTGTACTGAAAACAATGGGACTTGAAAATGTGAAGAGGCTATTTGAGCGATCTGCGTGAAACATTTTTGCCCTGTCAAATGTTAGGGATGATCTCCCCTCCCATTCTGCCTACATTTCTGCCACGTCAGAGTTTCCATACACTTTCAGCCACTGCAGATTGTTCAATAATAGAGTATCACCCTACTTTTAATCTCTCATTATTTATATTGATAGCTGAATGAGAAGACGGGGGCTGCCAGCTGTACACTGCAGGCTGACGCAATCTGTCGTATTCCCTGTAGCCCACACCTTGCAAAATGAAGGATGGACTTGCTCTGTTCAACCACAACCTCATCCTTCACCATATAATAACAATGCCATTTGTTCCGCACGCTGTCGGGAGGGCGAACACACCTGTTCTCATCCGCTATGACATTTTAATTGTGTCCATTTCAAATCTGAAGGACTGCTGGTCTCAGCCCCTGAAGCATTCAATTATAGTCCTTTAAGAACTAGTGTTGTATAGTGAACATCAGTTATGAACATCCCCTATTCAGATCTCACCGACCTCACTATTAATTCAGTAGGTGGCCTTAGGGCTTAACTTTCAGTAGAAACTGGTCAGCTTCCCTCCCACCCCCCATTCAAAACCCATGAAATGACTAGAGTTGGGATATAGATATCTTTGAATGGGTTATGCTTTTAAAAACAGGGCAACATCCATATCACTGTGATGCAGGGGAAGCCATTGTGGAGCCCTCTAGATGTTGCTGGATTGCAGTGCCCATCTCTGATCCATGGTCATGCTAGAAAGGGCTGATGGGAGTTGCAGACAAGCCACATCCATTGGGCACCAGCTTGGCTTTCCCTGTTCCAAAGGGTTTACAGTATTTTTATATTCAGGTACTGAATTCTTTTCATTCACTGGCTGAACAATGGAGAGAAATGAAAGTGACTGGCTCCAATTCTCTAACTAGGCAGAGAGCCCAACTAGACAAAGAAAAAGCGTTTTTCCTTCTTATGACCTAACAAGCATAGAAGTAATTTCTGCATTAGGAAGTCCAGCCTGTAGAGGCTTGGAAGAAAACAATGCTGAATACCTTTCAGAATCTGCTTTTGTTTCTCCTTTTGTATCCTGGATGTATTAAAATGCAGAGTGTGGTTGGGGTTTTGCTTGGTTTGTTTGCTTGCATTGTTTAGTCTTCACCAATTGCACTCTGGCCATTTTGGTTTCTTGTAACACTCTGATGTATTGGGGTTTTTAAATATATATATATCAAATTTCTTAATGGAAATTGTGGACAAAATGATTTCATAAGTAAAATTATTAGAATTTATTATTATTTATTGAATTCCAAACCGCCCTATACCTGGGGGTCTCGGGCTATAATTATGCACACAAATATATATTATATGTACACATATCTGTGTATATGTGCATGTTACCAGTAAGTATTCCTCTCTCAGTATATATACACACAAATATAGGTGTTCTGCCTTTGCATGCAGACATGAGAGATTGCTCATGAAATAATCCAAATGAGCAAATAGGCCACATTACAACGCAAAGATAGGTGTGCTTAGCTCAGTGGAAGAGCATCTGCATTGCATGCAGAAGGTCCCAGATTCACTCTCCAGCATCTTCAGGTAGGGCTGGGAGGGACCTCTGCCTAAAACCCTGGAGATCTGCTGCCTGTCAGTGTACACAGTTTTGAGTTAGATGAGCCATTGGTCTGACATGGTATAAAGCAGCTTCCTATGTTTAAATCCATCAGAATCAGAGGGCTTAAGCTTTCTTAACTCCAGCTGCAGTCCTGTGCTTCCATGTATGCCCCATTGAAGCCAGTGGGACGTACCTCCATGCAAACATGCACAGGACTGCATCTCATTGTTGGGTTATGGCCTTTGCGATTCACCTAGGCACACTCACATTTCCTTTAATTTCAGGGTTGGCGTGTAACGTAGATGCACAAATATTAGTCCAAGAGAGACATAATGAGCACTGCTGCATCAAGGGATGACTTCCACATATGAAAGGGTCGCTGCAGGTCAGACATCACAGGTGCGTGCTTCAGCCACCTCTCAGACACAATACTTTTCACATCTGGCTAAAATACTCAAAACTCATGGAAACAATGTCTGACTCAGCACAACCAAGCTTCCTGATAGTGATTTGTATGAGGTGAGCACAACAATTCTTTTTTTAAACAAAAAACACCTAACTGTACTCAACAGAGGCAGTTCACCTTGATGAGAAATCAAGGATTGAGGGCCGAGTGATATGTAGGCATGTGTATACGCTGGCCCAAAGAGTCCACTGACAGCATCTGCTTTGTTCATCTGTGCGTGCAAGCATGTGAGAAGAAAGAGACTGAGACTGTTCCTGAAATAACCCAGATGATCAAACAATTTGGCCACATCCCAGCACAAATCTAAGTGTGCTTTGGGGGAGGGCTGTAGCTTCGTGGTAGAGCATCTGCTTTGCACACAGAAGGTCTCTGGTTCAATCCTCATCATTTCCAAGAAGTGCTGAAAGAGAACCTTGTCTGAAATCCTGGATAACTAGTGCCAATCTGTGTAGAGCTGGATGGGCCAATGTTCTGACTTGCTATAAGACAGTTTCCAATGTTCCTTAATCATGTGAATTCTTGCCCACTTCAATTGTTTTACACGCCATGTTAACAAGAGTGAAGCATCGAGTGAAGGGTGGGTTGCAGTTATTGCAGACAGATCAGTTCCCTGATCTCATAATTAGGAAGATAACCCAGGCTTTGCAGCTTCAATCATGGAAGCAGAGTTTTTCAGAAAGAGGATCCATTTGTGGACCTCCCTGAAGAAAACCCATGTGCATTGAACGACGACGGCAGAGCTAATTTTCCAAGGCCCTTTAAAAGCCATCCAAAGTGCTGAGGCCCATCAGCCAATAATGCCTTAATTGGCCTTTTCACAAGCTTGAACATTCTGTAACTGCCAACTGAGATTTACTCCAGGAAAGATGTGACCTCTTCCCCTCCCAGCACATCATATGAAATGTTGAAGGATCTTATAAATTATCTCCAGTCAGAAACTGATTTGCTAATCAGTGTAAGGAAGAGGCAGCATCAGAGTCATCAGTGTATCCCCCCCTTTTTTATATATTTCAGGAAGCTGGGTTCTCTTTTTCAATTATGCTCAACGGTTTTACATACTCTTAGAACCAATTTACATATTTTTCTCAGGATGAGGTAGCAACGGTTTGGAACGGGTGGGACGTGAAGTATGTGTCATATGTTTGAATGCTCCTCCATGTGAAAACGGCAAACCAAAAATCTGTAGTAGACTCATGAATCTGGAACTTTTCTCTTTGATTTGCTACTGTATGCAAGCATAATTTTTATATAATGTGGAGAAATTTTCACAAATACAAACACACACACACTTTTACAGTCTGAAGTGGAACCGTCAAGAATTCTGCCACCTCAGGGCCAAGCTAGATGTGACATTGCAGATGCGTGACTTTATCTCTCTTATCTTTCAAGGCCCACCCCCCTGCTAAGAAAAGCTGTGAGGGGATTTGGATTGGGACCATGGCATAGAGCAGAGGAGGCTTAACCTTGTGCACATATGTTTTCACCTCCTTGGCTAACGTTAACAGATAAGAAGGGAGAAATTTGTTTCAGATCACATTTAAATGCTAATCACTAATTCACACTTTCCAATGTAGTTCTCCAACCAAGTAACTGGTATAAAGCTGCATGTGCTAGGGTAAAGTGTGCATAAAATGAATATATTGGTGAAAATTACATACAAAAATGCATTATATTGGGGAAATTGCATAGAAAAATGTATATTTGGAAATCGTCACACTGAAATATGGATGAATTATCACAAACTGACTTGTAAATGTAGAGAAGCGAATTTAAGACTGGAAAAATGAGAAGCAGAGAAACTATAATTGACTTGCCCACCCCTAACAGATGTCCAGGGGGCAGTGTGAAAAGGGGCTGCAGGGGCTCCTCCCCAAAACATACCTTGTGCTCATGACCCAATTCTCTTCTCCCCACCCCAATAGCTGCTTTTAACAACAAACACATCATAGAAACATTCATAGGTCTCTGATGTATCTAGTTTGGTCCTCAGTCTGCTCTGTTCTGCACAATATGTAAATTGGCTTTCTGGTGGGGTCAGTCAGTTTTCTTTATTTACAGAAAGATTTAGAAAGAATTACTCCAAGGAAATACTCATTTGTAGGTAGCATAAGATCTGTTTGAACCATTTTTAACAGCTCCTCTAGGTTTGAATTAAGGAAATTTGTTAAGCCAGCTTGAAGGAAAACAGCAAAGCACTAGTCTGCCAGTTTTTGAGCTGATAAAAGATTAACCTCTTTGCTATGATCTATTTATAATATATCCAGCAGAAGGTTCTTCACAATTTGATCTGTTAGAAAGTTGCCTTTATCCTCAGCGAATTATGAGATAAATGGAAAGAACACACTCTTTGTTAAGGGGGTTTTCAAATTACTTTTTATGTCAAGGCAAATGAATGGCCCAAGATTAAAAGTAATGGCGTGAATATGCATAGGAGTGAGAATTACTTCAAGAGAATATTAAAGGAGATCAGAACAACTGGGAATGAAAACATCCATGAAATCCAGCACTTCCCACCAGTGTCCTGACTTTCATTTAGTGGAAATAATTGTACTAGCTGCTTCAATTGTACATACCCTAATTAAAGATGTAGACAAATTAAAAGGTCCATCACCTTTCATCTTTCCATTTAGAAACTGCATTATTTAAAGGCAGGAAGTGGAAGGCCCCAGAAAATGTCCAAGGTCTATAATTTGGGCATTGACATACAGCCAAATTTCCATATGCCTTCCTACAAATCGATCATTGTTTTGCTTGTTAGGGTATGAGGAGAGAAGGTTGTGCTGTGGTTGAAAACCAGGCAGGCCCTACTATTGGGCAGAGTGAGAAAGCTGCCCCAGACAGCTTATTTAGGGTGACAAGAAAGGGCAACAAATTGATTTCTATTCATTATTGCATTTTTACTCCATGGAAGGGGTGCTTGTGAGATGTTCTGGCTCAGGGGCCAAAATGACTTATCTAGCCTTGGGTATTATGTACCTTGATTTGGGGAGCAGAAGCACCCTTTGCTGTTCCACCTCAGTCAGCAAAGTTTCTTGAGCCAGTCCTGATTGGCCTTATGTTAAATGAGGTTCCATTTTCACACCTGTTACGGGTTCTCGCCTTCGCCAGGTATTTCCATGTGTCTGGCTATGTGATCAAGTGGTACAGGAACTCTTTGCTAGGCACCAGCATGAACCCTGGTTACCAGTGATTCTCACTGCTGATAAAAGGCACCCAAGAGTGTGATAGTCATGGGGGCTCAAGAACATCAGCTTTAAATTCTGTGCAATTGCTACACCAAGCCGTGACAGAAAACTGTCAATTTCATCACTGTACATGCACCTCATACATTTCCTAAAGAAGGGGATGCTACCAAAATGGGTCCAAATGCCAGTCCAGATGGTTTAACAAATGGCATATTGGAAACAGAATGTACATGGGGAGCAAGTTGTATAAACAGAAGTTAAATTTCTCCAAGAATAAGGAATCAACATTTTAAATGCCTTCAGTAGAAGTATGCTAATTTTAAACCTCAGCTAGCAGAAAGAACATTGGTTTCAGAAAAGATGAAAAATGCCAAGTTAAGTTAAAAGCAAAATCAAGTTTGGCTTCCAAGTGTTTAATGTATTATAAATCTGTATTTAAAGGAGTGTTGGGGGTGGGAGGAAATTAAATGAAACCCATCTTAGACATGATACACCTATAGGCTTTGCTTCTGAACTGGAAGTGAGACAGAGAAAACAAAAATACTATCAAAAACAAAACAAAAATGCAGCACTTTTATTTCTGGTCTTTGTTGACCAGCCAAATTGCTTAGTCATAACTTGCTAACTCTTCCAAGTGTTAGCCAAGCTACGGATATGTTATGACTCTTGTTATGTTATGAATCATTCAGTTACTCTGCATGCACAAATGTGTGTGGAAACATAAAGCATGAAAAAAAGGGAAAGAGCACGGGAGTTGCCAGACAGGGCTGGCTCAGAAATCTCGGTTCTATATGTTGTAGTAAAAGAAAGATCAGGGAGAAGCTGAGCTATTTAGCGCTATGCAAAAACTGCCCTCCAGTTTCAGCCATATGTCCCCCGAGTTTGGATAGGGTAATTTATGGGGAGATACTTAGTGGGTGGCACTGTGGGTTAAACCACAGAGCCTAGGACTTGCCAATCAGAAGGTTGGCGGTTCGAATCTCCACGGTGGGGTGAGCTCCCGTTGCTTGGTCCCTGCTCCTGCCAACCTAGCAGTTCGAAAGCATGTCAAAGTGCAAGTAGATAAATTCCTCTGGTGGGAAGGTAAACAGTGTTTCCGTGCGCTGCTCTGGTTCGCCAGAAGCGGCTTAGTCATGAGATGAGCGAGATGAGTGCCGCAACCCCAGAGTCGTCCACGACTGGACCTAATGGTCAGGGGTCCCTCTACCTTTACCTTACTTAGTAACCAGGTGTTGTACTGGCAATATACTCTCTTAGCCCCCGACACCCTCCCCCAGCAACTGGTGTGTGTTAGGTGTGTGTTATTTTCTACTGGTGTGTGTACTTTTTTGTTCTGTGTACAGTCTTGGCTCCTTAGCTGTTCAGTCCCATCAATATTCAAAAGGAACCTTATTTTCACACAGTTGCATTCCTTCCGCAAGATACCTTTCTTTGCACATCTATGCAAAGAACTGCCAAGGGGTCTCCCTCCTGCCTTCTGTCTCTCAGAGCTCTTGGGATGAATACAGGAGACTGAAGTACAAATCCTTGTTTACCCATCCAGGTAAATGGGTGGCTCTGGGGAGCCAACATCTCTTTCCTTGTTTGTCAAATCTTCCTCGCACAGGTGCTGTGAGGATAAAATGAGATATATTGTAACCTGCTCTGAACACCTGGGATAGGTCAGGGAAAAGTCTGAACAAATAGCCGATTGGGATTGGCAACTACTCTCCCCGAACTATAGTATGCCCTCTGAAAACATTGTTGTGTTCCACAGCTCTCCAATATATCATTGTCATTTATATGTATTTTCTCTTCCGTGCTTAGAGTTCTAGACAGACCTTTAATTAGATGAGTTTGGAGTAATGCTGTTAACTAACCCACTGCACTGAGTCTGCTTTCCCCTTGAGTGCCTGGGGAAAGATAGACTCTCCCATAAAAATTATCCAAAGTGTGTCCCAAATGCATTTTATCTGATGTCACTCCAGCAAGTGTTGCATCACATTGATCCCTAAGAGACTTTCAGCACCAGAGGTGGGCATGGAGAAGATCAATTTGCTGCTCTTTAGACATCCTACTAGATGCACACTCCCTAAGTCCCCCACTGGAGTTGAGTAGCAGAGGAATTTGCAAATTCAAAACAATGTTGGTATTAAAAAAAAATCTTGCCTCCTTCAGATAATTTTAAAAGCATGTCTTCTTCATTAGGCATTAAATCACAGCCTGAGAGCCTCAAGCAGCCATTTTCCTTGCTTTAAAGGTGTCATCATCTTGGGCACCATGGCAGTGCAAAGGCTTTGGTGCCCCTGGGGTGAACCACAATCCCCAGATCCCTGGCTTCCATTCAAAAACTATTTCTAGCAATTTTTGGAACCTGACATATGAGGCAAAATGGACAGACACAGTTTTTCTCATTCTTTGGGGGAAATTGGCCTGCTCCATTCTTCCGGTTTTTTACCCTGGAATGTGCGAGAGAAGAAGAGATGTGTGTGTGATCTGTGTGTGAGCGAAAGGGAAGCGGGCATGTATGAATTGTGTGGTCTGTTTGTGTCCTGAGGCCATGGCCCACCATCATTTCATTGGTTGCATCTGGATATGGATGTCATATAGGCAACAGTACCAGCATAGTCTTTGAGTGGTGGTATGTGCAGGAGGAGGCAGCGTGGAAAAGACTGGCACCATAGACCTGACCCTGCTCCATTCTTGAATGGTGTGAGGAGAAAGCAGGGTAGGCACATGGATGGAGCCAATCTAGTGTTTTCACCAGTGCTCCTGCACTACCCCAACCTTGCTGTATAGTTGTTGTATAGTTTTGTATCTTTTAATTGTATGGTTGTATGTTTTGTATAGTTTTGTTTCTTTTTGAATAGTAAGAAATAAACAACTATCTGACGTTTAGAAGACATCTGAAGGCAGCCCTGTTTAGGGAAGTTTTTAATGACTGATGTTTTAATGTAATTTTAATCTTTTGTTGGAAGCCGCCCAGAGTGGCTGGGGAAACCCAGCCAGATTGGGTGGGGTATTTTATTTTATTTTATTTTATTTTATTTTATTATTTCTGCCGCCCTGCACCAACCCTGCATCATTGCAGTAAGTGATGGTGATGCCAATGCCACAAGGCTAGATCCTACTGGGTATGTGGCTTAGATGCTACTCGGTATGTGGCTTAGTTTCCAAGAACACTGAGGGAGGGGTCTGCATTTTTCCACCCCTTCTTATATTTTCTCCTTCCCTCCCTCCCCAGGGTGAGCATGTACTGGATACAGCAGTCCTGCTACCAGCACTGCAGTGGCATGTCTCCTGCCCTAGTGTAATTTGGGCATAGGGTTGCTCTGTCCCAGTAGTATAAACCTTTCCATTAACTCTTATTTATTAGAGATGAAATAAGATGTGGTTCTCTTACCATTTGTGTTTCATTCCACTCCCATTATCTTTAGAAGACCCACTCCTTGGCCTTCTGAATTCCAAAATTGTTTTGCTTCTGAGCTCCACTCAGGTGTGCAGGGGGGAACCAAGCAAGGGAAAGAGACCAACTCAGCTGTAAAGGTCAGGTTGTTTTTCAAAGTTCAGCATCACAGCACACATTCCTCTTGTCTTTTTTTCCTCTGAGTGAAAAAGTGGTGCCCCCCTCCCCCCAAAAAGCGAGCCTAAAACACTCTTGAAAGGCATGACCAATCTGCAATGTGCGCTGGTCTCATAGAAAAGGCTCCAACATGGCCACAGAGGAATTTGTATTTAATGGGAGACTGGGAGGGAGGTGGGTGGGTAGGTTCTGAGTTAAACATAGCAAGTAATTTCCTCCTAAAGGTCATCCCAGTTTAGATGTTAAGAGAGCTCTTGTTGTGAATTTTTAAAATTGGAATAGAAATAGAAATGATTTCTAATCAAACGTTTATTATTGTTGCTGCATTTTAAGTCATAGCATATGCACATTTATGCTGTACAATTAGGAAAACAACGAGCAATATTAGAAATTAATACTGAAAATATCAATGTAAATTCAGAAACAGCAAGGGCCTTGAAGTTGCCCACCATGCAGAAAGAAGACAAGTAAGTTTTTTTCCACTGTTATAAGATGTATTGTGTTTGAAGTCCTGTGTAAATGATAGTAATTATTTAAAAACGTGCCTCTGCACACAAAAATTAATATATGTGATTTCTGTGCAAACCTTATTTTTTGGCAATGCATAATTTGTGGGCTTTGGAAGAAGGTGCAGATTTTCAAAATGACTAAGTGGGAAGGCGAAATACAGTGGTATCTCGGGTTATATACACTTCAGGTTACAGACTCCGCTAACCCAGAAATAGTACCTCAGGTTAAGAACTTTGCTTCAGGATGAGAACAGAAATCGTGCTCCGGCGGCAGCAGGAGGCCCTATTAGCTTAAGTGATGCTTCAGGTTAAGAACAGTTTCAGGTTAAGAATGGACCTCCGGAATGAATTAAGTACTTAACCCGAGGTACCACTGTATAGCATTCATTTCTTGGAAACTAATGCAAAAGTACACATACAAATAGCTAGCCAGCCACAAAGCCCACCAGACCATATGCTAAAGATCTGATAAAGATAACACTGAGAGTGTGAGGGTTAATGCCTGGGAAGGCTTTAATAGAAAAGGAAGCTGTATTTGTTATTCACTGCACAAACTTGATTCAGCAATGGGACAGAAAGGAAACACATCAGCAGAAACCCAAACAAGAGGAGATGGTTGTGTGGCAGGCTAGCATTTTGGGACTGACCTGCAGTGGGAACAATTCATTGCTGCACCAGCTTAACATGGTCTTGGGCCATAAACACACCTGTTTCAGGGTGTGGTGGTTAATCTCACATATTGAGCTATAGTGGAGCCCTCAGCTCCCATTCTTGGTAGGAGGAGGATTTTGTTGTGACAAATGCAGCAGGTAACTGGTGAGTCAAGGATGTGCAGGTATCAAATAAATTTTACCACCACAAGTTAGGGATGTGGGAGAAATTCAATTCAGAAGGTGCTGAGACGTCTCTTGCCATCATTTATTGGTTTGATGTCATTGCATCAGCAATGGTAGTTCTGTGGTGTTGGAATAACTTTTTCAAGGATGGGAGAATCAGTCAATTTCTGTTTCTCTGTTTCCCATCCTTAAGTTCTCCACATTTCCGTATCAGTTTGCAGTATATGTGTGTGTCTGTTTTAAGTCCTCGTGAAAATTTGTAAGAGTTTTAGTGTGGAATTCTCCTAATATGCTACTATTTACAATTTGCCTAATATCCACATTTTTGCAAAGCGTGTTTCCCCCAATATAATGCAATTTTCACTAAGTATGCATGTCTATACCCACATTACCTTAGTGTGTGGCTTTTTGGGTTGTTGTTTTTTCTTCAGACCACTTATTATTAATTTACTGCATTTATATCCCACCTTTTTCTCCAAGGAGCTCAAGGTGGCAGACATGGTTCTCCCCTTCCTCATTTAATCCCACCACAGCCCTGTGGGGTAGGTTAGGCTGAGAACCAGTGACTGGCCCAAGGTCAGCTTCATGTCTGGGTGGGAATTTGAACTGTGGTCTCTTAGGTCCTAGTCCATCACTCTAACCACTATGCCACACTGGAAAATGTCATTGCAAAATCTGGAGAAGTGCTAATTTTGAAGGTTGCCTGTGTTCTGTGTTGCATATTGTTTTGGAAAGTACAGAGTAGGTAGATTCTCCTTTAAATGCTAAATGCATCAAATGTCTTCCCCATCCTTAGCTGTCCTGCATAGCAAAGCTGTCCTGCATAGCAAAGCTGTCCTCTGCCACACACCAGCCTTGTTCTGTGCTGGCTTAATGGAGTCTTGCATAATGGAGTCACTGCAACCCCCAATTTGCTGCACCTTACTACAAGGGTTTTTGTGCTTAAGTTAATTTCTTGCATTTATACCCTGCAGTTTCAACACCACAGTAATAACCCATGGCATCTTCCCGTTAAGATAAGGAGAATAATAGTCTCAGATGACAATTGCAGTAAACAAAGGGCTCGATATGGGAGATGGTAGGCCAATGTTGCCATGCAACAGTGTGATCCCTTCCTCTGGGGGTCCTTTGAGGCTTGGGTGGAATAAAACTTGCCAGTATTTAAGGTGAAAAGAATTCTTTCATTGGAACCATAATTGTTCAAGCCAATGCGGCAATTGCCCACAAAGAGCTAAACACATAGGTCATTTGTTTAACACACAAACAATGCAATAATCCTTCTGAGTCTGTAGAGAGGAAAAATAGACAATATGGCTTGCAATTTTGTAGTCAGCCAGTCTAAAAGTTCCAAGTGCTGGGTGCTTCAGTCCCAAGGCAAGAGGACAACTGGTGAATTTATTATCCAAAACTCAAAGGACAGAGCCCTGCAGTCAGAATACAAATATAGCAAATAATGCAATATGTACATGAACTCAGTTTCTACCCACTTCCTGGTTAACCAGACATACACGTAAGTTCAGTTCACCTTACACAAGGTGCTAAGATTCCAGGAATGTTAAGCTTCCAAGGAGAGCTCCCTCCTCCTAGCTCCCCACTGAATATACCCTACTAGCCTAAACTAGCGCACTGATGGGGATTAACAACACAAACAAAGTATCCTGTTGTGCCCCTGTGATTCATTGAGTTAGCTTACCTATTCAGGGCAATATCACAGAGTTTGTGGCACTTTCCAGGCACAACAGCCATAGTGCCCAGTCTTAACACAGCATGGTGGCTTATGGGATCAGACCATAACAATATCATTAGGAACCATAGGAAGCAGCCATATACCCAGTCAGACCATTGGTCCATGTAGCTCAGGATTGTCTACACTGACTGGTGGGAGCTCTCCCAAGGTTTCAGGCAGGAATCCTTCCCAGCCAGGGATTGAATTCTGGGCAATTTGGCATTCAAGCCAGATATTCCACCACTGAGCTGTAGCCTGATGAATGCAGACTTGCACATATCCTAAGAAATGACATATGCATTCTATTCAGGAGCTGGGGGAGTCAATTAAAGACTCTCTCTACCCTCTCCTCCTCCTCCTGAAGATGATCTTTTAAAATTGAAGAGTCATAAGCAAAGCTGGTATGGCGATCTATTCCCCTTAGCTGTTCCTAATTGAAAACTGATTAATGCAATCATTCTGTGCATAATAAAGCTAGAACGCAAACCAGCATAAACAGGAATTCTTCTAGCTTGATAGCAAAGACCTTCTTGAAAAGAGTCAATAGCATTAAAAACACAGAGACATTTAACATCACGTAATGTGTTTCTATCAGGATCTAAGGCCTGCAGGCAACCTATAGATTTATTACCTCTGACATGTGTAAAATAGCCTTGTACTGCCTATCAGCCTTCCTTCAAACCAGAAGGCTACTTACTTCTTATGACACATTATATTACAGTCAGTGGATGGCTCTACATTTTACACTCAGGCTTGGATTTTACATATTAAAGGGCCACTTTTGACCTGGCTTTTAGCAGGGAGTGAAGCAGTTAAGGAAGCGGGGGCATGTCTGTTTATGAAGCTGCTATCATTTGCTGCCTTAAAGATAAGCATGGGCCAACTCGCTTATCCTCAGTATACTACGTTAGCCATTAGTTGCCTAGATGCTAAATCATACATCCAGATCAGATGTTGACTTTATAGATTTGATATATAGAAAAATACACCGAATGTGCAGTCATAATGACTCTGTGTGATGCTAAAATGTACTGTTCTGCAAATTGCTGGAGAGCCAGATGCCCACATCCAGACACACATTCTCATGCGTTCCCATTTACATCAGTTTCTTGCCAGCCAACTTTATTTATTTGTTTGTTTGTTTGATTGATTGATATACGGATTTCTATCCTGCCCTTCCAATGCTTACAACAGTTAAAACCAATTATAAAATACAATGAGAATCATGCTAAGATAACAATAGGATAAGGTGAAGAGAGGTTCAACAGATGAAGCAAAGGCATAAGATAGGATAGGAAATTATCTACTCATTAAAACAGAGGCCTGCTGGAATAAAAAAATGTTTTTACCATCCAGTGAGACACAGCAGGAGAAGAGGGCTGGCAATCAAGCATTTCAGGGCAAAGAACACAACCATTGGAAAAGGTCCTTGTCCCTATCAGCCAAGCCCCCATCTTAGCTGGGACACAAAGAAGAGTATCTGCACCAGATATTAGGAGGCAGGGAGGATGGTACAAGAAGTGGTCTGTAAGGTACTTAAGCTGTAAGGGTAGTTGGTAACACATTACGTTACGACCTGAAAGTGAGATGAGTGCCGCAACCCCATAGTCACCTTTGACTGGACTTAACCATCCAGGGTCCTTTACCTTTACCTTTTTTACTAGCCATGATGCCATGCTTTGCCTCCACAGTTGGAGGCAGCAATGCTTTCGAATACCAATTGCTGGAAACCATGGGAGAAGAAGGTGCTCTGGTGTTCACCTTCTGCGGGCTGGTTGGTTGGCCACTGTGAGAACAGGATGCTGGACTGTATGGGTCATTCGCCTGATCCAGTAGGCTGTTCTTATTTCGGATATGGTGCACAATTAACATAAAATTATGCAGGGCCGGCCCTACCATTAAGCAGGTGGCAGATGGTTGGTGGCGTGGGTGGCAGTGAGGTGTTGCAAGGACAGCTCACTGCCTTAAGGATACTGCAGATCACCCGTGTTGAAAATAGTTTTGACTTCTTTTGTGCAATGGGGAGGGCGTTGCCCTTCAACACGGGCAGCAAAATGTATTGGGCTGGCCTTGACACTCTGGTTAGTCACCACTTGGTAAACAGCCCCTATAATCGCCCATATTCAGCTGAGCGTATAACTGGTTTCCGGCTCATTGTGTAAGAAGACATAATGTTAGGCCAACTTGCCTTCCACATGAGAACATGATCAAAAATGATCCCTGATTCAGTATGCGTTATAACACTTCTTTTAAAGTTCAGCTAATTTAAATCGATAGCTGGTTCTTATTATAGCATCTGGTATTTGAGAATATTGCTTACTGTAATCCAAAGTACCAATTGCAGCCAATTGTGTTTCATGCAAAAACACAACCCTGGTTCACCTAGGTCCATAAGCTACTTGACAAGTATAAAGCCTAAATGAGGTCTCTGTGATTCCTAAAATTGACGTGAGCAGGAACAGTGTACTTCATCCCTTTAGTGCATTTTTGAGAAGGGACTGAACATTTGGCACATGTTTACCAGTGCCAAACAACTGCATCCTTGTGGAATATGTAGCATTTTGCAATTAACCTCGAAGGCTGACCTCTTGAGAGGCTTAATGTGCTTCAGAGGCCCAGTCCTAATCAAGACTTCAGCATCCCATCATTCCGGGACCACAGTTCACCTACGTGGGTTATTTCTTTCTTTTCAGCATGATGAAAACTTGAATTTCCAACAAAATAGCCTGTCATGAATGCACACAAAGTCTATTCTCTCTCTCTTAAAAGAAAAAACCATTCATGCTGATTTTTAATAAAATAACCTGAATGTTCTTTGTAAGAGGTTTCCTCTCTTACTGGCATCCACTTTGGCCTTCTCCTGGACTTGGATTCCCTTTGTTCCTCGTTTCTTTGGTATTCTACACTGTTTCTAATGTTTTTATAATGGAATTATTCTGCCTCGCCCTGCAGGCTGTGGGGCTGTGTGCTTTCTAAATAATATTATATTTATTTTTAAATGAAAGTGCTGCCCACCCACTAAGAGCCTGCAGTGCTAAATCTCCTTTATTAATTTGTCTACCTACCTGCCATTATTCTTGTGCTGGCCCTATTAGCTTAAATGGGAGCTGCTCTGCTGCACCTGAGGGAGCAGCGGGCCATAAATATGCATGCAGTCAGCCTGTCAGTGTTACTCCTCTACCTGGGACTGTCCTTGATGACTGCTTGGAAGCTTAAATTGACACACAGTTTTTGACAGGGGTGGGAGCATATGTGCCAGCAATATCAGCATTAGCCTCCTGCTTTCGTAACAAAATGTAGGGTGCTTCTTTATTACCAAGAAAGCCTCCGATAGCTTGAGCCCAACATTTCTGTTTATTTAGGGAATGTATACCCTGTCTTTTCCCTAAAGCAGTGCTCAAAATATAATATATAAGCAATCTCAAAAAACAAGCAATCAATAAAACAGTTGCAGGTAGAAAGGATAAAATCACATTGTATGATTATTATGATTATGATTATGATTATTATAGCTTGTGACACACAGTAACCTAATGTGACTTACATTAAAAAAGCAGGGTGTACAGCGTGAGAAATATTAATGGCTGCATTCCACATGTTTGCTAGAGGAGATACCGTAATTGCACCACCCAAAGTAGACCAGAGAGGACTGAGCATGCTCAGTGGGTGTGGAATACTGACTGACTATTGAGGTGCAGGTGCAGATGGGCAAATCTGTCAATTTCATTTCTCTCTGTGTCTCATTTTCCAGTCTTCAATTCATTTCTCTATGAATGGGTTTCCCCAGCCACTCTGGGCGGCTTCCAACAAAACACTAAAATACAATAACCTATTAAACATTAAAAGCTTCCCTAAACAGGGCTGCCTTCAGATGTATTCTAAAAGTTTAGTAGTTATTTTTCTCTTTGACATCTGGTGGGAGGGCGTTCCACAGGGCTGGTGCCATTACCGAGAAGGCCCTCTGCCTGGTTCCCTGTAACTTGGCTTCTCGCAGTGAGGGAACCGCCAGAAGGCCCTCGGTGCTGGACCTCAGTGGCCGGGCAGAACGATGGGGGTGGAGACACTCCTTCAGGTATATTGGACCGAGGCCATTTAGGGCTTTGAAGGTCAGCACCAACACTTTGAATTGTGCTCAGAAACGTACTGGGAGCCAGTGTAGGTCTTTCAAGACCGGTGTTATATGGTCTCGGCGGCCGCTCCCAGTCACCAGTCTAGCTGCCGCATTCTGGATTAGTTGTAGTTTCCAGGTCACCTTCAAAGGTAGCCCCACATAGAGCGCATTGCAGTAGTCCAAGCGAGAGATAACTAGAGCATGCACTAGAGACAGTCTGCGGGCAGGTAGGGTCTCAGCTTGCATACCAGATGGAGCTGATAAACAGCTGCCCTGGACACAGAATTGACCTGCGTCTCCATGGACAGCTGTGAGTCCAGAATGACTCCCAGGCTGCGCACCTGGTCCTTCAGGGGCACAGTTACCCCATTCAGGACCAGCGAGTCCTCCACATCCACCCACCTCCTGTCCCCCAAAAACAGTACTTCTGTCTTGTCAGAATTCAACCTCAATCTGTTAACCGCCATCCATCCTCCATCCGCCTCATGACACTCACACAGGACCTTCACCGCCTTCCCTGGTTCTGATTTGAAAGAGAGGTAGAGCTGGGTATCATCCGCATACTGATGAACACCCAGCCCAAACCCCCCTGATGATCTTTCCCAGCGGCTGCATGTAGATGTTGAAAAGCATGGGGGAGAGGACAGAACTCTGAGGCACCCCACAAGTGAGAGCCCAGGGGTCTGAACACTCATCCCCCCCACCACTTTCTGAACATGGCCCAGGAGGAAGGAGCGGAACCACTGTATAACAGTGCCCCCAGCTCCCAGCCCCTCTAGACAGTCCAGAAGGATGTTATGGTCAATGGTGTCAAAAGCCGCTGAGAGATCCAGCAGAACTAGGAAACAGCTCTCACCTTTGTCCCTAGCCCGCCGGAGATCATCAACCAGTGCGACCAAGGCAGTTTCAGTCCCATGATGAGGCCTGAATCCCAACTGGAAGGGATCCAAATGGTCCGCTTCTTCCAGGCGTGCCTGGAGTTGTTCAGCAACCACTCGCTCAATCACCTTGCCCAAGAATGGAAGATTTGAGACTGTTATTTTCACTTGCATATGCATTTTTAATGCACACTTCCCGTAGTATATGCATATTATACAAATTGCGTGGCAGGAGGAACCTCATTGGAAAATCTGGAGAAATGCAAATTGCAAAGGATAGGCGTGTTTCAGTCCACATCTTGTTTCAGAATATGCAAATTGGGTAGGCTTGCCTTTCAATGAGAACTGAAGGGTGTGCAGAATGGAATAGAGTACAATATATGGAAAAGCAGTGTCCCTGGGTGGCTAGAATCAGGAGCCCTACACATTGCAACATTTGCTACAGCCCACATCTGTTTCATCTACAGTACAGTATATAGCTGAGGCTTATCTGCTTGCTTCATTTTGATTGGTAATTGGTAATTAAAAATGTGTTATTAATAGATTGCTGCTCACCTACCGAAACTCTATGGATAGAACAAATTAAAAAGCTACCCACGCTCACATGTCCAAAACAGAATAATATACACATGGTCCAGTTTGGCTTTCAGCAACAGCAATGAAAGAGCACTTGTCTGTGCGACATCTTTTCCCCAGTTGCCTGGCTGATCTGCATGGCTAAGACATCTGTGGTCTGCTGCAAAATTCATGTGACATAATTATTATAATAACAATTGAGAGTATTTGGCTTGCTTGGGCCAAGAGTTTTCCTGTCAATTTCAGCTGCAGTCTGGACTGTGAGACTGACTGTAAGAGATAAGAGCTGCAGCGCTGGCAAGAAGGTTTTGTTTGCTTGACAATTTGCTGTCAGAGATACAACCCTGACAAAGGAAAAGCTAATGCACTAAGAGTTTCTGAAAGCAGAGAAAATAAGTGTGTGTGTGTGTGTGTGTGTGTATGTGTATGTGTATATGTATATGTATATGTATACTGTATGTATACTGGAGCGGGTGGGGAGAGGGGAGATTCCACTCAGGGACAGATGGAACCTGATCCATGTGGTTTTGCAATTAATGAGAAAATAAATACGTCTTGCACCCATTGTGATCTAAAAGCAATCAAATTAGAAAGAATCAACAAGCTCATAGGAAAGAGTGTTTGACTTGGGGTAGGCAGACTTGGATTCAAATCCTGATCACTGGGTGGCCTTTGGCGAATCACTTACTACCTCTCAGTCTAACCTACCACAGAAGGTTGTTGTTAAGATAAAGCAAAATAGCTCCATGTGGATATTCAGCCTCAGGCTGAAATACAAGTGTGATGGATAGATCTTCCTGCCATGGGGTAAGCTTCCATCCTGGGGGCAGGGGGAGAGAGAGATTGTAATCAAGATACCCTCAAATCAGTGCGTTTGTTTTAAAGCAGCATTGGTCAGCATGGTGGGGCAGAACCGCAAAGCTGCCCTCCCACCATCGCTGTAGCTTACTTGGATGGGGCAGGGGTGAGGCTGGGTGGCAGTGAGGTCAGGACTGTGCAGATGCAGGAATGCCCTGACTCACCTCAGGCTGCATCCACACCATGTATTTAAAGCACTATGATACCACTTTAACTGTCATGGCTTGCCCCAAAGAATTATGGGAACTGTAGTCCTTCACAGCCTAGGACCCTCGTACCTACGGGACCGTCTCTCCCGATATGCCCACCTGGCCTTTGGCTTGGAATCAATTTGTTTCCCTCCCCCTCTTTCTTTTTTCCTTTCTCCTTCTGGGTTGGAACTCCTATTTGGGGACTTCCCTGGCTTTTTTCTGGCCCATGTAGGACCAGTCTGGATAGTTAGCCTTGGTGAAGACTTGACGTTTTCATCCCCCAAAAAAGTTTTTGATTGAGTTTCCACTGAAATGTGGCTGCATTTTAATGTTTTAATGTTGCATTTTAATCTTGTTTTTTAAGCTGTATTTCAATCAATTGTTTTTATATTTGGTGTTAGCCACCCTGAGCCTGGTCTTGGCTGGGGAGGGTGGGGTATAAATAAAATTTATTATTATTATTATCATTAGTTCATTAAGAATGCTGAGAGGTGTTAGGAGACCCCTCAGAGCTACAATTCCTGAAGTGGTTTAACAATTGAGCCTTCTTCCCAAAGAACTCTGGAAATTAAAGCTCTGTGAGAGGAATAGGGGTCTCCTAACTCTCAACACCCTTAACAAACTACAGTTCCCAGGATCTTTGAATGTTTGATGAGGCTGTGGCCTCAGAATGCTGCCACTGCCTAGGCTTGCCACATGTACATTCAAGCCTAGATATTTTGCTTTCATATATATATATATATATATATATATATATATATATATATATATATATATATCTCAGACCTAACTTTTAAAATGTGTCTTATGCCGTGCTACTTTCATTATGCACTTGGTGCCCTCCAGACATTTTGGACTATACAGCCTCACCAGTGGAAGTTGTTGTCCAATACTGGAGGGCACCAGGTTGGTGAAGACTGGTTTAGAGTAGCTTGGCAAGCCTGGTTATTAACTGATAATTTACACACATAAACTGTGAGGGTTAGACAACTGGCTGTTTGTTCTCCCTCCCCTTTTCTGTTTTACATTTTATTACCCTTGCTGATAAATATCTTGTGGCCAAGGTTACCTTGAGGAAATAGTCGTAAGGTCCATCTACGTGCTTCTGGCAGAGAAATTGGCAGCGAGCAAATGTTCATAGACAGCTCCCAGCAGGGATACTTTTTGAATAAAGGTACAATAAATAGCCTGTAACACCAGGCACATGTTAGCGGGGGAAAGATAGCACTGCATTTTTGCACTCTTAAATGTTCTCCGTAGCCTAGCAAGCAAGCAATTGCAAAAGACACCCCTGATCCCTATCTTCCTCACTCCCCTCCTTCCACCCACAACTAGCACATATTTAAGAATACATTTGGGCTTGGTTCAAGGGTGGAGTCTGATGTGCAGGAGGGTCCAAAATGCAGGCAAGTGTTGTTTCATTACACACACACACACACACACACAGAGAGAGAGAGAGAGAGAGCGCGCAACAATACATAGCATAAAGGTAAAGGGACCCCTGACCATTAGGTCCAGTCGTGGCCGACTCTGGGGTTGCGGCGCTCATCTTGCTTTATTGGCCGAGGGAGCCAGCGTACAGCTTCTGGGTCATGTGGCCAGCATGACTAAGCCGCTTCTGGCGAACCAGAGCAGCGCACGGAAACGCCGTTTACCTTCTCGCCAGAGCGGTACCTATTTATCTACTTGCACTTTGCCATGCTTTTGAACTGCTAGGTGGGCAGCAACGGGAGCTCACCCCGTTGCGGGGATTCGAACCGCCAACCTTCTGATCAGCAGGTCCTAGGCTCTGTGGTTTAACCCACAGCGCCACCCGCATCCTTAATACATAGCATAACACCCTGTTAATTAGGATCAGCCAATATACTAAGACACAGGCCTCATTCTCTGACTTCTCGTATACTGAACTGCCATAAACAATAGTAAAACGTAAAAGCCTCATTATAACTTCATGCACCTGCCAGAGCAAGGAGAGACCATTGGTTATCCTGGTGCTCCAGCAGGCAATGCTATTGCCCCTCCTCCAAAGAGGGGCCTGGAGCTGCCTTCCTCCCCAGTTGTTGCCCCTCCACCAGTAGTTGCCAGAGGAGCAGCAAGGTCAGGGCAGCTCACCTGGCTTCCCAGTGTCACACAACACTGCTGGATACCAAGGGCAGGGGAGAGCAAGGGGCAAGGCCGCGGGGAGCTTGGCACAGTGAAGACGCAGCAGTGGAGCCAACCTGATGCTCCTACTGCTGTTCCCATGATGTGCTGAATTCCCCACCTCTCAGTGACCGGCAGCAATGCATGCTGTAGGGAAGCCCAGGGAGCAACAATACCCACCTGCCGCTAGTGCCCTCCGTTGGATCAGTGCATTTGAGCACAGTTCAGAGAAAGCTAAGCCCATTTAGGACTGGTTCCACATGAGCATTTAAACCCTTTCACATCGCTCCCACCACTCAATGGCTTGCAACCAAGGGGAAGGACTAGGTCTCTACTGAAAAGTATAACTGCATCTCAGACCTGAATATGGGTCTTCTGCTGTTTCTGAGTTTTAATTTTTCAAGCGAACCAAATCTGGGAGCCTCTGGGGGAAATCATTCACTCACATGCTGCAGAATGTTTTCCGTTTTTCATACTGAAACTGCAAATGCTGTTACACAGCCTTTGTCAGAGAGGTGAATAATTTTTAAAAAGAGAGAGGGAAATGTGCTTGAAGTTTATTTGCCTGTTTTAGGAAAGCTACAGTGGGAAAACAGCTATCAACTTCACTTTTAGATTTGTGGGTGTAGCGTAAATTACCTCAATTAAAATCTTTAAAGCAAGAAAGGGAAACTGGCTGAGGCAATTCAGATTATATGAAACCTCCACCTGTTGGGCTTGATCTCTTGAATGTGATGATCGCACATGTGTCAACTGCTGTTGACATCAGTGGGATGCGGCTGTGTTGCATTGATGTCCCTGGGGCATGAGCACGCTTCACTGTTTTGCTTGTGGCGCACAGCCCTGATATAATGATCGGATCTGGACACTTCAGTTCAGGCAAGGGGATGAATGGAGCACCTGCCTGACATGACTCCCCTATTTGTTTCAGTTCTTCACACACACCACTTTATGCTTGGTACATTTTGTGTAGTTAATTGGGGGGCGGGGGGTGGGAATGCCTGCGTATCCACTCTGCAGCAGCAGTGTTAATTGCAATTGGTTCAAACCACTGAACACTGAACTTTATAATTTGTCATTAGGTTTGCTCCACTCTTAATTGCACAGCTCTTATTATTGCATAGTAATAATTCAGGGAGGCCTGTAACAAGGGTGGTAGCAGTAGATCAATACAGAAATAAAGTCATTTTTGATTAATTGATTAATGGATGAAACGGTCCTTTGCAAATGGAGACATTAGTATCTATTCCCTAAAATCAATAAAGCTTTTGAAGATTCCTTGGTGTTAACAGAGAATAAGAAAGTGTGTGTGGGGGGGTCTCATTTGAAAGCAGAGCCAGACATTCAAAAGGATCACACATTGCAGTCTCCTGGGGCCCTCTGAGTTGGCTCCAGAGGCTCAGTGAAATCTCATGCACATTTACCCCAAAGTAAATATCATTGTGCTCAACGTGTGAGCAAACATTGAATAAGCAGCCTGCCGACTGATCTCAGGCCCCATTGAAATCAATAGGACAGGCTAACCATGATGTAACTTGAACCCCGTCTCTTTCAACAGGAATTAAGCACAACTAACTTAGTCGGGATCTAACCCCAGATGTTTGCTTTGTGACCAATGGTTGGCTGGGGATTTGCTGTGTTACGGTTAGTGGGCATGCTTGAGAGTGAAGCGGAAGATTGGGAAATGGTACTGCAGGGAGAGAGTGCAGCTTCTATCTCAGAAGGCTCATTAGGGAGGAAGGGCAGGATATGCATTCAAAAATAAATAAATTGTTGCTAATGAAATATGGAACCTTTATTGCAGTTTTCTGTTTGATTTTTATTGCTAATGTTTTATCAGTATGCAGTTTTATCTTTATTGTAGTTTGTATTTGATTTTCGTTTGTAATGTTTTAATTTTGGTATTTTGTCATGTCCTATTCAGTGTTTTATAATAGGTTGTTAACTGCAGAAATAACTGTCAAGGAAATTCATCAGCATTTTATTTTGAATTTCTCCTAATGCATACATTGCATTTAATCTTGTGTAATAATGCACATTTTCGCAAAGCAATTTTCCCTGGTGTATTGTTGTGTTATTTCCACAAATCTATACATTTTTATGCACACTTTACTCATTTCTGTGCACACTGCTTTGCTGGAGAAATGTGGATTTTGAAAGATGGCTGTGTTTTGGTTCATATATTGTTTCGGAGGGTGCAAATTAGGTAGGTTCGCCTTTAAATGCAAACTGAATTGCATTTCTCCCTCATCCATTATCACAGAACAGTCTGCCCAAGAACCCATGGTTGACTTGGAGGCACCACTCAGTCATTCAGTTGGTCACCTGCATCCTGAAGTGCTCCAGTCCCAGAAGGCTGTGCTACCCATTTCTCTTGTACATGTAGCTGAGTCCTGAGTTCCTCATATTTATGAATCCCTCCTCTGATACCCATTTGGCTTTAGCTGTTTTTATTTCTAGTCCACAGGCAGCCTTTCAGAACTAAGAGAAGCAGAATGTTCCAAGTACATGGCTAATGTTTCCAGGATTTCAATGAAAAATCAATAGTGTGCAGCATGAGGGCAGTAAAAAAACCAAGAGCGGGGAGCAAAGCGGCAAACACGGGTTGTGCAAAGACACCTTGATGTTTTGTTTGGAGAGCATTCCATCATGGAAAGTTGTGGTTAACTGAAGGCTTGTGTTTTAATATTTTGTGGAGTTTTTGATGGCTTCCCCTGCGAATCAGTGCTAAACAAATTAACCAAACAAGATTTCAGATGATATATTCCTTATTGTAAAGCAGTGGTAGGGAACCTTTGACCTTCCAGATGTTGCTAAACTATAGCTCCCATCGACTGTAGCAAGCATGGCCAATGGCCAGGGATGATGGAGTTGTGGTTCAAAAGCATCTGGAGGGGCAAAGGTTCCCCACACTGGTTGTAAAGGGTCGTGATATGGAGTACAGCTGGAGTGGGACTTTTCTCAGCCTGGTGGTTGCATTCCCACCTGGAAAGCCTTCCAAGGGCCACATGCCAATAGCAGGACCAGAAGCAAAAGGGGGTAGAATAATTAAATAAACCTTTGTTTAATAGGCTGTGTTCCACCTACGCAAAAATACAAGGTTTCTGCACGCTCACATCTTTCCATCCTCCATCCAGGCAAGCAAGGGGCACTGTCACAGTTCAAGGACACATTAGACAGAAACACTTGAGGAGAGTGCAGATCACAGCCAGTGTGTGTTGTTGCCTTTGGAGGGGCCCAGTGAGAGTCCCAAGGGTTGTGATATGAAGGTATGGAGGGCTGCATTGGGCTTCCAAGCCTGATGTTTCCCATCCATGGAGTAGCCAATTTATCAAGTTCAAATGGCACAGCAAGCTGTGGTTCATCTAAAAGAGAAGCAAAACCTTCCAAACTGGAGGAGGAAGGAGGAAGAATCAGAGTCCAATATAAGACTTCTTATCAATAAAACATAATTTATCTGGCTGCCTGACATGGTCATGATCTCTTAAGTTTGCATAGAAGGATTCTTTCAAGCTAGATTATGTGATATTATTGTTAATATCAGTAGTAGTAGTTGTATTTCCCTACAGTGGTCTAAACCACTGAGCTTCTTGGGCTTGCTAATCGGAAGGTCAGTGGTTTGATTCCATGCGATGGGATGAGCTCCCGTTGCTCTGTCCCAGCTTCTGCCAACCTAGCAGTTTGGAAGCACACCAGTGCAAGTTGATAAATAGGTATTGCTGTGGTAGGAAGGTAAACGGTGTTTCCGTGCGCTCTGGCTTCCGTCATGGTGTCGCGTTGCGCCAGAAGCGGTTTAGTCATGCTGGCCACATGACCTGGAAAGCTGTCTGTGGACAAACACCAGTTCCCTCGGCCTGAAAGTGAGATGAGCGCCACAACCCCATAGTCACCTTTGACTGGACTTAACCGTCTAGGGGTCATTTACCTTTACCTTAATAGTATTTATTAAATTTGTATACCACTCTCTGTCTGAAGATCACAGGGCAGTTCACAACATAAAACATTATAGAAACAAATGCATTCTTCAATACTGAAAACTAAGTTTCATTGTTAGTCTCTTTTTTGTTTTATGACTTATAGTTCAGAAGATTGTGTATCCTACATATTCATTTTGTAAGCCAGATTGATTTGTTACTGCTGTGCAGCATTTCTCCATAATACAATGGTCCCTGAGATGGCAGTAAAATAGTTGGGTGGAATCCAGTGAGTGCCCTTGCACTCAGGGAAGAGCTTCTGATTTCTCAGAAGGACCCAGCAATAAAAGAAAAGGGGAGGCAATTTTGGGGTAAGTGTCATAGCTCAGTGGCAGAGCACTTGTCCTGCTTACTGAAGGTCCCAGGTTCAACTTCAGGTAGGAAGATGTCCCCTGTCTGAAATCACTGCTAGTCATTGTAGACAATACTGGGTTTGATGGAGCAATAGTCGAATTCAATATAAGACATCTTCCTCTGTTCTCTCCCCTTGTAGCATCTACCCCCTTCCCCTGAAAATCAGCTCCAGAGAATGGTTGGATCCTCTAGAATAGGGTGGGAGGGGATGTGCAGGAGAGGTTAGGTGGAAGAAGGAATGGGCAAAAAAGCATTTTCTCTCCTCTTCCATTAGCAGATGCTAATGAATCAATAGCCCTTCCGTTAGTGCAGAGGCACCAACTGGAATCCATCCAATTATTTTTTAAAAAAAAGTTTAATAAAAAATAGAGCATCTAGAAAATAAAAATCTCCACAGATTTCAGCTCAAGTTAAGCAAATGTATTTATCACCTACTGAAATCTGTTAGAATTAAAAGTGCTTAAGTTTGACTGGATCGTGCCCTTAGCATCTCCTAGCTAATGAATATTCACACAAGGCACTCTGGTATCTAAAGGAAATGTGCTGTGGTAGTGAAGGACAGTTAAACGAATTACAAAAAGAGAATTCATTTCTCACTGGAAACATAAACCACCAGTCAAACAGAATATATTGCCAAATAAATCACAGCTTGGTTGCATATTGAATCAAGAATTTTTAGTTTATCAGCCACATGGAATCAGCAGAGCAGATATTGTGGAGGTACTTCAGATGCTATTTCAGTATTCTCAACCCTCAACTACCAAATCTAATTAATCAAGTAATGGATCATAAAGGTTCTCTATTAAAATGCCAAGCGCTTTAGCCCTCATTAGCAGAAGCAGTTCCAGTGTTCTCTCTGAGGTTGCTCTATGTAAAAGCACACAATTTACTGCGTCAGCTTAGGCAATCCGTTATTCTAGTTCAGTATCTGTCTTCAGAGGAAGGCAAAAATCTATCTGTTCCTTTACCACTTGTGTTGTCCTCTTTATCAAGTGGGAGAGGAATAACTTATGATACCTGTAGTGATCATCTGACCTTCAGAAGAATGAGATGTGATCGCCCCTGTATTAGTAACACCTGCAGTGACACATACTATTAGGAGGCCAAATTGTCAAGTCCCTTTTCAAATGCTGCTGTAGCATGTTGCCTTTGTGATTTCTCTCCTCTATGAATGCTGCTCCAGTGAATTTCTTCCTTTAGGTGAAAGTCTTCAGGAGATATAAAATCACTGAGGCCCAGGCAATGAGTAGGCTCCTGTAGAAGTTCTGCAATTCTACCTTGGTGTCCATGTGTCCCTTGTGACAAAGGACAGTCCTCTATTTGAGGTGCTCTCCAATCCAAATCTGGTTTAAAGAGAAAGACTCATACGATGGGGCCCAGAATTTGCCCATCTGTGGTTAGCACCTAGACAACAGACTGAGCGGGTGCACACAGGTTTCTTGCGGGCTCACAGGATTGGCTGGGCAGGCTAGAAGGAAAATTAACCAGCAAGCAAACATCCTAATCTGGAGGGGGGAAACTTTACCCTAAAAGGTCAAATTTCCTTAGGAAGACATTGGAAGACTCTCTCTCTCTGTGTGTGTGTGTGTGTGTGTGTGTGTGTGTGTGTACACATGCACACATGGGACCCCTCTAGACTGGATATTTTTGCAAGTGTCTTGTCTCTACACCTTGTCACCAGTCACATATACACCGTACATTGAAAGCACACTTATAAAGCTTTATCAGTCATAGCATCTGCCAAAGTATCCTTGGAACTGTAGTCCCACACCATTCCTAGTTCCCCTAGGAGCTGGGGGAGGGTGTGTGGCCTCAAGGATCTTGGAAGACCTCATTCAGGCCCTGGAACTGACGTTTCCCACCCCTGATTCACACATTTCAGATGCATGTAAACAGTCATATTTGGATGTCCGAAATGGTAAAGATAAGGCAACCAAACCCACTTTTACTTTCTCTTTGATTCTTTCCTACCCTTATACTGCCACTACTTTCGACATTCTGAGTCAGCCTTTGTGACATAAAACAAAACCCTTCACCCAATAGGGTCCTGTGCAAGCTGTACTTCATGCTGGGGCGCCATTATGCCATTGCCACGATTCCTCCGAAATGCCTTAGAGCGTTAACTGTGATGCGCTCAACAGCCAAAGGCCACACTGTCAGGTAAATAGCAACAGCAAATCTAAGTGGTGGTAGAAGAAAAAAACAGCTGCACATCTATTCTATCTCCCTTGGCAACAGCATCCTGACAACCGAAATGCTGCCATGTAATGGCTAAAAAGGAGAATGGGTTTTATAGAGTAGAAAACTAGAAAGGGCAGGTGTTATTTGAACAAAGAAGTGCTAGGGATGATTCACTCAGAGTGGAATGGGGGAGAAGTCCAATTCGGTTCATATTTAAAGGTGAATATACCTAGTGTGCACATTCCAAAAGAATATGTGAACCAAAGCACAAGATTTATACCTCTGAATTTTGCAATGCAGCTCTTGAGATACGTGTGCAAAACTGGATATATTAGTGAAAATAATGCCAAAAATGTGTATATTGGGAGAAATTCACATTAAAATACTGCTGAATTATCATTAAGATGTTTTTTAAATGCAAACTGATGCGGAAATGTGGAGAACTGAACTTTAGACTGGAAAAATGAGAACCTCAGAGAAGCCAGAAATGACATACCCATTTCCCCCCTATTCACGCACAAATGTGCATCACTCGGATGCCCTTTCACCCTGTGCATGTGCATATTTCCATCAAATGTGGATATTTTTGCCTCTGAATAGCCGCATTGCAGCTATGACTAGCCTTGCTCAGTTTGGAATATTCTTACAGAATCGTCATAAAACTTGGCATTAATAAAGTACTTGTGTATTCAGAGCACTTCGCACATGTGTCTGTTTTCCTGAACTTGGTGCCCTCTAGATGTTTTGGACTGCAGTTCCCATCAGCAGCCAGCTTGACCAGTGGCCAGGGATTATAGTTCAAAGCATCTGGAAGACACCAGGTTGGAGGAGGATGATCTAAATAATCCTCCTAACAGTGCTTATAAGGTAGGCAAGATTCATTATCCACCAAACACAGGAGAGGCCTGAGGCTAAAAGGCAGTGGCTTGTCTGTGGCCAGCCAGTGGATTCCTAGTACAGGGGTGGAGAACTACAGCTCCCATATCCCTGGGACTATACAAGAACTACAGCTCCCACCATTCCAGGTCATTGGCTGTGCAAGCTGGGGCTGGTGGGAGTTGGAGTCCAACAATATTTAGATGGCCAGAGGCCACTATCTGTTCTAGTGGAAGTGAGAGTTGAATTGGAGAATTAAAATCCACACCAACTCTTTCTACACCAGGCTTGCACCTTTACAGGTTGTGTCTCAGGTGTCCATCATACATGTATATAGAAAATTACACCATAGACAAGGTCGTCAAGACATTGCTTTTCTCCGTTTACTTCACTGTCCTTTTCCCTTAGCCCCATTGCAACCAGATGTCTTAATTTTCTAATGAAGTGGGGGTGGTGGTGGTTCTTGAGTCATTAAGGCTAATGAGGAATGACTGGGGCACTTGCTCCAGCCAAATAATTGGCCAGAGCTTTCTCAGTAGGAAGTTTCACAACTTCTCTCATTTGACAATGTTTTCTTAGGCTTCCGGGCTTCTCTTGCCTTCACCTCCTTCCCCAGTTTCAAAGGAGGGTATATGCTGCTCTTATTTTAACAAAATATGCGGGGGGCGGGGCTTAATACTCAGCTTCCACAGATATAGGCAGCCTACGTTGGCCCTGATCCATTACGCCATACAAATACATCACAGTGTTAAGACCATTGCATTACATCCATTACATTTCTGCCTTAATCCCATTGATCTCTATAGGATTAAACCTGTAATGATTACAGATTTAAAACCACATAAATCAATGGGATTAAGGCTGTAATCCACTGTGCATTTACCTGTGAATAAGACCTGTTGAATGCAACGCAGTTTACTTCTGAGTAAACATAAGAAGGATTACACCAAGTGTCAGCAACCTAAGGCCTATGGGCCGGAAGCAGCCCACTGAGGCTGTATAACCGGCCCCCGAGCCGCCCCCAAACCGAACCGCCCACTTGGTGAGTCCCCGCATGCTGCACTAAACTGGCACAGCGTGACACCGGGACTCTCTTCGACGGCTCTGGAAATTGCTTCTGTGCATGTCCAGATGCCGGTAATCGCGTCTGCTCGTGTCCGTGGTGCCGGAAATTGCTTCTGTGCAGGCATGATTTTCAGCATCTGGGCATGCGCAGGCGCAATTTTCAGGATTTTGGTCTGACCCACGGAGGATGTCCATGGGAGTGATCTGGCCCATGCCTGATAAGCCTTGCTGACGCCTGGATTATACTGTATATGCGCCTGACTCGGCCAATCCTATATATGTCTCCTTGGGAGGTTAGTAGCTAAAGGAATGCAACCTGAAGCTACTTTTGTCGGTTTCCCCACACTCCTTGGTCTCTAATTAGTCTGTATGCAACTGGGTAATTAACAGATTCAACTTCTAATTCCTCAAGTATTTATCTAACAGCATGAAAATTTCAAAGCTATACAAAACATGAGATACCTTCAGAGAATCAAAATTGCATATTGAAATATTCTTTCTTGCCCAGTGCACATGATCAGTTCAGAAGAGTGGGTGCCCACTTAGTAGTTCCACTGCCCACAGAAGTTTGAGGGGTTGCCCCAGGAGAAGGCGTTCTCTGTGTCAACCCCCATGTTACGGAATTCCCTCCCCAGAGGTATGTTTGGTGCCTTCACTATTGAGTTTCCATTGTATGCTGAAGGTGCACTTCTTTACCTAGCCTTCAACACTTGAGAAATAGTTTTTTAGAACTTGCCCTATTCTTGTGACTGTAATTTGCTTTCTACCGTTTTAATATTGTATGTTTAATTTACTGGAACCTATCCTCAGACCACATGGTGAAGGGTGGTTAAAAATTGAATTCATCTTCATCATCTCTTCATACACTAAAGATCTGGTTTATTTTTACTGAAGAAATAACACAGAAGGAGAATGAGAGGGGTCACTTATGTTAATCAGATGGTTATATAATTTAAAATACCAAGTTATATATTTAAAAATACCAAGGAGCTCCAGTAACATACATGGCCAGTGATTAAGGGTGGGGACCTAAAGGCTAACAACATCTAGACAACCTCTGGTTCCCCATCCCTGACCTCCACCAGTGTTCTTCAAACCTTGGGTCTCCAGATGTTGTTGGACTGCAATTCCTGTCATCCTAGTAGCTTATCTAATGGTCAAGGATGACAGGAATTGTAGTCTAACAGCATTGAGAACCCAAGGTTGGAGATAACTGGACTGACTACACCATCAGTGAGAACAATAATCTCTAGGATATAGGTTGATTCCACATAATCCTCAAAGCAGAGTGTTGGAACATTCTTCACTATGAAGGAAATACTGTTCAGGATTGGAACCAGAGAGAGAAAGAGCATGTCAGAAGGCAATTCAGAGTTTCATTTTCCTTTTTTAAAAACCCCCCAGATTTCAAATATCTAAAGAGAACAGGTCTAGAAAACAATCTCTCAGTGTGTAAAATCCAGCTGTGTGTGTAGCCAAATTACATGTCAGAGTATGAGCAGTATTCCACCTTAAAATAGGAAATTAGTCCAAGCTATCAGGATGTGCCACTGAGAGGCTAATGCTTCCTTCCCAGCAAACCAGAGCAGTCAGGGGATCTTTTGTGTAGCAGCATCTGAGTCTGGCACTGCAAGTGTGTATGTCGGAGTGGAAAAAACCCAAGCTGGAATACAAAGCAGCTCAGCAGGGGAGCAAATAAGGCTCAGTAACTAATAAGCCTTCCTTGCCTTTTGCAAAAGTATTGCACAAAGGAGCAGGCACTAAGCCTCACATTCCTGCAAGACACGCCTGCGTACTGTGTGCCTGTCGTCTTTGCTCCCAAGCCATCCCAGCATTAGCAGCAAAACTCTCCTCCCGAGAAGTAGTGGCTTAGCAGGCACAAGCCACTTCCTTTATTTATTTTTTAATTACTAAAATATGAAGCTTCCTAGCCTACATGATGTGAGTAGGTGAGAATGTCTGCTGACAAGTCCAAATGATATTTTCAGGTGAGTAATTTTATTACCTAGCGCAATCTGATCAGTCTCATCTCACTTTTCCCCTATTTGACCTCCTCCGTTCAGTAATTACAAGGCGATTTAATTCCCCGTGATCATTTTCTGAAGGGTCAGCTATTCAGTTGTCTGAATGTTTTTCTCAATAGGCGTTTCTGAACCCTCTGTTATTTCCACAGAATCTTGCTTTCTTTCAGCTTACCGTGAGAATGAATGGGGAGACTGCCTGCCTGCCTCTTCATGTTAATGTTCTGTTTGTAATCTCTATTGTTCCTATTGCTTGACAGTCTGAATTTCTTGATTTATGAACTGACTCGCCTTAAAGCTTGGCTAAAAATTCACCTTCTTAGCAACAGAGCTGATGGCTCCTCTAACGGGTTTAATTGTTGAAAGAGCTGGACACTCAGTTGCTTTGTCAAGAGAGTGCTGTGCTTGAGCTGAATAGTGCTTGTTTCCTATGATAAGCTGTATATATTTTGGAAATATTTTGATTTCCCATACTTTTGAGAAAGCAAGATTTTGTTCATGCTGTAGGGTGAATGGCTTTCTTTTGTCCTCTCCCCCCCCCCCCCCAGCTAGCCCCCTCTCAGTTTACCTGTTACTATGAGATGGGCTTTATCAGACTTGATCAGCCCAATCCTATGTATGTTTACTCAGAAACAAAGTAGTTTATTCCCAGGTTGCAGCCATTTGAATCAACGGTGATTATTTTAAGTACTAACCCTGTGTGTGTTTGTAATTGTTTTATGGAATTGGCATTGCTTATGTTGTGAACTGCCCTGGGGAGCATAAGATATAAATGAAGATCATGGCTATCGCATTCCTAGATTGACACCTATGAAATATTAACTGGGATACGCCCATTCTTGGTCCCATGGACAAATAACAAAAAAGTGCCCTAACCCGGGTCTAGGCAGGGCACTGGGAGGACAAATAACTTTTCTTCTTAGTATGTCATTAGCTGAGAAATACACATTGGTGCTTTATGTCAGGGAACTCCTATCTGAAGGTTGGCCAACCTGGGGCCCTCCAGATCTTCTTGTTGGGCTGCAACTCCCATCAGACCCATCCAGTGTGTCCAGAGATCAGGAATGGTGGGAACTGTTGTCCAACAAGCTCTGAAGGGCCCCAGGTTGTCCATTAGGTTGTTGAAATAGTCCCAAGTGAAAATCTCCAGAATTACATCAGGGGTATTTAGGGGAACCCACTGATTTTGAAAGGTTTTGTCTGCTTAGGTAATTTTCACGTATGGTTCATTTCAGACAAACGATGCCCCATATCAACGTCAGGCGGCAAAGCTGCATTCCAAACATGTAGATTGGTCCCAAAACCCAACAATGGGATTGTTTGTTCACAAGGGCTAGAAGGCCACCTCATTCTGATCTCTTGCAAATGGCACTGAAGGAAGATGTCTAAAATTGCACTCACTGCACTCCTGGCACAATCCTTTGTCTACCCAGAAGTAAATCCTGTTAGGTTCAGTGGGGCTTACTTCAAGGTGAGACATCATTTAGGCAAGGTTGGGGAACCTCAGGCCCAGAGGATAAATGGGACTCTCCTCCTGAGTTACACCCCCTCTTCCCAGGCCACACTCAACAGAGCTACTTTACACCCCCCATGAGTGTTTTTGGCCTCGCTGGAATGTGTCCTTGAATTTGGATGAGGCCTCTTGCCTGCCTGCCTGGATGATGGAGAGCAGGATCTGAGCGCATGCGAAACCAGCCTACAGTACAAAGACAAAAAATTTATTTGGGGCTCCAGGCAGGTAGCTTGTCTTCCCTTATTGAATGCCATGGGTGAGGTATGTGAGCACAAAAAAGATCTGCTCTTGACTTCCCAGAGCAACAATGCTTTTGAAGCCCCACTGATCAAGGAGGCTGTGTTTATCCTGTCATCGTCACGTCTGAGATCAGAGGATGAGACTGAGGTGGGTGGGGGTTGAAGAGACTCTTGGCTTTAGAATGCAAGGCTGAACTCTTTGTGCGTAAATTCACCGTGGAAAAATGCCTGCACAAGCAGTAAATGTTTCCAATGGGTTTTTGACAATTCGGACTCGGTCCAAAGTCATAGGACTTGTTGGGAAGTGCCCAAGTACTTTGATATACAACTGAAACAAAAGCAGAAAAAAGCCCTCTACTTGACAAGTCAACCTGATGCTATGAACTTTCATAACCTCCCATATAAACTCATGCTGCTGCCTGGCTGGGGAGTGTTAATAAACTTGTGAGGACTTTTTGTTAGTGGCTGTACACAGCCAGCATCAATCTAAATCAACCAGCCTTAAGGAGCACTCTAAACATGATCATAGGACTGGCCCTATCATTTGACAAGAGGGTGCCAGCTCTCAGACAGATAGTTTTTACTGTCAAGAAATTTAATGTGTTGTGGTAGTATCTTTACTGCAGAGGAGGAGGGGGGACACTTGTGGTTTTTTCCTGCTTCAAGTACCAAAATATAGCCAGCCTTAGGTACTATGTACCTTGATTGGGAGGAAGATGTTATCTACTGTTGTCTTAGGCACCAAAAATATTTTGGGCCAGCCATGGTAGAAATGTTTATTTGCCCCATTCCTGCATAAATCGGTGTGTGTGTGTGTGTGTGTGTGTGTGTGTGTGTGTGTTTGTTAAAAATTAAACATAAAAGGGGATGCAGGTAATTGTCCCCCTTCCCTACTTTACTTTGCAATGGTCCATTATTCAGTTGGAGGGGGTGGGGAAGGTTTTCTCTCCCTCTCACACACCTTTGGGTGTTAAAAGCACACCCCTAAGTGCTTCATCCATAAAACTGAGAAGTACCTTGGCTGCAATATTCAGTCTAGCAAGGCCCTAAAATCAGGGTGTGGGTGGGGGCAAGGGGGCTGTGGCCCCGGGCACGGATTTTGAGGGGGCACAAACAAGGTGCCCCCACAAAGGTTTGGCTTTTGCCGGGATCCCCATCCTACTCAGGCATGTCCTGGCAGGGCTCATCCCCTGTTCCCCATCCTTCCCTGCCTGCTGCTGAGCGGTCTCTGGGCCCTGGAGCCCAGCCTGGCCTTCCCACCGCATCCCTGGCCCCCTTGCTGAATGGGTGCCTGGCCAGCGCTTGCTCACTTGACATGCTCCCCAGACAGTGAGTGGGCTAGGATGAAGGTGGGCAAGGGGCGACTCCCAGCCCTGCCCTCCTCTCCACAGGTTTCACCTGCCAAGGGCCACATTGGCTAGCTACACCCGCCCCCCCCGGTAAGTGGCATAGTGTGGCCCCACTTGGTTTTATAGGGGGCACTCTGGCAGCGTCAGCATCAAGGACTGAGCTGGCGAGGGTTCCATTCACCCTCCGCACCCTGGTCATCGGCAAACCACGCTATGCTGCTGCCAAAATACACTTTTTAGCTTATAAGAAGAAATATTTTAAACTAGAGACTCTCAAATCCCATCAACCTCTGCCTGCATGGCCAAGAATCAGGAACACTGGTTGTTTGACTCCAACAACATCCAAGTCAGATTGCCCACACCTGTTCTAAGGAAATGAGCTTGCGTTGACTCCCTTTCTGTGACAGTGAACTCTTCTTTGATTATTGCTGGTGACACAGGAGATCCGGAATAGCATTGCTAAGGAGCAGTTGCAAGATTTGCTCCAATACCAAGCAAAGGGTGAGGAGCTTTCATGTAGGCCCAGTAGTGGGGATTGGCAGATGAAGCTTTGGATTCTGGAAGTATGGGCAGAACCATGGAAGACTGGAAAATCCCCCACCCCCACCCCTTTGTCCCCCTGAGTTGGAAAAGGTTCATGGCAGAGTGCAGTTCCCAACATTGTTGGCAGACATTTGGGTTTTTTGTTAATGCCACAGTATTAAAACAAATGAAGGCTGCACACACCATACCTTTAAAGTGCATGTGAAGCACATTTCCCCCTCAAAGAATTCTGGGCCCTATAGTTTACCTCTCCCAGAGTTACAATTTCCAGCAACCCTCAACAAACTACAGTGCTCAGAGCTCTTTGAGGGAAACCATGTGTTTTGAATGTACTTTAAAGGCATAGCGTGTACACGGTTTTAGGGAAATGGTTCGTTGTACTTCTAAGTAAATAAACATCAATGCATTGATGTGGGAAATACAGATGTCCTCCTGGTCCTTCCATTGTCTGGAAGGTGTGATATCTGGAATATAAGAGTAAACAACCCATTGAGATAAGTAATCAAACAATGCTTCTCAGATTCTGTTCTTAATTTCCCTGTGCTTATTCATACCAGGCCTTCTCTTTCAATAATATACAAGGGATGAATATTCTCTGAAGCACAAGTTTGAAGCTTCTGTGAGATCAGGTTGGACAGCTGCCCCCCCCCTTAAGCCCTCATAACTGTGGAGGAGCTGCTGTGTTGTATTAAACCAGTGATCTGAAGAGAAATGTGTCCTAAAATGACCTTGAGACAGACTGCCAAATTGCTCCACAGATGCTGTCTAGAAGCATCCAGTGTCCTCAGTGGCAGTCAGATACTTACTGCAAAGTAGTAGCTTGTTGGGGGTCACAAAGTAAATGTTTGTCTAAGATTTTGAGGGTACCTGTTCTTCCTCTGAAGTCTCAGAGTTAGCATTAAATGGAGACACAATTTTGGTAGGTGTGGACCTGTGCTACAGAGCTCAGAAAGATTTCTGCTGGAGAAAGTTCAGCGGCTATGCTTTGCTTTCATGCTCAGATGATAACTGATTGCCACACTGTGACGGAATTTTCCCTCTAGCTTGACCGTATGGTTCGTTCTCCTTTTGCTTTCTACTGTCATGCATGACACATCTCATTTACTTGAGCCATCTGGATGTGCTTTAACTAAAGGTATTCCTTGTCCTACATTTACCTCTGGCTTCTCTTCTCCATATGTTATATGGCATTATCTGGAACCAGGAGTAGGGTGGCTACTTGCAGATCACACACACATACACAAGAGGGAAATGCATCACTTTGGGGGGGGGGAGGAGAAACTGGAACACATTTGCATAAAAAGTGCACATGCTAAATGCTAGGCATAGATGGAAATTTAAAAACAATTACTGTAATTTAAATAGAATTGCAATGCATCTCATTCTGGTTGAGCAGGCAGGAAGACTCAAACCAGGTGGCATGTGTAGCTTACTCAGTCTGCTATCCAGGTGTTGGCAAGTGAATCCCAGGCTCCTCTCTTTGTATGGTTCTGTATCTTTAAACTGGACTTGTAAACAGGGGCAGTCCTAGCCAATTTCTACATTCGTTCTACAGACAATGTTCTGGACACCATAAATGTATTTTGATATACAACAAGCTGACCTCTTTCTAGGTAGAGCAATGCCAATATAAAAGTGGTGCCTTCTAACTGTTTCACAGTTATAAATTGTGTGTGCTCAAACATAGCCCTGCTTCAAAATCCAGAAAAAAGAGAGGTATCATAATAAAGTGTAAACTATCTCCGTTCTTTACAACCTGCTAGTGTTGTGCTGTATTGCCTTATGAGTGAAAGGGTGGGTTTGAATTGTCAGATGCCCAGTATAATTGCTATAGGCCCAGATCCAACCTGCTGGCCATCCTGGCTCTGGTCAACAGAAATTAGCATTTTGAGATTTGCAAGGTTGTGTGTTTTCTGCACAGTGTGGTGAGTAACTGTTGTGAAGTACTTTGAGTGTTAGACTTGGCCTAAGAAGATCTGGGTTCAAATACCTGCTCACATGAAACTCACCAGGTGGCCTTGCCTCCCCACTCTGTGTCTGTCTGTGTCTCTCTCTCCGCAAAACCTACCTTTTGTGAGGATGAAGCAGGATACCCTCACATGCTCTGTCCTAACCTGTGTAGTTGAAGACTGGGCCATAATTGTTTAAAATAAACGAAACTTTACACACTTACACACACACACACACACAGAGAGAGAGAGAGAGAGAGAGAGAGAGAGAGAGAATGAGAATAAGGGTAAGAAATGGCATTTCTGCACTGCCATTAATACTTTATACATGTAGAATTTTTTTAATCAAAGCTGAAATTCTCTGGGTTTCATATTCTGTACTGGAATATATGTTTGGCAAGCATACAACCTTGTGTACAACTGACCCAGCTGCAATGCAGGGAGTGAGCTTCTGTTGCCGTCACCTCAGTCCCAAACCTGCCATTCTGATTTTATGCCAGTTTGCTATGCTTTGGGTTTTCTTCACTGCAATCTCTCTCCTTGCAGGCGTTCTACTGATTTTGGCACTGACAGAAGAACTCGTGTTTGCAGTTCAGGCACCGTTTCCCAGCTTGGCATCATCTTGGGGCCTCCTGACAGACAATAGCAATATCTCAGCTATGGGGATGACTCCTGGACACAAAGGCCGTCACACCACCAAACTCTTGCCCACAGCATCCCTTGCAAACTTTCATCCCGCTAGCTCAGTGGAGACTTACACTCCTTCTATTGGCCAGAAGGAATCAACCAGCAGCCATCCCATTGGCAACAAAGAACCATATCACTTAAACAACCAGAGTGCTTTGTTTTCCGGAAAGACTCTCCCCCAAGTGAATGTCTCTCAGGTTGTCAATGGCAATTCCACAGAATTTACAGAGCCTTATCGAAAGACGGGACAGCACTCTCCCCCGACCGTGAGGAACTGGTCTCCAGATCATCCCTTTCAGTCTCAATCCACAGCCCACAGTCGTAGTAATGGCACCATGCTGGTAACCACAACAGACTCACTTGCATCTTTCCACAGTGATACCTTGGGAGGCCTTAACACGACAGGGAAGGGGAGCTCATCCGAACTGGTTACACAGGAAACAGGTCTCACCACCCCAGCAAATGCCCCATCAGCTGCTCCTGAAATGGTGACAGTGCCTTTTAAACCCCCGCGGTATGGCATATGGGATATTCTGGGCAAAAATGACTCTTGGGTACCCTCGAGCCAAACTACAAACCAGGGACCTTTTTTTGCCAGCCCTGGGACTGCAACAGCAGCAGCATTTGGCCACTCTGGTCAAACGGGCATTGATGCTGATGTTTCTTCCTCGCATACAACAAGGAACCCAAATGAAACATCTACCGCACTGAATCCCTCTGGGCGTGCCAACTTGCCAAGCGCAGAGCCCTCCACGTGGATGCCGAGTTCCACTTCAACAGCAACAGGCAACTTCCTAAACAGATTGGTACCCGCTGGGACCCGGAAGCCTGGTATGCCAGGGAACATTTCTCACGCCTCAGAGGGAAACAAGCCCCAGCACAGGGCAACCATTTGTCTCAGCAAAGTGGATATAGCATGGATCATTTTGGCCATCAGTGTGCCCATATCCTCATGCTGTAAGTTGACTTCTTTTTTTGTCATACATTCTGTCGTAGATGTTTGAGATACTCCATCCTTGTGTTATGTATATCTAATGTAACGGAAGAGCCTTGAATGTTCAGGTGCTTGAAAAATGGGTGCTAGGAACTGGATAGTAGCTTTTTTTCAAAAGCAGGGCATTTCTACATAATTGGGTTTGCTGGTGAACCGTGCCTTGTACAGGTGACTGGTACTCTTATGAGAAGGATAGTGCCTGTGTATTTTGCCTCCTATCTCAGGTTCTACAAATGCTAGAAAGATACTCTTTTAGAATGAAAACTGGTGATCTGGGACTTATGAGTCTAGCGCTCCCAATGAACTATATCACATATAGCATTAAGAAGGGAAAGAGCACTGGCTGGATTACTTTTCCCAGTTGGTCATGCAAACACTGTTGGGTCTAATTAATTTTTCTCTTCTACTTGATGAATATTACTTCATGGGAGTTAATTATAGCTAGTACTAGTCCATCAGGGGAGATTAAGGGATTTGGTTGTGGAGATACTTGAAGCACTGCAATTTCAGTTCTCCCACACCAAGCTGAATAGCAGTCTTTGGAATTCCCTATAAATGGCTGCTGGGATTTCAGTATCAATTGTCAACTCCTCCCAAGTCGTAACATCATGGAGTGTGATCAGGGCTGGGGTGACTGAAAAAGATGGAACTTGTAGTGATGTCTGGCCTTGCAGATACAATTAGTTTGTACGACTACCTTCTGCAAGACTGAGAGGTTACCAGGATGGACTGAAACAGTGATCTACTTCTTCTGCAGCATAGCTTCAGAGCAGGGATGGAAACATAGATAAGTGGCAGAGCACAGTAAGCTCTACCTGTTTGTCTCATTCTGTGTGGCTGATGAGGCAGCCACATCCTGCTTGAGGAATTGCTAGTGGCAGAAAACTCTTAAGAGGTGGTAGTAGTCTAGACAAATATGTGCCATGCTTAGTTCACTTTTGGATCAAGAGGCAACCATGTCAGATCACAAAACAGTCTTAATATAATGCCAACAGCTGAATGGTCCAGAAGTATTAACTCAAAAATTTAAAAGTCAACAATTCTCTTTGCACGAGCCTAAGCTGCTCTTTGGCTTCTGGCCCATTCATAGTCCTTGAAGGGTTTGGGTAGTGGTTCAAATGCTTCCCAACCTCTCTTGTCCAGATAACAATGAGACAAAAGAATATGCCACGGACAGCAATGTTTTTTGTGTCAGTTCAACTTTTTTTAAAGCTCTTTTCTGTCTCCAGCCTGTAAATGGCTTTTTGGGCCAGATGTTGCTGTATTAACATATTTCTCAAGTCAGCAGCTGGACTGTTCTGTTTGACTTTCTGTTTCCCTGAACAGTTCGTTCTCTCACAAGCTACACCCTTCCTGTCCAATTGTAATTCAGGGGATGGAACGCTTCGCAAAGCAGGTGCCATGCATGGTGCCGCATCAGGATAATAAGATAATGACAATAATCATAGTATAATCTTTCCTTGGCTCTGCTAACTCTGCAGGCTGCTTCCCCATCATCTCCGAAGTTGAAAGGCATGCATTACATACCAGATGTGGTACAAATGCCCACCCCGACAAGTCACTTTTCTTGTCATGGTAATGTGAAATAAATTACTTGCTCCCCCTGATGGACAGACCAGTTGCAGCTCCCTTGTACATGATCCCAAGGCAGAATGCTTTGGTTTTCCTGAAAATATGTTCTTGCCAAAAGAGTGCAATTTCATATTCAGCATCGCAGCAAAGCTGCAACTAGGCTCCAAGGCAGATCACCTGACAAATGGGTCATGTAAGTAGGGAGGTTGCTGCCACCTTCAGGACACAAGGCAAATAGAGTCAAGCTTTTGTCTGACCAATTTGCAGGTTTATTGTTGCGCACATTTTTTATTTTTAAAGTCAACGGGGTTGCTACCAGTCAGCATGTTAATGGCACAGGAAGCAAAACATGACATAGTAAACTTCAGTTTATTTGACTGTACATCAAATACAGTACAGGATTATTGTGACAACCGCAATGAAAAGTAGACGTATAGGTGCACAAATGGTACACAGCTGTGCGACTGTGCAGTTAAGGAATTCTTAGACCCTGAACTTAATTATCGGAAGAGGGGCATTTAGATATCAGTGTGTTAGTACTTTATGTACTTCAAACTGATAAGACAGCCCTGCTGTATCTGGGGACTTTCTTGCTCATTCTGCTGTGAAGGGCCCTCGACTGATTCATTGTTACATCCTCATGTTTATATCCCACCTCTCTTCCAAGGAGCTTCTTCCTCTTTCCATTTTTCATTGACTATAACCCTATGAGGTAACAGTTTGCCTAAGACAGTCCAGCGCAAGCCTTCCACCTTGCACAACATCACACCCTGTGGTGTGTGGGAATGCCCAGGGTGGGCTGACATCACTCGTGCCCGCCTCACGGCTTGCATGTGACACAAGCATGCCCCACAACATGCGCACATGGCCACCAGGGAATTATGAAAGGGCCCAACCACCCCCTTGAAAATTTTGGTTTCCCCTCCCGGCCCCCGCTAGTTGGTGTGCCTGATTCACAGCTAAGCAAAGGTTTGAACTCAGGTCTCTCAGGTCCAACACTCTCAGCACTACACCACACTGACTTGTCTCAAATTCCTGCCCTGGTGATGCCAGTGGTTGCGATTCAAATGGAGTCCCTCATTGTTTTGATATTTTAAGACTGCAAGATAAAATTTCCTAGGAAACATGCCTGCCCAGATATGGAAAGTCAACATTTTACTGACTGGTAGCCTTAGAATTTCCATAGTTTGGTTGGATTTAGCATTTTGCCAGCTATCCAACTGGATCGCGCTCCTACAATAGTTTATCCAGGTGCCCCTGTTCATGTTCTGCTTCTTGTCCTGGTGCCTTTTTAAAAGCTCACACAATGAGAATAATACCACGTGACCATTCTCTAATCAAATTAAAGGGTCGTGGCAGCCATATTTCCACTTGAAAAGAAATGTGGCTAATCTTCCCATCACAAGGAAGTGGTGGGGAGTGTGGGATTAACTGAACAGTGAAATTCTGTATCAGTATAAAGCATATAGAAATCAGGAAGGTGGAGATTTTTTGCACAGCGTTCAGCATAAGTCCCCATATCCATAAATGTAACCAAAGAATGGAGTTTCAGAAGAAGCATTTTCCAGGGTTAAAACAGCACAGGGGGAGGTACAACCATCCACAGGAATTCTCTCTTTTCAGAGCAAAATCTACAGAGTCCCAGCCAAATCATGAGAGCAGCCAAATTGTGAGAGACCACATCACGCAAAGCACATGTTCAGCTCATTATTGTACGCTCAGGCCAGTTGGTTTGGCCAGCCAGGGAATGAAGAAGTAGTTCCCAAAATCTGTGTGGTTTTGACCAATGCATTAGGAAGTACAGAGAAACCCTGGAAAATGTGTCTTCTATTTAACTAGTACTTGCTCAGCAGAGAAGTGCTAAGTGGCATTCAGTTCTTAACCATAAAAATGCATTTTCATCTTGTCACAATTCCAGTGGGTTTTATGTCCTCGCTGCCTTGACTCATTTGGGGAAGAGGGAGAATTTGTAACATGAAGTAGCAAAATGTTCAGCATAATCACTTTGAAAAACTTCTCCAAGCTCTTGGAATCCAGACCTTTTAAGGGAAAAAGAAAAGAAACCTATTGCTGCAATTAAAGGCTGATGTGATGAGAAAGAGGAGGATGGGAAAGCTGTGACTTCAATTCATGACTGTGAATTAATTTAGCCATTACTGTTCATGTGAAATGGAGGCCAGCTTGGAGTGTGGAAGTATCAGTAGAATACCAAAGATGCATGTGGCGTGTTCCTTTGGATCCTGTTCTAGCTCATACAGTGGTACCTCTGGTTATGAGGTTCCGGAGGTTCGTTTGTAACCCGAAACCGCTTGTAACATGAGGCGTGCTTTCGGTAATGGAGCCTCCCGCTGCTGCTGGCATGCAACTTCCACTCGCATCCCAGGGCAAAGGTCACAACGGGAGCATCTACTTCTGGGTTAGCAGAGCTCGTAACCCGCAGCGTCCGCAAGGGGGACGGTACGTAACACGAGGTTCCACTGTATTTCACATCCTCTGAACACTTGAGCGCTCCTCCTGCTTTTATTAACTCAGTATATCAGCAATTGGTTAAGTTATGATTGGGTTTCGGATTCCTCACCACCACCATTGAAATTCAGGAGAAGCGTCTGGCCTTTCTTAGCATCTGAAGGATAAGCCTTGCCACTGAGATAGGCTGCAGGTGAAGATCACCATTACAGAACAGCTTTAGTATGGTGTCTTTGCATGGATTGCCTTCTACGCAACCCTGTGCTTTCCCTATCCAACTCACTTTGCAAGCCTATTTATTCGGAGATAGATCCATTCTGCTCAATGGGGCTTACTCCCTAGTAAGTTTGCTTAGGATTATAACTTAGACATATGGTCCTGTTTATGTTCCCCCCCATCCCCCCCCCCCCAAGCAAGACATGTTTAACCTTATTTGACGCTCACACTCACTTAGCGTGCATTTGCACTTTGGCTCACAGGTCAGCAGTGCTCCTTTTAAGTGGTGAATGCAGTTTAGATGTGCTTTGACACTGTAATGAAAGTCAGGCTGCCTCAAATTGAAGTGTATTGCCGCAGAACCTGGAAGCAGCTTTTACACTTATCTAATTCTCCACACCACATTAGCGCTTCCTATAGGAGAGGTCTGCAGCAGCTGCTTTCATATCAGCCAGCATGATCCATATCAATGGAGGAAGTGTAAATCAGCTACTTTGACATTCTGCAGATTGCTGTCCAACTTACCTGGCTGTCCTAGAAACGCTGATGTAGGAAGACCCAGAGCCATCAAGCTAAGTGGATTCAGCTCTTCAGGAGTGAGCCAATTCCTGGTCACTCAGGTGTCTCTCCAGTGGTTTCTTGGGGACCACCAAGCAGAAGTCTTTCTCAGCCCTGCCACTTTAAATCTGTAATTGGAGAAGCCCAGAATTACATTCTTAGCCATGGTTCAAAGCATGTGGTCTGCCACTGAGCTGTGGTCTCTCCTTTGAAAGACTGGAACCTTATATTGGGAATTTCCATTGGTTTGAAACATCCAAGCCTGTAGTATTATGCAGCTCTGTACCATTTACATTAAAATCACTTTCCATTTGGAAACCCTGCATGGTAAATTACTGGTCATCTAACCCCAACTAACCAATATGCACCCCACACATGCAACTTTCATACTTTTAAGTTTGGGGTTCATGTTTACTGCCATTCCACTTGAGAATAAAAAACAAAGCAATCACTGTGGCTTAGATGCAACAAATCTGTCTTTCCAGCCCACCAGAGGCAAACCTGATGCTTTTCTGGCAACATAATTTGACGAACATCAAACCTAACATTTCCCAAAGGCTTACGCAGATTTAGCTGCAAAACCTCCATCCACCGTAACACAAGCCCTGTAATTAAGTATCTAAGCCATTCAGAATGGTCTGCCTAGGTGAAAGTACTTTCAGATGCCCTTTCCCCCCTCCACCTCTGCCTAATATAAGGATTCTTTGAGGGCAGAAGGCACACAAATCATCTATACTAATAGTGATCTGAATTCTCTGAGTGCTGTTGCTTAAGAACCGAAAACTGCACCATCTACAAAAGACAAGCTATGGCTGTGCACTATTGGCACACATAAGAGTTTGAAGGGACATGAGGGTCATTTAGTCCAACCCCGTGCAATGCACGGTAAGTGACTTGAGCAGATGGGTATGACTTAGCACAGTGGTTTATGAAGATGGGGACTGACCTCGGGCCAGTCATTCTCTCTCTCAGTATAACCTGCCCCACATGGTGATTGCTAGAATAACATGGGGAAGGGGAGACCCATGTAAACTGCCTTGATCTCCTTGGAGCAAAGGCAAGATGTAGTTAAAAGGGCATTTCCTAAGAACCCCGGGCTGTCATTCCAAATATTGTTGATCCTGACTCAACAGCAACTGCATAAATAAACCCTGAAAGAAGATCAATTCTAGGGGATGAATTCTTCTCTAAGTGGGCACTTACGTACCAAGTGCTTTTCATTGCCACCGTGGGACTTCTTGCCTACACATCTGTTTGTTTGCTTGGGGACTAAGATTTGTACAGTAGGAATTAAATGAATGGCACCGGATAAATGGAAGCAAAGAGCCCGTCTTAAGCATTGTGGTAGGTGTATAATAGCCTGCAATTTTGAATGTGACAGGAGTAATAACTATATTTCTATTAATTCAACAAAGAGATTTGTAGCAGACACACACCTTTTCCTTTGAATAAAGCAGGAACTAAATCAACTGTTCTGATTAACAGCCTCCCCCCCAGTGCTCCCTGTTACTTTAAACAGAACTCTGACCCCCTATGCACTGGTAAAACGTCCATAATTTATATTGTGAGGTGGGAAATGTTCATTTGAATCCCTGATGAGCAGTGGGGTATAGTGGTTATTAGTCCCAGACTAAGACCTGGGAGCCCGGAATTTAAATCCTAACTCGGCTACAAAGTTCATGAGGTGGCCTTTGGCCAATTGTCACTTCTCAGCCTAGCCTACCTCAGAGGGTTGTTTGTGAGGATAAAATGGGTAGCTCCTTGTGAGAAAGGTGGGCTAAAAATGCTATGCATAGATACAAAGAAACCTCCTAGCACATGTAGTCCAGCATCCTGTTTTCACAGTGGCCAACTAAATGCCTATGGGAAGGTCACAAGCGGAACCTAGTGTGCAACAAGACTTATTTACAGTGGCTTTAGTTGTCAAACTATTCAAAGGGTCTTTGGCCTACCAGCATTTGCTTCCCCCCACCTCACCAGCCAATATTTTTCATATAATAATAATAATAATAATAATAATAATAAAATTTTATTTATATCCCGCCGAACCTGGGCTAACAACAGTAAAATGATACAACATTCTAAAATAATTTCATTATAAAATCATTTCATTATAAAATTTACAAATCTAAGATAAAAAGTATGGCTCTTGGGTAATTCTTGAATTGTTTTCCTTGGACTAAGAAGCTCCTAGAGAGAAAGGAATGTGCCTTTTTCACAGGGTCTGTTTAGTCTGCCCATGTAACTAACAGCTTAGCTGTTGGATATTGCATCAAGAATAGATGTGTTTTATATTCTGTGGACCCATCCCTAAAGCTGTTTTTTTACCACATCTTTTCTTTGAAAGAACAAGTATGTGGTATAATGGTTAGAGCATTGGGCTAAGCCGAGCGGGGGGGTGGGGGCGCTACTTGGGTTCAACTTTACCTTCAGCCTTGAAGCTCACTGAGAAATTTTGGGCCAGTCACTGTCTCTGAGCCTAACCTACTTCACTGGGCTGTTGGGAAGGTAAAAGGAGGTGGGAAAATCATGAATGCTACTTTGAGCTTCTTGAAGGAAAGACAGAATATAAATGTAAATAAAAAGCTTTCATAATCACTATTTTAGATAACTGGTGTACAGAACAATGCAGAGTTATGGTTCAAAAGTTTCCCCGGAGTAAGCACTTCTGTTTGAAGGCTCTCCTCCCAGAATTCAACCCATTATTTCCCAGGCTAATAGAGACCCTGCAATTTGGTTGCATAAGTGGGAAACTAGAGTAACATAGGGGTCACCAACTTGGCACCTGTGGGTGCTCATACGCCCAGAGGCCATCACTGGTACCCACAGGGTCCAACTGAAATCAGGCTTGTAAGAAGCATTCTCTTGCAGCCATTAGACACAGACATACATTTAAAGTGCATGGCTTTCCCCGCAAAGAACCCTGGGGGCTGTAGTTTAAGGGCGAAAGGAATTGTAGCTCTTCGAGGGATAAACTGTAGCTCCGAAGATTCTTTGCAGGGAAACCCTGTGCTTTAAAGGTAAAGAGACCCCTGACCATTAGGTCCAGTCGTGGACGACTCTGGGATTGCAGCGCTCATCTCGCTTTATTGACAGAGGGAGCCGGCGTACAGCTTCTGGGTCATGTGGCCAGCATGACTAAGCTGCTTCTGGCGAACCAGAGCAGCGCACGGAAACGCCGTTTACCTTCCCGCCGGAGCGGTACCTATTTATCTACTTGCACTTTGACGTGCTTTCGAACTGCTAGGTTGGCAGGAACAGGGACCGAGCAACGGGAGCTCACCCCATCATGGGGAATTGAACTGCCAACCTTCTGATTGGCAAGTCCTAGACTCTGTGGTTTAACCCACAGTGCCACCCGCGTCCCAACCCTGTGCTTTACATGGGCATTAATTTGACTTTAAATGTATGGTGTGCGTGCGACGTGGTGCCCACGACAGCTTCTCCTATTTGCATGTGTGCCTAGAGGCCCACTGATTGTTATAACCAGTAACAAAGGAGAAGCTCACAGTGGTGTTTAAACTTCACTAGATGCAGAAATGTCTTGCCAGTATCGCCCAACAGGAAACAAGCCTCGAGACTTTTAGCAGCAATAGCTGCTTCCTGTGCCCGTGCTAGTATGCTAGCGTTGATTTATTTATCAAATTTCTGCCCAGCACTTCTTCCCAAAGGAGCCCTGGGCAGCAAACATATCTATAATAAACAATACAATGAAAAATAAAATAAAAACCTATTTGAAACATTTAAAAGCTGTCAACGCAACATCTAAAAACAGTGAAGCACAATCAAACATGCAACCGATTGTGTGTCTGACTTGGCCTGCCGAAACAGCAACATTATCACCAGGCGTTTCAAAGAATCCAATGATGGCACTTGCCTAGGGAGTTCCAAAACACAGGTGCTGCCACACTAAAGGCATGACACCTGATGAACATCACAGGAAGACAGTAGGCAGGGCAGAGATTTAATATTGTGCAGCTAACATGCAGTTCCTACCCATATGATTTCCCACAGCTACGCAATGCAAAAGAGGATGACTAGCCTAGCGAAGTGATTATGACTGGCTTAGATGAAATTGCCCAGATTTTGAAGCTTTTTCAGTGGTAATAAGAAGATAAGACATCTCTTGATCCAAATCAAAACAGATACGATTATGCCTGCACTTTCTCTCAGTATTTTGTGTTAAGGATGGAGCCTGCTGTGAGACCTGATTATAGTGGCCCTGCTGGTAATATTAACTCAAGGCTTAGCCTTGGCTGTGTGCTGTGTTATCCAGAGAATCGTAGATGCTTATGAAATTAGAATGGAACACGTGACCTCTGATACTACTAAGACTGAGAGCGGTATTTGGGCCAAGCATTACACAGCAGGTACATGAAGTAGCCCAACAGATTTCTAATGAAAAGCAGCTATGGAAAGGAATGGTGAGGAGGGAGGAGAGGCAGCTTAACCCCTTTCCTTCTGCCCATTCCCCACTTGCATCCCCCCTTCCCAGCTGCTTTTCCACCAGTGGGTGGGGAGAGTTACGTATTTTCTTCCCACAGCTGGAAAAACAGCTGCACTGAATTTCAAACAGAAAAATGGCTGGAGGAGAAAGGCTTTAAGTAATCTTTTCCCTCCTTCCACCATTAAAGTTATAATATAAATTCTACATATTACACTGGTGTTTCTCAAACTTGGGTCCCCAGCTATTGTTGGACTAAAACACCCATCATCCCTAGCTAACATGACCAGTGATCAGGGATGATGGGAGCTGTAGTCCAACAACAGCTGGGGACCCAAGTTTGAAAAACACCATTACTCTGTTTTTGAGTATATTTCCTGGAAACAAGCTGGAACAAGAGCAGTACACACTGGTCCCTTTGGACTACAGAAACAGTGTCGAGCATTGTCAGCAGTTTGCTTCATTACAAACAACACACCTTGGATAAATACTCCACTGTATGTTTCCAAAGCCACTGATTCAAAGGCAGGAAGGGAACAAGCAATTGTGTGTTTTGGTCTGGCCCATCCAGTCCAGCATCCTCTTCTCCCAGTGGCCAACCAGATGCCTACGGGAAGCCCAAAAGGAGGACCTGAGCACAACAGCAGTCTTCTCACCTGTGTACTCCGTAACTGGCATTCAGAAGCATACTGCCTCCAACAGGGGAGGTAGAATATAGCCTTGTCTTCCATGAATCTGCCTCTTCTAAAGCCATCCAAGTTGGTGTCTAACTCCCTGTTCTGGGATGGAATTCCGCTAAGTGCTGCATGAAGAAGCACTTCATTTTTTTCTGTCCTGAATCAGAGAACTGTGCTTTTGTCCTTCCTGGCATCTAGTTGGGTCACTGTGAGAAGCAGGGTGTGGTGGCCTAGATTGCTCTGACTTCTTATATTCTTACTTCTCTTTGATTCAGAACGTGAAAACATTAGGTGGTCTTGCATGGTGTTCTTAATTCATCAAATGTTGCATCTTCCAGTGGTACATGAACCACAATGTGAACTTTTCATAGATCTGTGCATGCAACCCACAGACAGTGGGGGGTAATCTATTAGAATATACAGTCTATTACGCAAGCCACCGCCAACTAATTTCCCATTGTTGCACAAGCACACTCTCAAACATGTTTGTGTTAACAGCTGTCCTGCTCACCATCTGCTGCATGCGGAGAAAGAAGAAGACATCAAACCCAGAAACCAACCTGAGCTATTGGAACAATGCTATCACTATGGACTACTTCAACAGGCATGCTGTAGAATTACCCAGAGAGATACAGTCCCTTGAAACCTCAGAGGTAAGATCTGAACTCTGTTGGCAGTGAACCTCCCAGGTAGTTCATATCAACAAGCGGATTTTAGCCACTCTGCTTGGCTCTCACACATAGCGTTGTGAACTCACAGGGCCCTAATGATAGGAGAGGTAACTGGGAGAACTTTCCCTTTTAAGCGGTTCTGAAAGGCACATGGACCCCCTCAGATGCTACTCTTTGCAAACATGCCTTCTTGGCTTCCATGCACATAGTGTCTGGCTTCCCATTTCTGTTGATGCCCCTCCTGTTACCAGCATATAGACTCCTCCTGAACCAAGACAGGGTGGCCTTGTGTCCTACTTTACAGAGGAGAGTACTCGACTCAAAGAGCTGAGTCCAAATCCTTTTAAGAGTAAAGAACAAATGGAGACCAGGGGCCTTGAAGTGACCCATCTGTAGCACTGGACAATAGACTGAGCTGGTACACCTGGTCACATCTTTCTCACTATATTGAGAGGAATTGTGTTTCTATTCAAATGGTAGTAATTGCTTCTAAATTTGCATCTCATCCAGTCATTCATTCATTCAATTTGTACACGACTTTTCCACAATAAAAAAATATATGCTCAAACCGGCATGCTACAAAGAAACAGGTGTGCATCTCAAGCAAATGCCAGAAAAAATTACATAATGACACAGCAAAACAATGGCAAATATAATAGCATACCAAAAAAACCACATTTCAATTCTACCCATATAACAGTATTACTTAAACAACACCCAGCATCCAATAGCAAAAACAAGGGAGCGTCACAGTTTCCCCTTGGTCCTAGAAACACGCCTCCCGTGAGGTTGCCACAGTCCCTCTCCTGCAGCAGCTTCTTACAAGGCTTCCAAGGGCAAAGGGTGGGGTAGCTGGAAACCCCCCTCCCATTATGTTTATTATGTAGCATATGCAAATAAATGTCCTCTTTGGCCCTCTTTTTGGGTGCATAAATGGCTACCCTCACACCAAGGGGCGTTTTGCCCCAGCCCCACTGACTTCTCTGTCCCAATTCCGTTAGCCATCTCAATTTACCCAGTTTCATTCTTATCTTCTCCACACCATCCAAACCACCTTCTCTCTCAGATTTTCCCTACAGCCCCATCTCTCTTTATACAGGGATGGAGAACCTGTGGTCCTCAAGTTGTTAGAGCACCACAGGTTCCCAATCTTTGCTCTATATATCTATCCCCTCCCCCCTCTTTTCTTTTGGTTTCCAGTTTCTCCACACTTCCCTCAGGTTCTGTTTCTCAGTTGATAACCTGCTCGGTCTTTTTTTGTTTGTTTCAGCCACTATCCTGCCATTAAGCTTTCCTGCCTCCTTCCCACCAGGCTTCCCTACCCAGCCCCTGCTATCCCAATCTCTATGTGAGGGTTTCTACACTTGCTTCCCAGAAGCTGGGCTATTTATGAACAATTTGCTGTTGAGAGATTTTTCAGCTGCTAGAATGTTCACAAAAAGGACGTGACATGAAAATCAGCAGTCACAGTTGATTCCATCACCTAGCATGGATGATCCACCTAACCAATTATACAATTCCACATTTTTCAAATGAACAAAGCTGGAATGGGGAACCTGTAGCACACCAGATCTTTTTTGGACTACAACTCCCATCATCCCTGACCTTTGGCCAAGTTGCATGGGGCTAATGTGAGCTGGAGAACTGCAACATCTGGAAAGTCACAGGCCTCCAATTCTTGGTATAAAGGAACCACCTTTCTCTAAGGGGACACTGATGTTTCTGTCTCACCCTACTGCTTTTAGCTCAGACCAGTGAATCCTAAGTATTACATTTTTTAAAGCTTTGCTTTGGCCATACTGAACCATTGGTTGACTGGATACTGGATATTCTTCAAGACTTTGTCCTGCCAGTGCAAATTCTACCATGTTGACTGTCCCTTATTGTATTTCTGAAGCTTAATATTTTCTTCCCTTTCTCTCCCCTGACCCCTTTTTCCCTGTAGGACCACCTGTCTGAGCCGCGCTCCCCAGCTAATGGTGATTACAGGGACACCGGCATGGTCCTTGTTAACCCTTTCTGTCAAGAAACGCTATTTGCAGGACATGAGCAAGTGTCTGAAATATGACTTGTACTTGCAGTCCAATCTCCATTGTCTCCAAAATCTATATATAAATCTATCTATATATATAAATATATATATTATAAATATAACCTTTGTGTAACCTTGAATTATGAGCAACCTTTTGAGCTTCCCCCCACCCCACAAGAATTATCAACCTCTTTTTTATAAGTGTGATTAAAAACTTTACAGACCAAACTCCAGCTTTATAAAATAAAAGTGATTTCTAAGCAAAAACGCCTGCTGAACCAGTTCCTTTTGTCGCCTTTGCTAGATGGTTTCAATTTGTACTCCACTTGCATGTAACCAAGCGAGGGGGGGGTGTTAGCACATCATTCTCTGTTCCCTTCTCTCCTCCCTTTCACAAGATGAGCAAGCGCAGGAGCCTTTGCTGATATACTAGGCTATAGCCTAGCATTCTTTTGGGTTGAGCCATGGAACAAAAAAGACAGCTATCCCTCTTCCACAAAAACATTGTGCTGTGACTAAACTGCGTGCTGACAGAGCATTCTCTGAGCATTAAGGGATTGGGCTGACAAGCCGGGCAAGACTCCACGCTCTGCCATATAGGCAGATAGGCAGCCAGGCTCAGAGAATATTTGTGGCATTCCACTTGGTGAGCCTCTAACAGCATGGCTCGATGGAATTGTTATGCCAGCCTTCCCAACAGCTTCCAAAATCCAATTTTTATTTGGCTCTGATTCTAAATCAGCTTTTAGTTACATCTTGCTTGACGTTTTGTGTTGTTACAGATTTTAAGCTAATTCTATCATGTTCTTTAGAGTGAGTCTTCCTGACCTATGGATTAGGGGACATATGCCCTTTCTGCCAGTCCCAAACACTGCTAAGCAACTTGCTTTCTTTTGAGCCCTTTGGTCTGCAAAACTAAGAGGGTTTAGGACTCATCAAGCAAGGTTGTTCCTGTACTATTTATAATTTTTATTTACAAAGGCTACACTTTCAGTTTTCATTGTATCTGATCTTACAACAACCAAATGAGGGAGATTGTTATTCCCATTTTAGAGATGTGGAGCTAAGGCCTAAAGATAGTGAGGCACTCATAAAATAAGACCAGGGCTGAATTTGGAGCAAGTCCAACTCCTTCATCACACATGATCAATGTATTTATGTGGGTGGGAATGTATTTTGTGCCTCTGTAACCAGCAAAAATGTGAAGGAACCCCAAAATAAGTGACAAGAGACTTAATGAAGAATTGGCCAGTTTTCACTTACTTATTGCTTTCTTATCACTGTGAAAATGTTAGGCTGGTGGGTCGTCCCTGTCAATCATAGAAACTTACAATAGCAACACACACACACAACGTGGTAGCAGGCCAGTTTGCTTCAAGCTTCTACTCTACTTTTCAAAAATGATCATTCATGTGTCAACAGCCAGGAGGCCTTTTGATGCTCAGGATCAGATGGGACGGTATAAGCAGTGCTGCTCGCTTAAATTCAGCTAGATCTGCTCCTGGCATATAAGAGGCATCTCTGTGAGCTGGACTCATGCCAGTACACGTAAACCCTGCATTTGGAAGCCCAGAGAAAGGCAGCATTTAAACATGGAAGAAATTATCTCTCCTCGCCCCCTACCCAGCCCAAATTGAGGCTCTGGACTACATTGTCCTTTCCATGTGCTGCTCTTGCAACAGACAGATCATTCTCATGAAATAGATTGCTGACCGAGGGGAAAGGCCCGAACAATTGTTCCCAACAAACACGCCTGTGGTACGCAGCCAAAGACAATGAGAAATGTCCCAGAAGCTCTCGGGACAGAGCACAGATAATGAGCCCCCCTCCAAATCCTGCTTCGCTCTGCAGATCTCGACCCGCCGGCTGCAGCAGCAGCAGCAGCGGCAGAGGGGCACGTAGGGAAGAGGCTGCTCATTTAGTGCAGGCAGTCCGAGCTGCATCATGCCCTTCACAAGACGCAGGGCTTCCTTTCTGGGGCAGCAGCCCTCTACGTCTGCAGCGGAGAGCGCGGGCACCGCCAGCCGTAGGGTTAGCATCGGTGGGGCAGGCAGCCTGTCCAGGCCGTCGGGGGTTTATGTGGGAATTGTGCCAACAGGAGGTGTCAGCAGCCTGGGCACCCGGGTGTCCCGCAGAGCTCTGGGTATAAGCAGCGTCTTCTTACAAGGCCTCCGTAGCTCTTGCTCTACTGTCCCATTGCCCCAGGGGCTGGAAAGAGGACGGGGCCTATCTTACGAGAGCCTGAATGGGTGCCTGGTGGACTACATTGAAAAGGTGAGAGCTTTAGAGCAGGTCAACCAGGAGCTCGAAGACCGCATCCGTGTTTACCTGAACAAGAAATCTTCCAGCGCCAACAACTGGGGAGCCCTGAGAGAGAGCTGGGAGACCATCTACCACCAAGTGAGTATGAAAACTGGCAAGAAAGACAAAGACGAACGAATCGTTAACCAGAACAAAGAGTTTCTGATGCCAATGATAAGAACGCAGCCTCGTGCTAGGGTAGAGCTACCCTGCCTAGCACATTTTAATTTTTATCTTCATGGTAATTAACATCATTTCACTGTGTGTGTCTGTGTGTGTGTGTGTGTGTGTGTGTGTGTAGGGAATGCATTATGTATGGGAATTGCCCTGAGGAGGTTCATCCACAAGAGGGGAATAATGGAAAGCTCTCTCTCCCCTCTTTGGCGTAGTCAGCCAATTCTCAGAGCAGTCGTTACATTTATGAGCAAAACTATGAAAGAAACGCTGCCAAAACAGCGAGTTTATCCTCTTGGTGTTATCTCATTGCCAGCTTGATGCTGTTTGTAACGAGGAAATACCATCTGAGTGGTATTTGCTGCTTTCATTCATCTTATTTTCCAAAAGCAAAGTCGATTTTATTTTATTTTATGGCAAGGCGTTTCTTCCACCCCTTACGCAACGTTTAGCATGGAGGGGAACTTTTCAGTCAAGGTCTTTGCAAACAAAGAAAGACGTTTTTTCATCTAAAATTTGTGGACATTTTTACCCATTTTATAAAACTGCCTTTTAAAAAAAACTCCCAACACAACCCAAATATCTTATGAAATTAAAGCATGATCATACATAGTGCAAGAGGCACAAGGGCAAAATAAATAAAAAATTATGACCCTACAAACACTAGGAAGGCACGCCTATATTGAATTAGCATTGCTGCAGCACTATGATCACCTTGTAGATCTTGCGAAACTACTGAAGTCCTGGATGCCTCTACTCCAGTGGTTTTCAACAAGTGTGCCATGGCATCCTGAGGTGCCTTGAATGATAGGGGTGCCGTGGGCAACACTGGCCTCTGCCCCTCCTTCCTTCCCTCCCTTCCTCTGATGCCCTCTTACATCTCTGCCTCCCAAAGGCTTGCACAGCTGTTTGTTGCAGCAGCCCTGGCTACAAGCTCCCCAGGCGAATGGTGCCTCTGGGTCTGGCCAGGGGGTGCTTCCCAGGCCCCTGTGGGCGAGTGTGAGCAGGCCCATCTCTTTGGGGCGGGGAGGCAGCTCAGAGACCAGGGGACTCCCAAGGAGAAGGGAGAAGAGAGGAGGCTGAGGGAACACTCCACAAGGAAGGGTGTTCAAAAAGGGGTGAGGGGCTGCCAGCTCTGCAGGCAAGGGGTGACACAACTGGGCTCCTGAGCCCCACAGGGGTGCCGCAGAAAGAATGCAGTTGGTCAAGGGAGCCATGGACTCAAAAAGGTTGAAAACTTCTGCTCTACTCTAATACAATTTCTTGGGAATGTTTTGGTGAACAGGCTAAGGGGTCAGAGAAACAGACCTTTTAGGGCCCATGGACACATTTGGAATGTGCACCACAACCTCCGGTCACTTCTTTCCACTCCACTCCACCCCCACGAGACAAAAATAGGAAAGTCCTCAATTATTCTGGATTAATTAAACTGGGACTAAGAGCACCACTTTCCATGCAAGCAGTAAAATACTTGAATCATAACTCTGCATTTAGCCTGCATTTAGCCTATACACGCTAAACTAACCCAAGAATAAATCTAATTGAACTCGCTTCTGAATAGACTTCCATAGCATCTCACTGTCAGGTGCATTTCCTAGATGATTTGATGTCAATTATCTGTAAACTATGTTAAATCATTGTACACTCATCTTCTCAACACAGTCCTGTTCGTATATAAAATGTTAATGTTCATTATTATTGCTATTATTATAAAAGGCTTCAGCCCTATAAGCAATCCTGTAAACTGCCCTGAGATGTGCAGGTATAGGGCAGTATATAAATTAATAATAATAATAATATGGGGAGGGAGGTAAGAGTGCTTTGTACTGTAAATGGGCTGCATAGATATCACAAATGGGTTATTACGGCAATGCTTTTTAAATTTTACATGATTTTCCACAGAAAGGGGTAAATTTAGATTCAATTGGAAGGCGGGGTGGGGGTGGGGAATAAGGGCTGGCGTTTTGTTGCCAACGATGTTGTGCATTCTGAATGCAAAAGGAATACCCATGCCACAAAAAGAGGATGACTGATGAAGAGGAAGGTGGCTGTTACTGCATCCCCCTGAACCTCAGACAGACTGAGGTTGGTGAGGGAGTGCCCGATTCACCCTAATGAACCAGTCTCTGCTGTGCACCACTGTGCCCCAATGCAGAGTTACAGCAACATTACTGGCCCTGAGAGGTGGGTGCCTGTTGTGTCTCTGCCTGAGTCACTGCTCTGGGTCCACCGCCTTGCAATATGCCCGGACAGAAATGAAGTTCTGTAAAATCCTCAGAGGCTGTGATTGCTGTCTTTACATATTCTGAAAACATTCTGAGTGAAGCCTCTCTGCTTCCAGAAGTTGTGGGATGGAGTGAGGGAGAAACTGTTCTAGAGGCACACATTACCAGTCAAGTAAGGCTGATTTACAAGCCTTATTGCAGCATATGCTGCACTCAAAGGGACTCGAGGTATAAATAAGTGCATGAACACTCCTAACAACATTGCACAGCAGTCAAGTTCAACTAAAAAGAGCAGCTATTCAAACAAAGCTAACAAAATCACAGAACAAACTGTTTCAACAATCAGTACAACCATACTAAATTCCTGACAATTCATTTTATTAGTACAAACAGCACTATAATGAAGTATTAAATAGCAAACCACAATTTGTTGATTTTAAGCTAGTCAAAATCACCAGCAGAACTCGGTGTAAATAGTAGCTATCACAAATAAATTAAAGTGCCAATGGAACAGGTACATGAAAAGAGACAGGCATAACAGTCAGGTTGTGTATATATTGTATATATTATTTTCTAATAAAGCAATTCAACAAATCAGTTAAGTTTGGAGGCTTTCTTCCTGCAGGGACAAGGGGGCAGGCGGCTTTCTTCTTTAAAGGGTATTCTGTAAAATGAACCTGTAGCCCTCCAGATGTTGCAACTCCCATCATCAAATAGGGAAGCTTTTTAAGGTTTAATTGTTTATTATGTTTTTATATAAGGGACGAGGGTGGCGCTGTGGGTTAAACCAGAGAGCCTAGGGCTTGCCGATCAGAAGGTTGGCGCTTCGAATCCCCGCGACAGGGTGAGCTCCCGTTGCTCGGTCCCTGCTCCTGCCAACCTAGCAGTTCGAAAGCACGTCAAAGTGCAAGTAGATAAATAGGGATCGCACCTGTGTTTCTGTGCACTGCTCTGGTTCGCCAGAAGCGGCTTAGTCATGCTGGCTACATGACCCAGAAGCTGTACACCGGCTCCCTTGGCCAGTAAAGCGAGATCAGCGCTGCAACCCCAGAGTCGTCCACAACTAGTACAAATAATATCATCATCATCATCATCACCACCATTATTAATGACCATTGGCCATCCTGGCTGGGGCTGCTGGAACATCATCTGCAGGGCCACAGGTTCCCCATCACTCCGTTAGGTTAATAGGCAGAATTTGCACCAGGTTTTACAGGCAGATAAAGGACGTGGGTGGCGCTGTGGGTTAAACCACAGAGCCTAGGACTTGCCGATCAGAAGGTCGGCGGTTCAAATCCCCGCAATGGGGTGAGCTCCCGTTGCTCGGTCCCTGCTCCTGCCAACCTAGCAGTTCGAAAGCACGTCAGAGTGCAAGTAGATAAATAGGTACCGCTCTGGCGGGAAGGTAAACGGCGTTTCCGTGCGCTGCTCTGTTTCGCCAGAAGCGGCTTAGTCATGCTGGCCACATGACCCGGAAGCTGTACGCCGGCTCCCTTGGCCAATAAAGCGAGATGAGCACCGCAACCCCAGAGTCGGCCACGACTGGACCTAATGGTTAGGGGTCCCTTTACCTTTACCTTTACCTTTACCTTTACCTTTACAGGCAGAAACCACTAGGTTTTGTCCCAAACCAGGCCACATTCACACCATACATTTAAAGCGTGATACCACTTTAAGCAGACATGGGTTCCCCCAAAGAATCCTGGGAGCTGCAGTTTTTTAAGGGAGCAGAGACCCCTATTCACCTCTACAAATCTCCAAAGTTCCCTGTGAAGAGGGATGGTTAAACCACTCTAGGAACTGTAGCTCAGGGAGGAGAATATGGGCTGCCTAACAACCTCCAGCACCCTCGACAAACTCTTAATGACACCTCCCAGAATTCTCTGGGGGAAGCCATGATTAAGGCGGCATCATAATGCTTTAAATGTATGGTGTGGATGTGTCCCCAAGCAACCTCCTAAGTCCATGCAGACAAAGGAAATTGGCAATCTTAGCCGTGCAGAAGGCCAAATCTGCATGCAGGAAACGGCATGAATCCTGTGAGCAAATGGTTTGCAGTTGCTGAAAACTTGTAGGGCTATTCCACCATAGTTAGATGCTGTGGGAAGCTGCTACAAATCTCGTGTGTGTGTGTGTGTGTGTGTGTGTGTGTGTATGCACGCATGCAAGAGAGAGAGAGAGAGAGAGAGAGAATTGGCCCATGAGATTTGAATTCTGGTTGCATTATTAAACAGTCCAAAGAGAGCTTTTTGATAAAAAATATTCCCAAGAGTCAGCAGGACAGCTGTGTACAGTCAGTGCAGCAAATTAAAAGATGGCACTTCTCTCTGAACCTGAGAACAAGGTGTTACAAATTGCAGCCTTCCTTCTAGTTTAGAAGTAAGAAAGTGAGAAAAATAATTAACGAAAATCTCCATCTAATTCCAGTCCCCCCCTCCCAAGAGAGGTTTACTGCTGAAGCAGTTAGTATTACACAGGGGAAATGTAAGTTTTATTTTTGTTAGCCGTAAAGTGTGAAAATGCATATTTTTAATTCCCTTTTAAAAAATCCTGACATAGTTTACTGCAGTCATATTTCCAAACCCTGGGGATCCCAGGTGGGAAGACTGAATTTAAAATAAGGCTGCAGGATTTGATAGATGAAAATGTTCTAAAGGACACAAATTGTTTGGGCAGCAGGATAAATTTTATTTTAACTACAGTTTTCGATGCAAATACTTATAAAAATTGCAGATGGCAAGCACCACATTGTCAGGGCAATGCTAAAAGGAAGGGGAAAGGATAATATGAGGCAGTGGAACCACCAAATTCAAAATCCTGCCTGCTCTAGATCCAGTCAGGCTGAAAGACCAGTGGTGACTGGAGAAAATAACTACACTAGCTCCAGGCTGGTGCAATTTCCCCCACTATTATGGGGACTTGGGGGGGGGGGAGCTTTGGATGTTGCAGAATCATAGAAGCATAGAATTGTGAAGTTAGAAGGGACCATGAGAAGCATCTATCTGGAATTCCTCTTTTTTGTATTACTGCTGTTGGAGCACTAACGGCAGAGCAGAACAAACTTCTTAATGCAATTTTGCCTAATAGACTCTATTTTACAAAACAATCCCTGCTAATATAATGTATAATTCCATGTTATTTTCACTATTATTTCACTTTTATTATTTTACTATTATGTGCATTTTTAGGCACACTTCACACTGGTATATGTCTTTTTGTACACATTACTTGGCTGGAGAACTGCATTGCAAAATTCAGAGAAAATTTTGCAGGATGGTTGTTTCAGTTTGCATATTGTTTCTGAAACTGAGAACTAGGTAGGTTTGCCTTTAAATGCAAATAATCAAAATTCTTACCCATACCTATCAATAGTAAAAAGTAATAATTCCTACACCATGCCATTCCACTGCCCTCCCCAAATGTTATCACTCCAACTAGTACCATGTTAGAGGAAGAAAAACTGCAACACACTGGCCATCTGCCCTTTATACTCTCAAGATGGTACCCACGGCATTCCTATATGCAAATTTATTCACAGTATATTGTAATAAATATATGATACCCTCCCTTTAAGCCTTTGCTCCCCTAGCCACGTACAAGTAGAAACAATGCCAGCGAATACCGGTAATCATTAACATATTTCAGTTCACAAGCTTATCATTCTAGCCAAAGGCCATGACAAACTTGAATTAAGCAATAGTATTAATAAAATTGTACAGAACATACATCCATAATATAATAATCCATAATATTAAAAAAACTTTGCCAAGTTTCTAAGCATTAAAATAGTTTCCCTTGTGAATCTAGAATCCAATTTGCCAACAACCAGGATATAAGAGAGAGAAGTTACCAAAGACACTAACAAACTCAAATCCAGCTTGATTTCAGATTAAACCTCCAAATCACAACAATTTATAGCAATTTTATCCAGCTCCAGGTTGTTTTAAGTTACTCCTTCTGGCAACTGTGTCATGCAGCAAGACACTTTCCCCAATAGCTCACCATGATAATCCAATGATTTTTTTCCTACACTGCCACAGCTCTTTCACAAGACTACCATGAAGCCACTGGTTAGCACATATCAACCAACAAGAAATCTACTGAGTATTAACACCAAGGTGTCCAGTGCTGATTAAATTGTCTGGTCCAATGAAGGACCCGGTTCCGGATACAGATTGTATTTGTTATTTATATTTGACTGCTTCAACTGTTCTAGGTCGGCGATGCAGTCATGGAAAACGCCCGGCTTATGTTACAGACAGAAAATATTCAAGCCTGTGCCGAAGATGTTAAGGACAGGTAATCTCTCGTAGGTCAATTTTCTCTTCCTCTATTGATATGAGAGAGAAGAGGGGGAAAGATTCAGACTGGGAATAATAGTAGAGGGGTTAATCCTAATGAAAGGAATCAATTCATAGGCCATCTATCAGTGGGACAGAGCTTTTGACTGTGGTACATTGGTAATATTATCATAATCATCATTACTTGCTCTCCACCAGCCGTTACAACAATTTAAGATTAAGTACTAAGAACAGTGAAAACTGATTACAGTCACAAGAATAGGATAGTCCCTCAAAACACACATCTCAGATGACAAAGGCCAGGGTAGAGAGAGATGTCTTCAGCATTTGCCAAAAGCTATACAGTGGTGCCTCGCAAGACGAAATTAATCCGTTCCGCGAGTCTCTTCGTCTTGCGGTTTTTTCGTCTTGCGAAGCACGGCTATTAGCGGCTTAGCAGCTTAGCGGCTATTAACGGCTTAGTGGCTATTAACGGCTTAGCGGCTTTAAGAAAAAGGAAACAAACTCGCAAGAACTCGCAAGACGTTTCGTCTTGCGAAGCAAGCCCATAGGGAAATTCGTCTTGCGGAACGACTCAAAAAACGCAAAACCCTTTCGTCTAGCGAGTTTTTCGTCTTGCAAGTTTTTCGTCTTGCGGGGCACCACTGTACACTCAAACCTCAGTTCCCGAATGCCTCCGTTATCGTACATTTCAGCTCCCGAATGCTGAAAACCCGGAAGTAAATGCTTTTCAAACGTTTTTCGGAACCCGAACATCCGATGCAGCTTCCGCTTGAGTGCAAGAAGCTCTTGCAACCAATCAGAAGCCATGCCTCGGTTGTCAAACGTTTCAGAAGTCGAACGGTCTTCCGGAACGGATTACGTTCCACAACCGAGGTTTGACTGTATAGCGAATGAACCAGATATGCCTCTGTAAGGAGGGTGTTTCAAAACTTTGTGTTTGCGTCAGAGGATTTGCCCTCTTCCCAGGCTGCCACCCCCCAGACACCCATCACCACTGGATATGCCAGGTGGGGAGGGTGGGAGTTGGAGTCTAGTAACATCTGAAAGGTGACAGGTTTCCTATCCCTGTAACAAACGCATCTGCCAGAAGACTGAGCTCTGGGCTGCAGTGTCCCAACGTCCTGTCCATTTCTTCTGCAGGTATGAAAATGAGCAACCGTTCCGAAAGGCAGTGGAAGATGAAATTAATTCTCTCTATAAAGTGATTGATGATGCTAATTTGACCAAGGTGGATCTGGAGAGCCAGATCGAAAACATGAAAGAAGAATTAACTTTACTGTCAAAGAATCATGAAGAGGTAAGTTGGAGCTGAGAACAGCACATGGCTAGAATATATCTTTTTAGGCGACTCACTGGCATCTATCCAAACAAAGGCTAACTTCTGCCAAAAATAGTGTTTATTGTTGAACTTTGCGATTAATGTCACAGTGCAGGGCTCTTAATTGGTGGGTTTTGTATTTGTTTTTTGCATAAGCTTAACTTAATGCCTTTATCTCAAAACAATAAGCAGGCTCTGACATACTTTGCCATTTTTACTTCTGTGTGACACAGTGCCATTTAAACATACGTGAAAGTCCACATTCATATAACCTTATAGACAAACATCTGGGAAAAAACCACTTCAGCTACATTCGGGGTATGAAGCCTCTGCTCTCCCCAAGGGGTTAAGCTTTTTGTGCACTGATAAGCTTAACTTTTACATGCTGCCTTGGAAACACCTTGATCGTGGGGTGCTCTCTCTACAGAAATGTAGGTTTTTATGTATGCAAGGTTGCCTCTTGTTCATAAAACCATAGGGGCTAATAACAGCCCTGTAAATTTCCCCACAATAGTTATTAGTCTGAACTTTATTTTTTTACTACTATTCCAGGGGGCTAGTACCCTGTGCTTCTGTATGGGTATGCTTCTCCATGGCCAGCATAGAAACCCAGACTACTAGCTTCTTGTTTAAACAAAAAAAAAAATTAAAAAGCCTTCTACTAAGCAGACTGGAAACAGAAGGAATGGATCCTGCAAAGAATTCTTTATCTCCTATTCATACCAGCTGAAATATCTAAAGAATTCTACATAATGCAAGGAGGCTGTGATTTCTAGCCTGTCCTGCATTCATCGAAATTACATAATTTCAATGGAAGAAAAATGTCAAGAATGCAAAAAATAACATAATTTTTATATAAAAATTGTGGACTGAAAAAATATGGCAATGAATACCGCTTGTGTTTATTTGTGTGATTTCCATTCCTTACCTCCAACAAACATGCAAATTGTGGCAATTTCCATTCCTGCTTCCATTTCTGACAATATTCTCCAACATCCCTACTTATATGTCATCTTTCACAGCAAAACCCTCCCAAGGCAAACCACAAAATTTGGTAAAAGCATGAATACAATATATAAAACACACCCCAACACAACGTAGCAGCCATGCCAGACTCCCTCAATTTAGTAAGCCATGACAAAGGATACAAAAAACCCCAGTGGCAATGGCATGCTAAGGCTGCAATCCTATATGCAATTACCTGGAAGTATGTCCCAATGAACTGAATGTGACTTCTGATAATATATGAACAGTACGGCACTGCACTTTAGAATCTGGGGCTATGGCAGAGCACCTAGGTAACTATTTCATCATCAACACAGTCATCAAGGTTGATGGAATTAAGATGGTCCCGTGAAATGACCCAGATACACTAAAAAAACCAAAAACCACAGACTTCCCATGAGAAACACTTTCTACATCGACTAGCCATGTCTATCACAGGATAGGAGGAAAAGAATTTCATTTCCAGCAATTCTAAACAAAGTTCCTCCTGAAAACTGAGCTCTCTCTGTCACCAAACAGCTTTTGCTCTAGAAACAGCTATTTGTGAACAGTAACACCATCAGTAATTCCAATCAGAATACGAGCGTTTTGTGGGAGGAAACAGATCTGACCCAGCGGGAGAGCGCCCCCAGCAAAGTTTAAAACAATCACAGAGTTAAGCAGTAGTACAGCGTGGGGAATATAGGCTGCTAGAGCCCTTTATATATCCCATTTAGTTTGCAAACAGCACTTGATCCTATCTCACTACCCTATGGCAATGAACAGACCACACACTTTAAAAGCTTTACTTACAAAATCCAAAGGTCTGATTCATGCACTGTTTTACCAGCAAGGAGAACACAAATGGAATACTCTTGGGTACAAAATGCAGTTTCAAGCATGCAGTCTGAGCTTGGAGCAAGCTCAGACACATCCTTCCTGGTCAGTTACATGGCACGAAAAGAGTGAGGAAAGGAAGAGAAAAAGTTTCACTTCCCCTGTCACCTCTGAGTTCCTAACTGAGTTCTGTGATCTTAACCCCTTCATGCATTAACTAGCCGTATGCTTACTAGTTATGTTTGACTGCTATTTCCCACGTACAGTCAAACCTCGGTTGTCGAGCGTAATCCATTCTGGAAGACTGTTCGACTTCTGAAACGTTCGACAACCGAGGCGCAGCTTCTGACTGGTTGCAAGAGCTTCTTGCACTCAAGTGGAAGCCGCGTCAGACGTTCAGGTTCCGAAAAATGTTTGGAAACCAAAGCATTTACTTCCAGGTTTTCAGCGTTTGGGAACCGAAATGTACAGTATCGGAGGTGTTCGGGAACCAAGGTTTGACTGTACTGCATTTACATTTGAGTGACTATTTGTAGAAAACAAACGAGAAATCAAGTAAGGCTGCAGTAGCCACGAATGATGTCTACCCAGTTGCATCAATGGAAATTGTTCCTTTTGCTAGAATCTCAATGGGTGCTGCCCATTTATTTATGTGGGTGGTTTTCAGGATGTCAAGATGCTTTACAAGCAGCTTGCTGTCTCACCACTGGAAGAACTAGATACTCCCATTGGAACAGGCCTGGATGACATACTGGAAAAAATCCGGATTCATTGGGAGAAAGATATTGAAAGGAACCGAACTGAGACTGGCGCCTTGCTCCACACCAAGGTAAGAACAAAACAAGGTAAGAGTAACTAAGACTGCAATCTTACATACATTTGTCTGGGAGTAAGTCCCATTTATCTCAAGGGGCTTTGTGTTTCAGTAGACATGCATAGGCTTGCAATATAAAATGATTAGGGAGATGGAGCACCTCTCCAATAAAGCCAGGCTTACCAAGCATGGAATGCCCATTCATTATGTGTGTGGGAAGCTTAAAAATAATACTGCCCAAATTACTCCATGAAATAACGCTCCCCTCCATTTTCTCCAATCAGCACTGTCAACCAAGAGTAATATATATATACCAGTATATGCTGTAAACGGAGGAGAAAGTGATGGATTTAAAATCCCAGCAGCTTTTCTTCTGAATTGTATATGATATATTTGTGTAACGCAGGCATCCCCAAACTCAGCCCCTCCAGATGTTTTGGGACTACAATTCCCACCATCCCTGATCACTGGTCCTGTTAACTAGGGATGATGGAAATTGTAGTCCCAAAACACTTGGAGGGCCGAGTTAGGGATGCCTGGTATAACAGAACAGCAAATAAGAATCTGCATTTCCCCCCCGTTCGTCACTGTTAAATGTTGTCAGCTAGCCACAGAAACAGCACCATCTGTACGGACACAAGAGGAGGAACTTGTTGAATCCCTGAGGGTAGAGTTTCATGAAACAGCTTGCAAAATCCAAAGCCTGCAAGCAGAGACTGAATCACTGAGAACTCTGGTGAGTCAGAAATGAGAAATGGTATCTGTTTATAGGTGCAAGGCTTTTGTTTCCAGGATGAACAGATTCCTATATATATGGGTTTGACACCTTATGCTATAAGAGAATCAGTGCAATCCTTCTGTATGATTTCTCAGAAGTAAGCCACTGATTTCAATGGAAATTATTCCCCAGTAAATGTGCATAGGATTGCAGCTGACATTTTCAAATGTGTTCAACAAACCATTGTTCATCCATTATAATTGCAACCACACGCTTCTTGTGGACATCAAGGCTTGAAAACTCCACTTTTCAAAACAGTTTTTATAGCTATAAAACTTAGGGTACAAGCTGGAAAGCTGACTTATAACTGTTTACCAGTGATTCCAGTAGGAGCATTAAGCAAGTGTTTAAATTTCTTCCACTGAAATCAGTAATGCCCCTTTGGTTCTTTTCAGGATTGTGGCCCAGTTTGCATGCAATGACAAACACAATGCCCAAAGACACAGAGCGTGTGTGCGGGTACTCAAAGCAAAAACTGTGGCTGCTTCACTCCTCCACCAGTCCTGCTTCTGCCACACCACTTGAAGCAAAGCCACAGTGTGGCTTAGTGCTACATTTAGAGACAATGCTTTTTTCTTAAAAAATGTTTAGGGGTACTCTCATTTTCTTAGATTTCTAATATTGAAATACTGCCCCTCAATGAGGCCAAACTTAGATTCACAAAATGTTTAGGGGTATGCGTACCTGTGTACCCCCAGAAAAAACAACTGCATTTAAACATCTCAGTACATTTCCGAGCACAATTCAAAGTGTTGGTGCTGACCTAAACTGCCTCAGCCCAGTATACCTGAAGGAGCATCTCCATCCCCATCGTTCAGCCCGGACACCGAGGTCCAGCTCTGAGGGTCTTCTGGCGGTTCCCTCACTGCAAGAAGTGAAGCTACAGGGAACCAAGTAGAGGGCCTTCTCGGTAGTGGAAAGCCCTGCCATCAGATGTCAAGGAAATAAACAACTATCTGACTTTTAGAAGACATCTGAAGGCAGCCCTGTTTAGGAAAGTTTTTAATGTTTGATGTTTTATCACTTTACTAATATTATTATTATTATTATTAATTACATGTCTTGCTCACAATGAACCATGAGCTGAACCAATTTGTGATCAGTTTACTGCTTGTGGTTTGTTTGGGGAAAACCAACAAGGCTGGGTTCACACAAAATGCTAAGCCAAACCATGGCTTACCTTTGGGTAGCATAGCAATAGTAGGACCAGGAGAATACCTGTCTGGATACCTGCCCGCTTACTTGTTCTCCCTAAGCTACGATTTGGCTTAGTGTTGCATGCAAACAAGGCCTGTGTCAAAATGGTTGCATTCTGCAGAGCCTCTATAACATGGATTCAAGTATTTGTACACATGCTCCTCATTGCCAACAGCTCCTCTCAATGTTCCAGACACCACTTGTTAACCTCTCTCAAGTTTCCAAAATTATGGCCAAAGTTTCCAAAATTACTGGCCAACTAGTGTGTGGAGCTATTGTCAAGAAAGAAAGATGACACGGTTCAGGTGTCCCACTCCACATGCCAAGGTTACAAACTTCAGCATTCTCACGTATGAAAACCTACACCGGACCTCCCCAGCTTATAACCACCAAATGCAGCCCTCCACTGTCTTATCATATGAGGCCACACTACATGGCTGCTGAGTTTACCTTGGTAGAGCACAAGTTGGGCAGGCCAAAAATATGTATTAGCATTTTTATTACATATATATATATATATATATATATATATATATATATATATTACAACAGGATTTTGTTGTCCTTGCAGAAGAGAGGTTTGGAGAACTCCCTCTATGATGCCAAGCACTGGCATGACATAGAGCTTCAGAATTTAGGTTCTGTCATCACCAAGCTGGAAGCAGAAGTAGGAGAAATCCGAGCGGAGACTGAGCAGCAGCAGAGGGATCGCGAAACTCTGCTGTCCATTAAAACACAGCTGGAGAAAGATATCACTGCGTATCACTGCCTTCTAGACAAAGAAGAGAGCAGGTATTTCTTTGTATGGTGAATTGTGTCTTGCCTGCATAATCGCTTCTCTGCGCTCAGAGGAGAATTAATCAGAGTGGACACAAAAGGATAAATCAAGCAGGATCTAGCAAATATTAGCATTGCTACATTATAATATTACATTGCCAACAACTTCATTCTGTTGTGCAACTGATGCCTCAGTTACAGATTTGGATATACAGCTACTAGTTGACTGAACTCATATATATACTCCATTCCTAAGTCATATGTGAACAATTCCTCTTTATGAGGTATGGCCAGATCAGATTTTCCACTCACTCGCCACCTTCCCCAGAAACAGCAGGCACAATCCAGTCATTCCAGTACTGCCTCTCTTCAGATTTAAATTTTAGGCCTTTGAAGGATGGGGTGGGTGGAACAGGCTCAAGTCTTGATGGCAAAGTTCTCCCCAGCTGGCAGCAATGAAGCTCAAACAGTACCATTGCCTGTTGCTTGGCTCAGAAGGCCAGTCAAAACCATATTGTGGCTTAAAGTTTCCTAGAGCTGCACTATTTCATATTGTGGACAACAGGCGACACACTTGCCAAAAAGAAGGGGCCTCTTTGATTTTGGCTGCTCCTTGTGGTCTCTGCAGAGTGCTGCAAGTGGACCTGAAACAAAAGCTGCAGCTTAAAATGCTCCTGTCCAGAGTTCCAACCAGCCAGTCAGCCATGCACTTTTCCAGGATATATGGTACTCCATTTAATCAAAGTATCTCAGCTCACATTAATGCATTAAATGTTCATTAAAATATCAAAATATAAATAAAACCAACATGCCATTCCACTCTCCCCCACCCGAGTTTTCCACACCCCTGCCCCAAACAGTCAGCATTCCATGACCGTTAAATATGACTACAGTAGTCCTCACTGTGCTATTTTGAGAAGTGGGTTCCTCCGGATTTTTTCTTAAACTTTTTGGGCATTTTTGCAAGCATTGGGGTTCCCCAAAGCTTTCTTAAAAAAAAAAAAGTTTACTATTTTACACTGATTTACATTAAGATCATATGACACACAATTTACATCGGAATCGATCTTGACAACTTCCCATCCTTACATATGTGATGGCTTAATTCTTTCCCTCTTGAATATATAGACTGCAGACCCTTCAAGTGTCCCTATTTTCCAGATTTAGAGAAGCTTTCCCAGTTTCTGATTTGACCCCAGAATGTTCCGCTTTTCCTTAGGACATCCCTATTTTCATTGGAGAAATGTTGGCAGGTATGGAGTTATCCGCCCCCTGAGCCATCTGAAGGCAACAGTTTTTTACATGTTTTTTTTAACAAAGGAAGTTTTTTTTTTTAATGTTTAATGTTTCCTTATGTTTGTATATAAGTTGGAAGATGCCCAAAGTGGCTGGGGCAACTCAGTAAGATATGTGGGGCATAAAATAGTAAAATTATAATTATGGAAAGGGACGTCCCTATTTTCATCAGAGAAATGTTTGAGGGTATGAGACTGAACCCTTTTAGCTACATAAGGGTGCACACTCAGATGTTTGCTATTAGTTTATAGGAACACTGCAAGACTAAACAAGCAGCAGAGCTCAGTGATATAGGTCCTGCCCTGGTCCCAATCTTCAGAAGATCATAGATACAAAATAGTGGATGGAGATATAATGCAGTCTGTTTGCATGCATTATGCATGAGTGCAGTTTTACCACCTCATTGCAAGCCACGGTAAGTCAAAGAGCAAGATTTGCATATACTGCAACCTTGGGATGCTGCCACTAGTTAAGACTGACAATGCTGCATCAGAAAAACCTATAACTCTTCTGAAGAACTGGCATCGCTTCAGATTTTCTAGCTTTAAAAAATTAACAATACATGGAACCAAGTATTCTCTTCTTTGCAGAAAGGAAGCATCAGTCCCAGTTCAGCAAAGTAAATGAGATATATATTATTTATCAAAACAAACATCTATTTGTGTTAATTCTTAAGTCTCTTGATTTACTAGCACATTCCATTTTTAAAAGCTAGCCCATTCTAATTCAACACAAAATACAGGACTTAGATTTTCATCTTTAGTGGGAATTCATAACATATTGATTCATACTAGCTTAGTGTCTGTGGTGGAGCCCAAACTACCAACAAAAAGTGGTTGAATACAGCACACTAAACGGCATGAACAGCCAAAATAGCAATGTATGAGGATTTGGCTGCAGAGCAAAAACGACTTTTAGCATATAGTTCAGGATACTGTTTCAAACACAAACCAAGAACAACAAAGTTTTCCCTGTTAAAAATAATAATTATGTCTTCCATGGGAAACATTACGCAGAACAGTTAGCTTTTGGTTTACCATAAATGGAATTCTCATCTGTAATACGCCAGAAAAAGCTGCCCTTTTCACTGGAAAATTTGATTTCCAAACAAGTGTATTTCTTTTCTGACAACTGACTCATGAAGACCTGGTCTGAATTTTTCCTATCAGTCTTGGAAGTCTTGGCTGGATTTAACATCCACTCTCTTCATTAGGAAGAACATATTTTCGCCCCCACAAAAAAACTCTGAATCCACTACTTGGATAAAAACACAAAGGACAACTTGGATTAGAATAGTCATCCCAGACCTTGAAGCCCACATATTCACTGCATATGTGCATCTATTTAATCATGCATGTGATAACCTTTCTACTTGCAACCACAAAGCTGACTTATACAAAGCGTGTGTGTGTTTGTGTGCGTCATTTTGTTGCTCATCTTGCCAAAACTGCATCAAATCAATTTGTACTGTTAAGGGTCTGCTTATCTTTGGAGAAATAATGATTTTATTGTTTAGTCGTTTAGTCGTGCCCGACTCTTCGTGACCCCATGGACCAGAGCACGCCAGGCACTCCTGTCTTCCACTGCCTCCCGCAGTTTGGTCAAATAATGGTCAAATAATGATAGTGTTGTTTTTGTTTAACTTTTCAGCTGATTTTCAAATTTGTTGTCTTCAGAAGACAATTATTGTTGCTCAAAGCACAGGATGATCTCACTGGCAAAAGTGTCCATGGAAATGATGAAAGCCAATGCAGCCTACTCCAACTTGATTCGTCAACTTCAGTAGGCCACAGCTTGACCGACTGCACTAGGCATCCCCACGTATGATTGCTTCGCTTACAGGTTTCAAAACTTCCTATATGATTACAGAATAAAATATCAGTTCAACTTGATGGCTCTTTTTTAATATAAAAAACTGCTGGGGAAAAACTAGACTGATCCTGCATTCTTGTCAACACTCATTTGAGAATATATCTCACTGATCTCAGTTTGATTTTTTAAAAACAACAACAACAAAGGAACAAAAGATCAGGCCACAAGATTAATACTATCTAAAGTCCCCTGTTTTACCGGAGGAGACTTGCAAATTGTATTCTGGACGCTCCTGAAGTTCCTTAGAAGGTTATCTGGAGTTCCATTTGTCCACCATAACTGATCGCATTCTGCAATGCACGGCTGCAAAAGAGCATTGAATGTTTACTAGGCTACACTCTCAGTTCATATGGAGCAACGGTGAGGGAGGGGGCCTATAAGTCTAGCCAGTCCCCTGATTTAACTGAGGGTGTGTTCTAGAACTTGAACCTAGCCAAACTACATGAGACATGACTGGATCTCTGATATATTTGTTAAATTATAGAACAAGGCTGAAGAACCTGTGGCCATCCATAAGATGGACTCCAATTTGCACCAGTCCCAGCCTGTATGGCACAGGACTTGGAGTAGTTTATCCCCTTACCTGCCCATGTTCCCATTTCCTGATCTAAATTCTCCCTTCTTCAAGTTGCTGTTACCCCACTGAGGAAACATACAGTTACAGTATAGACCCATCTGCTTTTACTACTGAAGCAAATAGCAACTGGGGGGGAGGGATGGAAGAGAAAAAGAGATTTCTATTGAGAAAACAGTACAGAGAAAACCTTTGTATGTTTGCGGGGGGGGGGGCAGCATACCTTAATCCTTTCCCCCCCAGTGCCATGCCTCTGATCCACTTCAACTCCCCTGATGTGATGGTTACCTTGGAAGTTTAAAAAAGACACCTGGAGATCTGATCCCAGGTTTCCCACATCTCACCTATTTTGACCTTTAGAAAGGGTTTCTTGGAGCTATGAAATCTCAAAAGATTGTCTAGATTCAGAAAGGCCCATCATCATCAACAACAACAACATGTGTTTATTTCTATGCTACTTTCCCACAAAATTGTGCTTAAAGTGGCTCACAACATTCAAACAGTAAGTACAGCACAACTACTACAAAATAATATGAAATAACAGATACAGTGGCTTGGATCCCAGATATTCTTTTAGAACACTGTAAACAGACACATACTGCCCTAGTACTGTCTCACTACACCAGCTTTCCCCAGCTTGGTGCCCTCCAGCTGTTTTGAACTACAACTCCCATCATTCCTGGTGAGAGTTGTAGTCCAAAAACAACTGCAGGGCACCAGGTTGGGGAGGGCTGCACTATACTACTAAATGACAATGGGAATACTTTTTGTCTGATCACTGGAAACATTTTGAGTCTAACCAAGTTTGATTTGAACATGTCAATCTAAAAGAGAAAACTGATAGAATTAAATAACATAAGCAGTTTTGTAACAGACAAGAGTATCGTCAACAGCACTAGATGGAAGCTCAGTCACCTTAATCCCACAATACATTCTAAGCCACACCACTAATCCTCTCAAATTTGGTGCTTGTCACACAACTCACACTGAGTCGCCTAGTACCAGTAATACTTCTCAGCTGCTTCCCATCTGTCCATCTCTCATCATGGTGCACAAAGCTCCTGTGCAGACATTCACAACCACATCACAGTTTACAACAATGCCTTAATTTTAAATTATTTTTCCCATAGAAGAAAAAGGCTTAATTTGGATCTCTGAGGAAGGTGCATACAATAGGTCCACTCTGCGGATGTGTGGGATTTGTTCCTTTAGTTTATCTAAATTCAGGCCAGGTAAACCAATGTGTAGAAAAAGCAACAGTTCTATACCCAAACAATAAATGCTTTGACGCCAATACCCTGGCAGTAGGTCTTTCACTTTACTGAAAGTATGCAAGTGTTTTCACAAAAAGAAGAGCATAAATAGTAGAGGCAAGCTATATAATTGTGAAGATATATTAATATGGCCAAAGGAGGGAGGGCAGGATACTGGATGAAAATCGTTTAAACCATACTATAATTTTCCTGGAATTCTCTGAAGAGCCCTTAGCCCTCGCTTTAGCCTAACACCCCAGGGTCACTAGGAAAACTAGACACTAAAAAGCATGGAAAGTTGTGATCCATTCTAAAGATTTCAAAATCCACAGTTGGAAAATACCTTAACTAGGACCAACCAAAATGTCACAAAATTATAAGCAAGCTTTCTAGTTCTTCAGAACTCTACTTCGGGCTGGATGCTAAGCAGCACACCCAAAAAGTGGGAGAAAGGTTTTCTTGATATTGACACCACAAGGCTGTACAGTATTTAGTCAGTTTTAAGGCTTGGAAGATGGAGAATGCAGACTTACCCTACACAGCACAATCCTACATGTCTAGTCAGCAGTAAGACCTGCTGAGTTCAATGTTGTGGCCTTAACACAAGTATATACATTCCTCCAGACTACTCTGCAGACCTGCTTTGACTATAATGCCCCAAAGTAATTTCACAAAAGGCATGAGTTTATGGGCCCAATTAAAGAATGTATTTCTCCTGAACCTTATTAGCTTTCCTTGTTGCTTTTAAGCAGTAAGGTCTCTACAAAAAGAACTGTGTCTTCAAATGCATTTCTAAACAAACTAGCAAATAGAAGCCATGTCTATACTATAAAAGAAATCACAATCTGTTGCACATAAAGTTGGTGCAGAAAAGGCTAAAAAAACACACAACCCAATCAAACATGACTTAAGAGATTTCAAAAAGTTGATTTGAGAAAAAACATCAGTTAGAAAAATGCTCAAAGAAATTGCAGCCTATCAAAGTCCCTGCTAGTGCTACTTATGGTATCTTACAACCTTATCTTATGGATTAGTTTTAATTGCTAAAGCCACACTTGTTACTGAACAAGTTGGGCAGAGGCATTCTCTGAATCCTAAGGGAACAGCGGTGTAGAATTTTGCTAACTGACCAACAGTATCAGGCAGTGCTATTTTTCTAGAAAAAGAGGTGCCATAACTCACCATGAACTCCTTCTTTGTTCTCTTATTATGGCAATGGTGCACACTTGAGAGGTGCTGGAACTGAGTTGCTGAGCTCGGCTGGGGGGGAAAAAGCCCTGGTATCAGGACAGCAGCTTACTAAATTTGCCTATTTAGACTACAATCATATGCACATTACCTAGCAGAAGCCACACAGGTGAATCCATTTTGTATAAATCTATTTTTTGCAGCTAAGCTTGTTGCTTTTTGTTTCATTATGACTTGCCTTTTGTGGCCTGCTTTGTCCTTGTGTTGCTTACATAATAGAACAAAAAGTACAAGGATTAACGGTAAATTTATTTGCAAATATCAGAAGATCACTGTGTTAATTGCAAGTAAATTTATTCATGGTTGGCCCTCACCTGCCACTTTAGATAGCATATTACACACCTGCTCACAGGAGCTTTACTCCACTTAGGTGCTGGGACTGGTAATGGGTTCACTGTTTGTCCAGGGCTTTTCCATTACCTAGATAAAAATCTATACTTCAGGAAACACTTCAAGAACACACTTAGATGTGTCCCGGCTCCCGGTGGAGTACAGGATCAGGTTTAAGGTGCTGGTTTTAACCTTTAAAGCCCTATACGGCCTAGGACCCTCGTACTTACGGGACCGCCTCTCCTGGTATGCCCCACAGAGAAACTTACGGTCTTCAAATAAAAACATCTTGAAGGTCCCAGGCCACAGAGAAGTTAGGCTGGCCTCAACTAGAGCCAGGGCTTCGGCCGTGGCTCCAATCTGGTGGAACACTCTGTCACAAGAGACCAGGGCCCTGCGGGACTTGACATCTTTCCGCAGGGCCTGCAAGACAGAGCTGTTCCACCAGGCCTTTGGCCAGGGCACAGCCTGACTCCCTCCCTCGGCAATCTTCGCGGAGCTCTGGCCCAATGGTTGCCAGTGGCTTGAATTAATTAATTTTATAATGAATGATTTTAGAGTGTTCTTTGTGCTGTACTTTTGTACTGTTTTATTGTTGTTAGCCGCCCTGAGCCGGACTTCGGCTGGGGAGGGCAGGATATAAATAAAATTTATTATTATTATTATTATTATTAGTATTAGTATTAAATTGGAACTGAGACTAAACAAGTCTACATTTAATTAACCAACAGGTTTTTTGCGGCTATTGAGTCCTTCACACAATAGTGTCTGGCTTGCCAGAAGTACATATGAAAAGGATCTAGGAGTCTAAGTAGACCACAAGTTTAATGTGAGTCAACAGTGTGATGCAGTAGTAAAAATAGCTAATGCTATTGTAGGCTACATCAACAATGTATGGTGTGAAGTCATAGTACCTTGGTCAGACAACACCTGGAGTACTGTGTCCTGTTCTTGGCGCCATAATTTAAGGATCTAGAGTGTGTGCAGAGGGTGACCAAGATGATCAAGGGTCTGGAAATCAAGCCTTATGAGGAATGGTTGAGGAAGTTGGGTACATTCAGCCTGGTAAAGCGGAGACTGAGAGGAGATATGATAGCCATCTTCAAATATCTAATGTAATCTGGTCCAACTCCCTGCAACGCATCCATGACTAATGGCCATTCAACCTCTATTAAAAAAACCTTCAGTGGAGTTGGACCAAATGGGCCTTGGGACCCCTTCCAACTCTACAATTCTCCAATCTTATGGCAACTCATTCCATCAGGCCTCCTCAGCCTCAACTGTCACCTGGGTGGAGGCATTCCATCACCCTGTCTCAGGGCAAGAGAGGAAGTTGGTTCATTGCATTCACTTTGCGGGAGGCCCAGCTCCGCCTGGCACCTTCTGCCTGTTAACTATGCCAGCTGGTCGGCATAGGAACAACTGTCTCTAGAAACTGGTGCTTAAACTTTTGAGATTTATTTTCCCCTGTCCTCTTGGGCGTTGTATTCCTTTTTCATTTTAAGATTGTAAGGGAGCGTATTGCTTTAATTTCTCATAAGTCGCTGCGGGAGTCCTTTTGGCTGAGGAGCAGGATATAAATACCCTAAATAAGCCAACCCCGCAGGTACGGTTTTCCTCCCTCACAAGAGGCAAGGGGCGCAGCTGCACCGGTTGCGTTTCTGCCTGTCGTGCACAGCTGCCGAATCCCGTCAGAAGGGAGGACTCAGAATCTCGAGGACTCAACGCCCCCCCCCCCCAGAAGGACGGCGAGCGAAAAAAGCGCGCGCAGAACCAAGGCCCGCTATCTCTAAGCTGAGGGAGCGCAGAAACAACAGAGCTCAAAGCCTGGCCCGTAACGAACATCTGCCCGCGCTGTACTGCCTCGTCACTCCCGGAGCGCCCAAAAGGCGTCGACTTCGCGCAAGCGCACTCCCTCCGCCTTCTCTCTCCTCCCACATTCCGGGCCGCCGGGCCAATCACAGACGGGGCTGCTGACGCTTCTGCCGCACCCAAAGCTCGTCACCCAGGCCTCCTTTGCCTCTCATTGGCTCCCGGGCCGTTTGTTCCCTTTGGGCGGGTTGGGCCCGGCGGAAGGAGGCGCGCGCGGCCTCCCGCCTCTGCGCCGCCATGCCCAATAAGGTGCCACGTTAGAAAAAGCTCCTGCCGCTTGGCTCCGCCTCCCCCTCCTATCTTCCCTCGCCCCCACTTTTCCTTTGGCTGTGTCAAGCGGCGGCCACCAACGTGGAGAGCGGAAGCCGCCGCCGCCGCCGCGTGAGCTGAGGAGGGAGAGAGGCGTCCGGCGCGCGGGCAGCCGGCGGTTTAAGGACTGTACCATTCGCCTCCCGCGGAAGGGGCGAGCGACTGCCACCCCCGTTGAGGCGCACGTGAGGGCTGCTGTTGGTGGGCACCTGTGAGGGGGTCGCTCGCCCGCTCGCCTTCCCTCGCTCACTCCCCCGCCCCCGGCGCAGCGCGTCGGCTTGGTAGGCGCCCAACCGCCGTCAGGCGCGAGGAAGACACGTCCCGTCAGCCACAACCGGTTTGAACCGGAGCGCGAGGAGGAGCCGCCGCTTCTGCCGCCGCCATGGCCGAGACTGAGGAAAGGAGCTTGGACGACTTTTTCGCCAAGCGGGACAAGAAGAAGCGGAAAGAGAAGAGCAGCCGGGGGGCCGCCTCGGCAACGGCCGCCTCCTCGGCTGCCTCGCACAACGCCCCTGCCAACGCTTCTGGCGGGGGTGGGGGCGGGGGGAGCCGGCAAGGCGAGGGCGGCTCCGGGACGGCCTCCAATGCCAACGCCGCCGCGACGAAGGGGGGGATTAAGGTGAGCAGGCGGGTGCGGGTCTGAGCCGGGTGGGTTCCAGCATGACCAGTCATGGGGCGGCGTGGGGGGGGGATGGCGGTGAGAGAGAAGTAGGGAATTATCTGCTTCCTGTGGGCGTTGGTGACTTCCTGTCAGCAGAGGGCGCCTCTGCGGGGTCAGCCCGGCCGCCGTGGCCTTGGCGTGGGGCGCGTGGAAGTCGCACCCATCGGTCACTCCTTAACCCTCCCGGCGGATGGGGTGGGGGGTGGGAACGAGGTCAGAGTTTAGGACTCTCGTATTTAGCGATGAGTAGATGCCCGATGTGGAACCAAAATCACTGGGCTTGAAATAGTCGTCTTGCGCCCCCACCCACGCAACCCCCGGCATGTTCTAGCTCTTTTGTAACGGCGCCGGAGTTTGCATAAACTGCTTTGTTCCCAGCAGCCTCTGTTCATTTGAGGCATGTCCGTAGTAACTGAGGCCGTGGCTCTCTCCCTTGAGCTGTGCCTTCATGCTGGCAGGCAGGGATTTTTTCCTGTGTATTCGTCCAGTCGTGCCACTGAGTGCTTACCTTCAGCCGTAGAAATAAGATGGTAGTGCAACTTCTTCCGGGGCTTTTCATTGCCTTCCAAAAATGGTTCCCGAAGTACTTCATTCGGTTGCATTGGAGCTGTGTAACATGGATTAAACAGCTCTCACTGGCACATGAGGTTTTTGCACACAATGCTGCTTCCTTGTTTTATCTGGTCAGTAGCTTTCAATATTTGAGACACTGCAGTTTTCATAAAGCTCCTCAAGGACAAGGCAGAGGTGTTTTTTTTTAATATATCTCTAATATTCTACGTTTGGCCGTTGTCACATTGAGGCTCATCTTCTTGTGGTTGGGTGGCCACTGTGAGAATAGGATGCTGGACTAGACAGCCCATTGGCCTGACTCAGCAGGCTGTTCTTAACCTAATGCAGTGATTCTAGATCAAATGTTTGGACAACATTGCAATGATTTTTTAAGATGAGGGAATAAGTTTGGTGAGAAATCCACATTAGGAAGCCATAGGTGGGGCTGCAACAAAATGCTGTGGTATGGAATTTTTTTTTTCCCTTTTCAATCCCTTCTCCCCCAACACTGAGCAGTTGTCTTCTGTCCCTGGGGACACTGAAAAATAGATTTTCCGTGTGAACCAGGAGGCCTGTCCAAGCAATCAGATGCTTCTTTCTGTCCTTTAATGTGTGTGTGTGTGTGTGTGTGTGTGTGTGTGTTGTCTCCTGTTCAAGCCACTCTATTCTATTCCACCTCTTTAGAAGAGCCTGCTAAATCAGGACAAAGACCCATCTAGTCCAGCATACTGTTCTCAAACTGGCCAACCGGGTTCCTATAGGAAACCAGCAAGCAGGATGCAAGCACAAGAGCACTTTCTCGCCTCCTGTGGCTTCCAGCAACTAGTGTTCAGAAGCATTCTTGCCTCCAACAAAGGAGGCAGAGCAATCACAGCTAGTAGCCATTGCTAGCCTTATTCTCTTTTAATTGGTCCAATCCTTATTTAAGCTATCTAAGTTGGTGGCCATCACTGCCTCCTGTGGGAACAAGTTAGTTTATACTATACATTGCATGAAGGAATACTTTATCTGTCCCTAATTCAGCTTCATTGGATGTCCACGAGTTTTCAGAGAGGGAAAAATTGTCCATGCCATGCACAGTTTTTCAGATTTACACCATGTCACCTCATGTGCCTTTTCTCTAGGCTAAACCCCCACCCCCAAAAAGTTGCAATATTTTCTAATGGGGAGCTGCTGTTAGGTTCTTTCCCTTCTCTCACAATGTTCTGTGCAACTCAGGGTGCTTCTTTGGGGTCCACCTGTTTTTCCCTATAGATTTTTTGGTACATACCCATACATCAAAGTTACTCTGATCTGCCAATGTGCTCTGATGGTGCTGCTTTGGCTACATAAGCATGAGCACTATAAGAATAATTGGTATGAGTATACAGTGGTGCCTCGGGTTACATACGCTTCAGGTTACAGACTCCGCTAACCCAGAAATATTACCTCGGGTTAAGAAGTTTGCTTCAGGATGAGAACAGAAATCGTGCTCCGGCGGCGCAGCGGCCGCAGGAGGCCCCATTAGCTAAAGTGGTGCTTCAGGTTAAGAACAGTTTCAGGTTAAGAACGGAAATCCAGAACGAATTAATTACTTAACCCGAGGTACCATTGTATAGGTAATAAAAGGTGGACCCATCTACTGAAAGAGTGTTGCTTTGATGGACTACAAGTTACCAGTCTAGAATGCTGTCCATCTGTGTCTCATTTTTTTGGAAGATAAGAGTGTAGATTTCCTGTTAGCAAATACTTTTCAGATCAGTATTTTTTTCTTGGGTAAGATCTGTTGGCCGTAGATAATAACTTTCCAGCTGAAATTTAATCCTCTGCTTAATAGATGGCAGAAATTTAAAGGAAGACAGTGGCATGGATCCAAAGTGGAAAGCCCTTCCACTTGCATGAGAGGGTGTTGTTGCCAATTTTCTCTCCACTATCTCTAGTCCTCAAAAAGCTAACTCCAGAGAGCCAAGAAGAGCCTATTTTCCCACCACCTCTTGCTCAAGCTGAACTGTGGGGTCTTTGGATCCAAACTATTTCCTGTAGACTCAAGGATTCCACTGCATCATGGGGAAACTTCACTAGTGTATGAACCCACACTTGCACACATCGTACACTGTAATCATGCCTGCCATGAAGAGGCTTGAATATATTAGGAAATAAGTGCAAAGTGTTATTAAAGTCTATTCCAATAGGGCCAGGTTGGATAATAAAAACAAAATGCTTAGGCAGAAACACAAGTTATATGCACTCTTCTTTACTAGCTTAAGCTAATATGTTAGAATTGAGGTAATCATGTATATTAATTAGAAATAAGAAATGTATGTGAAATTCTCTGGAAACTTGAAATGTATTATGTGCTCCTAAAGTAGGCAGTGTTTACTTCATTGCAAAGAAATAGAAATATTTGCATTCTGTGAGGGGTTTTTTACTATTGTACAATTTAATATCTTTTTATTTTTTATATTACACAATAATTTTAGAGCTTATTGTGCTGGTTGCCTTCTGTTAAGAGCAGATAATGAGTCTACATAATGTTTGTCTCTCTTACAGGAGGAGGATGAGTGGAAGGAATTTGAGCAAGAAGAAGTAATTGACTACAGTGGTCTCAGAGTTCATTCCATGCAAATTAGGTATTACTGTCTTAAAAAGACACACTTGGTAAAATATAATTGTACTCATCAACTTTCTGGATGTGCCTCACTGATAGAGATATTACTTGCAGCCTCATGAGTTATTTCAGCCTAACATACAACAGCTTAATAGCTGAAGAAAAGGCACTAACAAAGTCATATCCCTAGACTTGCCACAGAATGGCTTGAAGCGATCAGCACAATCTATCTGTGCATTTTAGCCACTTTTATAAAATGTTTCCTTGAAGTTCTGCTGCTTTGTATGGCTTAGAAAGCACTTGAATACTTTAAACATGTTTATGGGTGTTCTGTCACTTCTCAGTAATTGTCAAACCTAAAGAACTAAACTGTGGTTGTCTACTGTACTTCCTTTTGCTGGGTAATATGCTGTTTAAGCATGTCTCTTAAAACAGATATGGGCAGAATTATATTGGAATTATTTGCCTTTGCTATCCCTTGAGTTGTGTAATTCTAAATCTTTGTCCCTCCTTTCCTAACTACAGGCCCATTTTGTATATTCACACAGGGTGGAGAACTGTACTTAATGTAATAATATGCAAAATGTGCATGGTGTCATACATTCTTGATTTACGAAAATGATGAACATGTATTTCACCTTCGTTTTTATTTCAGTGAAAAAGATGATGAAGATGGTGAAAAGAGGGAAGAGCCAAGGGATAACAGTGAAGAACCAGGTGGGGGTATGGATAAGTTGTCAGGTCCTTGGAATAGATCTGCTCCTACACAGACACCTGTTGCTGAAATTATTGGTGAGTTGTTGGTTTTTTCGCTGTTTATTTTAAAGGTATATTGATTGAAATGGCTTGTATTGGCCTTTCTGTTATTTGATCTTCCCATTGCTTCTCAAAATTTAATTGCAGGATACAAACATCTCAGTGTTATGTAGCATGATTCATACAAATTAATAAGGTTGGTCTTCTATGGAAAAAGTGAAACAAGTTGACAGAACTAAGGAGAGGGAAAGTAATCTGGTTTGTTAAAATTAAAGCATTGTTTACCAATGCAAGGGTAAGTAGTTAGTGTGTGTGATGCGGTATAGCCATTGCTCAATAGGTGTAGGGTGTTGTTCCTGCTGTACAGTATTAATGCCAAGAGCTAAAAAAGAAATTCAAGCTCCCTAGGTGCCAGAATTCCTAACAGTTACTATTTGTTAAACATTTTCTTCATTTGAGAGGAAAATCATAGTATTACAGGGAGATAATGAAAGCAGTACATAAGATTACTGTTGCTTACCTTGGTAGTATACGTAGTTGTATTTGCCTCTGCTTAAAAAGGATGTGCAAATATGTTTTTCTCATGCATAGACAAGATGCCCTTATGTCCAGTGTTAGAAACTGGGATAGGAAAGCTAGGTGCCCTGTAGGTCTTGGGACCTGGGGTTTGGGCATTTTCTTTTTTGCTGCCACGCTACCCTGCAGACCAGGTGATTTGCTTGACAGTGTGGCATCTCCAGTCAAAAAAGGCCGGTTGCCAGTCACAACTGGCGCTGAGCTGTTTTCGAATGCTGATGTATACTAATAAATATTTTCTTGATGTGGCTAATTAAAAGAAAGACTAGGAAGTGTCTTGGAAGTGTCTTGCCACACACAGCGCCACACGACATTTAGGTGGATTCGCATACTTCCCCCTTGCCTTCCTTTTTTCACTCAAAAAAGAGGAAATTTGAAGTTTCCATTTGTAGTTTGGAATAAACCACATTTCTCACTGTGTCTGATATCCCAGTTTGTGAACTAATTTCTGTAAGGTAACAGTTTCCATATTTGGCAAAAGCAGGGAGACAATAGTTTGTTCTGAACTGGAAATAGAAGTTTCAGGTTCTGCCCATCTCTTGAAGTAGAGACAACATTGATGTAACAACAAACCATGATTTATCATTATTCCTGAAAAAAGCAGTTGGGATTCTTTGTTTTTAAGATTAGTTTTGATAATAGGTTGCCTGCTAGCAGCACTCCGCTACACCAGATGATTTTTTAAATCCACACTGAATATATTAAACTGGAATATTGTAACAGGTTCATATAATAATCGAAGTATGCCAAAATGGTTAAAAAACAGCAGAGTCCTTCATATTAATCTAATTACACATGACTATTTCTAATGCTCTTTCTGTCTTATTTGCAGAAGCCCCAGAGCCTGTCCAGTCCAGTGGAGTATATAGGCCACCCGGAGCAAGAGAAACTAGAACAAGGAAAGTGCCACAAGGACCCCCAGAGATTTATAGTGATACACAATTCCCATCGTTGCAGGCCACTGCCAAGCATGTAGATACTAGAAAGTAAGTATAGTAATAGGACTCTGCACATCTGCTTTAAAATCTCTTTCCCCCTAATCATTGGTTCAAAGCTTCATAAACCTGTCCACTGAGACCATAAGCAAGTTTGTGGTGGTATTTGCACCAGAAGAAGCAAGTGGATTTTAATTGCAGATATGTTATTCTAGGAGCACTGCCTGCATAAGTTTGGTCAAGAGGCTTTTAATTTGTTTTACAGGAAAGTGTTCTGAGGGGTTGGGTGGTAGAATGTTGAAAGGCATGATGTGTGCCAATTCCACATAACAAATCACAGTCCTGTGTGGATCTTAAATTCAGTGTGCCATTTGCAGGACTTCAGTGCTTTTCTTATCTCAGCAGAAGAAATAATTTTATGCCTCAGAGTTGACTTGCTCGGCTAAACTACAGCTTAAGCCCTGTTGCAATTTTGTCTGCCTGTGGAACAAAGTATGTTAACAAAGATGGCATTTGCAGGACATTCATCACAATCTCTCACTAACCCTGAGATTGTGATTGTGACTGTGATCCTGAGAGCTACTTTAAGGGCTCCCAAGGCCTTGGGCGTGCTTGGTGGAATGCTTTTCTTTGACTGTCAGACACACACATACACCCAATGCCATATTACAAACTGTTTTTGAAACCTGAGCACCCCATTTCGAAAGAGGCTTTCCTTAAACCTCTCTTGGGCATGCAGAACTAGTTCTACGGTTTTTTTGGATATAGGCCAATGCTTTGGAACAGTTACTTTAAAATATTTACAATTGTTATGGTATTGCAGTGTTCAAACCTCTGGGAGTGTGAAGTAGCATGTTTGTTTATGGCCACAGTTCAGCAAACTCTACCACTAACACACTCTTCAGCATAGCTTTGAACTTGTTTTTTTGAACAGAAGATAATCTGCTAGTGGTGTTTTGAAAGCAGTTTGTGTTAATGCCATTGAGGCTTTGTGTTCAAAGAAATATCCCACTTAACATGCAGAAGCTCTTGACTCTGCCTACAATAGCCCCCTGGGTTCTGGGCCATATATCTTTTCTGTCAGTGGCCCTAGCCATGGAACTTTGCAACCAAAACTAGTGTCATTGAAATAATATTACTAAGGGGCAAGTGTGTGTAAGACAGTTACTGATTACATTTATTTTCCCTTAGGGATAAAGAAATGGAGAAGAGCTTTGAAGTAGTAAAACACAAAACTAGAGGTAGGGATGAGGTTTCAAAATCCCAGGCAACTAAACTTCAGCTAGACAACCAATATGCTGTGCTTGGGGATCAGTAAAGCTGTACACACATTACAATTAAGGAATGGTTATTTGATACCTTTCCAGTCTAAGGTAACTACACCACCTATTATGAACATGCCGTCTTATATCTGCTGGATCTACTGCAACAAGTGCAGACCTCTTTGACGTAAGTGATTTGCTCTATGGAAGTATGCTTAATTTGGTACATCTGACACTTCTTTTGGATATGAGGGAAATTAATGTAACTGGTCGAACAAGAGTCCCCAGTGTTTTGATTACTCTGCAAAAGCTATCGGCAGCCAGTGGTTATTTCAAATTTTTTTATGTTCAGATACTGAGCCTTCGTAAGGGTTGACTACCTCAGACTTGCTGCACTCATTGTGGACACCATGTGGATCACAACTTCTGGAAAAGGTTACAACTCTTTAGTGGCCATCTGAAACTCGAAACCAGCTCTACTGGATTCCTCTCAGAAATCCTGCAGAAGTCAGCCATCTGGGTTCTGATTTATTCTAAATGACAAATTTAAGTGACCTTAAATGAGCAATTTGTCCTGTGCCCCCATTTATTATTCCATCCTTTCATATGTAGCCATAACTTACTAGGAACCTCTAGCATATACCACTTTCAAAAATATGCAGTGTAGTGTTGAGCTGTTTGTTTGGGTTATGTTTCAATTTAGGTTTCCAGAAAATAAATATCCATCCAGATAGAAAACTTAGGTAGGGACACTAGTCTGCGTATATTAACTGGTTTCATCTATGTAAACTCTTTTATTTTTTTTAAAAATGCCTTTTTTTTGGCTTGAGAAATTGCAGCATAGTCAAGTAGCAGTATGGATTATGCAGACTATCCAGACATTATTTTTTCTTTATTTTCAAGTGACTAGGATTTCTGTAGATTTGCATTCAATGGCCAACAAATGTCTATGCGCCCTAGTCTGTGGAGCTCATTTTTGAAAAATTCAAGCCGTATACTTAACCTTAACAATGTATTATGGCAAGTATCAGCTGTTGGTCGCACACACTATTGTATTTGCAGGATGGAAGTAATTATATGTCTAGTGAAAAATGTCATTTGTTGTGGTTTCTTACTGGTTGAAACATGGAAATATTCTGGAAATGTGTTGCACTTATGACAGTTTTTTGTCTGTTGCCCAAAGATTAAGTGAAAACTTCAGTCAGAGATCAGTCTTCTGACCAGCTGTGTGACATTTGGAGAGATACTAGTACAATAACACTTATATGCTAAGATTTGTGCTTTACTGTACAGTATGACACTGATCGTGAATAGAATTCAAACCAACTCCCAAAGAGATACCTGGGGTACAGAAGGTAATCCTCCATAAATTTTCTTCTCAACTAAATCTTGATGTGGCTGTTGCTGCTACTGTGTCTTTTCAAGAGTCCTGTTGCTTTCTTGACTCTTGAGCAGGAATTCAGACATCCTCAGAGCATACAGCTTTGTGAGATGGGTAGGTAAAATACATTCATAGGAAACAGCTTTAGTTATAAACATGGGGTGACTTTGCAATTGACGACTGGCTATGATGTGAAATGATTAATATTCTGGGTAACGAACTTTCCCCCTCTGCCTAGAATTGCATTGGCTTTGTGATCAAAGAATTGCTTGGCATAATTGAAAGAAAACGCTACTAAATAGTTGCCTTTTGTAAAGCTAGGCCACTAGATGTCCATATCACTGAAGTAAATCTACAGCTGACAACATTGAGTTGTGTATCTTCCTCAAAGTGTGTTTCTTCGCCAACAAAACATTGGCAGGGTATTAAAGCTAAAGATTATGTGTATATGTATGTCACTTAATGACATAGCAAAAACTTAAAATTGCAACTTTGGCATTTTATGAAGGTTGTTACTACACATGAATCAAGTTTTAATATACTGTATGTTAGGGTAGGATGAAGCTGTCCTTTGTATCTTCACTTGAGTTCTTGGGCATGGTCGACAAAGCAAGATAACATTGTAACATTAATAAATATAATACATGGCAATGTACATGGCTTCTGGAGTCTAATGAATCTGTACATTTAGTTATGATGCTATGTCATTTAAACTGAGCACGGCAAAGCTGATAAATGATCATGAAGTTGAAACTCGAGGCTGCAATTTTTTATACATGACATGGAAGTAAGTTCCATTGAACTCAGCGTGGCTTACTTCTGAGTAGATGTGCACAGAATTGGGACTTCAAAGCAGCTGTTGCTAATGAGTGATCTTCGTTTAGCTTTGTCTGGTTACTGTCTACCTCACCCATATACTACTATTAACAAAAGCCACAAACTAATGGGAAGTAGCAAGTAAGCTGATTGCTTGCTATGGTGAGGAACTAGAAGTGCTGAGGTTTGTAATCAGGGCCGCTGATTACAATCACTAATTCCAGTTGGACAGCCTTCTGAAGTCCTAGATCTGGGGTAGCCATTGGACATGCTGGCTGGGACTGATGGGAGCTGGAGCAGCATCTTGAGGTACCATGTTGGCTGCCCACTCCTTAGAGTCTGAAGCCTCAAAGAGAAATATTTCACATAGAAGAACTTGATTCCATTGGCCCAGTACACATCTCACATTCAACTACTGTTAAAAACAAACCCTGGTTTAATGTGAGTGTACAGCACACTGGTGCACAATGCTAAAAAATTATGAAAAGCTCCACTCCTGCTGCTGGGAAAGCCACAGTCTGGTTTGTTGTGATGTCACCACCAAGGGTTCTTACCCATTTCTCTGCAAACAATGAGCAGTAACAAAGATTCTTAACTTACTGCTTAGAGTGCATTTCTGGGGAAACTAACCCCAATCATTGGTTCAAGCATCTTGAAAAGTCAAGGGCCTGGCTTGGTTCCTGGCAGCAGCAGATAGAAAGCATATTCACAATAAACCAGTTTTAACTAGGGTTTAACATGACGTGTAAATCAGGCCATTGAAGCACTAGGCCCCTGAATTGTCTCTCTAAGTCACAAATATTTTCCAAAACCCAAGATGCAGCTCAAAGAAACATGACATATAGTTCTTTTCATACTGTTGAATCACTTTTAGGACAAAGTGTAGTCCTACTTCCTTGGTAGGCCGATATGCATAGAGGCAGTCTGTGACTAACCTTTAATGCTGTGTGAAGTTGCTGGATCCTTATGTATGCCTATTTTACCTACATGATGGGATACATCCTGTTATAGAACTGCTTTACAGTTTATGATCCATAGGCTAAAAGGAAAGGAAGATTAATTTAGGCATATCGAGATTGGAAGTGAGTAATGGTTCTTTCTTGACATCTGTTGCCAGTTCGTTATTGGTAAACTTTCATGGTGAAGTTTTAGCTATTAGCATGAAGAATCTGGTCCTGTTTTTTGTTTCTAGCAGCCACACACTAAATTTCAGAAATGCCCCAACAGGAACATTTCTAGTATATGTGCTGCCGAAGCGAGCACAAATAGGAACATTTCTATCCCCGAAATCAAACCTTGTCCCGTGCAATCCATTTTCTATTTGTGTTCCGGTAGCTATTCTGTGAATGGACGTAAGACTGACTTTTGGCAGAACGTGCACCATATTTGTAATTGGTCATAAAAATATTTAGTTGTATTACTGCATTATTGACACTTTATAATGTTCATGACATCATCTTGTTCAAAGCAGGCGTTATAGTTGTAACCTATTCAGTAAAGCACTTGAAAGCCAACTTCATGCAAAGAAAGGAATGTGAGGGTCAAATAAGCCAGGCTTAAATAATATAGGGTTTTAATCTGGACTTTTGATAGCATAACAAGAAATATGTGTTGATGGTAGAGCTTTTTATTCCAAACATGGTTGGATCATTTTTAATGCATCTGTGATGCATGGTAAAGAGATCCTATGGAGTGGGTGTTCATTCCATGGAAGCATTAGGAGTGCCTGAGAGCCTTTGCATCACTTTCAGAGGCTTCTGTACAAATGCTATAATGGTGTGGTTGCAATGCAAGCTTTATGCAGATGTGGCTCTAACAGCAGCGCTCACAAACTTTAGGGGGTCATGAGTGCCCTTGCACTGCTGGTGCATCTGCTTGATACCTGTATATTTGGAGTCTCATTTGAATAGGAGACTATGTGCATATTGCCCTACCTGCATAGGCCCAAACAGCACAATTTTTACTCCAAGGACTTGGAGGTATTGGGTTCTACATGCATAGGCTCCCATTCAGATATGAGATGCAGTATGTTAGCATCAGGTGAACAGGGTCATTCCTGAGCTTCCCACCACCACCTGTCAGGCTGTACTGTTAAAGCCACGTCTGCATAGACAGTGTCTTCTATATACTCTTAATACTTGACTTCAGTGGGACCTGTATGTGGAAAAGTTTAGTGATGAGGCCTTAGACTGCTGTATCCCTGATAATCCATGTTATAGCTGAAAGTGTGGACTGCTGCAAGTAATGTTAGAAGAGTGAAACAAAATCTGCATTATTTTGGATAAACTGTGCCTAGGCCTAGATAACTATAGAGTCAGAACTGATAGTTTTCATAAAGCTGTTCTTAAAGCAAGGTAGGCAAAAATATATGCCATATTGAGAAGGCTTCTTTGTATAGTTTTACTAGCTCAAAAGAGCCCACGTAAAGAAAAGTTGATAGTAAGCATTAAATTAAACTTTCCTGGGGAGTAAGGCTAAAAGGTGCAAAATTTAAAAGAATTCTATCCTGGAAAGCAATATCCTTATTTTACATAATACCTACATAAAAGTGCCCAGGAATTGATTCACTTCATCCTTGATGTAATCTTGTCCCAAAGCACTGATGCAGCTACAAAACTGCATTTTTATTTAATGTGTCTGAAACAACACAGATACTAAAAAGGAACTGCATAAAAATACTTGAATTGCTCATAGAGGATTCAGAAAGTTCTGAAGAATAAATCATACCAGCTCTATGTGCAGGGGTGGGTGGCTTGTATTTTTCATGATCCTCCACAAACTCCCCATAAGTAGAAAACAAAAATATATAGGGTGTTGCCAGGCCCTATATGAAGCTTCATATAGAGGAGAATATTTGAAAAGTGCACCCTACCTGTAATATGAACTTTAGAATTCTGTCATTTCTATTCTGCCAAATCTGTAGAATAGTTCTCAGAGGAAAGTAACAATAGGAAGAAATACTTTAGGATGATGTATTATCTCTGCAAATATGAACCTCCAGAGCCTTCAAGCTGCCATTAGGTAAATGGGGGTTACTAAAATGAAAGATTAGTTACTTCTAAATATATATAAAGTAACTTTAAGAACTAAAAAAAGTTTGACATTTCTATTAGAATATGAATTACCATAAACATTGCTGGTATATTGACCACTCGCTTCGATTTAAAATGTTAACATACTTGCCAAAGGCAAGTCCATGAATATCAATGAAAAGAATCTGATCCCAAACCATTGCAAGGATGAAAGCATAGTCTGCTGCAAGTATGGCATAGGAGTGGATGGAAGTCTTCTTGTGCCTCTGTTTTCTAGGCTGTAAAGATAATGCTTCCCTACCTCACAGGGGTGTTGTGAGGCTGACTTCATTGTAAAATACTTTTGAGTTTTCCTGATGGAAGGTGCTATAGCAGTGCACAACATATAACTAATCGGCCAACATCTGATGGCTGATTCTGTCACCTTATTCAACTTTTTCATTACAGTATTTTGCTACTACTATAGAAGGCTTCTTTACAAAACATTATTTAAATGTATGGATCATGTAACAATGGACTTTGCAAGAAGGCATGGTTGAGTTTTCAATCTTTATGCATCCCCTTTCTGGTTTTATGTGATTAACTGTGCAGCTCTAATTGTATTAACAAGGTTTTTGGGTTTTGCATGGAAATTACTTAAGATCAATTATCATATTTTTTTTGTAAACTCCCTGAATGAAATAAACTTATGTTCACACTGTTTGTTATCCCTCTGGTATGATCTACTGTTTTTAAGTGTATGTTTAAAGCCAGGATGGGGGAACCTGTGGCCCCCGACATGTTTCTGGGGCACACTCCTACCACCCCTTGATGGTTGATCATTCTAGTGTTTATGAGAATTAGAATCCCAACAACATTGGGGGTGAGGTCACAGGTCCCCCATCTCTGGTTTAAAATAAGGAACTGTCCATTGTTAACATGTGTCTTAACACCCCCTGGTCATACTAACTGCATAGAGACTTGTGAACAATGAGACACTATTTTCCTTTAAGAACGTAAGAGCCCTGTTCATCAGGCCAAAGATCCATCTAATGCAGTATCTTGTTCTCACAGTGGCTAGCTGGTCCATGGGGTGGGGGGAGTCCCTCCAACAACAGTCCAATTAGGATAAATGGCATGGAATGTTGAGAGGAGCTGCTTGGCAGAATGAATCTGGATAATTGCATAGGAAGGAGGGAGAGTGGCTTACAGATCTTAAATTTTGTAGAAAGAACCTCAAAGTATGAACAGGTCATTTCCTCTCCAGCGGAATAGCAAAAAAGGGAGTTAGGGGGAAAATGTCCCTGGTGACAGAAGTGAGTGCTGCCAAAAGAAATCAATGGAAAATGAATATATTAAGGGGTGAAAGCTGATTTCACTCCCAATAAACCCAAGATGACTGAGCACAATTAAGGAAGGGGTGGTGGTGGAATGGAGCAGCTGAAATCCTGAACAGATGCATTCTACCCAGCAACATTTGGAAAGTGGGATACAATACACTATTTCCTCCCCTCAAAACTAGCTGTGAGTAGCAAACAGTTCCCAGGGCACACCTTTAGCCCTGCTCTCATTGTCAAATGGCTCCTGGCTTCCTATCTGTTTACTGCAATCAGCAATGAGATACCTACACGGGCAGCTTAAAAGTACAGCAGTTTTGCTGCTGTTGATTATTGCCCTTAGCCCATGGGAAGCGAGAAGAACACAAGAATCAGGAAACGTTTAATGTCTGTTTTAGAATTTTTTATATATGTGCTGTAAGCGGCCCAGAGTGGCTGGGGAAACCCAGCCAGATGGGTGGGGTATAAATAATAAAATTACTATTATTATGATGGCAGGGGCTAAAGGCATGGTCCAGCAGTCTCTTGTTGCCTCAAAATGCAAATAATGACTGAATAGGGCAGGGGCTAAGAAAAGTTCTGCACTGAGAGTAAATGCCCTCCTATGCTTCTTATTAAACATACTGCATTTCATTCAATATACTGAAATGCCTGGCTTCTAGAATTTATTAGGAATGATGTACATTCCAGAACTGAGGGAGCTCCTACAGGTAGAAGATTCTGAAAGTCCAGTCTCCAGAAATGGAGGAATCTTCCATCACTGACCTCCAGCTGAGCAGAACTAACCTTCACAGTCCAACATCCTTTATTCTAGAAGTAAATGTAAAAGCAGCCGAAAAGGGACGAAAATATGCTATGGAGAAGCATGACTGGGCTCCACACAAAGGGACATAAATCTACTAAGAAAATAAAAGAAAGAATAAATTTAAAATATTCAAACAACCCACTTTACCCTGGCAGCAAAAATCAGTGGAGTCTAGTTTCTGAGCGAGCAAATTTCATTTTAAAAGCAATATACACAAAATATTACAAAAAACATTTAATGACCTTTTTATGTGGAAAGAAAACAAGTATAAATAGAAATTTGAAAAAATATTTTTAAGGTATCAACATACTCAGGCTTGCTTTATCGGGCGTGTTTCTTCAGGAGATATCTGCTTCTAAGGTAACCCGGTTTCATGTTCTCTGCCAGACGCTGCTGCCTATCTTCATACCAGCAAACGATAACCTTCCATTTGAGGTGGTTGCTCCTTCAAAACAAGATTTTAGTTTTTTAAAGATCCAAACCATCACTAGTCCCACATTTCTGTTACCTAGGACGTTCTTAAGGAGTGCCCGTTACCAACACATGCACACCCACCCACAATAGGAACACATGCTTCCGGCTTTTAAGTTTTCCTCTCAATTTTCGCACCCGTGAATTCATTATCAGACATTCTCTTTCCCTACTTATTACCCTAGCATTTCAGCAGGAATACTGGCTAAAGTCTGCCCTGTCTGCAGGCCTAGCCCTTTTTGTTTTTTGTTCTAACCAGCTCTGGCAAAGAAAAAGACAACATCCACCTGTCTTGAAATGTCATCTTTTAAGCTGAAGAAAATGGGTCAAGAGCAACGTAATCATCACAATCTCTGCACCTGAGGCACAATCCATAGCCTTGGGTAGGCAACAGGTTTTCTATCTTTTTCTACCGCCACACACGCAGCTTTCCTATTGGTCATACAAAGGGAAAGGCCTTACGGGAAACCTGTGGTCCTCCCGGTGTTCCTGATTTATAACTCACATCACCTCCGACCATTGGCCATGCTGACTATTGCCACTGGGAATTGCCTCAGGTTTCCTAATCCTTGCCCTAGGCACACAAAATTCTGCACATAGTTGCTGCAACAGCTTTGATTTTTGAGATGCGGCAAGTCTTCTTAAAAGTAACAAAAGTCACATTGTGCTACTGGCACGCTGACCTGTATAAGATAGTCAGCAATGTATTCTGGCTTCAGGCAGTTCACTCCATGAGCAGAAGCCTCTCCTAAATTAACTCTTAAATCCTCTGGCTTCAGTTTGTTAAAATCGGCAAAAAGATGGGTGGCTTCTCTGAAGACAGAGGCAGAATGAGCAGGCAGCACCTGTAATTTCAAACACAGAGACAGTGAATTACTTATATATATGGTACATGTGTACTATTAACATTTAAACGAGCCTTGCCAGCAGAATTTCAGAAGGTGAACCGCCAGCCCTGCTTGCAGCTTGCAGAATGGCCCTGGAAGTGGCATGCAAAATCAAGAACATATTAACTGTTACATTGTCAAAATAGGGTGCAGTGGTTGTGCAACATCTCCACGTGGCTAAGCCCCCATGACTGTTCCTATGACACCTTACCCTATCTCTAAGCATATTTTCCACTCTCCCAGAATACTAGGAAGGAAATTGGCTGGACAAGTGCCATTGATACTGCACAATATTACAGCACAGTGCAAAGGGTGGTAGTCCTCCATGTCACATGCAGCTTCCGAAACTATTTTTGAGCCTGTGACAACTGTCTTGTATCCAGTCTCAAAGAGCCAAAGGCTAAGGAGAGAATGCGGAATTGAGGGGTCTGTGTGTAAATTACTCGCCACAGAGAACCTAGCAAGTGGCTTCCCTAGTCTGAATCATACAGACAAAAATCTACCTGTTCTGTGAAGAGGGTGTTCAACCATTACTTGAAAATATTCAGCTTTCCAGAATACCAGGTATTTCCAACAATTGAGAATTCAATCGTATCTTCTTATTAGATCCTTGTATTTAACAAATTCTCCAATTTTTAAAGCGGTAATCTGGATGCAACTCATAGCAATTATGGAAGAAATATAGTTGGGTTTGCCACATATTTAGCCAACTGAGTACCAGAAAATTATTTTTATTAGCCCTATTCCCCCACCCCATTTCATGCAATGGTTTCTTCCATTTCCTCCCTCATATACATATACAGTGGTATCTCGGGTTACATACGCTTCAGGTTACAGACTCCGCTAACCCAGAAATAGTACCTTGGGTTAAGAACTTTGCTTCAGGATGAGAACAGAAATCGTGCTCCAGCGGCACGGCGGCAGCAGGAGGCCCCATTAAGCTAAAGTGGTGCTTCAGGTTAAGAACAGTTTCAGGTTAAGAACGGACCTCCGGAATGAATTAAGTACCGTATTTTTCGTTCTATAGGACGCACCTCGTTTTTTTGGGGGGAAAATGAATAAAAAAAATTATGCCCCCGCGGCTGCCGCCCAAGCCTCGCGTGCTTCGGGCGGCAGGCTACCTCCCAAGCCTCGCGCGCTCGGCGGGACCTCCCACCGGGCGCGCGAGGCTGCAGACACTCGCCCGAAGCACGGGAGCCCTCCGGAGGGCTCCCGTGCTTCGGGCGACAAGCTGCAGCCCCAAGCCTTGCGCGCCGGGCGGGACCTCCTGCCGGGCGCGCAAGGCTTGCAGACACTCGCCCGAGCACGGGAGCCCTCCGGAGGGCTCCCGTGCTTCGGGCGACAGGCTGCTGCCCCAAGCCTCGCGCGCTCGGCGGGACCTCCTGCCGGGCGCGCAAGGCTTGCGGACACTCGCCGGGGCTGCAGGCTGCTGCCTGCAAGCCTTGTGAGCCCGCGGGAACTCCCACCGGGCTTGCAAGGCTTGCGGATAGCTTCCTGAAGCCTGGAGAGCGAGAGGGGTCGGTGCGCACCGATGCCTCTCGCTCTCCAGGCTTCAGCGAAAGCCTGCATTCGCTCCATAGGACGCACACACATTTCCCCTTCATTTTTGGAGGGGAAAAAGTGCGTCCTATGGAGCGAAAAATACGGTACTTAACCTGAGGTACCACTGTATGAGTTTGTACATATAATACAATTGCAAATTTGGCACAAACAAACCTCCATTTCCCCCCATCATGAGTATATTAGCTTTAAGTCTTGGTTTATTATTATTTCAAATACTTTTTTTAAGGTCTCTTGCCATTTTTTTAGTTACATGAATTTGGAGAGATTGAAATAGAAAAAAGGTTGGTAAAATAACCATTGTCATTATAGATAACTCCACACACACAGAGACCTTTGTGTTTCAGTAGCTGGAGAGAGGTGTGAATAACCCTTTAACCCTCCAGATGTTGCTGAACTACAACTCTCATCAGCCCCAGTGAGCATGGCCATGGATAGTGATGATGGGAATTGTACTTCAGCAACATCTAGAAGGCCAACGGTCCCCTGCACCTGCCTAAATTATTTGCTCAATAATACATATTTGTAAAACAAAAATACTGATTGATTTCTCCTCCCGCCCCCAAGTTGATCTGGAACAATGGACACAACAAAACTTATAACTGAAATTAATGGAAAAATAACATTGGGAGTACAGTGGTGCCCTGCAAGACGAATGCCTCGCAAGACGAAAAACTCGCTAGACGAAAGAGTTTTCCATTTTTTGAGTCGTTCCGCAAGACGAATTTCCCTATGGGCTTGCTTCGCAAGACGAAACGTCTTGCGAGTTCTTGCAAGTTTGTTTCCTTTTTCTTAAAGCCGCTAAGCCGTTAATAGCCGCTAAGCCGCTAATAGCCGTGCTTCGCAAGACGAAGAGACTCGCGGAACGGATTAATTTCGTCTTGCGAGGCACCACTGTACGCTTAATGGAGGTGTGTTGCATCACAGGACGAAAAGTTTCTGGTGACACAACCAGTTCCTTGCTTTGTAACAATTCATCATTCTGATCGAATACGAAATCTTAAGATACTATGTTCTTATGCAGAAAGCAGCAATTCAACACCCACTGGCATCAATACTGGCAAATGAACAGAATACATGCCTTTGCTCCGCCTGACTCTAGAAGACGTTTGAAGCCTGCTTCCTTGGCTGGGTCAACATTCAAAATAACTTTCCAACCACGAAATGCCCCCTACAAAGATACAGCTATTAATATGTGTATATACACATGAACACATACGTATAAAATGCTACAAATTTTTAAAGTAAGTTTAGCAACACATTTTCTAAAAGTAGTTTTAACAAGTTAGAATGCTTAACGTTAGTAAGTCAAAATGCTGTTTTACTACACTAAAGTACAGCTCTTGACTATATAGTGATAGAACATACCTTTTTATTTCTTTATTCACTTTATTTTGTTCAGGAAAGGAATATTTTCAATTTTAAAAAATTAGATAAAAATGAATTGCATCTCTCTTTACAGCCACAAAGTGTCAATCAATCAATCAATAAAAAGCTGAGAGCTACTTTCAAAAACCCCACTACTCCTCAGGAAAAATACCTCAGTAATACCAGCTTCCTCTCGCCGTCTTTGTATTATTTTCCTCCACCTCATTGCTGCAACTGCTAAATTCTTCTGGGATTCAGTTATTTCAGACGCAGCACTGAGTATGGAATTACTTCCCCATTCAAAATCTTCCTCCTAATGGGTGGAAAGCCTCTTATTCACTGCAATTCAGTCAACATGAAACAAGAAAAATCCCCAAAACAAGCAACCTATAGTTTATAAACAAATAAAATACATGTAACATTTATACTGGGTGCCCTTTGAGATTTTTTTTTAAAGGGAAAGTATGCTTTTAAATTACCCAAGTTCAAGCACCACTCAACCTAAATAATGAATTATCAGCTTAAATCCATGGAGTAGCTAATTAAAGTGGGATTCAGTCATTTAAGACACTGTGGTGAGGCAAGATTTCGGTTCATTGTTTTCCCCTCATGTATATCCCTGCCTTTAGTCCATGGAGCTCAAGGCAGCATATGTACAATTTCCCATCTAGACACTACCCAGACCCAGACCACATGCTGCTTTTGTAAATTATATCAGCTTCATTTATGCCTTTGCACCATCAATGGTGTTCTGATGTTTTAATCTCTGATATTTAAGTTTTGAATTTTGTATATTGTATGTTTTCATTTTGTAAGCTGCTTTGTGACACAGATGTGGGGAAAAGCAGGGTACACATTTGAAAACCAAAAACAAATACAACAGTAAAAGAGTTTTTAAAACAGACTAACATTTACTTAAAAGTATGCCGTACCGGTAGAAAGCATCGTACTGTTCTGCATGCATCCAGGTAGGAGCAATGGAGTACCCACTTTCCAGCTGCCATTGATGCCAAGAATTTCTCATTGCCAATAGGGTGCCCCACTATTGTGTGGGTACACCTAGGGTCAAAGCACTGCTTCTCAAGCACCACTCCACCTAAAGAATGGATTTAAAATATAGTTATTTTTACATGCAATGCCTACTAGAGGAAGGTCAGACATAGAAAGTGATGAGGTGTTTTGTAAGCCACACACAACAACAACCACCACCAGATGGAGCCCCAATATTTTCTGGTCACTGATTTCTTACCCAGCTCTTCAATCATATGGTAATAATCAATCCGTGCCTGAGGGCGAACAGAAGACAGCTGGAATCTGTACTCTTTTTTTGGTTCTTCAGCAGTCATTTGATCTACTCTAATGACCTGAAAAGGTAAGTTTGGGGAAAAGAGAAAAGGAAAAAAGATGTCATTGATTCCCAGCAGTTCCATTATCCATGTCCACACATACAATTTAATTCAGTCGCATTTTTTAAAAACATATGATAAGCCTCTAGAGAGACTTAAGTTACATATTTGTTATTTAAAAAATCACTTTGATATCTTTGCCTGAGTCTCTACTAAATGGCAAGTTATACAGTAGAAGCTATTTATTCTGATCAAGTATAGCTGAATGTATCAGAGCTGAAGTCTATCTATATGAAATATGCATTATACAGTAATTTAGCAGGTAGCACAAAGTCAACAAGCACTACATGAAATTAAATACCTCCAGATATTTCAACCAATATGTCAGACCCTTGAAATCTTTGCAAAAATCATTCCTGAACTCCTAGTCCCCATAATGAAATTATTTTAACAGAACAAATCACAGGTACTTCCTATTTCCTTCAACCTCTCCATTATTCTTGAACTGCCAGGAAAAAGTAGGTTGCATATGGGATTTAAATTAATTGCTAAGAAGCCACGGGGATAAAATATTTACTGTCTGCTGCGATCTATTATCTGTATGTTAATATTAAACTACTAACAACTTCAAATGAAAGTTCAAACGAACACTGGAGTACAACTTCTCAATGCAAATATTAATATATGAATCAGCATGCTGTCATAAGGCATACATTTGTTTTTGGCTGAGGAGCCACAGGAGGATTTGCCAAAGGAAAGGCAATGGCAGGAGCCAGCGGAGTTGAGATCAGATTATCTTCTTTCACAGGGATTGCTGGATTTCTACAGCCTGGAAGCTTTGGGACCTCAACCCAATCTGTTTTTGCAGGTTCATCAATTTCTACAAAGCAAAAAATCCCCATCAAATCACTAAAGCAGGCAAATATAAAACTGAACAGTTCTCAAAGGAAGCCACGCAGAAAATGAAAAGGAGAGAAAAAATAATGTATTATTTAAATTAGAACCTCCAAAACATGTGACCCTGTTGGTTTAAATAGCCAATAAATTATCAAGACTGCAGCCTAAATTTACAGGAAATCCTTGTTTTACACAGGAGTTCCGTTCCAGACCCCCATGCGTGTCGGCAGAGCCCCTTTTTATGACATTTTGGGGCTACTTTCTGGTTCAGTGCCATGCAAGTGTGCATGATCACACATCATTCGGATCACACATCATTGGGAGTCGCCTGTGTTTGCCTACACATGAGAACAGACTGACTGTAGAACAAAATTATCATGTATCCTTAATGCTTTTGAAGTGCCACATAAACCATACAAAGTATAAAAAATCTCTTATTCATAATTCTATCATGTGAACCTTTGGTTAATCAAGCCCTCCTTCTATCCCTGGATACCTAAGACAGCTTCAACCTTTCCTTTGCCCCCATATTCTGTTCCAGACACATCCTTAAGGCCAATTTCTCAATTCCTTCCTACCCCTAAATATTTGGTGTGAGGAAGGTGTTTCAAATATACATGAATAAAAAGGCAAGGGTTGTTTTTTAAACGGATCATCATTGGTATCCTCTGACACAAAGCAAGTATATAGTTAATTGACAACAAACTACTCTACACTGGAATACACAATTCCTGGTAGCAACAAAACTGTGTAACTATTAGATTGGGCCTAGCAAAAAATAATAATAATTGTACATCAGATGGTAAAACTGTTTATGAATTCTTATCATTGTACCAGTGGTGGGGACTCACATGACTGAGGACTCCACTATACAAAGGAAATCTTCATTATATATAGAAAATATGCCTGAGCTTAATTCTAACCTAGACTTCCCCCCAAATATACAGCATTTAAAAACAAAACAAAAACAGGGAAACCTTCAATAATACAACTACACATCTACAGTCTTATGTGAGCAAAATCCAGGGAATTTTTTTAAACATGAAAACCAGCTATTTCAACTCAATCACACAGTTTCCTCTTCTTACCCATTTCAGCAATTTCCGTATCGGTAAAGGATTTTGTAAGCGAGAGGTCTCCAGCGTTTACTGCAATAGGTTGAATTTGTTCGGAACACTGTGAGGGGCTGCTGGGCCACTGAAGGTTACTAGCAAGCCTTGCCCTCTCTTCTCTTGCAGTGGGGTCATCCCAAATAATCTGTTCACTCTGTGATGGCTCTGTGTTGACATCCATTGCTACCTGGTGTGACTGCCTAAGGACCAAAATGAACAATGAGGATGTGCACTGCTTTAGTAAGTATACAGAGTTCTCTGCAGGGCAGTTGGAAAACCTCTGGCCCTGGTTTTCAGCTATGCTTTACTGGAGTTGTTGGCAGTTTGAAGTCCAGCAACATCTGTAGAGGGTTCCCTAACCTTGTGCAACAGTAATGAAACATATTGGTTTAGAACAAGCTTAGGTTAGCTGGACTTAGGTTACAATGCAGTCAATGGGATAAGTTAGTCTCCTGTGCACTAGCATGGGAGAACTGCATTCACAGCTGGGCATTTAAAGTTTCTGTTGCAGTCAGACAAGTCACTTTTCTGTTTAGAAATTTGTCATTCAGTCACACAAGCAGCTGCAGCAAAAACCTCAGAAGACACCTCTGGCTGCCTATGCGTAGCTTCCTAGGATGGTAGCCCAGAAATTCAAGATGTGTTCAAAATGTCACATAGTACCTTAGGGCTTCCAAGACTCGGCTACGGCCGTTACGAACAGAACGAGGGCCATCTGGAGTTGTCGGAGAATTGTCAAAGCCGTTCCTAGACAAAGATTTTCTTTGTCCTTGAAACTTTGCTAGTGATGTTGCAGTCATGATTTCCTGTAGCTGCCTTTGAAAGTTCTCCCTCATTTCCAGTGTCTGTGTTAAAACTGGAGTTCAAAAGAAATGTAAATAAATAACAGCTCTTTCTACTTAAAATATGTCAAACGCCATGTAATAAAAGCCATGTGGGCCCCTTCTTCACTGCTTATTAGTTACGCATACTTTGCCCTTCCATATTCCGTACATTTCAAGAACCTACTGAAAATTCTGCCCCTCATCCTAAGGTCACAGGGGTGGGTCACACAAATTAAAAATACAACATTAAAAACAGATTACAATCACAAGAACAGGGTGGGTTCCAAAAGGTCTGCGTAAAGAAGTGGATCTTCAGCATATGGCAAAAATGCATGGTAGATGCCAAACCATACAATAATGCACACAAACAGTTACCTCCTTTTGATGCATTTTCTTTTTCGACAGAAGCTGCCTCAATCACTTGATCCATAGCAACATCTTCTATATCATTAGTATCCAACGACATTTTCTGAAACAGTTGATGTTCAGGTCTTACACAAGTCATATCTCAGAACAGAAAAAGTATGGCAATTTGTCCCATGTTCATTATTGATGCAAGGAGAACTGTATACAAACTTTACTAATAAACCCAACAAAAATATTCAACAGTCCAACAAAAGTAAATCTACTTCCAGGTTGTCACTATGACATTAACACAGGAAGTTGCCTTATACCAAGTCAGACCAATGGCTCATCTCGTTCAGTACAGTGGTACCTCGGGTTATGAACGTAATTCGTTCTGGAGGGCCGTTCTTAACCTGAAACTGTTCTTAACCTGAGATTCCACTTTAGCTAATGGAGCCTCCTGCTGCCGCCGTGCGATTTCTGTTCTCATCTTGAAGTAAAGTTCTTAACCTGAGATACTATTTCTGGGTTAGCGGGATTTGTAACCTGAAGCGTCTGTAACCCGAGGTACCACTGTATTGTCTACACTAGGAATGGGGAACCGATGGCCCCCCAAATGTGTCTGGGCTGCAATTTCTATGTCCCCTGAACACTGGCCATTCTAACTGGGGAAAGGTGAAGGTGAAGGCAAACAACATATGGAGGGTCCACACTTGTGGTCTACACTGACAGAGAGATCTCCAGGGATCTTTCCCAAGCCTACCTGGAGATTCTGGGGCTGACCTACATGCACCACAGATATTCTACCATTAAGCTCTGGCCTTTCCTCCAAGTAGCTGAATGTGGTCATATAGCAGTCAATTAGTTTAGTCCTTTTACTTTCATAATGTTGTGAACACTAACTGCCATATCTACAATAAATTGAAACTTTTGGCATTTATTAGATTACAGAATTAGCATAACCTAAGTGAAAACAATTGCAGGAAGCCATTCATTCATTTATTTATTCCACATTCATTTATTCATCCAGGTTAAGGTTACCATAATGATTTTAAAACACACATACACACACAAATTGAATATACCATACCTCATCTTCCTTCCCTGTTTTTTCAGATGAATCTAGCCGATCTGAGAATCTGTCATCTTGAATACCACTAATATTCAAACTCATTTTAGGGTTATATGTGTAAGGATAGAGAGATTCAGGCAGCCGTTTATATTCTTGTGCACTCTGGAAAGAGTTAGTAGGGAGAGGAATTAATGCTACAAACTTAGAGCAAGGAAGTGAGCAATTTTATTTTATTTTTTGTTAAGGAAACATTTCTTTTTCTGCCCAGCCAACAATAAATATGTTCCTTGAAAATGTTACTTTGTTGGTAAAACAAACAATCCTGTGGCACCTTAAAAATTAACAATTTTGCTGCCGCATAAGCTTTCATGAACTAGAAACTGTTTCACTGGATGTGTGAAATGTTTATTCTCTGTTACCAGGGATTTGAGGGGGGGCCCTCTGGGGAGGGTCTCTTCACAAGGCAAAGACACAGGAGGCTTTGTGAAGGCCTCCCACCTAAAAGCTGACATGTGGGGTAGAGAAGCATCAGCAGCCACTGCTTCCCCGCACCTCAGCTGCGCAAGCCGCAAAAGTCGCAGGGACAGCGCAGCTTGCACAGTTGACATGTGGGGAAGCAGCGGCGGCGGCGGCTCTACCCTGCACATCAGCTGTCCGGCGGGAGGCCTCAGCAAAGGCCCACTATGCCTCTGGCTTGCAAGAAAACCCTCTCCAAAGCCCAAAAAGGATGTCCTCTTTGGGCTCTGGGGAAGGTCTGCTCGCGAGCCAGGACTCACCAGTGTGCTCCCAATATAAGCAATTTCAGTTACATGCACAGAAGTGTGAAATGTAACCCTAGTGTAAATTGTGAGTTGCCTGCACACCACTTAAAAATTATAGCAATTAAGTGATAAACAGAGGCTTTAAAATAAAAGGAAAAGCCTATCCAAGGCAATGGAGCAAGAGGATAGATGAATGGGGGAACTCGAACTGGGAGCCACACAAGTAACTAAGGACAGAAGACAAAAGAGATGAGAGACACCTGAGTTGGAAGACAAATACACTTTGGAGAGCTGAAAGAAAGACAGGAAATGAACTGAAGGGCTGAATAGTAGAGGAATAGAGGCACTGCGGGAGGCAGTGAAAGACAGGAGTGCCTGGCGTGCTCTGGTCCATGGGGTCACGAAGAGTCGGACACGACTAAACGACTAAACAACAACAACAGATATCCAGGAAAATGTGCTGTTTACAGTGTATGTATTTCTGGCTGCCACTTTGCAGGGTCTTTTATTATTTCCTTTTTGATTCCATGCCAATCACTGGCTTCTTAGTACTGCCACACCAATGGAAACAGCACTGCCCTTAAAATCACAAATATAGTGGGACCTCCAGTTATGAACTTAATTCGTTCTGGAGGTCTGTTCTTAAGCCAAAACCTTTCTTAACATGAGGCATGCTTTCGCTAATGGGGCCTCCTGCTGCTGCTGCTTTGCCACTACCGCTCGCATTCTGGGGCAAAGTTCACAACTAGGGGCATCTACTTCCAGGTTAGCGGAGTTCGTTACCCAAAGCATTCGTAAAGAGGACAGTACGTAACACGAGGTTTCACTGTATATTACTCAAGAGTACAAGTTGCCAATGTGGTGCTCTCTAGACGCTGGGCTTCCAACTGTCCTCAGCCCCTAGCTAGCAAGCTAGCATATCCAATAGTAAGGGACAATGATACTATGAATCTAACAAAATATGGTGGCTGCCATATTGTCAACCGCTGACTCAGAGGCTGCGTTTCTCACTTAATAGCACTTTCACCTCATTCTCTTTTAGCACAGTGCTTCAGCGACATACTTAGTAGCAGACAAGCAGCAAGTGACAAGTCTTGCTGAAAGACAATCAAGCTTTTGAAATACAGATGGACCTTAGAAGAACTGCAGTGTAAGCGCACAAATATTGCCAAGCTACATTTATAGATATATGAAACAGAAGTAGCACACATGGCACTTCATTTGCTGAACCCTTATACTGCATGTAGACTGGCATGCACAGAACACTGCTTATGAATGATATCCAATTAAACTCAGAGTAGGCTCACTGAAATCAATTGACTTTAGCCTTAATGTGATTAATGTAGGCTGTCACCCCATATATGCCCGATTTTTAAAACAGATTCAATTCACATTAAAAAAAGAAGTCAGTAATGACATGTTGTGCAACCTTCCCCTTTCCCCATCCTTGTGTTAGGAAAAACCAGTTTCTCCATACCTCCAAAAGCCAGTGTTCCGACACTACATGTATGCCCCTTTCTTTAGCAGATTTGTATTCCCGGTTACTATCATTTTGCCTTCCCTGGTAGATGAAATGAGTTACAGTTTCATCAAAGCACCACCTAAAAGATATGAAAGACATGTTAAACTCCACGTTGAGTGATTTCCAGTTCTGGGAATGGGGTGTGTGTGACTTGTGGTTATCATGATGCCAACTCAACATTCCTAACACCTGCACACACCCCAAACTGGAACAGCTCTTAGAAATAACATCCACCATTTTCACATGCAGGAGGGTCCACATGCCTCACCTTGAGAAGACCAGAGATGCTGATCATTTTCTATGGTAAATATGCCAATAATTTTTTTTAAAGAATCAATCAGTCGACAAATATGGTGATTTAAAACCGTCCTTCGAGACCATGATATATTTTTCAGGAACATAAAATAAATGTCCATCTGGTAATTCAAACTGAAAAGTCACATTTTACGGCACTCCAGGGTTCAGGCAGAAGATATTTCCAGCCAATGCCAGAGCCTGAACCTGGGACCTTCTGTATGCAAAGTAGATGCTGTACCAGTGAACAATGGCCCTTCCCATGGTTATTCACTGTGTTACATTCAAAAACTGGAACAAATTTAATTAATTAATTAATTTATTCAATCTTTTAGAAAATAGGTTCTCAAATGAGTTACAGGATAGATTTATGGTCTGCAAGTTACACAAAACAATCACAGAAAGTCTCAAGCTTCCATTGCATTTATTCCAATAACTTACAAGACACAGCCACTTATCAACAAATATAGTATTCTGAATGCTGAATGCTTCTCATATGCATCATATCTATTAGTTTGTCCATCTCTGCACTATCATTCCCATCTAGTTGGAGCTTGTGGGTTTTTCCACTTATACACCCACTTTTTTTTGAGAATAATAAATTTGTTATTAGAGATTTCATATTCTTTGACACATCAGGCCCTATCCATTAAATCAGCATAGAGCTTAATCCCAATCATAACCATATAACACCAATTATTTGTCTCTAAAAGTCACGTCATCTGGCATTCCCACCACATATGTAAGAAATTGGCATTTATAGCTGAAGGCTTCCAACACCAGAAACATGCATCTACGTGAATTTTATTAAGTCTAGCAAGTGTCAGATATCACCATAATAGTATATACTGAGCTTTCTGTATTGATAGGCTCAGTGAAGAGTTCTTTACGGAGTTCCAAATCATACTCCATTTTCATTCAGATACAGTAAATCTGAGATCTCTATTCAACCTAGATCTAGTTATAGGTTTCCTTCTTCCTTAGATTCTGCTCATGGTTTGTTTAGAAACAAACCATGAGTCCAAGGTTCGGATGACACAAGCCAGATAATGGCTGTTTTTCCACCAGTGCAGCAGGGGTGAGGAATATGCACCAGCATACTGTTCATTCACAAAAAAACCACAATTTATTTTACCTATGGTTCAGTGTGACTTGTGAACCAGACCAGTAAAATAAATTGCCTTACCCTCAAATTCCTCCCTCCATTTTCCTTTTTGAATTATGTGTACTAGACTGTAAACCTGAGGGCAGGACCATTACTGCTTTTTATCTTTGTATAGCAACTAGAAAATTTTAGGCACTTGAATCACTATAATTTCAAGAGCTAGATGTCAAAGTCTTATCAGTGAAGAATTCTGTTAACTGCACATACCTGTAATCTGCTCCAAGGGAAGCAGCAATGGCATTCAGCTCGCCCTGCTTTTTACTGAGCTTCTTACTCACACATATGACAACATCAGCTAGAGGCTTTGGCTCCTCTTCCTGTTCAAAGTAGAATTAGCAGAAATGTAGTTCAGGGTCACATTTTCAAGGGTGAATTCACTTTGTTTGTAATGTAATGAAAGAAAAGTTATTCTCCTTCCTTTCTCCTTCAATGCAATAGTTCAGCAATACCAAATTCATGAAGGTATCTCTAGAAATGTAGTGCCAGTTATGACAGCACTGATTATTTGTTAATAATTATAATAATAATATATTTTCTTTGTATCCCGCCCTCTCCAGCCAAGGCCAAGCTCAGAGCAGCTAACATCATAAAAACAACACAATATGCATAAAACAGACATCAATTAAAATACATCTTAAAATTAATTCAGACAAGTTAGGCAGGTGGCAATTATCAGGCTGGAATGGAGGGTGGTTGATACTTGCCAAGACCAACTGTTTCCACTGATCTTAAAAGGACATGTGAGCGGGTTAAAGGATTTGGGGTGGGGTGGGGTGGGTGGGAGTGAATTGAGGTGACCCCTTCCACTGCCTATTGATAACAAGTGATTGGCAATGTCAAATGAGACAACACTGGTCATCTACATGTTCAGGAAGTACAGGCGGAGCCCATGGCTGGTTTGCAGATTAGAACCAACGTGTGTAATTTCACTTCTTCCAGTTGACACACAACCATGGTCACATCCCTCCTCTCCCCACTGAGCCATGCAATTTGAATTCTGCTGCATTTAACCAATCTTTCTGTACAAACAAGCAGCACCCAATTTATGCTATATATGCCCAATCAATCTAAAACCCAAGCCTACCACTTGTTGAGTTGCAACTTTCAACTGAGGGCTTGCAGTGAGAGCAGCTGCTTGCCGAGTGCTGTTTGCCAAAGCCACTTTTAAGTTCCTGCCAATGACTTCTGAAAGAGGAGTACTCAGTTTTCTTTTTTGTGGATTAGAGCTCCCTGGAGTTTCCAAAGCTGCTAGCGCATCCTGAAAAGCAATTAAAATGCACTCATTTAACTGTGCATAGGTTCTCTGCTCAAAGGGATGTTCATGTGATAAAAATGTTTTACAAGTTATTAAAGGTAGTTTACACATTTCTTCTAATTCAATGATAATCATAGTTGTCATCTAATAAATAAACTGGGAATAGAAAGGAAGAGGATAAAAGAGGGAGGCTGTTATAGGCCAAAGAAGATTTGCAAGGTATTTACCTTTACATCAAAAGAAGGTTTGAACAGCTTGTCTTTAGATAAAAATTTAGATGGTGTGTCAAGATGCAGGGATGGTTCCTTCTGTACTGGTTTCCCCGCTTGTGAAGGGCTTGGCTTGTTGCCAATATGATGTGAGACAACCCTCTGGAAAGCTTTACTCTGGAACCGATTCATATCCAGAGGTGTCACAGCTGTTCTTCTCCCAATTTCAAGGAGACTGCTGGGATGGTCACGTGTATTTGGAGATGCAGAATCCATCTCTGCCTCAGCTGGATGATTTGTGAAACACTCTTGTTTTTGTTGAGTAAAAAATAAAAATAAAATTAAAGCACCATCATTATTTTTTACTTATTTCTTTTGAATACAGTTTTTGTAATAGAGCATCCAATTAGGTTCTTTTAGCTAACACATTTTTCAGCTTTTGTATGGTGCTAGGGATGATGCTACAACCCACCTTTGGTAAAGATCTGAACCAATAGTGGGTCCTGACCTATCAGCAGAAGACCAATGCTAACACTGCTTTTCTCCTTTCACAGATGGAAGTGAACATTTTAGGCCTTTTCTGGTTGTGTCTTATAACTGTGAAGGACTGTGCAATTCAGCACCTATGCTACCAAGACTTGGGGGGTGGAGGGAGGGGAAAGGAATTCCGCTTATAGTGAGGGCTGTGTGGAAATTAGGGTGATGAGTGGTTACTTATATGTTTGCCCTGGTTAGCCAGGGGTTTGCGGGGGGGGGGCACACAGATAATTTATCCAAGTGAGCAGAGTCAAATTGCAACTCATATTCATCATTTTAAATATTTTATTTATTGAAACAAGGAATCCATATTGCATAGATTAGGAAGCACCATGTAAAAGTTCTAAGCTCCTAAAAAATCTCTCTTAAAATCTTACAGTCTCAATACTGAACAGCTCCAAGAATGGAGTCTAGGGCAACATAAATAACTTAGGTCCATTGATTTCAATGGCTCTGCTCCCAAGAATGACTAATGTTGGATCACTCATAGCATTTCACATATCAATATGCTGCCAGTAGATGCTCAGGATTAGTAAGCACAGAATACGTCTGCCTTACGCAATCATGCTTCTGAACACACCTACAAAGCTTCAAATGAACCAACCTTCAGTGTCTACATTGTCAATCAGGAACTTGCTGTCGTCAGGCTTCTTTCCTGTCCTTGCAGACTCCAGCAGCCAAGCCATGGTAACAGCAGGAAGGTTCCACTTCTTGGCAGCTTCATACTTCGAACCTTCCGGCTCTTTCACCACCAGGTGGGTGCTGACAAGCATTCCTTTCCTTGGGTTGGCTTTTCTCACAAAGAATTCTTGCACTCTGTAATCAAAGCCAGGTGACATTTCCATACCAAGCCACACTACATTAACCTTACAATAAGATCTGAACGCTACTTCATATATGCTCACAATATGCTCGCCTCCTTAAGACAAACACAGTGATTTAAAGTGATAAATCACAGTAAGTACATTTCAACAGCAATTTCCATCGCTGAATTGATTTATTTTTTTTAAAAAACTTACACGTTTTCTCCTCTCTCCAAAATCTATGAATTAATTTATGGGGAGGGTTGTGTCCCTTTTGTATCAGAGGGAAAGTCTTGCTTTTTTTGTTCCTTTTTAGGTGTGTTGTTTGATGAAATATGTTAAACTGTTCTGTATTTTTGTACGTATTCTGTATTTATAGATGTATAAAATTGTGGTGGGCCATGGCTCTGAGCAACAGATTCTTACCCTTTTGATATTTCGGAGGTGAAACATTACAACTTGATTGTACAAAATTAACAAAAAAATAAAAACATAACTACATACCTTGCCCCAAGCAAATGTGCCAAATATATTAAAGAATCTCTTTCTGCCCCATTAAACTGACTGAAAGACAATACACATTGTTGTAACGGAGTGTTTCCTTCCTTCACTGGCACAGGTGTGAAAAGTGGACTCGATTGGGGATCTAATAGGGACTGCTGTTCCACACACGTCACCTAAAGATGAGGAAATAAAGATTAACCAATAACCTAGACGTTCTTTCAACTACAATACAGAAGTTCTGAGACAACAAGCCACTGTACTCTATATACAATGTTGCTGGAATCCATCCATCTTGGGAGACAGTGCAATACACGCTATATCCAACTTTCTGGGACTGCAGTAATGCTGTTACACATATTTATTTGGTAACTGTCTAGTTGTTTAATGCAACTGGGAAATTAAACTATGGTTCAGTACATAAAGCTACTATTTATTGTTTTGTAATTGTCATAATATTTGGCACCACAATTCATCTGCTTTATTCAGATGTATCAAACAATTAGCTGTAGCAATTGCTGGATGACATTTGTTAACCATCTTCCAGTGAGTCTCTGGGTTCAGTTTATGAGTGTGGACAGATCAGATATCTGCAGCACAGGATTTTTGTGATTGGAACAGTGATAAATAGAACAGAAACATAAAATACATATTTAAGATTCCTAATTTAGTGAAGTTCTGTGTGTGTGTGTGTGTGTGAGAGAGAGAGAGAGAGAGCGCGCGCACACACACATTATTTTGGGGTATGCCATCCCTCAATGCAAATTTAAAGTTAGCAGCAACATTTTTTCTTTACTGACAACTTTTCTTTTTGCACATTCCATGTATTATCCTATGACTTACACTTACCAGCCATGTATTTGTAACCACATCTCCTACAGTTGATTCCACGTTGTAGCCAAGTAGAGGAACCACAGCATAGTCAGCAATAGCTTTACTTTGCTGAGGCAGAACCTTCCCACCATTCTCTTCAATCAGAGGCCTCATGCAGGATTCATCCTCTTTACCAAAACCCAGAAGGATGAACCTCTTTCTGTTGAACAAGGCTCCTTCAATGACTGTAGAAGTGTTTGCCAAGGAACTATGGCTGGCACTGAACTCTTTTTCTTCTCGGAAGGCAGTGTGATCAACGTCACTGTAGTTATTGGCATCAACTGGAAGAGGGGGAAATGTTGCTTCAAAACAAATATTAAAGTGAAGATGTGTTGATCGTGGAAATGAGAAAACGTTCTCCAAGTTACTAGGCTGAAGAGATGTTGAACTGGAGTCCTATCACTTCTTTGCACATTCAAGAGGTTACTTTCTTTAATTACTGCAATCCACCAAGCACTTCTTCCACACAACTGTCTTTCATTTTAGCAAATACTGAACTCAAGACTTATGCCCCTCCAACATACAAACAAGCCACACTGCAACCAACTGAACACAACCAACCAAGTTCTGGACCCCCCCCCCCAACCTCTCACAATGTTGATATATATAAACAAAGGACCTAGCCACGTGATGCTGATATAGCCCCTATACTAACAGTTGTGTAGAATGAAAGAACAGCAGCCCCCCATCTCTCTCCCTCCCTCCTCTTTCCCCCAACTGTACTTTCCTCTGCTTATTTGTCTGTTTTGTAACACAAGAAAATCTTTAATAAAAACTACTTTTTTAAAAGAGCAAATGCTGAACTCTTTAGTAAGCCCCAGTTTTTTAAAAAATATATATGTGATTGTGTAGCAGCCAAAGAAGCACCAAGTAAATCATGCCCCACATTTTAGAAGCAAAATGCACGTATTTAAATGAAAAATATGAAGAGGTTCCACGAGATGGGCTATATTTGCCCCTTAGTTTCCCTAAGAATCAGGGTGACTGGGGGAAGGGAGGCAAAATAGGGAGATGATTGAAAAGCAAGTCCTCAGAGAACGATTAACAGAGGTGGCAGAAGGCCAAAGGAATGCAGTGGCAAATGAAAAGAAACAGGACAACTAGAGATAGAAATTTTACACAGGCTCTAAGGATAAGATAAATTGTAAGGTTCTGGTGGAATAGTGAGGGAGGTCAACATAAGGGAGCTGTAGATAGGTGGGGATACTGGAACAAGGAGAAGAGGCTACATTGCGTAGCAATCTTACCTACTGTGGACTCATTAGCTGAATACTGAGACAGTAGAGCTTCGTCTGCTTCTGGAGCCTGCACTGTTCTCACAACTTCTTTCTTTGAAAGACTGCTTCTTTTTGGAAAGATAGGCTGCTCTAAAACTGGACTGTCAAGTGGCTGGTAGTTTGCCGAAGTGTACTGATCCTCAGGTAGTAAATAACCTTTTCTAAAACATTCCAACAACCACTTTGCTGTCACAATATATGGCCTATAAAACAAAAAAAATTAAGTTACTATGGGCAGGAGGCTATAGGCTTCCATAAAGGAGCAACCATATTGACATTGCTGCAATGAAGCACAGGCAAGGAGAATTTTTTAAATATAAAGAAGTGGCACACAGAGATGTGTCCAAAACACACCCTTTGATACTGTAACAATAAAGACGTTATCTTGGGAAAAGATGTGTAATACATGATCTGAAGTCACAATCCATGTTTCTGTCCCTATATGTTCAAGTGAAATCAGAGGGCTTACATTTACTTCTTTGGACAGGAGCACCGTTACAGAGAATAAAGCCCGTAAGACTTTCATTTAACTCTCTAAAACCTTTTTAGTAATTTACACTGAAATATACACGTCAAAATGTGAATCATTGCACACAAAAGGATATGCAATGGGGAGACAATTTATTGTTATAAATATTTTAATATTAGGGCCGTATGCTGGCAGAAGTTAAGGCTCCAATCCTATACCCATTACCTGGGAGTATATTCCAGTGAATACAACAGGACTTACTTCTGAGTAGATATGTATAAAAGGTAAAGGTAAAGGACCCCTGACAAGTTAAGTCCAGTCGCAGACGACTCTGGGGTTGCGGCACTCATCTCACTTTACAAGCCAAGGGAGCCAGCGTTTGTCCGCAGACAGTTTTTTCCGGGTCATGTTGCCAACGGAACACCGAAACCAGAGCAGCGCATGGAAACGCCATTTACCTTTCCGCCTATTTATCTACTTGTGCATTTTGGTGTGCTTTCAAACTGCTAGGTTGACAGGAGCTGACACCGAGCAACGGGAGCTCACCCCGTCACGGGGATTCGAGCTGCTGACCTTCTGATCGGCATGCCCTAGAGGCTCAGTGGTTTAGACCACAGCGCCACCCGCGTCCCTATAGATATGTATAGGATTATACTAAAAAAAGGTAAAGGTAAAGGACCCCTGGACAGTTAAGTCCAGTCAATGGTGACTATGGATGTTCATCTCGCTTCAGGCCGATGGAGCCAGCATTTGTCACAGACAGCTTTCTTGGTCATGTGGCCAGCATGACTAAACTGCTTCTGGCACAATGGAACACTGACGAGTGCCAGAGCACACAGAAAAGCCATTTACCTTTCCGCCACAGCGGTACCTATTTATCTACTCTCACTGGCGTGCTTTCAAACTGTTAGGTTGACAGAAGCTGGGAAAGAGCAATGGGAGCTCACCCTTTTGCATGGATTAAAACCGCTGACCTTTGGATTATAAAACTCAAGAGGCTCAGTGGTTTAGACCACAGCACTACCTGCGTCCCTTTAGGATTGCACTACAAGACATGTTATTATCAGTACCTCTGTGTGGTCTTCTTCAAAAACAGTTTAAGTTCTTCATCATCATAGTCACCCACAATGACATGTGTCACATCTTCATTGAGTTGATTAAAACGAACACCACCTCCGGAGTTAATAAGCTTTCTCATCTTATCTAATTTTCTGCCACTAAAGCCACAAAGGTAAATCTACAAGAAAGGGTAGAGAAAAATCGTGGTTTACTGGCACACTGAGAGACTCCAAATTCAGTCGCAGCTTTATTTTAAATTCTCTCCAGCAGCTTCCACTACTAAATCTGTAAGTCACTGTTCAGTACACATCACTTTCTGTACCTATGTCTCCTATTGATTGTCAACTTTTACAATTACAGGCTATCAGTAACCAAATGCATGAAGACAACTAATCTTGATTGCGTTTAATTCCATTACAAGGAAAACCACAAAGGAAGCAGCTAGGCTATGTGAGTGGTGTCCTAGGAGATCATCTTAATACCTTTAGCTACCTGTCCTGACTTTAGGACAGCAATGCTCCCAAGCAAGTCACTCATGAATTTAATACCTAATTCTGCTCAGCAAAACTCACAAACTATATAGTTTGAGGTGTCCAAAATGGCTGTATTCTCATCATCAGTATCATCATCATCAACATTTATTACTTGGGTAAATATGCACATGCACATTTAGACATACTCTGCATCCATCTAGTAAATCTTCAGGTGCTTGCAAAGAACTTGTATCCAAGTTGTTCAGGTCATCTGAAGAGGGATCCAGCCTGCTATTCATAGTAGAATTGCAAGAGGTTTCATTAACACCGCTTAAATTAATATTTGAAATGTGGCTGACATCTGAGAGTGTTCGACCTTTGAATAAAATGCAGATAGAGACAAAAGTTAGGAGTTATTTCGGGAAAATGTTATATCTACTACCTTTTTATTTTGGTATAAGAAAAAAGGGTAAAATGCCAAGGTTATTATTTATTTTAGCATTTATTAACTACTAGCCCAGTTCTATCACGCTGAATATAGTGGTCTGCTATCGTATATAGACAGAACTCACGTTCTGCTTCCTAATGCTTATTCAGGTCCCTCCAAGAAGATAGATTACTCAAAATAATTATTTCCTAAGTTATGAAATTTCTTCTGTCCTTAAGGAGACAATGTGGACCAAAGAAAGAAGTGACAAGAAATTTAAGGGAATTCTTGTTTTTCAAGCTAGGATAGTTCAGTTGGAAGACCATGAGACTCTCAATCTCAGGGTTGGGCAAAAGATTCCTGCATTGCAGGGGGTTGGACTAGATGACCCTTGTGGTCTCTTCCAACTCTACAACTCCATGATTCTATTATTCTAAATATATTTTAAGGATTTAAGGATTTCATACAGTATTTCATACAGTGATTTAAATATGGAACAAAAACAATATATGGATGAATTATTTTAACTATAGAGAACACTTAAGGTTGCAATCCTAACACACATACTAGCACGTATAGCCCAATGAATACAACACAAGGGATTTTTACTACTGAGTAAGTACTCTGCATGCATTTAATCCTCAGTTTACTAACAACCACAGGCCTTGTTTTCCCCTTGGAACTATGGCAAGATATTGTAGTCATCCTGCATACTAACAGCAAGCTCATTCTCAAAGTGTGGATTATTATAAAGCCTAAACAACACCATCCATACACAACAGAGCTCAGGAAAGCCATGGCTGGAACCTTAAACAAGAGCACTCCAAGCTACAACTTTTTTTTGCAAGCCCTACTTGTCTACTTGAAAAACACAGCAAGGATGCTCTTGCCTTGGGCTCCAAATATTTCCAAAATAATAGAAAACCTAGACTAGTACACAGGTTGTCAAAGTTTATGAGCCAAAAATTCTGCAAAAATAGACATTAAAAGTGATAAATCAAATCATAATGCTATAAAGATCTCTAATTTTTCTATTCATAGAGAAGTTAACACATTACAGAACTTAATACTTACTATCGGGCTTGCAAGTTAGGCTAGTAGGAGTTGATGTGCTTGGTGCACTTTCTTGCTTTGCTTTAAGGTCGACTGTGTACATGGATTCATCCTGGCAAAATCCCTTCTCAATGCTGTCAAAAAACCACTGGACTGAAATGCAGTGGACATTCCACCTTCTTGCGCATTCATATTTCTGCCCTTTCCCAAGTACAAAAACAAATACAGTTAAAGTTAATATTAAAATAAGTTCCTCAGATATAGGGACAGATATTCAAGCATTTTTTTTAAAAAATAGCAAACTTTTGTTTCTTAATTCTTGTTTGGGGTGATACAGCACCCAAGATTTAAACACATCCTTAAGAGAAACCCTGAAGAAACAAAACATTGCAGTCAAACCACAACTATTTAAGTGTTGGTTTAACCATTCCGGCAATGCAGGAAGTAAAACACAGCTAGCAGAAAACAATGCATTCTTTTTTGTAATTATCAACTGTGATTTTAACATACTGTCAATTTGCATCCAGATGACGTTTCTTCATTTCAATAGAATGTATGTCCAAATAAACGTGCAAATGCATGGCAGCCTTAGTTTATTATTTTCAATCTATCACGCTGCTGTTACTCAAAGATATACATATGCCTGATTCCATTACACTCTCTGGCCAAACCATATGCAGATTTTACACATTGAATTAAATTCCTTGCATCATTTTCAGGTTCTGGAAAAAGCTGTTCTAAATTTGGCCAAATGCAGTCCTGTTAGTGATAAGACAGGTGGGCAGCCTTCAGTCCACACGCAATAAGGCCCTTCTTACCTGTTTGCCCTCTGGCATCCCTCTACGTACTTGCCAATAATGGTGGTGAAATGAATGGATGATGAATGAAATTGCATGCTTGTGTATAGAGTGGGGAGAGAGAAAATGAATACTTGAAGGAGATGAGAGATATGGTAAAGAGAGTGATGAAGTTGTGCTCCATCTCCTTTCCAAGTTTGGTCCTACTCACTGCCAGCTCTGGGCTCACGCACCAGCAGTATGTGCCCACAACTGTTTTCCCTCCAAGATAATGTGGTCCTCAACTTCAAAAGGGGTATCTACCCCTAACACATAGAGTGTAGAGGGAATAAAATGGTTGCTTGTGAGAGTACTTGAAAAAGTATTTTCCACTTTTCCAAAGTAATGAAGTGGTTCAGTGGGGTTTTTTTAGTGTCCTTCCTTTGGGAAAAGAGAAGCATTTTCCTTCTGTTTATGTGAGATATTCCCTAACCCTTGATACTGAAAATTCTTCTCTATACAGAGTGAAAACGGAAGCATGAAAGCCAGAGGCTCACTCCCAGTCTCCATGTGGAAGGAGAAGGGAAGGAAAGGAATGCTGAAAGTGGTTGTGAACAATGGATTGCATGGCATTTTTGTTGCCATGAGGACTCTGTTCATTGATTTGTCAGACAGGACACCATAGATGGCAGCATAAACAGCTTGCTACTTGACATGTTTTGCAGCATGTCAAATTAAAACGAGTCTGCCTGCATTCAAGATGTGAAACCAAATTATTTTATACAAATACACAAAAATCCTCCTGAATTCAACATTTTTTTTATTATTTTTTTTAAATTACCTTTTGGTTCTTGAACAATAAGATGGGTACATTCATTCATCTTAAGTTGCCCTGTATACTGACCACCATTCTCGATAGTGATACGCTGGACTTCTTTTCGGTCTGCACTGCTTAAACCAGTCACACAGATTGTACAACCAAGAAACAAAGGGCATAGGTAGTCTTCCATATTGATGTCTGTATATCTAAACATCCTGTTGGGAACAAGAGCAATAAAAGTATGTCTTGCCATTTCTCTTCATTAGCAGAAAAACAGAGTTGTGCATGAGTTAAGTAAAGCCAGTACAGAATTTAATGGCTATGCAACAGAGTCAAGGATATATCATCATTCTTAGGTGTTTAAACCTTCTCCTATAAATCCAAGTAAAGAACAATACAGTATGTCTTTTTTATGTCAATGGTGTGAAGCTTGCACTTTGCAACATGATCACTAACATATAAGTTTAAATTACTATTTGGAGAATACCGTACCATAGCTCAGAATTTTTCAAGTAGTCAGTGTTAGAAACCGAAATATGAAAGCTAGGAGCTAAATAGAACCTGAAACCTAGGTTATGGGTGCAACAACAGAATGTCTAGGTGCACTTTTTTATAACGAGAATACAAAGCTGAAAATGAATAAATGCAGCTAAAATATTATGTTCATTTTTCACATGGTCTAGTCCTTCCCCTGCCCACCCCTCTAATATTCTTAAGAGGGTTTCTTCTCCAGTCTTCAGAGAGTAGCTGGAAGTGGGGAGGCAGAAAAAGGTCCTCCTTTCCTTCCACTCTGCAGTTTTAATATGAAATCGTAGGTGCCCAGAGCTCAGAAACGGCTCACGCTAATGAAATTCCCTGTCGCAAAATGCACCTAAAACAATGGGAGTTTCAAACACTGCAAATAGTATTACTTTTCTAATTGCACGAATGTAGTCTTACCTATGTTGGGATTTATCCCACAATGCTTTTACCCAGGAGGGAAGCAAAATGGGTTTTTTTAAGTTAGCAGCAACTAAATATTTCTTGCTTCCAACTTCTCCAGCTATAAGATGTGTTACTGACACATTAAGATCTCTATATACACGGCCGCCCATCATCTGCACATACTTGTGGACCTCTTCCTATGAAAGAGAAAAAGCAGCAGCAAATGAAAATAAACCAAGACAAAGCAGATCAAATGAGGATTAGCAAAACACTATAAACAAAAACAATAATATGGTATCATAAAGCTAACAGAAGTACAGCTGAAATAGTGTCAGGTGTGTACAGCGCATTTAGTAGACAATACTGGCAGACTTAAGATGATTCAAGGAAAAGCAAAAATAAAAATAAAAAACATGCCTGTGATGCACATTTTTGTTGTAAAACACCCTTAAATCCAGACTGGATGAAAGGTGGTACATAAATGTTTCAATAAATATATAAAATAGCAGACTTAAAGTAGGTATTTTCAGACTGCAGAAAAAGAAGACAGGGAAGATTCATGATAATCTTGAAATGTCTGACAACCTTTCCGCACTGTCAAAAGAAAAGGACAAGTACTATGAATATGTATAAATTAGCAAAGAACAGATCTGTGTTACATATTACTAAAGCGTTCCTAAATCAAAGAGAAGGGCAATGGAATATATTTTCTTAAGGTATAAAATTGATGTGGTTTACAAAATTAGACATTTATCAATGATGTTTTAAGCAAGGTAATGTTCTTGCTGCAGTGAAGAGTTTTGGCCCTTCTGATCTTGATTTCAAGGCATCTATGGCAAATCTATCTATTTAGCTGAAATGGTGACATATCAAAAGACAATTTGACTCCTAGTTATGACTAGATGCTTACAATAAGATGAACACCCAACTCTTCAAAACACACCAATAAAAAAGAATTACCCTAGTTTCTTTTTGAAGGCTTGTACAGGATACAGTTACATCAGCCATTGTCATATTAAATACTGGATGGTCGGCCCTTGGCACACATCGCTGGTTCTGCATACAGTAGACAACTACTTGTGGTCCAACAATTCTGCAACCAAGCTGAAACAAGAGATAGGACAAAACAAGATGGTAAATAGGAACTTTTTCCTTAGAAAAACTGTTCTCCCACACTTCCAATACACATGGCACGCCTAAAAAAAAAAAAAGCTAATGATAATAATAATAATAATTTATTTATATCCCGCCCTCCCCAGCCGAAGCCAGGCTCAGAGTGGCTAACAACATTAAAATGATACATTCTAAAATCATTTCATTATAAAATCAATTAAAATCAGATTAATGGCAACCATTGGGCTAGAGTTCTGTGTGGATTGCCAAAGGAGGGGGTCAGACAAGTTTGGTGCCAAGGTTGCAGGTTTGACCCCCAAATGAGACAGCTGCATATTCCTGCATTGCAGGGGTTTAGACTAGATGATCCTTAGGGTCACTTTCAACTCTACAAATCTATGATTGTGTGTCAGTACATATCTTGCAATACTAACAATATACACGTGGACAACTGTTCAATCAGATGACACTGGATTATTTCAGAAGGCAAATAATGACATATAAACCATCTATTTCTTCATCCCATTTATAGTCCCAGTATCCAGATTAGGTTCTGCTAGTCCAGTCTTCTTCAATGTTGGGTCCTCAGATGTTGTTGGACTCCAACTCCCATCATCCCTGACCATTGGCTAAGCTGGCGGAGGATGATGGGAGCTGGAGTCAAACAGCATCTTGCAGAACACCATGCTAGCCTACACTTGATTCCCACAGGAACATACAGAAATACTGACATAAATCTGCTCTCCGTGAAATAATTAAAAACAGAGGTGAGATACATCTACATCCACTTCCCTCCCCACCCGATAACATTAGTGTGTGTGTGTTAATTACATGAACATATTTTCAATTCCTTTAGAATTTATCAAGATACTGCATTAACAAAGTCACTATGTAAATAAAACACAAACCTTTTGAAGGTGATTAAAAACAATGCCACTGAACTGATCACAAATATAAAGGGATTTGTCATTCTCTTGTATCCTCAGTGCAGCTGTATTTTCAAGAATCTGGAGGGATTCTTCTGACTGAAATTCTTTGATGGACTGCAAAATATAACAAAAGCAGTAGGCAAGTATTCTATAGATTTGCAAACAGTTTCTTTGAATATAAACGGTGGTTGCACTGAAATATGCCTGTACTTGGTGATACTTACTAAAAACATATTCACATTCAATTCAAAATATTGGGCCAGTTCAGAAATAACTGTAAGCCAAACCATAGCCTACTACAAACATCTAGATTCTCAGAGAGAAGATTGCAGCTGCTGCACTAAACCATAGTTTAGCTTAGAATTACATCTGAACCAGGGCTTGTTGTTTACGTTCTCTAGACAAACTACAAGAGACAAGTCATAAAGCAAAACTTGGCTACAATTTGTGCTTTGTTTACAGTGAGATAAACCATAAAATTGCTGTTTACTTTTTCAACACACAAAACTTAATATTTAAACTACATATAAAAAGGTATTCATTGATCACATTACATTCACAGATCAACTCCACGTACTAAATAAGCTTACCTCAAGGGCCTGAAGGAAAAATTCTGAGTTTTCTGCAGACTTTATAAACTTCACAAAATATGGTTCCTTGCTATTTTTCATTGTTCAACTAATGAAGAAATAGGAAAGCAGATTTAGCTTTATTTAGAAAGGAAAACTATTATGAACAGATTAGTGGAAAAATCAGTTGCTAGTGGAAACCTACGCATGCGGATACTATGGCACAGACCAGTTTTTACCAAACTATGTTGGCTGTTAAGAAGCACCTGTTTTCTGCTTACTTTAAAATACAGTAACAACCCATTTGACGAAAATCCCAAAGTCCTCTTTACTAACGATGATTACTCCTGATTAGTTCTTTTTGTTTATATTCCTATCAGTTATTCATAAAAGACTTTATGAGAATATACAGCCTGCATTTATGTTTGTTGTCTGGGCAGTTCAGGATGGAGGAGCACACATTGCCCAGGCTTGCGCCCCAATGTAGCCTGATGTGGCAGGCAAGGCAAGGATGTTGCAACTTCCCAACAATCCCCCTTCAGGTAGGACTGCTGCTGAAGGCCAGGTGCTTGACGACACCTGTCCACTTCCTCTGCCATACATTGAGGAAGAAAAATGGGAGGCTGCTGTTGGCTCCAAACCCCATAGGCAAAAACAAACAATGGCCAGGTGTATCTTAGGCATAATCTTATGTCGAGGCCCATGGTTCCCATGGGGGCGGGAGGCAATTTGGTAGCTTGTTTAGACCAAGTTAATGGCCTTTTAGACTTCCCTCCACGTGAATAGGAGTTCACTTTTTGAATACAGTAAAAAAAAAGTAAAGGGACCCCTGACCATTAGGTCGTCGTGGCCGACTCTGGGGTTGCAATGCTCATCTCACTCTATAGGCCGAGGGAGCCGGCGTACAGCTTCCGGGTCATGTGGCCAGCATGACTAAGCCGCTTCTGGCGAACCAGAGCAGCGCATGGAAACGCCGTTTACCTTCACGCCGGTACCTATTTATCTACTTGCTTTCGAACTGCTAGGTTGGCAGGAGCAGGGAATGAGCAACCGGAGCTCACCCCGTCGCAGGGATTCGAACCGCTGACCTTCTGATCGACAAGTCCTAGGCTCTGTGGTTTAACCCACAGTGCCACCCACATCCCCCTTGAATACTGTAGTAAGTATTTTATGTCACAGGAGCGGGGGCATCAGGATTTTAGAGATGCTTAGGAGGGGCATGGCCAAAAAAAGGTGGGGAACCACTGGTCTAGGCGCCGGCTGGTTCCAAGCTAAGCACAGATAAGAACATGGGTAGGCAAACTAAGGCCCGGGGGCCGGATCCAGCCAGTCACCTTCTAAATCCGGCCCGCGGACGGTCCAAGAATCAGCGTGTTTTTACGAGTAGAATGTGTGCTTTTATTTAAAATGCATCTCTGGGTTATTTGTGGGGCATAGGAATTCGTTCATTTCCCCCCAAAAAATATAGTCCATGACCCCCACAAGGTCTGAGGGACCCTGCTGAAAAAGCTTGCTGACCCCTTGCTTAAGAACCAAGGACCAAGAGCCCTGCTGGGTCGGGGTCAAAGGCCCATCTTAGTCCAGCATCCTGCACCGCCGTTTGCAAGGAAGGGTGCATTGTCCTCAAGTGCACCAGGCAGCCAGCGCTGAGGGGACTCGATTCAGGTTGTGGGGATACAGTGGGACGGACCTACGGCCACCTGCCCCACACATCATATGGCAGGGACATGGCAGGCCTTGTGCTTGGTTTGGGTGCGTGAATCATAGAACTGGAGAGCGGGAGGGGGACCTCCAAGGGTCATCTAGCCCAACCCGGGAATCTCGCCAAAGCATCCACGGCAGACGCGGCCATCCGGGGAAAGGAGCCCCCACCGAACACCTCAGAAAGCTCTTCCTTGCGATGGGGGTTGGGAGCCCTGGGAGGCCTCCGCTCCCCCCTCGGCCTCTCCTTGCCTCGAACGGCTCATAACCGAAAGCCCCGACCACGACTGAGGCAAACTGGGCTGGGAGGGCGAAGAAGTGTGACGGGGTGGGGTGCCCGCCTACTACAGGGGCGAAAAAAGGCCGAGGCGACGCTCCCCTTCCGCTTACCCCGTCGCCTCAGCTCTCCGCCGCTGCTTCCTTCCTCCCCTCAGAGGGACCCAGAATCATAACCTCCCGAAGGCTGGCGGGAAAAGACGACGAGCCTAAAGTGCGCATGCGTGAATGACGCCTGAGCGCTTCTCTCGCGAGCGAGCGTGCGCCCTCTCCCCGCCCCGCGTTTTTATTGTTGTTGTTAACTCCTTCGCTGCTTCTCGCGGCTCCTCCCTTTAGGGACGAGAGCCGGAAAGCAAGCGAGCGAGGGAGAGCGAGGGAGAGCGAGAGAGAGCGAGAGAGAGAGAGAGAGAGAGAGAGAGAGAATGGTAGGCTCTGGTATCTGGTAGGAGAGCCAGAGGACTCCTGCAAAGAACAGGTCTGTGGTTCTTAGGTCCGTCAGAACTGAACCAGAGAGTTATAGTGTTGGTGAGGCATAATCGGGCTGGAGTAATTGGCAAAATTTTCCAAAACAATTGAAAAGGGCAACTAACTGCTGCTTTACTGATCTGTCTCTGCAGCTGGAGGCAGTAATACTTTTGAATTCCAATTGCAGGAGTAAGTGCTATCGAGCTCATCTCCTGCTTATGGTCTTCTGTTAACGGAGAAATCTGAGGGCTCCCTTGGACAAAAAAACAAGGACACCAGCCAGGAATACCAGAGCAAAACAGCAGCCAGTAGGCTTGGTCTTTATTGAAGACTGTGGCGACAGGACTCCCACCTGCCACCAGGTGAAACAAAATGGAAGCCCCAAACAAAACCCCAACTTTTATTAGCTACAAATTCCCCATGCTACACCCCCAAGACTGCATCATAACTACATCACAACTACATCATTGACACATCACAAAGAGGAGGGGTTGAGGGAGGAGTTGTGGTGGTAACCTGAGTGTCTTGTCACCTGGCCGGTTCCACCTTTCCCCCTCCCCATGAGTAATTTCCAGAGGACAAAGGGGAGTTTGCAGTTTCCTGCCCCCAGAGGGAAGAGCTGATCATTGTCCTTTGTTTCAGTCCGTGCTGAATCCACTCCCATATGCAGGTCCTTTGTGAGTGTGATGGTCTTCTGTCTGGGACCATCAAGGTTGGCATGCCAACTGGGTAGGGTTCCTGTGGACATGTTGGTACGCTCGAGGGATTATGGCTGCCCTCTATCAAACCTTCCCCATTTTGTAGTCCTTCCTTCATGGAGTAAAATAAAAGTGGAACGGTGCCGATCCGATGTATGGTTGATTTTCTTTGAATTTATAACGGAAGCGTCGCGTATGTCATGTGTGAGTGTGTCGAGTTTGTACAAACTGAATGATTTGGGGCGGGGGGGTTCCTGCAACACTTCCCATAAACATCTGGTTGGCCACAGTAAGACCGGCATGCTGGACTGGATGGGCCACTAGCCTGACAGGATGTTCTCAAAGCTGTCTTTAGTTTAGTAAAACAGCTCTGCTGTTCTGAAGTGAAAATATCCAGTTACCCATCTGGAGAGTGTAGAAAGCTCTATACTGATCTGTAGAAAGCCCTATAGACATAGGCAAACTCGGCCCTCCAGATGTTTTGGGACTACAGTTCCCGTAATCCCTCACTGGTCCTGTTAGCTAGGGATCATGGGAGTTGTCCCAAAACATTTGGAGGGCCGATTTTGCCTATGCCTGCTATACAGCTTGGGACAAGGATACCTAAAAGATTGTCTCACCCGACCAATCACTGCAGGTGAGGGTCTCCTGAAGATACCATCTTATTGGGAGGACTGTTCTGCACATTATAAGATCCAGGCCTTAAGGTTGTTTCACAATTCAGAATTCCCTCCCCTTAAATATTAGACAGGCACTGTCTCTGTTGTCTCTTTGGCACCTACTGAAGACCTTCCTTTTCCAAAAGTACTTTTAAGTACAGCGCTACCTTGATACTCGAACTGCTTGGCTCCCATACAAATCCGCTCCCAAACGCCACAAACCCAGATGTGCTCCGGTTTGTGAATGTTTTTCACAAGCCGAACATCTGACGCAGCTTCCGCTTGAGTGCAGGAAGCGCCTGCAGCCAATTGAAGCCGCACCTTGGTTTTCAAACGGTTTCAGGAGTCAAACGGACTCCCAGAACATATAAAGTTTGAGAACTAAGGTACCACTGTAGAGATCTTTCCCAATCTGCGTCTACATTGCAATTGTTTGCAGAGATTTAATTGGTTTGGGTGTTTGCCTCCCTGGGCTCCTTTGGGAAGAAGGGCGGGATATACATTTAATAAAAAAAAACCCATTTCCCACACAATGAGTGTTGGTCCCTGAGGAAAACAAAAGAAAAGAGCTATTAGGTACTGACTATATTATATATTCTGGGAATATACAATAAGCAGGGTATGTTTGGGGACCTGCATTTTTACTTCCACCACCCCATGCAGTCTTGGTTAAGTTTCTAGCTCTGTGACAGAGGTGACTCCAGAAAAAACATGTTGGGGAAATAAAAAGATGGCAAACATCATTATTGGGAGAGGAAGGATTTAATCTACATTATATAGGACTTTAATATACAGCAATTTGATGCCGAAGTAGTGAATGGGAAATATGGGGGGGGGGGTGTCACAGCAACTGCGCTTCATTATTTTCCCCATAGGAGTTGGAGGCAGATTTTATGTATACCGCATGGGCAGGCAAACTAAGGCCCGGGGGCCGGATCCAGCCCAATCGGCTTCTAAATCCGGCCCACGGACGGTTTGGGAATCAGTGTGTTTTTACATGAGTAGAATGTGTGCTTTAATTTGTGTGGGTTATTTGTGGGGCACAGGAATTCCTTCATTTATTTCCCCCCAAAAAATATAGTTCGGCCCCCACAAGGTCTGAGGGACAGTGGACTGGCCCCCTGCTGAAAAAGTTTGCTGACCCCTGGTATACTATATATTGATACTAGTAAACTCTCTTATTATCCAGTTTAGTTGCCATCATCCCATTAAACTACAGGCAAAACCTATAATTTTCAGAACTCCAAAACACGAGGAAGCAAAATTTAATGACTACACATGTATATTGTAGTACAAAACAAGCTTTTATTGTTGGATTTATAACAAGTCAATCCTGAGCACATTTAGGTGAACATTTATCCCACTTTTCACAGCTGAATAAGCAGTTCAGCTTAATAAACAGCACTATGTTCTCCATTTATTACGCTCACCTTACTGGCTTGTGTCAGGGATACCAGTTCCCTCTTTCTCACTTAACAAAACCCGCATTTGTATAGCTGTTATTTAATATTCCGCGGCCACCAGTTTCAAAGCCTGGTAGCTGATATAATAAGTTTAGGCAAGAGATGGATGCCAACACGAGAGATGGGTAGAACTTTAAGCTTGTTGGTTTATTAAAAGGTACTATGTACATAAGGGAATACAGATATTTGCATTGGGGTCTTAAAGGTGCTCGATTATGGTTTCTGAAGACTTTAAAGGTCCTGTTGCTGACACCAGCCTCTAAGTGGCTTTTATCTCAGGCCAAATTCCCTGAACTTCCACCCCAGTCAAAATACTCTGACAACTCAATCCAGCCTCTGTTGGGGGACAGTCTGCCTCTGTACCCCAAAGCTCCTCTGGTTGTAGTTCTGGCTGTTTGGACAATTAGGCCAACTTAAAAAAATGCATTTGTGTAGCCTTCCTCGGGCAAGACCTTTGCACAGGGCAGCTTTTCAGATCACCTCCGCCGCTGATTCCTTTATCCTGATCTTCATCAGACAGGTATTAATAACAAGCTGACATTTGTATCCAGACTTTAGCTATTCTCATTAGCCTTTTTCTCGGACCTTTCCCATCAAACCTTTCTCATCCACTCACTTTTCCGCAAAAATCTAACTTCCTTTCCCTGACAGTTGACTCTCAGCTGACTAGGAACTCCAGCCTGTCAATGTGCTATAACCCAGATCAATCAGAATGAATACAGTGGTACCTCGGGTTAAGTACTTAATTCGTTCCGGAGGTCTGTTCTTAACCTGAAACTGTGCTTAACCTGAAGCACCACTTTAGCTAATGGGGTCTCCTGCTGCCACCGCGCCACTGGAGCATGATTTCTGTTCTCATCCTGAAGCAAAGTTCTTAACCTGAAGCACTATTTCTGGGTTAGCAGAGTCTGTAACCTGAAGCGTATGTAACCTGAGGCACCACTGTATACCTGTCCCAGGCCCAGCCTAATACAGTCGTACCTTGGAAGTCGAACGGAATCCGTTCCGGAAGTCCATTCGACTTCCAAAACGTTTGAAAACCAAAGCGTGGCTTCTGATCGGCTGCAGGAAGCTCCTGCAGCCAATCGGAAGACGTGGAAGCCCTGTCGGAAGTTTGGCTTCCAAAAAAAGTTCATAAACCGGAACACTCACTTCCGAGTTTGCAGTCTTTGGGAGCCAAAACATTTGAGAACTAAGCTATTCAAAAACCAAGGTACAACTGTACATTCCCCAAATGATAATCCATCTCTTTCTCTCTCTCTCTCTCTTCACAGAAGCTGTCAAGGAAAACTACTGCCAATCAGGCTTGCGGCATCATAACAGTACAAGGCCTCGAACCAACATTAGACCAGACGTTAAGTGCAATGATCTTGCACCCAGTATAATTTCCTTGGGAAGAGTTGGCAGGTAGGTTGTCTGCGTGCCAATGGCTCAGTTTGCCATGGTTGGAACTGGGAAGGAAATTGCACTGCTATTTACTCTGCAGCCAGCTTTCCCAGTGCACCTACCTTCCCTTTGCTTCAGACGCAACATAGTTTGGATGCATAGTTTGATCTGTCGGGGACCGGAAAGTGGATGATCATGTTAAGCAGGAAGGCGCTAGATAGCCATTGCTCCCTTCCAACATGCTAGCTGCAGGTGGTGAAACGAAGACATGGTTTTTGTCTGTTAATGCATGACCTTGCAGAAAACAAACTGGGTGTGGGAGCAGGGTGTTCAGTGTCCTTAAGGACAGAGCAATAGGCTCACTTCTGCAAGGAACTATAGCATGCTAATTTGTGCAGACATTCGTGTAAGATTAGATTCGGCATACATTTGCCTACCTTAAAAAAGACACACATGCATTTCAAATGCAACAGAGAGCAGCGTATAAGATGTGCTTGATAATAAACCCCTGGTGATGTTCATAACATCTCCAGTGTCCTTGCACGTAACATTTGTTTAACACTCAGCTTGTGAGCTGGTGTAAGCCAAGCAATTACAGTATACATCCGACCCAAATCGTCTCTCTTGCCATAAAAGCGGCTTTTGTCGGAAGCAACTCAGCCCTTTTAAACTGAGTTTAGACTGCAAAGTTCAAATGGATCTGTTAAGTTGCACCGGCAGAAGTAAGTTTTACTTTTTCTCTCTGGAAAGCCACTACAACACCGCCGACATGTCATGCTCCCCAGTAGACTGGGAGTATGTGGAACTGGCACGTTCCAGGGGCTCTGTATACAGAGAGAGGCATGTTTTTGGAAGGTGGAGAGCCACATGCTTTCGGAAAAGGCTGCAAACATATTTTCTGAACTTCTCGCCAGCAAAAGCGTAGATGACAGGATTGATGCAAGAGTGAGTCATTGCTATTGTTTCTGTCGCTTGCGCTGCTATAGCCAAATTACTAATGGAGGCACAATTGCTGAGATCAAATGCATCTTGGAATGTCTGTAGCAGAAGAACAATGTTGTATGGGGCCCAAAAAATGAAGTAAACTATCATGATGATAAAAATCAGCCGGACCGCTTTGCTCTTCTTGTCATTCCTGCATTTCATTAGGGTGTTTATGATCTGTGCATAGCAGAAGGTCATGACGATCATTGGGAAGATCAGGCCTATAAGGTTCATTTTCAGTGTAAAGAACTGGTTCCAGACAATCTGATTTTCATAAGAAAAATGAGGAGTGCACACTGAACGATTGTCTTCCTTTTGTAATCTGTTAAAGACCATTACCGGCACAGAGGCTAGGAGTGCCACGCCCCACATGACAACGCTTGTGAGGATGCCATAGGTAACTGTCCGGGCTTTTAATGCGAACACAGCATGGACGATGGCTAGATATCGATCGATGGTCAAAAGGATTATGAAAAAACTTCCGCTGTAGAAGCCTACGTAATAGATCCCAGAGAGAATTTTGCACATTGCATCTCCAAATACCCACTCGTGCGCTGCGTAATAAGCCCAAAATGGGAGTGTGAAGATGAAAAGCAGGTCCGAGATGGCTAAATTGAGCAGGTAGATATCAGTCATGCTCTTGAGTTTCTTATATCTGATGAGGATCAGCACCACCAGTGAGTTGCCCAGCAAGCCAAATATGAGCACCAAAGAGTAAAGCGGTGGCAGGAACTGGGAAGCAAATTCATTAACACTGGCACTTAGGCATGGTTCTGCTGTTTCGTCATAAACGTATTCTGTGGTTGTTACATCTTCGTAGTAGTCTGCTGTGCTCGTAGCAGTAGGCATCTTGTTCCCTGCAATTGTAGAAGATATATTTATATTTACGCATCCACACTGCATGCACAGTAATCATAAAATGCTGGTTTCCGTACATAGGAGAATATACTGAACTTTCAACACAGAAGGGGAGAAATCAAAATACAGAAAACAATAGATTTTGTTCATGCAGATGTTTTCATGTTTAGGCTAAGCACACGCTTATTAAAGATCAACAACTGCTGGGACTTCACCAATCTACAGATATGCAATTATGCAACTCAATAATAACAACATTGTGTATCTGTGCAGAGGCAGTTGCATAGGAGTGATTATAATCAGTGAGCCTATTGCCAAAATGCCATTCTTTCCATTATAGTTTGCTTGGTGCCCCAGCACTGTTTCAGCCCATTCTGAATCCCACATTGTACGGCACGTATATTTTGTACATAATTACAATCATGAAGTGAGAGAGAAATTACAGGTAGTCTAATGTAAACCTTGGAAACCCATCGCATCACTCTACATCGATCACTTACAGTTTAACAAATGAGCATCCTCTGTTAAAAAAAGTGTCATACCGTATCCAAAATGAAAGAGGCCGAATAAAAGCATCTTCATCATTGTTAGTATATAGTAGTTTCATTTTCATTAAAGTCACCCAAAAAAGATGGCCATATGAAATCACCCTTGGATGCTGACCAAAATTTTGTACAGCCCAGAAATGTATCTTAACATAACATGAAGAAACTCTTGGGTGCCCAGTAGCTGTAACGAAGCTCAGAAAAATCAACATGAAATGGTTATCTTGTGAAGTATTATCTCCTCCCACCCCACTCCCTGACAAAGAGTGTTAGTAAATGTGTACAGTATGTCACTGGGCAAATTTTCACTGAGGATTTCTTTACTAGTCAGCCGTGTAGAAACGGAAGAGTCTACATTGCAACTACTTTTCTGCCATTTGGAGGAGCTATAGTTACATTTTTCAAGCTTGAATGTGGTTGAAGGACAGAGGGCTTAACCACACACCATCTCAGACTTTGCCTTGTGGTTTGCTCCTTCCTTCATTTTTTTGGGTAGGAACCACACAATATTTCTACTGTGACTAGGTGATACGTTGTTTTTCTGGAACTAAAATCAAGTAATCGATGGTGATGCAAAAAGTGTTTTTTTTAATTGCTTACATGACTTGTAACGTGTTTGCCGCGTCACCCTTTTTTGCTTACTCCACTTCTCCCTGTTTCTTAACTCCTCCTCTGTGTTGCTGCCCATGACCTCAGCAGCATCCATCTCCCAGAGGTGAATATAAGGGATCACAACCAGTTTGCCCACAATGAGCTCCGAGCTGGAAGGAGGGCACAACAATGACTTGGAACAGAAGGTGAGAGGCAGGGAGCACTGAATTTTGGCATTGTACAGGGCACCACTGAAATTTGAAAGTTTAAAGTCCTTCAGGGAGAGCAAATGTGCTTAGCGCAGGGTCCCCAAAGGCTCGGCTGGTTGTTGGGAGCGGCACATAGTGGCTTTGGGCAAGCTGTGCCCTTCTGGTCAAGCTTTTTCCTTACCTGTATGACATCAGGTAAGGGGTGGCACTGTGGGTTAAACCACAGAGCCTAGGACTTGCCGATCAGAAGGTCAGCAGTTCAAATCCCCGCGACGGGGTGATCTCCCGTTGCTCGGTTCCTGCTCCTGCCAACGTAGCAGTTCGAAAGCACGTCAAAGTTCAAGTAGATAAATAGGTACCACTCCGGCGGGAAGGTAAACAGCGTTTCCGTGCGCTGCTCTGGTTCGCCAGAAGCGGCTTAGTCATGCCGCAAGAGAAAGAACTGACTTGGTTTCAAGAGCAGTTTGCCATGTTGCACAAAGGGCTGCTGATAGAAGCCAAATCTCAACCTCCTTAGGACTCCCGAAATACTTTTTGCAGTTCTTTGCCCTCCTATTTGTGTTTGGAAATAAGTGTTTCCTGCAACTCCATGGCACAGGAATAAACAATTGGTCATGGCTTCCTATACCACACAGATGGGAGACCTCTGTGCCTCCAGAGGTTGTTGACTCATCATCTTCAGCTGGCATGATGAAGGGTTGGGTGCTGTAGTACAACAACATCTGGAGGGTCAGAGATTCACCATCTCTCTTACAGAGTGTCCTCATCAGGACAGGCACATTTGGTAGGTGCAAATGTGGCCCATAGGTTTATCATCCCTGCTGTAGAACATACTCATCGGGACATGCTCATTTGTTACCTAGATAATTTCTGAAGCAGCCCTAAAACTCTTGGTAGCTGGGTGTTCATCAGTATGCGGATGATACCCAGCTCTACCTCTCTTTCAAATCAGAACCAGTGAAGGTCCTGTGTGTCTGGAGGCGGTTGGAGGATGGATGGCGGCTAACAGATTGAGGTTGAATCCTGACAAGACAGAAGTACTGTTTTGGGGGGACAGGAGGTGGGCAGGTGTGGAGGACTCCCTGGTCCTGAATGGGGTAACTGTGCCCCTGAAGGACCAGGTGCACAGCCTAGGAGTCATTCTGGACTCACAGCTGTCCATGGAGGCGCAGGTCAATTCTGTGTCCAGGACAGCGGACTGTCTTGCCAGAGTGGTGCATGCTCTAGTTCTCTCCTGCTTGGGATACTGCAATGCACTCTACATGGGGCTACCTTTGAAGCTGACCCGGAAACTACAACTAATCCAGAATGCGGCAGCTAGACTGGTGACTGGGAGCGGCCACCAAGACCACATAACACCAGTCTTGAAAGACCTACACTGGCTCCCAGTACGTTTCCGAGCGCAATTCAAAGTGTTGGTGCTGACCTTTAAAGCCCTAAATGGCCTCGGTCCAGTATACCAGAAGGAGCGTCTCCACCCCTATCGTTCTGCTCGGACACTGAGGTCCAGTGCTAAGGGCCTTCTGGCAGTTCCCTCACTGCGAGAAGCCAAGTTACAGGGAACCAGGCAGAGGGCCTTCTCAGTAGTGGCACCTGCCCTGTGGAACGCCCTCCCATCAGATGTCAAAGAGAAAAACAACTACCAGGCTTTTAGAAGACATCTGAAGGCAGCCCTGTTTAGGGAAGCTTTTAATGTTTAATAGACTATTGTATTTTAATATTCTGTTGGAAGCCACCCAGAGTGGCGGGGTATAAATAATAAATTATTATTATCATTGGAAGCTTCGTTCTTGGTTGGTAGACTGTACCTTTATAACTGTCAAAAAGAGATGTTTGTGCAGGGCATCCTACATGAGCATGAATAATGAATTCTTGTGAAAAGAAGACACAGTGGGGCTACAGAAATGAACTAACAAAATCAGAAAGAAGGCACTGTTGCAATAATTCAACTGAAGATTTTTGGTGCAATCCGGAGGGTCAGAGATTCACCATCTCTCTTACAGAGTGTCCTCATCAGGACAGGCACATTTGGTAGCCACATAAACAGCCATGGAGCAACTGTTCCAATGGTTACATTTCTACTCTTAAAATGCATATGCTTTCTATAGGAAAGATGTCTTTCTGTGTCAGGAATGGATTAAACATAATAGTTTAAATTGCCTTCATGTCTGTGCACATACATTTTCCCAAGGAAATGATCAGCAAAACGCCTCCTGATAATGGCCTCTATACCAGTTTAACTGTGATGGTGCTCTGCAAAGATTCTTGGGAACAGTAGTTTAATGTGTATGCAAAGAATTATCAGTTAGGTACACACACGTACGTACACACACACACACACACACACCATTCCATCCCTACTTCCAGAACTGCAGTTCCCAGAGTTTCTTGTTAATTAATAACACAAGCTAAAATTTTGACTGACCCGCTTTTGCAAACTCATGTGCCAAGATAGAGAAGTGCATCAACCTTCCATAAACGCTGAAGACAAAACATTGAGCATAGCCACTGACTAGACTCTCTAGGAATATTTAATGTTGCTAAACACCAGTCATGCAAATAATTAAAGCTAGGTTGCATTCGATGTATGTTGTTGTTGTTGTTGTTTAGTCGTTTAGTCGTGTCCGACTCTTTGTGACCCCATGGACCAGAGCACGCCAGGCACTTCTGTCTTCCACTGCCTCCCGCAGTTTGGTCAAACTCATGCTGGTAGCTTCGAGAACACTGTCCAACCATCTCGTCCTCTGTCGTCCCCTTCTCCTTGTGCCCTCCATCTTTCCCAACATCAGGGTCTTTTCCAGGGAGTCTTCTCTTCTCATACGGTGGCCAAAGTATTGGAGCCTCAGCTTCAGGATCTGTCCTTCCAGTGAGCACTCAGGGCTAATTTCCTTAAGAATGGATAGATTTGATCTTCTTGCAGTCCATGGGACTCTCAAGAGTCTCCTCCAGCACCATAATTCAAAAGCATCAATTCTTCGGCGATCAGCCTTCTTTATGGTCCAGCTCTCACTTCCATACATCACTACTGGGAAAACCATAGCTTTAACTATACAGGCTTTTGTTGGCAAGGTGATGTCCCTGCTTTTTAAGATGCTGTCTAGGTTTGATGTATAGAGGTGGGGAAACCTCATTTGCCAGAGCAAATGAATTTTGCAAGCTAAGATCCAGAAGTCTCTGTTTAATGCAGGCAGCTGGTTTTTCTAACCAAAGAGGCAGAAAATGGGGTGATCAGCAGCAGGTAGTGTTAACATGGCTGTTAACCAGCTTAAGCCAGGAGGAGTCATAATTATCAAGCAAAGCCAGGGATTCATAGCCCAAATCTAAGGGGGATAGATATTGGTGGTGCCAATAACCCATTGAAAGAGACTGTACCATTGTTTCCAAAGAACAAATGCTTGTTACCAATTTCATTAGCTGCACATATGGGATGCAAAAGATCTTTCTCACCAGGGATTCCTTAATCCCCAGTATCCAAAGTAGAAGTCTGTACATAATCTTGGTAACTAGTTTGGCTTTGTACACCTTCAAAACTGAAGGTATATGCTGGCCACCTTTCATCTAGGAGAATCTCAGCAGTGTAACTAGAATATTCAGGGTACACAATGTGGAATTTTCAACCCGAAGTAACCAGGGCAAAATAAATAGCAATAAATATTCAATAGATATTGTAGTTATAGGAAGTGAGGGTATGAAAAGTGTTACACACACACACACACAATCCTCCTCACAACTGTGTAAGATAAGTTATCTCCATATCACAGCGTACAGGGTGGGGTTGGCTAGAGAAGCTGTGACTCAAAGATAATGGTGCTTTTGCAAGGATGATATTTCAGATTTCCGTAGGGAGGAAGGCAAAATTTTCAGCGAGGCTGAGAGGCTTGTTTTTGGGTATTTCCAATTGCAAAACGAGCCTTGTGTTTTAGGAGCATTTGTTAGAAGCATAGAATTGTAAAGTTGGAAGGGACCCTGAGGATCATCTAGTCTAACCCCCTGCAGTGCAGGAATATGCAGCTGTCCAATATGAGGGTTGAACCTGCAACCTTGGCATTATCAGCACCACGTTTTAACCACGTTGTGTTTGTTTTCACTTTATAATGGTTACAGCAATGGTATAAAATCTGTCACCCACCCCTTTCGTTTTTAGCAAAGAGACTGCTAATTTGACCATACATACTTAGCACATAGTGGGATGCGGGTGGCACTGTGGTCTAAACCACAGAGCCTAGGACTTGCCGATCAGAGGGTCAGCGGTTTGAATCCCCACGACGGGGTGAGCTCCCGTTGCTCGGTCCCTGCTCCTGCCAACCTAGCAGTTCAAAAGAACGTCAAGTGCAAGTAGATAAATAGGTACCGCTGCAGCAGGAAGGTAAACAGTGTTTCCGTGCGCTGCTCTGGTTCACCAGAAGCAGCTTAGTCATGCTGGCCACATGACCTGGAAGCTGTCTGCAGACAAACGCTGGCTCCCTCGGCCAAAAAGCGAGATGAGCACCGCAACACCAGAGTCATCCGCGACGGGACTTACGGTAATTGTCAGGGGTCCCTTTACCTTTACCTTTACTTAGTACATAGACCTAGTAAACTATTTCTAAGGACAGTCAGAAGCAGACCAGTTCTGATACATGTTTGAACTCAGTGGGGCTTCCTTCTGGGGCTTCCATTCTAGTACGCTTGGCCCAGTGATTGTCATCATCGTGTTATGGACCATAGAGTTCATAACCATAGAGTTGGCTAGAAAGAGAATAGCAATAAGTGCATTGCGTTTGAAATATAATGGGTGAGGCGCTCCTGACCACTTTCCTTAAATGCAGTGCTCACAGTTGGTTGGCACCGAGTGGGATGCCATCCTACTTCTTTCCAAGCAGATCAAAAACAGAACGGAACGAAAAGCAGACAAAATACTAACACACCCTCTTTTTCTTCCCACTTCAAGCACTGAGGTGAATGGACCCAAAGGTGACCTGGATGCGGACTGGTTTCATAGCTGTCAACTTTCCCCTTTTTTAAAGGGAAATTCCCTTATTCTGAATAGGATTCCTCGCAAGAAAAGGGAAAAGTTGACAGCTATGCCTGGTTTGCAACTAAATCATCCCACTTTCTCGCCTCTGTCTTTGAACACTGAGTTAGCGTTGTGCTTGATAGACATGTAGCAGCTTTAAAGTTGGGGCATGACTGGGAAGACGGTGGCTCGTAGCTCACGCTCATTCTAAATAACCAATGCTAGAACCAGGGCTTTTCTTTTTTCAGCCAGCTCATCGGATCTCAGCTCCGGCACCTCTCAGGTGGGTGCCTTTGCCATTCTAAGAGAACACGGGAGAAGTTTGTGGTGAGTTCTGGCAACTGCTTTTCTAGAAAAATAGTACTGGAAAAGTGTGATTGGAAAACCCAGGATGGAGCCATGAAGCCTGGGTAAATGAAGGCTTTGATGAGAGTATAGGAAGCTTCCGAATGCCAAATCAGACCATTAATACTATCTAGTTCAGCACTACTCTACACAGACAGGGTTTTCATAAAGGGATATTTCCAGCACCAACCAGAGAAGAAGAAGAAGAAGAAGAAGAAGAAGAAGAAGAAGAAGAAGAAGAGTTTGGATTTGATATCCCGCCTTTCACTCCCTTTAAGGAGTCTCAAAGCGGCTAACATTCTCCTTTCCCTTCCTCCCCCACAACAAACACTCTGTGAGGTGAGTGGGGCTGAGAGACTTCAGAGAAGTGTGACTGGCCCAAGGTCACCCAGCAGCTGCATGTGGAGGAGCGGAGACGCGAACCCGGTTCCCCAGATTACGAGACTACCGCTCTTAACCACTACGCCACACTGGCTCAATGAGATGCCAGAGATTAGACCTGCGACCTTTTACATGGAAAACAGACACACTCTCTCTGAGCTACAGTCGTTTCCCCTGAAGGCTAGGATGCCCAGGTGCTGGGAGCAGATAGCTATGGCTTCCCTTTAATTTATTCCACTTAAACAGATAGTAGCCATTCATTCCTATGGGAAAACTCGGCAACGTTTTAGGGGACATTGTTGGAGCGAGGGCAGAATCTGCTTGCCGAATAGCCTGCCCTCCCCAGCAGGAATTCCATGGGGAGATGTGCCCACAAGCAGAGCACATAGATGTCCACAGGTTTCCCTGCAATATTCAGGTCTCTCCTCCAGTGCCCAAAGTGATGGGCATTTTGCTGATCCAATAGTAAGCCTCCTCTTTTTCATTCAAAATCATTATCATACCACACATTTAAAATGACACACGGTTAAACAGCAAACTTCGCTATTAACAAAATATCAAAAAATAGCACATGGTGCATATTTACACAGTCGTGTGAAAGGCATGTACCTGCGGCAGCCTGCCATGATAACCAAGCATGTTTTACACTATTAGATGCACATTTTTTGCAGTATTACTCACATAGGAGTAGTTACAGGTAGGTAGCTGTGTTGGTCTGCCAAAATAAACCAAATTTAAAAATTCCTTCCAGTAGCACCTTTGAGCCCAACGAAGTTTGTTATTGGTATGAGCTTTCGTGTGCATGCACACTTCTTCAGATACACTTCTGTTTCACAAAGTTTGTGTGTAACAAACTTAGTTGGTCTCCAAGGTGCTACTGGAAAGAATTTTTTTATTTTGTTTCACATAGGAGTGTTTTCCTTGTGAAATGGCCCTCAGTCCACATATGCACTGAATAAATGACACCCAAGATTTAAAGGGGAAAGGATTTTGCTATTTTTGCCTGGGGAACAACCACCCATAGCCTTGCGTATTCTCTTGTCAAAATTTGGGACAACTATCTGATTGGATACCTCACTGCAGAGAAGAAACAATAGCTCTTTCATATCTCATTCAAGCTACTGAAAAACTATTAACTGCATCTAGCCAAAGATAATGTTAAAAAATGGCAGAAAAGCCCAATTCGGTCTTTATGGCTTTTTTTCTGAACAATATGAACGTAAAGAAAGGGTATCAATATTAATCATCAGTTTTCAGGGTTTGGAATATGTAATAACTGCCTTTTTTACATCTTGGTAGGTTACTTTCATGCATCTTTCCTAATCATTGTTAACTCTATTTTGCTGTTAATTAATATATACAAATGCAACCCCCCCCAACTTAAATTTACTTACCAATTTACAATCGCTTGCTTTTCAGTGATGCTGGTGACTGGGCACGTTGTAAAAAAAACCTTCCTGTGTGAAGAAATACTTGTTCTGCAAATTTATAGTGAACAAATGTTTCTCCTTTCTTTAAAAAAAAAAAGATAAAGAAACAGTTCCCTCCTTCTAAAAATAATTGTTTAGCAGGCTAGCAAAACTCAGCAGAGGATTTTAAAAACTGCAGTGCATCTTTCTACTCCGTGGACTTCAATTGCACAAACTTGGATTACAGCCCATGCTGTAAAACACAAAAATACAACGAAGAAAATCTTCATCTACCAATTTTGCTGTTCAATATCTTTATGAAACCACATATTTTTTTCAGATAGGAAATGGGTTCCATTTAAGGGTTTTTCACTCTGTGGATTACTGATAATGGTATCAGCGTCTGGTTGTTCATTTAACACACTCCAAAGAACTTGCAGAGCTGCTTATATAAGACTTCCGAGGCGGTCTTCAAAGTTGACTTGCCCAATGTTCATGCAAGAGTCTCAGAAATCCTTGACGGCTGGCCTTAATGCAGCGGCAGAGGGAGGTTGCTCGGGCACCTGGAGTGGTGCACCCAGGGGCGGGACGAGCCACCCATAGGGGCAGGGTGCACCGCGGGGCCTCTGGAGTCTGCCTGCCTCCTCCCACTCAGCCGCCCTACAGCTGGGGGGGAGGCAGAGGGCGGACCGCTTGGATGTGTGGCTCAGGCGCGGTGAGTGCTGTTCAATTGTGGGTGAACATATCAGACGACACGGCGATTCTTCAAACAGCTCTTGTTTATTCACAGGCCAGGACAGAACTGAACTGAAGGGTTCAGTCAGCCTGCTTATATAGAGCTCCAGTACAACGTTACTGTAACAACTTTCTAAAACTATCCAATTACTGAACGTCACTTTCAATCCCTTATTTGCATAACTATCTACAGTATCCCCCTGCTGTCCCAGGGTGAGAACTTCAGTACATAACAAGTGCCACCTGGCATTTTGTCACCCCCCTCAGTGGTGACACCCGGGGTGGCCCTCACCCACTGCACCCCCCTTCCTCCGCCCCTGCCTTAATGCACAGCAAGTACTCACTTGACCAGATGTCCCAAGCTTCAGCAGTGTGACTGCATCTCCAAGTAGCTAGAGAAGGGTGAATCTGGCGTTTTAGGTTCTCTCAGGGCTTTCCACCCTTACCATGTATACTGGCACAGTTGCTTTTTGATCCCACCTTTTAAAGAGTGATTTTGGAGCCGATTCTCTGCAGTGATGGTCATTTGTTTCTCTTCCTGTGTCGTTTCCCCCTTCCACATTAATGGTGGGTGGTGCCCAATTTGAGAAAAGTCCTGTTGCTATGGTCACATCCCTTATGTACCCTCATGTTCCTCTAGCCAGTAGATGTTAGTCACGAGGATGTATGCTGAGATAGCCCTTTTGTGGGAGTGAGGGCAGTACAGGAAGCCTAGTATTCCAGAATTCCAACTATTTGGAAGTATAGGAGAGTAGAAGAGGTTAGGCGAAAAGCTCTGATCCTAAACTTCCGCTGCTTTGCAGGATACCACTTTAAAAGGTAAGTGCAAAATTTCCCCTATTTTCTCATTTAATAACAACAATACACCAATTATATATTCCAATTATCAAAACTTTATTGGGACTTCCCAAGTTCCAGATGTCTAGAGATAATCATCCTCATTCATGTCTCTGCATTTTCAGTATTTTTCAAATTCAAAACTAATATTATCCATTTTTATTCTCAGTCTAATCAGCTATTGTTTCTGTGGCTCGCATCTTCTGTAGCAAAGTTTCCATATTGTTAATCCACAAGAGGCATTTTTTAAATCATCTTATTCTCTGTCCAGTTATTTGGTATTCAGTCCTCTTATTTCTCTTTTGTTCGTCAAGTTCTCATTAAAGACACTGGGCTTCATTCCAAAAGTAAAGTTTATAAATGGCCAATCAACAAATTCTCCCCGATGTCTTTTAAAGAGCTGATGACCGTATATGTCTGCATATATTGCTGTACTGTGGGAAGTGCTTCCCAGCTATATATTATATGAAAATTATTTAAATTCCTCCAAGAAAAACAGGATACCCCCCCCCAGCTCTTCCAGGCCCTAGAAGAGCTGGCAGGGATCCAGAGCTCTCTGTCTTTCTGTCCACAATAATGTATAAAAATAATCCACACAAGCAGATATATTTTAGAACGAAATACAGTACACCCTAAGTCCAAAGGAGCTCTTTTCCGTAAGAATCCCTTTTTTTTTTTTGTAACTGCGCAATAATGATCGCCATTTTGTTTCCGTCTTTAGTCTGAACTGCCATAACTGATCTTGTTTTGCCAACTTCTCTTGGGGTTTTTGAGGGCTGTATATCATGCATTCAGTTATAATTTTTGCCTCTTGTGTTTTATTTAAGTAATTAAATTCTTTCTGGCTGAGCTTTGCCAAATCATGATGTAATATAGCAAGTATGGAAAGATAGTGGTTGCTCACCTCCTTAATCCACGTTTCAAGATGAGAGTCCGTTTAAAGTCCGAAATTCAACATCCAACGACTGTATAATTTAGCAGGGTTTTTTCTTCTTTTTTCTCCTCCATCTGCAACATGCCTGGTTCCCCCCACACCCAATCTTATAATTATGAGAAACAGGTGTCTCTTGCATGTAGGAGTGGCTCTGGAGAGTGCCAGCTTTGCTGTGCCCTTAGACCCAGCATTCCTGCCGCTCGCACCATGATGCAAGCTGACAGATCACAGACGATCTGCGGGTTTGTGAGACAGTCCTCCCCGCAGCATATATTTTAAGTTCTCCAGAAAAGTCACCAGCATTTTAATTTTGATTTCTTCTAATGTAACAAAACTCCAGATCTGTGCTATGTGTAAAGATTGGGGGAAAATTAGATTCAGTTCGCATTTACGGACAAGGCTACTTAATTTGTTCTTTCAAATGCAATGCAAGAACCAAGATCCTTGAAAAATGTGCATTTCTCCAAATTTTGCAGTTCACTTCTTCGGCCAATTAATGTGTACAAAAATGCATATGCTAGGATATAAAATGTCCATTAGAATGCACACATTAGTGAAAATGGCATATGAAAGTGCATTATATTACAGAAAATCAATTTGCAAAAATGTGTATGTTAGGAGAAATTGCAGTGAAAAGATATTAGTGGAAATGCTGGTGAATTTATATTTTTTAAAAATCACAAACTGTAGAGAACAAAACATAATAATGGAAAAATCAGAAACTTGCTGAAATTGAAAACTGACAGATTTGACCATGCCTAGCCTGGCAGTAGTATACTTATAAATTTTAATGTGCAGGAGTTCATCATGATAGTCCCCTGCTCCTTAGGCATAACAACTAAACAGAGGCACACAAACAAAAAGAGCACACAACTGGAAATCACTTTACAAACCAATAGAAATGTCATGTTCTGTTGTACTCATGTAGGAGGAAGTAGACCGGTCTAAACTAGGGTGATCGCGACCTGGACAGAGAGGAACTAATGTACACTTCTGGAAAAAGATAGAGATATATTTCCTAAATTTTTCCCCCACAAAGGCATAGATCACAGGGTTGATGCAACAGTGGATCATAGCAATTATCTCTGTCACCCCAATGGCTACAGATAACTTTCCCTCACAATCATTTTTTAAGCCACATGAGAAAATTGAATCTTGATAGGTCTGCAACAAAAGAGTGATGTTGTATGGCATCCATAAAAGGAAGTAAACAATCATGATGACAGAAATAAGCTTGACAGCCTTCTGTTTCCTCTCATTTCTACCCTTAATCAAAATCTTTATAATCTGCATGTAACAGAAAACAATGATGACTGCAGGAAGAGCTAGGCCCAAGACAACCCTCATTAAAGTTAAAAATTGCTTCCAATCATTTTCATGTTTGGGATAATGAATGGTACATTTGTGGGTCTCAGATTCCATTTGAACATGGTGAAATACAAATTCTGGCACAGAGGCGAATAAGGCCACCACCCAAGTGACGACGCTTGTGACGGTGCCATAGGTGATCGTCCGGGCTTTTAATGCGAACACTGCGTGGACGATGGCCAGGTATCTATCAATTGTCAAAAGGATGATAAAAAAACTTCCGCTGTAGAAGCCTACATAATAGATCCCAGAGAGAATTTTGCACATTGCATCTCCAAATACCCACTGGTGGGCTGCGTAATAAGCCCAAAATGGGAGCGAGAAGATGAAAAGCAAGTCCGAGATGGCTAAATTGAGCAGGTAGATATCAGTCATGTTCTTGAGCTTCTTATATCTGATGAGGATCAGCACCACCAGTGAGTTGCCCAACAGGCCAAATAAGAACACCAAAGAGTAAAGCGGTGGCACAACATAAGACGCAAATGATTCCCCCGCCACGATGCGGACTGGGGCTACATCTGTATCATAGTAATAAGATGTGGTTAGATAATAATCTTCTGGCAAATCAGTATAATCGTCCATCTTCTTCCCTGAGAATAAAGAATTCACATGCATCATATAAGATATCAGCATGAAACTTTATTGTAATACATAATTTATTTATTTATTTATTTATTTATTTATGTATTTATTTTAAAAAACTATTGCTAATGTTGAATATTCAGTCTGCTTATGAGGATCAAGATACTGGCAAACAAGTCTGCTTATGAGGATCAAGATATTGGCAGACAAATATTGAGAATAAAGAATAAGAGTAAAGAAACACACAAAAAACTGGGAGGGGAAAATGGATCACAGAATCATAGAGTCATATAGTTAAACCCTCTGCAATGCAGGAATCTCAACTAGATCACACATGTCAACCTCTCCTTGAAAACCTCCACAGAAGGAGAGACCACTATCTCTCAGAGTCTGTTCCACTGTCAAACAGCTCATGCTGTCAGAAAACTCTCTGGTGTTTAGTTGAAATGTCCTGTCCTTTTAACTTGAATGCATTGGTTTGGTTCCTAGCCTCTGGAGCAGGAAAAGACAAGTTCTATCCTCCATGTGACAACGCTTTAGATATTTGAAGGTGGCTATCACTATTGCATCCCTTGATTGGGATGCTAGACTTCTTTTGATGCAGCCTAGAATAGCATTAGCTTTTTTGCTGCTGCTGCATCACACTGTTGACTCGTGTTAAGCTTGTGGTTTGCCAAGACCCCCAGATCCTTTTCATATGTACTTCTGGCAAGCCAGGTGTCTCCCATCTTATATGTGTGCAGCTGGTTCTTCCTGCCTAAGAGCAGAACCATACATTTGTCCCTATTGATATTTGTTTTGTTAGTTTTAGCTCAGTTCTCCAATCTGCTTAGGTCATCTTGAAATATACTTCTATCTTCTGCGGCATTGCCTACCCCTCACAGTTTGGTGTCATCTGCAGATTTGATAAGAATCCCCTGAACACCATCATCCAAGTTGTTTATAATGATGTTGAACAACAGCAAACCCGAGACAGAACCCTGCAGATGTTAACATATTTGCCTATAATGCTCTGATTGTATTTCTGACCACCTTCTCCCACTGAATGTCTTTATTGGTTAGCGATGTTCAGACACATCTTAATCCATTCTGCCATTCATTCCCACTTTCAACTGGTATTTTCTGTTAAACTCCGATTGAACAACTCTGTGTACCATTTTGTCTTTCGTTAATGCAGAAATATATGTTCTCTTTTGTGTAGCACACAATAGACACCAAAATCTCAGTCATCAACAGATATTTGCAAATCAACTGCATTCCTTCGGGTCCCCTTCTAGCATAAAGAAACAGATCACTCAGTTAGTCTTCTGCACAAACAGAAGAGTCTTACGACACCTTAAAAACAAAATGAGTGAAGTGACTTAGGAGCAAATCACCAAAGCCTTCTCACTGAAGCCTTCTATGGCTACAAACCAAAGTCTGCTCAGAAGTAGCTCCCACTGAATTCAGTGGGGTTTAAGGTAAAGGGAGCCCTGACCATTAGGTCCAGTTGTGACCAACTCTGGGGTTGCAGCGCTCATCTTGCTTTATTGGCCGAGGGAGCCGGCGTACAGCTTCCGGGTCATGTGGCGAGCATGACTAAGCCACTTCTGGCGAACCAGAGCAGTGCACGGAAACGCCATTTACCTTCCCGCCGGAGCGGTACCTATTTATCTACTTGCACTTTGACATGCTTTCGAACTGCTAGGTTGGCAGGAGCAGGGACCGAGCAACGGGAGCTCACCCCGTCGCGGGGATTCGAACCGCTGACCTTCTGATCGTCAAGTCCTAGGCTCTGTGGTTTAACCCACAGCGCCACCCATGTTTATTCCCAGATAAATGGGCTTAGGATTGCAGTTCAGTATAAAGTTCTGGAAGGGCCAAAACTCAGTGTTACAGCATCGGCTTTGCATGGAGAAGGTCTCAGGTTCAGTCGCTGGTGTCTCCAGGCAGGGTTGAGATACATCAGAGATGCTGCAAAAACTGAGCTAGGCAGCAGAAAGGGATGGTTTAATGTGGAGAGGAGGGGAGGGATTTAAAATTTAATTTAAAATGAAGACTTTGGGTGGTCAAAAATAGGCAGTCAAATCCAGCTGGTTCTTCCCACTTTGGGGGAAAATAGACGACTTTACGGAGTAGTAACACAACATACAGATAGCAAAGTGATCACTTCTAACCCAGTGAAAGGAACAATGATGAGTTAAAAATTCACAACAGGAAGCAGGTTAAGGTTGAAATCCTAACCCTACTTTCCAGGGAGAAAGCCTCACTGAATTCAGTGGGATTTACTTCTGAGCAGACATGGTTAAAACAGCCATTTTACAGCATGTCAGTTGCCTTTGGCAACAAACGATACTACAGAAACAAGAAAACAACATGAAAAAGGAAGTATCCATAAGTGCAGAACAAAAAGGAGAAATATGTCTCAAAGATTTAAAAACAAGAGCATGTTTTATTATAGATACTGTATGCCCGGCACGTTTTGGCATTATTGTCTATATCAAGGGCTTTTCTGTAAAAAACAATGCTTGCACAGCTGCTAAACCACAAATATTGGACACCACATTTCAGAAACTTTTAAAGTTGCCTTTGACTGGACTTAACCGTCCAGGGGTCCTTTACTCTTTTTTGTATTATAAAACCTCATATTAATAATACAAAACCACTTTGAGGGTTTTGGTGTGGTTTTTTTGCAACCAAGTGATGTATACATTTTATTAATTAATAAATTAATATTCAGGGTCATCTACACAACTATTAAAGTGCAGAAGTCCTGCTTTCATTAGACTTTGGCTAACCTATCCAGAATATTACTTTACTCTAAAAACAAAACAAACAAAACTCTGATCGACTTTCAAAATACTCCGCCTGCATATTCATTTCCTCCGGATAGTGTTTTAAGATCTAGGCTGATACTAATTTCAAAACTCTGCTTTCACATCACTGAAATTGTGTAAATGGATCAGCTCCAACTGGGGCAAGTTGTACATTCACTGGGCAATCCTGTACATATACATTGCATTCAGTGGGGCTTACTCATGGGTAACTGGCTATAGGATTGGAGCTTTAGTTTCATCTGCACATTCAAGAGTACTGGAAAGTGATATTTGGGTCAATTAAAAGCAGGCTTTTAATTGACCCAATTTTTTGTGTCAATTAAAAGCAGCCAAGGCATGTATATTAGTTTAAATGTTAGCACCATTGGTAAAATCCAGCAATGGAAGTGAAAATTAAAGGACTTTGACTACAAAAACTGGAAAAATTGGAATTCCAATGTTCTCAACAAAATGAACATAACAGTAAAGTGTTAACTGGTTCATTAATCATCAATATTCACATATTTTACATCTTGGTCAATTTACAGGCTTAGAAATTCGTGCAGAATTCCTATCTATGTTGACTTTTTCACTGTTTATTCACATAAAGGCAAGTGCTCCCCCCCCTTAAATTAACTTACCAATCTACAAAGTTGCTTGCTTTTAAAAGATGGTGGCGACAGCTAGATTCTTTGGAACAGGAACATTGTAAAAAGCAGAAAGTAAGAAATAGCCCTTTTCTCTGTGAAGAAGGAATTGTTCTGCAAATTTCTAGCCACCAAACATTGCTGCTCAAAATCAAGACTAGTTCCCTTCTAACAGAAATCATTTGGTCAGCAAAAGCTATTTCTGTACTACTACAGATGGTTTTGAAAACTGAAGTACAGTATCTTGCTAGACTTTCGTTGCACAATTTTGAGTTACAGTTCATGTTGCCAAATCAAATAATTACCAAAAATCCATTCCCATCAACTCACAGGACTGTTCACAAAGTATTTCTGAGGCGGTCTTCAAAACTGCCTGCCTTGGAAGGTTGTCTGACAAGTGCTCACTTTAAGGGGTTCTGTTAAAAGGTTTCTCACTCAGCGGATTCTGATAAGGATATCACTTCTGAACCAGAAGTGAACATGAACATGTGGTTGTTCATTTAACCCACTTAAAAAACAACAACACAGAACCACTCCCAGTGTTGTCTGGCCCAGTGTCTTCATATAAGAGTCTCAGTAATCTATGAAGTATAAGCTTTTTTTTAAAAAAAAAAATTTTATTAGTATTTTCCACACAACAACAACAACAACAACAACACGTAAGATATCTAAAAATAACAATACACAACACACAAAAATCAACATTCGAAAACTAAAGAAAGCAACAACAACAACAAAAAACCACAAATCCATATCTTACAAGTTAATATTGTTGTTGTTTAGTCGTTTAGTCGTGTCCGACTCTTCGTGACCCCATTATTATAAACACTAAACAGCAACAAGACATTGACTTCCACCAATCCCACAGCACCTCCTTTATCTCTCATTGTGTCTTCCTGTTTTCTTGTTTTCTTTATCATCTCTATCCTAACATCTAGATATAAATCCCTCTTTCATAAGTATAAGCTTAATATGCGACAAGTGCTCACTAAACCAGAGCCCCCAAACTTCAGCAGTAGAGCAACATCTCCGGGTCGCCCAGATTGAGGATGATTATTTCGACAGAGTCTTTCAGTGAGTTGCTTGTCTTAAAAAAATTAATAAGCCTAAACCTAGGAGATCCTCATGTACATGGTGGGTCCTTTAAAAGAGGCCCCATGGATACAGAATACACATGTTCCATGGGGCCTCTTTTAAAAGTCTCACCCTGTATAAAAGCATCACCATTAGGCAGCAGAGATCTTCAGAAGAGAAGCTAAGTTACCCAAGGCCAGCCCACCTATGAAGCAAGGTGGGGTGGCTGCCTCGGGTGGCGGGATCCACAGGGGCAACAGATCTGACCTCCCAAAAAATGCACACACCCCCACCGCTGCCGCCACAAGGGTAGCAACGGCTGCAGAATGCACCTTAGAGACTACCTCTGCCGCCTCTACAGCAGCCTCTTGGTGAGTAGGAGGCACTGATAGTCTCCTCCCACCCTTGTCCCCAATATAGATCTTTAATTCCCCTTGTTCCTTCTTCCCTGGCAGGGTGTGTGCGCCATTTTGTAGTTCGCCTCAGGTGGCAAAATGTCTTGGGCTGGCTCTGTAGTTATCACGTATGAGGTGATGACTTGGGCCCAATTCATCTATGCCTCTCTAACCAGCAGGGGATCCCATGTCACGGGTGAAAGCTCCCAAATATCAAAACCTGAGTACCGTATTTTTCGCTCCATAAGACACACTTTTTCCCTCTTAAAATCTAAGGGGGAATGTCTGTGCATCTTATGGAGCAAATGTGTGGTCCCTGGGGCTGGGGGGGGGGGGGACCCAGGCTTCCCTTGCCAGCCCCAACAAGCTCTGGGGCAGCAGGAAGGCTGCGCACAGCCTTTCCGCTGCTCCCCAACCTGCTCTTTGGGGCTGGCGGTGGCTTTCCCGGGGCTGGCGGTGAGGGAAGCTCGGCTTCCCCCACCGCCAGCCCCACAAGCTGTGGGGAGCAGCGGAAAGGCTGCACACAGCCTTCGCACATCCTTCCCGCTTCTTCCCGGGGCTGGCGGTGAGGGAAGCTCGGCTTTCCCCACTGCCAGGCCCACAAGCGAAAGGAACCCGAGGCTATCTGGAGAGCGAGAGGGGTCAGTGCGCACTGACCCCTCTCGCTCTCCAGATAGCCGCTTGAAGTCTCCAGAGCACAGCGGGAGGCTGGAGGCTTCGGGTTCCTTTCGCTGAAGGGTAGGTGCCCCTTCAGCTAAGGCACAGCGCCCCTTCAGCTAAGCGGGAGGAGAAATGGAAGGGGCTCCGTTTCTCCTGCCGCTTCAGTGAAGGGGCGCTGCGCAGAGAGGGGGAGAATTTTTTTTTCTTGTTCTCCCCCTCTAAAACAAGGTGCGTCCTATAGTCGGGTGCGTCCTATAGAGAGAAACATATGGTAATAATACCACACAGGATCCATACAACTGGCTTTCATCCCACTTGCATGGTTCTTGGATTTATGTGTTTCTTCATGACTAGGGGCATGCCCACCTAGCAGTTCGAAAGCACGTCAAAGTGCAAGTAGATAAATAGGTACCGCTTTATAGTGGGAAGGTAAACGGTGTTTCCGTGTGCTACGCTGGTGCCGGCTCGCCAGAGCAGCTTCGTCACGCTAGCCACGTGACCCGGAAGTGTCTCCGGACAGCGCTGGGCCCCGGCCTCTTAAGTGAGATGGGCGCACAACCCTAGAGTCAGACACGACTGGCCCGTACGGGCAGGGGTACCTTTACCTTTACCTTTACCTTTACCTCATGACCAGGGGCAGGATCTAAATTAAATATTTAAAAACTATTAAATTGAAGGATGCTATGGAAATGTTTTAAACAAGGAAACTAAACATTTCATGCAGACAGTTTGCACGTGAAGGTGGTTTTTCCAGGGTAAGGCTCATCCATCGCACTCCGGGTATGCTGACCCCTGTGATTTTTCCAAATGCAGGAAACTCGACTGCATAATTTGCTGGATAGCTCAGTTGGGCAAGGCATGGTGCTGATAAGGCCAAAGTCTCAGGTTCAATCCCTATAAGGGGGATATTGCTGCATTGCAGCGGGTTGGTCTAGATGATCCTCAGGGTCCCTTCCAATTCTATGATTCTATGAGAACAGGATGTTGAACTACATGGTCTACGAGTAGGTACTATATCTGCCTATGTGAAAGCAGAGAAAAATGGAACAGGTCTCAATCCTCAATCGTCACATGTGGAAAGGACTCAAATGGTGCATTTTCAGAAAAAGACAATGTGCTAGAAGCTCTTCATCTCTATTCCGAACCCAGGACAGAGAGAAGTTGGGAACATGCCATCAAATAGAGGCTGTAGTGTAGCCTTATTAGACTTTACCGATTGGTGGGGTCTGCGTTGCTCCCGGACGGGAGGGAGGAAGGAAGTCAAATGACACCGAGGTTTGGTTCAGAGAAAGAGTTTATTCTGCTCTCCGGATAGCAGAAGGCACTTGCGTGGTCAGTTCACAGCAAGTCCAAAGAAATGAGAGATTCCATGCAGTATATATATCCTCCAGGCACCCTCTCCCCCCTTCCCCAGGAATCCAACCATGTCACCTTATACACGTAAGTTGACATCCATGACCATAAACAGTTGTTCCTGTTCCGGCACTCTTGACCATAAAAGGTTGTTCCTGTTCCTATACTCTTATCTTGGTGCAGGAGGTCACCAACTCTAAGAGCACTCCTGGTGCCGTTCCCGGGTCTCTTGTCAGACCTGACAAAGTCTGTACGTCTTTGTGGTCAGGATGTAAGATAAGACCCAGACGTGCCATCCCTGCTCTACTCGGAACTGGCAAGGCCATCCATTGCTGTCACGGACTGATAAAGGAGAGGGCTTTGAGTACTTGTTTATACAGCTGGCTTTCTGTTTATACATTGACTCAAGAGCTCAAGTAAATGCATTTTAGAAATGCTCCCTTGGAGAAGGAAAAATGTGGATTTTGGGTCCCGTTTCAGACTGACTGCACAGAAACCCATTCCTTCAGTAGAACTGGTGGAAGAATATTCCCCTCCATCCACTACTTGAACAGCATGTAGAAGGCATACATGTAGCAAGTAGGATTGGAGCTTGTTCCTGGACCAATGCAAAGGATTCTCTGTTTACATTTTGTGCAGGGTACTGACCTTCTCATACCCTTTGTCAGACAAGAAGAAGTAAATAATGGTTTGATGTACCTTAATGGCTTAAGATCTGTTCTTCAAAGGAGCCAAAAGTTTAGGTGTACGAGTAGTGACAGATGGTGGTGTAGGAAGTACAGGATCTCATCATGACGTTCCCCGTAATCCCACTCCCAAGGAGGATTCCAAACAGGCAAGCAACAGTGTTGATCTATTATAAAATAATATACACTCTCCCAAAGGTGGCATTATACAAAATTTATTAGGATCAGCATGACTGCAGTTGTATACAGAGTTCACTGGGAGTATGTTCCATTGAATTTGGTGGTGCTTAACATGGAGGAAGTTCCAGCTTCACTTCAGTTAAATGATCCTATGGTAGCAGAAAAACACAACCTGAAGCCCTGGATCAACTGCTGCCTATCTAAGTAGAAAGTAATGGGTTAATGGACCACCTAAGACAGTTTCAAATGCTCATATGAACCTACCAAGGAAGACCAAATGTTGATGGAGGTATTTAATAAACATCCTGTGCTTCATGGTCCTTGGATCAGATTCTGTATCTCATGTTGAGAGAAGTCCTATATGAATTGTCTTCACCTTCCAAACACAACTGGTTTCTATTTATACATGCACAATCTTTTCAGTCATTTGTGTGAGTGGTTATGCAACATCTATAATAGCAGGTTAGTTCACCAGAATGTGTCTCACCAAATCTGCCTGCTTCCTTCCCCCATCAGATTTCTGACTGGGAAGGGGCAATGAAATGGTGTCCTTCTAAAGATCATAGGCTATCATTTCTCTCTCCCCCTTAGCAGTCTGTCATTCTTCTCCCAGACATACCAACTAAACTATTTGCAAATAAAACTGGAAATCACTTCACAAACCAACAGAAATGTCATGTTCTGTTGAACTGGTATAGGACGAAGTAGACCGGTCTAAATGAGGGTGACCGCCACCTGTACAGAGAAGAGCTAACATACACCTCTGGGAAAAAATAGAGAGATATTTCCTAAATTTTTCCCCCACAAAGGCATAGATCACAGGGTTGATGCAACAGTGGATCATAGCAATTGCTTCTGTCACAGCAATGGCTACAGATAACTTTCCCTCACAATCATTTTTTAAGCCACATGAGAAAATTGAATCTTGATAGGTCTGCAACAAAAGAGTGATGTTGTATGGCATCCATAAAAGGAAGTAAACAATCATGATGACAGAAATAAGCTTGACAGCCTTCTGCTTCCTCTCATTTCTACCCTTAATCAAAATCTTTATAATCTGCATGTAACAGAAGACAATAATGACTGCAGGAATGGCTAGGCCCAAAATGAACGTCATTAAAGTTAGAAATTGCTTCCATTCTTTTTCATTTTCTGAGGGATAATGAATGGTACATTTGTAGCTCCCTGATTCCATTTGAACATGGTGAAACATAAATTCTGGCACAGAGGCGAATAAGGCCACCACCCAAGTGACGACGCTTGTGACGGTGCCATAGGTGATCGTCCGGGCTTTTAATGCGAACACTGCGTGGACGATGGCCAGGTATCTATCAATTGTCAAAAGGATGATAAAAAAACTTCCGCTGTAGAAGCCTACACAATAGACCCCAGAGAGAATTTTGCACATTGTATCTCCAAATACCCACTCGCGGGCTGCATAATGAGCCCAAAATGGGAGCGAGAAGATGAAAAGCAAGTCCGAGATGGCTAAATTGAGCAGGTAGATATCGGTCATGTTCTTGAGCTTCTTATATCTGATGAGGATCAGCACCACCAGTGAGTTGCCCAGCAGGCCAAATATGAACACCAGAGAGTAAAGCGGTGGCACAAAATTAGACGCAAATGTTTTCCCCTTCTCGCTGTGAACTGGGGCTGCATCCGGACCATAGTCAAAAGTTGTTTCATCATCTGGCATCATGGAAAAATTGTCCATCTTGCTTGTCACAGAATATGAAGAATCTATGTAGATGATATAAGAAACAACAATTAAATAAAACAGCAAAATAATGTATTTGTAATCAATGATAATATTGAATATTTAGTCTGCTGATGAGGATCAGTATATAGCCAAATATAAACAAGATTAAAGCAGTGACAGAAAATGGGGAATGCAATGATGTTAAGAATGAAACCATGCATTTTAATCCATGATAATGCTAAATGTGTGGTCTATTGCTGTGGATTAGTGTATCATCCAGCAGACTAAATATAAATGATAAATATTAAATCAGTGACAAAAGATGGGGAATAAACTCATGTGAAGATACTGGCATAAAACTTTCTAAATGGCTGTCTGAGCAGCAAATCCCCTAGAATCAATTCAATGGTATCCAGGAAACTTTCTTATACTGAATTAGAACACTGGTATTATCTACAATAACAAGCAGCAGGAATCATAGAATTGCAGAGTTGGAAGGGACCTCAACGGTCATCTAGTCCAACCCCCTGCAATGCAGGAAACTCAGCTAAAGAATCCAGGACAGGATAAAAACCTCCAAGGAAGGAGAGTCCACAAAGCTCCTAAGGAGGCTGCAAGAACTCACAAAAGATTCAGACAGGAGTCTATTTGAGGTCCTCAGGGATTGAAACAGGGACCTTTTGCCTCCAAAGCAAACAACTGAGCTTCATTTCTGCCATATGGAATAATACATGGGAGATATACCATTGGAAATTGGAAGGGGGGGGCTTAGCCCTTGGTCAGTACAGTGGTACCTCGGGTTAAGTACTTAATTCGTTCTGGAGGTCTGTTCTTAACCTGAAACTGTTCTTAACCTGAAGCACCACTTTAGCTAATGGGGCCTCCTCCTGCTGCTGCTGCTGCTGCTGCTGCCGCACCACCGGAGCACAATTTCTGTTCTCATCCTGAGGTAAAGTTCTTAACCCGAGGTACTATTTCTGGGTTAGCGGAGTCTGTAACCTGAAGCGTATGTAACCTGAAGCGTATGTAACCTGAGGTACCACTGTAACTGGTTGCGTGTCGAGGTTCCCCAAGCCACCCCTCACAACACACACATAAATTTTGTTTAAGGTTTTTGGCATAATTTTGGCCACAACTTTATTTAAATACATAAATGTGAGTGGCTGCTTAGGCATTGGTTACAACTATCTGTCCTTGCCCAGGGATAGAACTGACTTCTGGATTCCAGCAGAAGCCAGTAAGGGAAAACAATATTGGGGAGAAATGGAGCTGAGGCACAGACCCTCCCCGCTTCCCGCATGCTCCCCAGGGCTTGCCGGCCCTAGCCCCATTCCAGGGATTCGGACGAAAAGATGGCAAGTCCCTGGATTCCTCTAACGGAATTCCCTTTCCGCAGAAACCTCGGAGGGGCAGGCCCAGCCAATCCTAACCCCTCCTCCAACCAACTGATAACCAATGCCTAACCGCAACCTTACAAGTTGTGACGATTTGCTACGCAGTAGGCAAAAACCAAATGGCCCAGCCAATCAGCCAGATGGACAAAATTCCTACCAGGCCCCTGCCCCAACGGCAGATGACCCCATGACAAGCATAGCAAGGTCAACGCAAAACCCATAAAATTAGGGCGGGTGGGCGGGTGATCCGTTGCACGCAGCGAAAGAGAAAGGCTCCAAGCTGCGTTCACAGGATTTAAAACATCCGATCCCTCCCACCATATTGCAACATAGGATTTACCCCAGCAACCCAGCCACCCAATCGTTGCCACAGGCTTCCTTAGTAATCCTGCCTGGCAACAGAGGGGTGGCCTGGTCGACCCCACCGCAACACGCGCTCTCCACTAGGGAGAACACGCTTTAACTGGGTAAACCAATATGCGTCCATAAGTCCCATTGAATTCAATGCTGGGCTTTCTCCTGGAAAAGTGTCTATAGAATTAGGACCTGTTTCCTTCATTCAGAGTTCTGTATAGTGGTATCTGGCTTTTGTGATAGCCAAGGCATGTAGCTTCTAAGTAAAACGTTAGTATCACTTACCCTGCGATTGGTAAAATCCAGCACAGGAGGTGAGAATTCAAGGACTTTGATTACCCAAACCTCTCCTGACTATCACAGTAGGTTTATTTCCCCTGCAATTCCAAATCACTGTCGTGAGCTGTGCAAATCTTAAGAGCAGCTGTTCGGGAAATGCTCAATGCTGCTGAGTCTGTTTTCTCGGCCGCCAACTGTAAGAAATGATAAAAAGTTGGGTGTCTATAGGAGGAGCAGGAGTTCTAAAAACAGGCTGGCTGCAAGTCCTTCATGTACATCCAGCAGTTTCCGTGGAATGGCAGGGAAGGGGAGACTTTGGTCCAAGTCTGGGTGTAGGACAGGAATGTGTAGACTGTGTTTGGCAAGCCAGATCCAGCCCACCAAGCCAAACAAAGTCGCCCTCGCAGATTTGGGCAGCTTCAGACCGGTGGTTTTGTGGATTAATTCTGCAACATGTCATTGGCACAATAGTGCATTTGTGGTGGACTGTCAGCACATCAGTGTCTTTTATCAGCTGTTCCCTGATGCTTCCCCAATGCTACTATATTATCGCTGCCTGCCATTGCAGCTGAACCAAAAAAGCTTCGCTCAGTCTAGAATTAGAGATGCGGAGTTCTAGCAAAGAAGAAGAAATTCCCAGGGGTTTTCAGCTGTCACACTGAGGTTTGCAGCCACAGCTTTATCATTGATTTATGTTGCGGTGTTCCTTCTGCATTTCACTAAGGAAGTCATGAAGGCGGGATGCACAGCAAAAATACAATGCTGGGAATTGCATCGACAAAGCCTCATCATAACAAAAGTGGGAGGAAATATCCAAAACTGGAGTGGCTGGTTAGCTCTCCAGATGTTATTGAATGCCAACTTCCACCTGCCCCAGCCAACTTGGCCAAATGCCAGGGGAAATGTGAGGCCCGCAACATTTGGATAGTTGCAGTTTCCCCATCTCTGGCCAAACATCATTGCAGCCCCAGCAGACTAGGGCTCAAGGACTTGTCAAAATCACTACTAATAATTTTTAATAATAATTTTATTATTTATACCCCGCCCATCTGGCTGGGTTTCCCCAGCCACTCTGAGCGTCTTACAGCATATATAAAAACATAGCAAAACATCGAGCATTAAAAACTTTCCCAAACACGGCTGCTTGTTAAGATTTCATTGCTTTCCTGAGCTTATTTAGCTTATTTCGTTGGAACCACAACTGAGAAAGGCATCATTCTAACACTAACCAGATTTAGCTCAAAAAAGATATTGATTCCCACACTCAAAGCTAATTTAGGAGGTTGACAGAGTTCCCGTCCCATCTTGGTTAGCAGTATGCTCCACCATTCCTGTTCCTTTTATTTTTGCAACTATCCCATGAGATAGATAGGACAAGTTACATCCACACGCAGCCATATGTAATACCACTAGGCATCCCAAATTGGGCTTCATCGCAATTAGGGATGGAGGATAAATTTTATTTGGTTTCCATTTAAAGCAGAAATTATCAAATCCGCACTTTCCAAAACATTACGAGAACCGAAAATCTTGCAGCCTTCAAAATCCACACATTTGATCCAGTTCTCCTGCCAAACAATGCTAATAAAAATGCATAAATTAGGAGAAAGTGCCTATAAAAACAAACATGTTTGTTGAACTAGTTACAAAATGGGGGGGGGGGGAATGCTTGCAAAAATGTGTACATTATTCAAAACTGATTGTAAAAAAAATATGGTTTGTTAGGAGGAATTCGCACTAAAATTCTGAAGAATTTTCACGAGGATTGGTTTTGTTTTTAATCACAAAGAACTGCATCTAGGACTGAATAACCGAGAAAACAAAACCGACAGATTCTTTCACCCCCAACGCGCGGTAAAGGACTGAATGAGATGAAGGAAGTCAATTCAAATAAAACCATGGTACTTTGAAGCACTCACCCTATTAGTTATAGAAAACAATACCAGCAGAACATCTGCCAAACTGATTGCTTGCTTGACTGATCAATTGGAGTCTTGATTGCAGGGCAGGCTAAAATGTGCCCCTCTCCAGTGTGGCAGATGGCTGCTCAGTAGACTGTACCACAGTGTTAATTTCCTTTTCCTGCCCCTCCTTTCAAAAGTTCATGCAAAAGTAACTTAAAAATAGGTCTTCCTTTCTGTCCTTCTCTGTTCAGTTAACAAATATCTGCATTTCAGGACGAAAGTCTAGGGCCTTCCTTCCAACAATAAGAGTCACAAACAATTCCAGTTGACTCTAGCTAGCAGACATTCATATCAATACATTTCCCCCATCTAGATCTTCTGCAAAATTGATGAGATTTAAACCTGCTTGTGTTTGTCAGTGATATTTTGGCTATTTTCAATATTTTTGATATTTTGATGTTCCAAACTGTAATATTATATATTCCAGATTCCCAAACTGATGAAAAACACAAGGTGCTGAGGTCTTCCACCCACCACTCGCAAAAGGGATGGGGGAGGAAATTGGTTGAGTTTGCAAACCATTGTGATTCAGACTTCCCAAAATAATGCATGAACTGAAATGCAGGTCTCCTTCAAAATTCACACTTTTCCAAAGTTTGGAATGCAGTTCTCCAATCAAAAAAGGGGGGGGGAGCAAATGTTAGGAGACTAAAGGTAAAGGTAAAGGGGCCCCTGACCATTAGGTCCAGTCGTGGCCGACTCTGGGATTGCAGTGCTCATTTTGCTTTACTGGCTGAGGGAGCCGGCGTACAGCTTTCAGGTCATGGGGCCAGCATGACTAAGCCACTTCTGGCGAAACAAGAGCAGCGCACAGAAACGCCGTTTACCTTCCCGCCATAGTGGTACCTATTTATCAACTTGCACTTTGGCGTGCTTTCGAACTGCTAGGTGGGCAGGAGCAGGGACCAAGCAACGGGATCTCACCCCATTGCGGGGATTCGAACCACCGACCTTCTGATCGGCAAGTCCTAGGCTCTGTGGTTTAACCCACAGCGCCGCCCGCGTCCCATGTTCGAAGACTGTGTGTGTGGAAATTCATATATTTGTGACAATAATATACAAAATGCATAATATTAAGCTAAAATTGCTTGCTAATGTCAGGAAGTTAGGTCATGCATGCAGAACGTGTAAAAGAAAAAGGACAGGGGTGTTTGAGAATTTTAATGAGAACGTGTTTGGAAAAAATCACATGCTGATGCAGAAATGTAGTGAATTGTACTTACAGTTCCAAAAATGAGTAGGAGAAACTTCTCTGAAGCTTGCAGTCTTAGCTGCAAAAATTCACCATGCTGGTTCAATGCAATCTGTTATCTTAATCACTCATTATTATGAACTAGCCAAGAGTCATTAAATGCTTGGGTGGGGACACAGAGGATGTACTGATTGATTCAGAAGATTTATGCCCCCACCCCTTCAACTACAGAGGCTCCCAAGATGGCTTACAGGTGAGTAAAAATAACACCATCACAATCCTCAAGCTTACAACTGAAAATGACAAAACACAAAGAGAAGAAAGGGTGGGGAAGGAAGAAGGAAACGTACAAAGTCAGGCACAAAATTCACACAAATGCAACCCCCCCTCCCTGCATTACTCAGATTAACTCACCAATTTACAAAGGTGCTTGCCTTTAAGATATGATGGTGAAAGCTGGATTATTTGGAACAGGCACGTTGTGGAAACCAGAAACAAACAGCCCTTTCCTGTGGGTAGAAAAGTTGGTTCTGCAAATTTCTAGTGGACAAACGTGACTCCTTAAAATCAAGAAATAGTTCCCTTATTCTAAAAGCAATCATTTGCCTGGTCAGCAACATCTGTTTCCGTACCCCTGCAGAGGATTTTGAAAACTGCAAAGTATCTTACTAGACTTTCATTGCACAATTTTGAGTTGCTGTTTATGCTGAATCGCAAAAATACCAAAAGCAATCTAATGAAGTCTCACAGGACTGTTTATATGGGATTTTATGTGTTTTTAAATGTCCTTAAGCAGTCAGTGACACTTTAAGATTTTTCTTATTTCCCCCCCTTTTTGCTCTGTTGGGATGGGTGAGATGGATATCTGGTTGGGGATTAGTTTTAGTATAACTGCTTTTTTATTGTTTTATTGGTTGTTGTATAGTTTGCGTTTTGTTTTTAAGGGGCGGGATCAGGGCTGCCTCGGAGTGGGCCCCAGCCAATAGAATGGCTGAGGCAAGTTCCACAGGTGGGGGGGATGCACTGGGACATCCGATCTCAGTGATCATGGGCAGCAGGAGGAATTATGCTAAGACCAGACCATGTCATTACCGAGGAGGCAGGCTTAGTCATTGTTTGAAGACTATCCCTGCCTCCGGGTCTGGTCTTGACCGGATGGATACTGGAATCAACAAGGGAAACCCACATGACCTGACGGTGTTGCTGTGCAATACTAGGTCAATGATTCATAAGACCACTGCCATCCATGACTTGATCATGGATGGAGGGCTTGACCTGGCATGTGTAACAGAGACTTGGATGGATGAAGCAGATGGTCTTGTCCTAACTGCTACTTGTCCACCAGGTTTCTCTTACGGACAGCAACCCAGGTCATGTGGGCGGGGATAGGGGTTGCAGTGATTTTTAGGAAGTCACTAGCTTGCATCAGGTGTCCTACTGGGAAGACCCAGTTCTCTGAGTGCATATTCTGGAAGTTGGGCAATGGGGGCAGTACAGGATTCCTTTTGGTGTACCGACCTCCCTGCTGCATGAAGGATTCCCTGCCCGAGCTGCTTCAGGTCATGGCAGATGTTCTCCTGGAGACACCTAGTTTGGTTGTCCTAGGGGATTTTAACATCCATGCCGACACGACCTTACAAGGGGCTGCTCAGGACTTCATGGAAAGCATGGCCTCCATGGGGCTGTCCCTGAATACGTTTGGCCCAACTCATAGTGCTCTGACACTAAGTAAAAGTGAAACAAAAGAAGTGCCATGGTCAGATCACTTCCTGGTGCAGCTGATTCCCTGGTGGCCCGCTGGAATGCGGAGTTAACCAAGCCTATCGGCTGTCTGGCTTCAAAGCACCCTCTCCGATTGCATGGAGCCCGGACAGCCCCATGGTTTCCTCTGGAGCTGAGGGTGAGGAAACAATCGCTGAGATGGCTTGAGCGCCGGTGGCAGAAAACTGATTCTGAATCAGACCGGACATGGGTTAGAGCTCAAGGTTGAGCTTACCAAGTGGTGATAGCAATGGCGAAGAAGACTTTCTTCATCACCTCTATTGCATCTGCAGAAAATAGTAGCAGGAGACTCTTTCAGGTGGTGCGCAATTTAGCGGAACCACTTTTTACCATCGGGGCCTTGTAAAGACCCCAAGATCTCCTGCAATGATTTTGCAACTTTTTTGCAGATAAAGTTGCTCAGATTTGGAAGGAAGTAGACTCCACCGTGGGAGCAGGGCTGGGGCAGGAGAGTGCTAGAGCCCTGTCTGGTCAAGTTGCATGGAATCAATCTTAATCCGTTACCTCTGAGGATGTGGACAGGCTGCTTGGACGCATGAAACCAACCACCTGTCTCCCCATCCTGGCTAATAAAAGCAAGCCGGAAAGGGCTGGCCGATGGGCTCTGCGGGGTGGTGAATGTTTTCCTCTGTGAGGGAGCGTTCCCAGACCCGCTGAAAGAGGTGGTCATTAAACCGCTTCATAAAAAAATCTTTAGACCCAGCCAGTATGGCCAACTATTGCCCAGTCTCAAATGTTCTATTCTTGGGCAAGGTGATTGAGTGGGTGGTTGCTGAACAACTCCAGGCACGCCTGGAGGTTGCGGACTATTTGGATCCCAATTCAGGCCTCATCATGGGACTGAAACTGCCTTGGTCGTGCTGGTTGATGATCTCCAGCAGGCTAGGGACAAAGGTGAAAGCTGTTTCCTAGCATTGCTTCCTCTAACTGTGGAGACAGAGCACAGCCACATGGCTAGTAGCCTTCAATAGCCCTCTCCATGAATTTGGTGGCCATCACTGCCTCCCGCAGGAATGAGTTCCATGATTTAACTACACACCTCATGAAGAGGTGCTTTATTTCATCTGTCCCGAATCTTCGAACATTCTTCTCCATTTGACGTCCACGAGTTCTATTGCTATGAGACAGGGAGAGAAACCTTTCTCTTTCCACTTGTCTTCATGCCATGTCACTGTCAGGTTTAGCACTTCTCCCACACAAGACACGACACACCGGCAGTTCGACTAGTTGAGGTTTATTTATCAACAATGGGCTTTCAGCAATCTGAGCTTCCCACAACTCATACCTCACTGTCAGAGTCAGTTGTCTCGACTGGCTTCTGGCCCTTCCCAAGGCCAGATATATGCCAAGCCCACTCCCACTTTCTGCTGGTCCTCCTTTGTTCTAGTCGCTTGCTCCGCCTCCTACTTCTTGGAGACTCAGGTGCAGCCAATTCCACCTCCTCTGGAGTTGAATCCAAACCCCTATGACCACCTGCATCCTGCTCCCTCATCTCTGTGCTGCTGCGAAAACTTACAGGCAGCAATCCAGAGCGATCTCACTTTCGTGGTGTGAATGAACCAAGTTCCTGTTTTCCTCTGCCTCTTCCTCCCCCTCTGCTGAGTCCTCTCTGCCGGCCATGTCTCTGACAGTCATGTCTCCTCTTCTATCTTACTTGCCTTCCTCTAAACCTGTGGTTCCCAACATGGGGCACACGACGCACAGGGGGGCAATTTGATTTTTAAGGGGAGCAATTCGAGAATGAGTTATTAACAACTAATGGTCTTTTAGGCTTCCTCCACATGAATAGGAGTTCACTTTTTGAATAATAAGAATTATATGTCACTGGGGGGGGGGCACCAGGATTTTAGAGATGCTGTCATGAAGGAGACAGCTCCCAGTGAAGGTTTGCAGCCAACTGAAGAAAGAAGCAGGTACAGAGAGAGTTAACTGTCATGCAGGCTGAGCATTGGCTAGTGCCAACTCCTCCGCCCCCTGGAATGTCAGATGATAAGGGAATGATTGAGAGCAGGAGGGAACCCAGCCAAAGTTCTCGGGAAGTTCCAACAGGCGGGAACAGAGAAGGAAGTAGTCTGTCAGAACAGGAAGAGATTGGAGCTGATCCAGTCCCTCCTAAGAGTCGGCTAAGGGGAGGGCTGTTAGACAAGAAGCAAAACAAAAGACGTAAGATACACAAGTTCAATATCTTTTGCAAAACCCAGAAGGGGTCTTCAGAGGGGTCATCTTGAGTAATGATGCCAGCAGCTTTGTCAGAGCTGTCCAGAGCTATCTGTTTGTTTTTGCAATAAATCCTCCTTTTTAATTAGCTACGCTTACTGTGTTATCAAGCTGGGAACCTGAACTCCTGACAGGCTGGGAATCACTGCTCTAAACTTAAAATCCCCAACTGCTGCAACATTTCTTCACAGGCCATCATACTCTTCAACATCTATTCTATGAAAATAGGGATGTCCAATTCCATAATAATAATAGTTATAATAGTAGTAGTAGTAGTAGTAGTAGTAGTAATATTTTTACTATTTATACCCCACCCATCTGACTGGGTTGCTCAAGCCACTCTAGGCATCTTCCAAATGATAGAAAAACATAATAACACATTATTATTATTTTTTAACCTTCCCTATACAGGGCTGCCTTCAGGTGTCTTCTAAAGGTGTAAAAAGGCAAACAGCTGTATTAATACATTGTGAAATAATGCAGACTCTCCCAAAGATAGCACAATACACAATTTATTAGGGTCAGCATGGCTGCAGTTGTATGCAGAGTAAAGGAGGAGTAAGTTCCATTGAACTCAATGGTGCTTTACATGCAGAAGGTTCCAACTTCAGTCCTTGACATCTTCCCTTATAGGGCCTTCTGGTAGCCGGACTTGAGAAAAACTCAGCCTGAAGTCCAGGATCAATTGCTGCTTATCTAAGTAGACAATCTGCATTAATAGACCAAGAATCTAACACTGCCAATGGTAGCTTCAAATGTTCATATGCACCTATCCAGGGCTTAATGTCTCCCTCTAGTAGAAGATCAGGTAACAGAGGAACTATTTATCATCCTGGGCATAGAATCATAGAATCATAGAATCATAGAGCTGGAAGAGACCACAAGGGCCGTCGAGTCCAACCCCCTGCCAAGCAGGAAACACCATCAGAGCACTCTTGACATATGGTTGTCAAGCCTCTGCTTAAAGACCTCCAAAGAAGGAGACTCCACCACACTCCTTGGCAGCAAATTCCACTGTCGAACAGCTCTTACTGTCAGGAAGTTCTTCCTAATGTTTAGGTGGAATCTTCTTTCTTGTAGTCTGGATCCATTGCTCCGTGTCCGTTTCTCTGGAGCAGCAGAAAACAACCTTTCTCCCTCCTCTATGTGACATCCTTTTATATATTTGAACATGGCTATCATATCACCCCTTAACCTCCTCTTCTCCAGGCTAAACATGCCCAGCTCCCTTAGCCGTTCCTCATAAGGCATCGTTTCCAGGCCTTTGACCATTTTGGTTGCCCTCCTCTGGACACGTTCCAGTTTGTCAGTGTCCTTCTTGAACTGTGGTACCCAGAACTGGACACAGTACTCCCGGTGAGGTCTGACCAGAGCAGAATACAGTGGCACTATTACTTCCCTTGATCTAGATGCTATACTCCTATTGATGCAGCCCAGAATTGCATTGGCTTTTTTAGCTGCCGCGTCACACTGTTGGCTCATGTCAAGTTTGTGGTCAACCAAGACTCCTAGATCCTTTTCACATATAAGCCTTGCTCAGAGTTTTGACCTTGCTGTTCCCTTTGTCAAACAAGAAAACACTAATCATGGTTTGATGTCCCTTAATGGCTTAAGATCTCTTCTCCAAAGAAGCCAAAAGTTTAGGAATATGAGCAGCACCTGACAGAGTTGTAGGTAGTACAGGAGCCCATTATGATCTTTCCCAAAACCCCAGGATGACAAACAGCTCCTGTGCTGATTTATTATAAAATAATATACACTCTCCCAAAGGTGGCATAATACAGAATTTATTAGAATCAGCATGACGGCAGTTATATACAGAGTGAACTGGGAGTAAGTTCCATTGAATTTGGTGGTGCTTAAATGTTCTAACTTCAGTCCTTGACATCTTCCCTTATAGGGCCTTCTGGTAGCAGGACTTGAGAAAAACTCAGTCTGAAGTCCTGGATCAGCTGCAGCCTATCCAGGTATTGGGTTAATAATGGACCAATGTTCTGGTCCACTTAAGGCTGCTTCAGATGTCCATATGAACCTGTCCAGGACTTAATGTCTCCCTATATTGGAAGAGGGACATGGGTGGCGCTGTGGGTTAAACCACAGAGCCTAGGACTTGCCGATCAGAAGGTCGGCGGTTTGAATCCCCATGATGGGGTGAGCTCCCGTTGCTTGGTCCCTGCTCCTGCTAACCTAGCAGTTCAAAAGCACGTCAAAGTGCAAGTAGATAAATAGGTACCACTCCGGCGGGAAGGTAAACGGTGTTTCCGTGCACTGCTCTGGTTCGCCAGAAGCGGCTTACTCATGCTAGCCACATGACCCGGAAGCTGTACGCCGGCTCCCTCGGCCAATAAAGCGAGATGAGCGCCGCAACCCCAGAATCGGCCACGACTGGACCTAATGGTCAGGGGTCCCTTTACCTTTACCTATTTTGGAAGACCAGATAATGGCAGACATAACTCATTAACATCCTGGGCTTCGTGATCCATTTCTGCATCTCCTATTGAGAGAAATTCGATAGGAATTGTCTTCACTTTCCTGATACAACTGACTTCCAAAGCGAGAGTTCGGCATTTATTTCTACAAGCTCAGTATTTTTCAACAATTTGCGTGAGCAGTTTTTCACCACCTATCATAACAGGAATTGTAGTACATCAAAATATGTCTCACCGGATCTGCCTGCTCCCACGGGAGCCCCAAGGGGGAAGGGCGCGAGAATGGTATCCTAACACATCGTTTTCATCTTCCCCTTAGCAGTCTAAAATACTTTGGTCAGATATACCAACATTGGATTGGCATATTTCAAAAAGTGAAAATCTGGACGCAAGAGTTGTTGGGCTTCTTTTGCAAAATCTCAAAAAAGAAGAAGCAGCTTTAAGAAAACTTGCCCCAAACTAGACTTCCGACATGAATTGCCATACGTACGGATTTGCCTGGACATTTAAGCGATTTCTTCCCGGACACTGCTATCTATACGGCCTATACGGCCTAGGACCCTCGTACCTATGGGACCGCCTCTCCTGGTATGTCCCACAGAGGAACTTACGGTCTTCAAACAAAAACATCCTGAAGGTCCCAGGCCACAGAGAGATTAGGCTGGCCTCAACTGGAGCCAGGGCTCCAATCTGGTGGAACGCTCTGCCACAAGAGATTAGGGCCGTGCGGGACTTGACATCTTTCCGCAGGGCCTGCAAGACAGAGCTGTTCCACCAGGCCTTTGGCTAGGGCACAGCCTGACTCCCTCCTTTGGCAATCTTCACAGAACTCTAGCCCAATGGTTGCCATCAATTTGATTTGAATTAATTTTATAATGAAATGATTTTAGAATGTTGTATTATTTTATTGTCGTTAGCCGCCCTGAGCCCGGCTTCGGCTGGGGAGGGCGGGATATAAATAAAATTTTTTATTATTATTATCTCCTGGCTATGTCCTGGAAATCCCGGACATATGGCAACCCTAACCAACTAAAGTCTTTAGAAAGAAAAGATGGACAAAGACAACAGGAAACCACTTCATAAACCAATAGAAATTTCATGTTCTGTTGAACTTATATAGGAGGAAGTAGACCGTTCCAAAACAGGATAATTGCGACCTGGGCAGAGCCTACAGAGAGGAGCTAACAAGCACTTTTGGAAAAATATAGAGGTATATTTCCGAAATTTTTCGCCCAGAAAGGCATAAATCACAGGGTTGATGCAACAGTGAATCAGAGCAATTACTCTTGTGACTTCAACACCGAAAGCTACCTTGCCCTCAATATTATTCTCTGAGTTAAATGAAAAAAATGAATCTTGAAAGGTCCGCAGCAAGAGGGCAATGTTGTATGGCATCCAGAAGAGGAAAAAAACAACCATGATCACAGCAATAAGCTTGAAAGCCTTCTGCTTTCTCTGATTTCTACCCTTAATCAAAATCATGATAATCCGCAGGTAACAGAAGATAATAATGACTGTAGGAATGGCTAGGCCCAAAATGAACTTCATTAAAGTTAGAAATTGCTTCCATACTTTTTCATTTTTTAAGGGATAATGAATGGTACATTCATATGTCTCATTTGCCTTTTGAACATGGTGAAATACAAATTCTGGCACAGAGGCTAATAAGACCACCACCCAAGTGACGACGCTTGTGAGGGTGCCATAGGTGATCGTCCTGGCTTTTAATGCAAACACTGCATGGACGATGGCCAGGTATCTATCGATAGTCAAAAGGATTATGAAAAAACTTCCACTGTAGAAGCCTACACAATAGACCCCAGAGAGAATTTTGCACATTGTATTTCCAAACACAAACCACTCACGGATTGCATAATGAGCCCAAAATGGGAGTGAGATGATGAAAAGCAGGTCCGAGATGGCTAAATTGAGCAGGTAGATATCAGTCATGCTCTTGAGTTTCTTATATCTGATGAGGATCAGCACCACCAGTGCGTTGCCCAGCAGGCCAAATATGAACACCAGAGAGTAAAGCGGTGGCACAAAGTAAGAGGTGAATCCTTTCACATTTTTGTCAGTGACTGGCTGTTCTAGACCCGCATAGTCAAAAGTTGTCGTTATCCCATAATCTGGCATCGTGGAATAATCATCCATCGTCACTGAATATGAAGAATACATGAAATAAGAAACAACAATGACAATTAAACCAAGTATTTTAATCAGTTATAATGCTAAATATATAGTCTGTTGATGAGGATCAGTATACAGTGGTACCTCTGGTTCGTTCCGGAGGTCTGTTCTTAACCTGAAACTGTTCTTAACCTGAAGCACCACTTTAGCTAATGGGGCCTCCTGCTGCTGCACTGCCACCGTGCGATTTCTGTTCTCATTCTGAAGCAAAGTTCTTAACCCGAGGTACTATTTCTGGGTTAGCGGAGTCTGTAACCTGAAGTGTATGTGACCCGAGGTACTACTGTATTGTCCGGCAGGCTAAATGCAAACAATAAAGAGTAAAGCAGTGGCAAAATATGGAGAATAAACTCATGTTAAGATATTGGCATAAAATCCTCTAAATGTCTGTCTGACCAGCTTCTCCCCCTGAATGTCTTCACTGTTAGCCAGGAAACTGCCCTATACTGAATTAGATCATTGGTCTATCCAACCGTAAGAGCTCTCAAAGGATTCAGGCAGGAGTCTTTTCTATCTGAAGTGTTCAGGGATGGAAACAGGGAACTTCTGCCTCTAAAGCAAATGGCCTACTACTGAGCTTCATTTCTGCCATATGGCATGGGAGATATAACACTGGAAATTTGAATTCAGTGCTGGGCTTTCTCCTGGATAAATATCTATAGGGTTGGGACCTGTTTCCTTCATTCACTCGGAGTTCTGTATAGTGGTATCTGGCTTTTGTGGTAGCCAAGGCATGTAACTACTACTACTACTAATTTATTTATTTATACCCCACTCTGGGCGGCTCCCAACAGAATATTAAAAACACGATAACACAATATAGGTAAAATGTTAGTATCGTTCTGTTTTCTCGGCCACCAACTGTAAGAAATGATAAAAAGTTGGGTGTCTATAGGACTGGGTAAACCAATATGTGTCCATAAGTCCCATTGAATTCAATGCTGGGCTTTCTCCTGGAAAAGTGTCTCTAGATTTGGGACCTGTTTCCTTCCTTCATTCAGAGTTCTGTATAGTGGTATCTGGCTTTTGTGATAGCCAAGGCATGTAGCTTCTGAGTAAAATGTTAGTATCACTTACCCTGCAATTGGTAAAATCCAGCACAGGAGGTGAGAATTCAAGGACTTTGATTATCCAAACCTCTCCTGACTATTGAAACAGTCAGTTTATTTCCCTTGCAATTCCAAATCACTGTCGTGAGCTGTGCAAATCTTAGAGCAGCTGTTCGGGAAATGCTCAATGCTGCTGATTCTGTTTTCTCGGCCGCCAGCTGTAAGAAATGATAAAAAGTTGGATGTCTATAGGAGGAGCAGGAGTTCTAAAAACAGGCTGGCTGCAAGTCCTTCATGTACATCCAGCAGTTTCCGTGGAATGGCAGGGAAGGGGAGACTTTGGTCCAAGTCTGGGTGTAGGACAGGAATGTGTAGACTGTGTTTGGCAAGCCAGATCCAGCCCACCAAGCCAGACAAAGTTGCCTGCTAGCCCTCACAGCTTTGGGCAGCTCCAGACTGGTGGTTTTGTGGATGAATTCTGCAACGTGTCATTGGCACAAAAATAGTGCTTTCATGGTGGACTGTCAACACACCAGTGTACTTCATTCATTTTTTCCCCTGATGCTTCCCCAATGTTACCCTATTACTGCTGTCTGAAAGGGCACTCGTTCTATAGCACCACCAACGTTGGGCAGCTCCCTCCACCCTGAACATCTGCGGGATGACAGGTTGCAGGTTCTCAGCCTAAAGGTATAGGATTTGCACTGTTAAGAAATGAAGCTGTATGAATGCCCCGAAGGTTTCGCAAGAGCAAACAGGATTTAAAGCAAGATCGCGTATAGCGATACTGTAATGAGCACAGATTATCTTTAATGCACAAGATTCTTTATCTCCCAATGTGAAAGATTTGTGCAAAGGAAAAAAGCAATATCAGCATCAGCCCATCACTGGAGTGGGAAGGGTTTCTTCCTGTTTTGTTTTATTTTTGTGTGTGTTCGTGGTTGTCTATGCCTGTGTGACAATATGTGAGTTCTCTGCTTGTTTGTGTGTGCTGCGTGCGTGGTGAATATGCACATGTGGTGAGTGTATGTGTGATCTGAATGTGTTGATGGGGCACATCCATCGGTCAAACCCTTCCTTTTCCTCTGTACTTCTCCCACATTTTCAAATCAACACCTGGCAGAAAACACAGATCTGGGAGCTCCATGCTTGCAGCGCAACCTAGATTTCCAGTCTTAAAATCCATTCTTAGCCCAGAAAATAGTATTTCTGGTTCTACAGGACTTTGAATTCACATCTCCTACACATACAAGTGAAGCACTTGCCCTATTTGTCCTTGGCTAGCTATAGCAAACAACAACAATACCCCCTTTCCAGTGAGGCAGATGGGTACACAGCAGACCACACCCTTTCCATTCAAATGTTCATGCAAAAAGAACTTAAAAATAGGCCTTCCTTTCTGTCTGAATCTTAAGTTAACAAATATTTGCATTTCAGGATGAAGGTCTGGGGCTTTCCTCCCAGCAATAAGAGCCACAAGCAGTTGCCTCTAACCAGCCGATAATATTATTAAAGATCTCTTCAATCTGCAACTTCTGCAAACTTGATGAGATTTAAACCTGCTTGTGTTTGTCGGAGATATTTTGGCTATGCTTGTAGCATGCTAGATTCCAAGCTGTAATAGTTTATATTCCAGGTTCCAAAACTGATGGAAAACACAAGACCCTGAGGTTTGCCACCCACCAGGCACAGAGGGGGTGGGTACGGGAATTGGTTCAGTTTGCAAACTGCCTTGATTCGGACTTCTCAAAATAACGCATGAACTGAAACACAGGTCTCCTTCAAAATGAACACTGTCCCACATTTTGCAATGCAGTTCTTCAGTCAAGAGATGTGGGCACATGTTAGGAGACAGTGTGCATAGAAATCCTGATATTATTGACAACAATACACAAAATGCATCATATTAAGCAAAATTCCTTGCAGATATGTGTATATTAGGTCAAATTGCATGCAGAACGTGTGTAATAAAAGAAAGAAGGACTAAGGTGTTTGATAATTTTAGTGAGAACTTTAAAAAAAACCCAATTCAAACTATTGCAGAAACGTAGTGAATTGTACTTACAGTTCCAAAAATAGGGAAGAGAAACTGCTCTGGAGCTTGCAGTCTCACCAACAAAGACTCAACATGTTGGTTCAATGCAATCTGTTATCTTAATAACTCATTATGATGAACTAGTCAAGGGTGGTGAAGTGTTGTAGGCGGGACACAGAGAGTACAGTGGTGCCTCGCAAGACGAAATTAATCCGTTCCGCGAGTCTCTTCGTCTTGCGGTTTTTTCGTCTTGCGAAGCACGGCTATTAGCGGCTTAGCGGCTATTAAGGGCTTAGCGGCTATTAACGGCTTAGCGGCTTTAAGAAAAAGGAAACAAACTCGCAAGAACTCGCAAGACGTTTTGTCTTGCGAAGCAAGCCCATAGGGAAATTCGTCTTGCGGAATGACTCAAAAAACGGAAAACTCTTTCATCTAGCGAGTTTTTCGTCTTGCGAGGCATTCGTCTTGCGGGGCACCACTGTATACTGATTGATTCAGAAGACTTATACCCCTGTTTTGAGCCAGATAGGATCCCAGTGTAGCTTATGGGTGAATAAAAATAACACTGTTCTGCATTCAGGCTTAAAATCTAAGAAGGCACAACATGAAAGGAAAAAGGGATGGGAAAGGAATAAGAAAACAGGCAGATTCAGAAACCGAATTCTTGATGTTACAAGATTCTTTGAATGAACAGCTTGGATATAAATGGGTTGTGCATATTTCAGAAAAACAGGACAGGGCTTCTTGGCCCCTGAGAAATTGTGTGGCAACCCAACCTTCCAGGAAGTGGCTGTAACAAAGCCAGAAGCTATTAGTCTTACAAGGTGTGGTCTTCTGGGAGCTAGCGGGAATTGGCAAACTTTTTCTCATGCTTATCTTTGGTAGGTCGGCTCACAGTTGATACCATCGCCCCTAGGACTGATGTTCCTCCTAGTCTTCCTCACAGGGAAGGCGGTTCCAAAAGCCTGGAGGGGGAAGGGGCCCAGTCAGTTGGTGAGAGTAGCTGCAGCTAAAGATGGGAAGTTCCTCACCGCTTCTCTTTTTCATACGGCACTTGGAACCTAACCCTTGCCTAACCCTTGAACACCCTTTTTCATAGGGCACTTGGGACCTAACCTTGCCTAACCCTTGACCACCGTTGCTTGTGTCTTCCAGTTCAGCACCCTCCAATTTCTTTTTTCACCACCACCAACTTCTGCCCTGAAGCCATCTCCACAGTATCCTAATCTTAGCAAGCAAAGGGCAGGACCATTGTCAAAGACCTTCACTGTGGGTCCCTTCCTTCTCCAGATCACCAGGATGATTCTCTCTCATTGTCCTGTCTTGAGTGGGAGAGCTCACAGTGCAACAAAATTAAGGGATGTGGAGAAGTTGAGAATGAAGATGAATTTCTGTGACACTTTAGCAGCATGAAATGAACAGCACACACTTCCAACAAGTAACTGTGTTTAGAACTGGGGTTTTAATATGCACTTGATCTTATAATACTCCCTTCAAAGTCACCGAATGGCTATAAAATGTGATAAATTTAAAGCAAGGCCGCTTCTGCACTATACATTTAAAGA